ATCGCCAGAGTCTGTAGATCGGCGGCGTTGGGAGCGACAGGAGCACCTAGACCGGAGCATCGCAGACCGCCCGCAGCAACCCATTTTCTAAAGGACTGCCACTACGTTACGGAGATCAACGGGAGGGTCGTGCAGTTCCCAGCACAAGGCAAGGCACACGTCAAGGTGAAGATTGAGGGTCAGCAGTGCGACATGGAGGTGGACTCCGGATCTGGATTCACTATCGTGTCGGACCAGACCGCGAGGACATTCTTCCCCAGGGGTAAGTTGCCCCTCTGGAACCCTTCCCGGCAACCTTGCAGTCATACTCAGCGGGCCGCATCCATGTTATGGGAATGTGTGCCGTGAGAGTACAGTTCCGGGACAAACAGGCTGTACTCAAACTGGTGATTGCGAAGGGCAGTCGCCCCAGTCTCCTGGGCACTGACTGGTTCACCGCCCTGGGACTGAGTATATCAGGGCTTAATTCAATCCAAACCTGCCCTGAGATGAGCGAGGCATTATGCAAAGAATTTGCTGGTCTCTTTAATGGAAAACTGGGTTGTTATAAAGGGCCCCCAGTTGACTTCGAGTTGGACCCTGGGGTGGCTCCAATCCGACTCAAACCAAGGCGAGTGCCATTTGCACTGCAACCCAAGATCGAAGCAGAGCTGGACAAATTGGTCAAGCAGGGAGTTCTCTCACCCGTGGACTCTGCTAAGTGGGAGACTCCAATCGTCACACCCCTTAAAGCAAATGGGGAAGTCAGGATCTGTGCAGATTACAAATGTACTATCAATAAGGCACTCAGGGGAAACTCATATCCCATTCCAGTCGTATCACATCTGTTGGCTAAACTGGCTGGGGGCAAGGTGTTCGCCAAAATTGACCTGGCACAAGCTTACCAACAGCTGCCAGTAACCCCACAATCAGCGGAAGCACAGACTATTGTCACACATAAAGGCGTTCAGAGTTAACAGATTACAATTTGGAGTTTGTGTGGCCCCAGGGATTTTTCAAGGGCTCATGGAACACCTGTTAAGAGGTCTGCTGGGGGTCTTGCCATTTTTTTTGATGACGTTTTGATTGCTGGAAAAGACCCACAGGAACTGGTTGCGCATGTTCGTGCAGTGTTGCTCAAGTTCAAGGAGGTGGGGTTGCAACTGAAAAGGAACATGCAGTTTTGGGGTGCCAACTGTGGATTTCTTGGGGTTTAAAATTGATGCATCAGGCATCCACCCCACAGATGCTAAGATTAAGGCCATCATCGAGGCGCCACGACCACAGAACAAGACGGAGTTGCAGTCATTCCTGGGACTTATTAACTTTTATCATTCGTTCTTACCCCAGAAAGCTTCGGTAGCTGAACCATTACATAGACTGTTGCAGAAAAAGACTGTGTGGCGATGGGGGCAGGGGCAGCAGAAGGCTTTTGACTCCTTGCGAGGAATGCTGAGTAGCAGGAGTGTCCTTGCTCATTATGACGAGTCAAAGCCTCTGGTCCTGGCATGTGATGCCTCTCAATACGGCCTGGGGCGGTGCTAAGTCATAGGGAACCGGATGGGTCGGAAAAGCCCATCTCTTTCTATTCCCGTACGTTGTCGCCCACGGAGCGCAACTATGCTCAAATTGACAAAGAGGCACTTGCAATTGTGGCAGGAATCAAAAAGTTCCATGATTATGTGTACGGTCGCCATTTCTACATTGAAACGGACCACAAGCCACTGTTAGGGTTGTTCAACCCGAACAAACAAACGCCACAAATTCTCTCCCCCAGAATGTTACGTTGGTCTATGTTCCTGAACGGGTTCCAGTACACCTTGACCCATGTGCCGGGGAAACGGTTGTGCCACGCGGATGCGCTGAGTCGCTTGCCCCTTCCTGGCGGGAGCACTGAGGATCCTGCTCCAGCGGAGCACATAATGATGCTGGAAACACTTCCGGGGGCTCCTGTTACGGCTACTGATATAGCTGAGAAAACGAGGAAAGATGCTGTTCTCTCCCGTGTGCTCACTTGGGTGGGAGGGGGTGGCCAGGTGGTCCGCATGAAGACAAATTCAGGCCTTATGCGACTAGGCAGCACGAGTTGTCCATGCATAAGGGTTGTCTCCTGTGGGGAGATAGGGTCATCATCCCAGCACCACTGAGAAACAGGGTTCTTGAGACGCTTCACATGGGACACCCGGGAATGGTCAGGATGAAGTCGCTAGCCCGATGTTATGTGTGGTGGCCTGGAATGGACCAGAACATAGAACAATGGGTACGAACATGCAAGGCATGCCAAGAGGTGCGGCCAGAAGTGGCCAGAGCACCAGTCCACTGGTGGGAGCAGTCCAGATCTCCCTGGAGCCGGCTGCACTTAGATTTTGCTGGGCCATTCCAAGGAAAGGTCTTTTTGGTTATCGTTGATGCATATTCCAAATGGTTAGAAGTGGCGATGGTCCCTAGCATGGCATCAGCTGCCGTCATCAAAGTGTTGAGGCAGCTGTTTGCAACCCACGGGTTACCTGAGACCATTGTATCAGATAATGGGGCAGCTTTGTATCCCAAGAATTCAGGGCATTCTTGGCTGATAACTTCATAAGAGGGGTCACATCCGCGCCCTTTCACCCATCCTCCAATGGGCAGGCTGAGCGCATGGTAAGAACAGCCAAAGAATCCATTGTGCGCTTAATGGAGGGTAACTGGTCAGCTCGCATCGCGCGAATGTTATTTTTGCAGCATGCGACGCCGTGTACCGCAACGGGCAAGTCGCCAGCTGAGCTGCTCTTGGGTAGGAGACTGGTAACGGTGCTGGATTATGTCCACCCGGATAAAATGCCAAACCATAATTCAAGAGCAACCCCCCAGGCTGAGACTGACACAACAAGGTATCTCGCCCTGAAGATCTGGTCTGGGTGAGGAACTATTCACGAGGTTCGCGGTGGGTGGCTGGTGTGGTCACCCGGGCTAGTGGACCTGTGTCCTATTATGTGACCTTGGAAAATGGGCAAGTGTGGAAGAGACATATAGATCAGCTGAGGCGCCGGGCGCTCAGCAGGGAGGAGCCAGATAATTCATCCCAGGCTAACGACGCAGAGCCGCAAGACCAGAGTGAAAATGGCCCAGAGGTGCAATCACCAGGGGCTTTAACAAATGAACCAGGGTCTGCTAGTCCTCACGATGACGAGGTGCAGATAGGGGACCCTGAGATGTCGGGGACTCCATCTGTTCCTGACGAAACCCTTAGAGCAGCCCCTCTACCACAGGTAACACCCAATCCAGAACCTGCAACACCTGTTGTCAGGAGATCAAGTAGAAGTTGTAGGCCCCCACAGTACCTGAGAGATTACGTCTGCTGTGCTCACTAGGGGGGAAGGGGTGTTGTGTATTGAGTCAAAGGATTTTATATCTGTATTATTATTGTCTGTATCTGCATTAGGGTAAAGTAACTGCCTTTTGGTTCCAGAGGGTACAGCTACTATTGGTTCATTTAAGCTGCTGTATTTGGATCCTCTGTCTTATTGGTTCCCTCCAAAAGGCAGGACTGTGATTGCCTGATATTGTTCCCTCCAAAATGTATCCTTTCTTGCTAGTTCCCTGTCCCTATAAAGGTAGCTTTCCTCTCCCCCAGTCTTCAGTCTTGTTGCTTTAATAAAGAAGTGTTACTAGAGAACTGTCTCCAGCATGTTATATCAGGAGAGCTGAAATCACAAACCCCACGTCACAACAACTTTCTTTCTTTTTTTCCCCAAAATATAGTCCAGCCCCACACAAGGCCTGAGGGACAGTGGATCAATTTTTAAAGAAATGTTTTTTATTAAATTTATTTTCTCAAAATAAATATCAAATATCATTACTAAACTTACCTTTTCAATTCCCCCTCCCTCTCTATTTACTTCCCTCAACTACCATTTCTGATTTATTACATCCAACGATACATTCTGCTGTTTGAATGCAATGTACTTCTTGTTCTCTGTAACTAAAGTTGTAAATGCTCATTTAAATCCTGCCAGTGAGACCATTTCTTTTTGCTGTTTCTGCAATATATCGTGAAAGGTTCCCATTATTTTTCAAAGTCACTATTATCCCTTTCACGCAATTTTTCGTTAACTTTGCTAACTCTGCATAATTCACCAACTTTTCTTGCCATTGTGCTTTTGATGGGACTTCTCCGGTCTTCCAGTTTTGAGCTATTAAAATTCTTGCAGCTGTCGTAGCGTACATGAATAATGTCCTTTGTTTCTGTTATGTACTGAAGTTCTCACCCTGGGCCAGCAGGGGGATACTGTAGATCGTTATGCAAATAAGGGATTGAAAGTGACGTTCAGTGATTGGATAGTTTTAGAAAAGTTGTTAGAATTATGTGTACTGGAGCTCTATATAAGCAGGCTGACTGAACCCTTCAGCTCAGTTCTTATCTGGCCTCTAAATAAACAAGAGCTGTTTGAAGAATCGCTGTGTTGTTTGATATGTTCACCCACAGCTAAACACTGGCGACGAAGGTGGGATCGATGGACATCAGAGCACAGCCAGATGCGGCCACCCTCTGAGCTGAGCTGAATCACTGAGCGGAAACAGAACCAATTCAGAGCTGACTGTTCTGGCTAGAGCACTGTGTTCCATCCATCGCCCTCCATGCTGGCATTGGAATCATGGCTTCACTTGTGCCTCTACCACTGTTAGTGCCAGCCTCTGAATCATGGGACTCCTACCTCGCTCAGTTCGACTGCTACCTCCAAGCCAATGAATTGACAGAAGTATCACAGGAGCGGAAGCGGGGCCTATTCCTCAGCCTTTGTGGGCCTGAGGTGTTTGAGACGGCCCGAGCATTGGTTGCACCTGAAGCAGTCCAGGCAGCACCGTGGGACTCGATTCAAGAGAAGCTCCGCAACCACTACGTGCCAAAGCTGTCCAAGATTGCTGCCCGCCATGCGTTCTATCACCGGAACCAGGCAGAGGGGGAGTCAATTAACAACTACACCACCGCCCTGCGACAGGCTGCAATGCACTGCGAGTTCTGAGACTTAGACGATGGCCTGATGGATCGAATCGTCTGTGGGGTCTGGGACATCCGTCTGCAACAGCGTCTCCTCGCCAGGTCAGACCTCACACTGCAGAAAGCCATTGAGGAGGCCGTGGCCTCGGAAGCTGCTGAACGCTCCGCCCAGGAGATCCGCAAGGCCAGCAGCCCACATCTTACTAGGAAGCCAGTTCCAGTGCATCACAAAGAGGCCAGCAGTGATGAGGCATCCTCCAGTGAAGACAATGACGTGCACCAGACAAAGCGGGAGTGCAGGAAGTTCCAACAGAAGTCCAAGGGCCAAGCAGAATGTGCCGGCTGTGAAGGCAACCATTCCCGTACCAAGTGTCGATTCAGAGACGCCATCTGTCGGAAGTGTTCCAGAAGGAGCCACATCGCTAAGGTCTGCTGATCAGCTCCGTCCGGCACCCCTCCTTCACCGACTCGCAAGTCCAAGTCTTCACTCCAGTCTGCCAAGGAAAGCTGTTTCGCTCTCACCAACTGCCACTGCCCGTCTGGAACCACGATTGGCTAAACGGACTCGCCTACACGACGCAAGCTGAACGTCACGGTTCTCATTGAAGGAGCTCCATGTGACATGGAGATCAACACCGGGTCTGCCCTGTCCATCGTGTCTTGGAGCACCATCAAAAGATTGGTACCCAGAGTGTCTAAAAGGCAACTTGACTCTCACTGCGTACACCTGAGAGACTACCAGGGAAATGACATTCCCGTGGTAGGCGTTGGCCGGTTCCGGATTGCCTTCAAGGATTTTTCGGGCCTGCTCCGACTGGTGGTGGTTGAAGGTCAGCGGCCAAGCCTCCTAGGGCTAGACTGGTTTGATGCCCTCGGCCTGGAAGTCACCGGCATCAACTGCATCTCTAACGCAGAGACTGCGGGTTTGGTCAAAGACTTTGCTAAGGTTTTTGATGGCACTTTGGGGCAATATACAGGTACGCCCATCTCCTTTAGCCTTGATCCACAAGTCGCCCCCATCAAGCTAAAGCCTCACCGGGTTCCCTTTGCTTTCAAGGCTAAGGTGGACAAACAACTGGACAAGCTGATCGCCCAAGGAGTTTTGGAGCCGGTTGACCATGCCAAGTGGGAAACCCCCATTGTCACGCCTGTCAAGCCGGACTGGTCGGTGAGAATCTGTGCCGACTACAAGTGCACGATCAACAAGGCACTTCAGCAGCACACTTACCCGGTTCCTGTTGTTCAATACCTGTTGCATTCCCTGGGTGAGGGTAAGTTCTTTGCTAAGCTGGACCTTGCCCAAGCCTATCAACAACTGCCCATCGATGATGCCACCACTGAAGCCCAGACGATCGTCACCCACTGAGGGGCATTTCGTTGCTGCCATTTGCAGTTCAGAGTGAGTGTGGCTCCTGGCATCTTCCAAAGTCTTATGGAGCGCCTCCTGCAAGGGCTTCTGGGCGTAGTACCGTATTTTGATGACGTCTTGGTATCCGCAGACTCACACCAGCAGCTGTTTGAGCGCCTCCGTGCCGTGCTGACCAGGTACCAGGAGGCCGGACTCAAGGTAAAGAGGGAGAAGTGCCAGATCGCCATTCCACAGGTGGAGTTCCTGGGCTATCTTATCGACGCCTCCGGCCTTCACCCGACCACATCCAAGATCCGTGCTATCCAGCAGGCCCCCATCCCAAAGAACAAGATGGAGTTGCATGCGTTCCTGGGACTGCTGAACTTTTATAACATGTTCCTGCCCCACAAAGCCACGGTGGCTGAGCCTCTTCACCGACTCCTCAGCACGAAAACGCCTTGGTCCTGGGGTCATCGGGAGACGGCGGCCTTCAATGCTGTCAAGGCTCTCCTTTCATCGGACAGTGTGCTGGTACAGTACAGTGAAGCCAGGCCGCTGCTCCTTGCCTGCGACGCCTCACCTTTTGGCATCGGCGCTGGCCTTAGTCACCGTTTTCCAGACGGAAGAGAAGCACCGCTCACCTGCTTTTCCAGGACGCTATCTCCGACTGAACGGAATTACAGCCAGCTCAACAAGGAGGCACTGGCACTTGTGGCTGGAGTGAAGAGGTTCCATGAATACCTCTACAGCAGGACTTTCGACCTCATCACCGACCACAAGCCGCTCCTGGGCCTCCTCGCCGCGCATGCTGCGATGGACTGTTTTCCTGGCTGCCTACCACTACCGGCTCGTCCATCGCCCAGGGAAATCAATGGGCCATACCAACGCCCTCAGTCGTTGCCCTCTTCCAGTGTTTGTGAAAGGCCCGGCTCCTGCTTCATCACTCCTCCTGATTGAGGATCTTCTGGCAGCACCTGTATCGGCTGCCACTGTGGCCTCCGCATCTGCCCAGGATCGCACCATCAGCCGTGTGCTCAACTGGGTGTGGAGGGGGTGGCCACAAGGGCCTTTTGCTTCGGAGTTCCAGCCCTTCACAACCAGACAAGACAAACTCTCGGCTCATCGCGGCTGTCTGCTGTGGGGAGACCGCGTTGTGATTCCCCAAAGACTCCGTCAACGCATCCTTGAGGCTCTGCACGTTGGCCACCTGGGAATCGTAAAAATGAAAGTGTTGGCTCGGTGTTACGTCTGGTGGCCTAACATGGACGATGCCATCACTGCCTGGGTGTCCGCCTGTCAAGCGTGCCAAGAATCGAGGCCTGCACCACTGGCAGCTCAGGGACACACCTGGGAGACGCCCAAGAAACCCTGGTCGAGGGTGCACATCGATCTGGCCGGCCCCTTTCGCGGCCGGCCCTTTATAGTAGTGGTGGACACCTATTCCAAATGGCTGGAGGTGGCCCTGATGCCCTCCACCACTACCAAGGTGGTCATCCGGGTGCTGTGAGGCCTCTTTGCAACGCATGGGTGTCCTGATGTCCTCGTCTCTGACAACGGACCGCAGTTCATGTCAGGCACTTTTGAGTGGCACCTTTTGGGACTGGGCATCCGCCATGCCCTACCAGCACCATTTCATCCATCCAGCAACGGGCAAGCGGAGAGAATGGTGCGCTCGGCAAAAGAGGCACTGGCGCACCTGGACCAGGGAGACTGGTACGAGTGGGTTGCTGAATACTTGTTTGTGCAACACATCACCCCTCATGCGGCCACAGGGTGGAGTCCTGCCGAACTTCTTATGGGCCGCCGCCTCAGGTCTCCGCTCGACCGGCTGCACCCGGACTTTGCCATGGCCAAACCCCCAGGCTGTGCCAATGCGCCACGGTCATTTGTTCCAGGAAACCAGGTCTTTGCCCAGAACTTTGTGGGGGACATTCCTTGGGTGCCAGCCACAGTAGTGGGAGTCACTGGACCTCGCTCATACCAGGTAGCACTTAAAGACGGATGCTTGTGGCACCGGCACATAGACCAGCTTAGGTGCAGGGTTGGGGACTTGGACACTACTGCAGTGCCCCCAACTGCGCTCATGGATCCAGAACAGACACTTACAGATGGCGAGGCTCCACCTACACCTCTCTCACAAACTGCAGGCGTGGAGCCGAACCAAGCCGCTTCAGAGGGTCTGCCAGACTTCCCACAGACTCAGACCATTGCCGTGCCTGACATTCCACCAACTCCACTTGTGGAGGTTCCACCCACAGCAGCGGATCCAGGGGACTTGGTTTCAACGCCACCTAGGGTCGCGCCACAGCCTCAGCAAGAATCGGGCAGCCCACCGGACCTGGGTACCGCTCCCCGGCAGTTTGGCAGAGTTTCCAAGCTCCCAACGTATTTAAAGGACCATGTTGTTGGACATGTAATACTGTTGGCCTAATGGAAGTATGTGAAATGTAACCGATATGCTTTTGTGCCTAATTGAACCATTACGTGTAGTGCTGTATATAAAGAAACCATTACGATTGTAACTAACGCCTTATCTCGGTGGGGAAGGGTGTTATGTACTGAAGTTCTCACCCTGGGCCAGCAGGGGGATACTGTAGATCGTTATGCAAATAAGGGATCAAAAGTGACGTTCAGTGATTGGATAGTTTTAGAAAAGTTGTTACAATTATGTGTACTGGAGCTCTATATAAGCAGGCTGACTGAACCCTTCAGCTCAGTTCTGTTCTGGCCTCTGAATAAACAAGAGCTGTTTGAAGAATCGCTGTGTCGTCTGATATGTTCACCCACAACTTAACAGTTTCTTTCGGCAGATCTTGTCCTAAAATACCAAACAAGAAAGCTTCTGCTGCAAATTCATATGTTCTGACTGTATATCTTCTTTCCTTCCCCCCCTTTCCCATGCTTTATTGTCCATAATTGCATTGGTACATCAAAGACGTATCTTGATTATTGCCCATCAATCAAACTCGTCGAAAATCAGAATCCAGCAAAAGAATGTTTCCACATTGGAAAAGTGACCATGTTCCTTCTAGGACAGGATGGATTCCAAAATCAGTTGAATATGCAGAGTTGTTGGACAATTTGTCGGAAAAAAAATAAAATAAAACAAAACGCGTGTTAAAATATATAAGCTAAATAATTGTTGCAGTCTAAACGCTGTTGTAGCATTTGAATAATATCTGTAATAGTTATTACAGATAAAAATAATAATGAAATAATAATAATATAAAGATTATAATAACTATGATAATGATAGCAACCTCTGCTTCAGAGTATCTGAAAAATGATCCCCAGCGACAAAGTGAGTATTGCACATGAAAGCTCATACCTTGAAAGCTTATATTTAATTGATCTTTAAGGTGCCACCGGAATTATTACAAAATATTTTTTCATCTTTCATCTTGTGATTTATTATCCGTAATAGGTGGTAGTAAGAATCAAGAACGCAGTTTGGCATGGAAAACTGCAGGCCAGTTCAGACTCCCATGACACCAGATTTCCCAAAGACAGTGTGTGATGATGAATTTGATCAGCCTGAGTTGTATCACTCAAAAATAGGATCACTGTTGTATTTAAGCCAGTGGTCAAGGCCAGACATTGCATGTGCTACAAATGTTCTGAGCCAACGTGTATCTAAACCCAGTACTGCCGATTGGTGTGCTTTGAAAAGGCTTATCAGATATCTAAAGGGGACATTAAATGTATGTTTAAAGATATCTAGTACACAAGATGAAAAACTAGAAGTATTTGTTGATGCGGACTGGGGAAGCTGTGTAGCTACTAGAAAATCTACAAGTGGAATGGTTATGATGTTTGCCAATTCCATAATTGGATGGAGGTAAAAGAAACAAGGATTTGTTGCGACCTCATCCTGTGAGGCAGAATATGGGAGCCTGTCGCTAGCATGCAACGAAATCATATGGTTTCTACAGATACTAAAAGATCTAGATTGTAAAGTTGATTTGCCTATCCAAGTGCATGACGGATAGCATGGAAGAATGGATATTTGGAAGATGATGATTGAAACTTTAGCAAAGTGGCTACATTTACAGGAAAAAGACATAATAGAACAGACAGAGAAAATCTTCAGAGTGAACTCAAGAAAAGCAAAAATGAACAAATGGCAGGCAGACTGCATCATTGTATTCACATTGAATTGGATGAAAGATAAGATCCTCCAAGTAAAGAGTAAGAACAAATTAACCATAGATGGAAAGGAAATAATAATTTTACGAGAAGTCCCACCTAGGCTGATAAAAAAGAGACAGCAATTCCAATTTCTAACAAAAGCACTAAAGGCCAAATCAATATCTTTCAGATGGGAATACCCAGTGGGGATTTCCTTCAACTTCAAAGGAAAAAGAAGACGATTTGAGACATTTGAGGAAGCAGATATGTTTTGGAGGAAGTATCGAGGAGAATTAGGAGGCGGGAAAAGTGAAGTAAGAAATGAGGAAGGAAGAAAGAAAGGGAGAGCTATCGGATGAGGTGGAAGAAGAAGAAAAAGCTCAGCAAAAGGTGGAAGGAGAAAGAACTACGCCAGTGGTAAATAATCAGACCAATAACTATTACAAAACCCTTCTCCTTTACCACTGCAGATAACTTAAACTCTTTCCATTAACTTTATAATTTCTTTACTAATAAAGAAGGAAATTTAAATTGTTATCATGGAACGCAAATGGTTTAAATAATAGGAGGAAGAGGCAGAAAATAGAACGTATCTTAGAGAGGCAGAAGTGGGACCTTGCTTGTTTACAAGAAACCCACATCAATACTAAGCATAAAAGACTATTGGTAAAACCAAAGTTAGGGGAAGAATTCATCGCATCTGATGTAAGAAAAAAGAGGGGGGTTGTAATGTATGTTAAAAGCAAATATGAACCAGAATTGTTATATGAAGACAAAGAGGGGAGGATTGTAATAGTCAAAATATCACTAGAGGGGGAACCAATTGTAGTAGCGGGAATCTATGGATCAAATAAAAGAAAATCAGAATTCTATGTTAAAGTAAGATCATTATTAATGGAATATATAGATATGAGAATTATTGTGTTAGGGGATTTAAATGGGGTAATGGAACCAGAATTGGATAGATCGCAGAAGAAGAGGGGGGGGGGAAATGAAGGGAAGTTGCCAAAAGCTTTATGGAAATGGTAAAGATTTTTGATTTAGTGGATATATGGAGATATAAACATCCTGTCGAAAAGGAGTTCACATATTTCTCAGAACCAAAAAATTCGTATAGTTGAATCGACAGTGTATGGATTACTAAGGATATGACAATTGAAGCAGAGAATGCCGAAATATTGCCAAAAACACTTACAGATCACAATCCAGTATCATTAACTCTTAAAGGAAAAGAGGAGAAAGGGAAAAAAAGGTGGAGAATGAATGTTTTCTTATTAAAAAACGAAAAAGTAATACAAGGAGCCAGAAAGTTGATGAAGGAATATTTTGAAAACAATTGGAGGAAAGGGACAGATGTTAAAACAGTGTGGGATGCTGGGAAGGCGGTTGTTAGGGGATATTTCATACAACAAAACTCAATAGCATATAAGAATAAAGAAAAAAGAAAAGGGAGCTTTTAGAAGAAATTAAAAGGAAGGAAAAATTGGCCTATGCAAGCAAAAATAAAGAGAGATTAAATCAAGAAATTAAATTACTGAGAGTAGAATATAATAAAATTATAGAACAGGAGGTAGAACAACAAATCAAATTTTGGAAATATAAAAATTTTGAATGGGCAAATAAGCCAGGCAAGATCCTTGCCTGGCAACTAAAGAAACAAAGAAATGAAAAATTAATAAATAAAATAAAAGTAGAAGAGAGGACAATAAGGGATATGACAGAAATTAAAAAGAATTTGAAAAATATAAACAAAAAATTATATCAAAAAGATGAAGTGCCAATAGAAGAAATAGAGGAATATATAAAGAAAAATAAATTAATAGAGATAGCAGAAGAAGACCATAAATTATTAAATGAACAATATCAACTGTAGAAATTAAGGAATCAATTCAAAAATTAAAAATAGGGAAATCCCCAGGTCCAGATGGCATACCAGCAGAATACTACAAATAAATATTAAATGAATTAATCGACCCACTAAAAGAAGTAATAGAGGAAGCAGTAGAGAAGGAGAATATTCCAGACTCTTGGACTCAAGGGTATATAACGCTCCTGCCAAAACAAGGTACGGATTTGGAATCTGTCTCAAATTATAGACCAATTTCATTGTTAAATTCCGATTATAAAATTTATGCAGGATTATTGGCTAACAGGTTGAAAAAAATTATAGGAAAAATAGTACATAAAAATCAGGCTGGATTTGTGGAAGGTAGACAAATAAAGGATAATATCAGAAATATAATAGACATAATGGAATATCTACAAGTAAGAAGAGACAAACAAGCAGCCCTGATTTCAATCGATGAGGAGAAGGCTTTCGACAAAATCTCATGGGAATTTATGAAAAAACTATTAAAAGAATTGTGTCTAGGTGGAAAATTCCAAAAAGGTATAAATGCAATATATAACCAACAGAAAGCAAAAATTATTATTAATGGAGAGTTTGGAGAAGAAATCAACATCTTTAAAGGTACAAGACAAGGATGCCCCTATCCCCAATGTTATTTATAATAGTATTAGAGGTTATATTAAAGAAAATAAGGCAGGACAACCAAATAAGAGGAATAGCAGTTGGTGAAAAAGATACAAGTTAAGAGCCTTTGCAGATGATGTTATGATCACAACAGAAAATCCCCTACAATGTACACCTAGAATATTGGAATGCATAAACAAATATGGCAGATTAGCAGGATTCAAATTAAACTATGGGAAAACCAAAATACTAGTGAAAAATATGGAAGAAAAAGATAAAGTGAAATTACAAGAAATTACAGGATTGGAAATTAAAAAGAAAATAAGGTATCTTGGAATAAATTTAACAACAAACACTATAGATTTAAGTAATGAGAACTATGGGAAAACATGGAATGTAATAAAAAATGACTTGCAAGTATGGGGAAAATTAAATCTTTCCTTACTAGGGAAAATATCGGTAATAAAGATGAACATATTACCAAGGATGATGTTTTTATTTCAAAGTATCCCAATACTAGGAGGAGATAAATGTTTTAATAACTGGAAAAGAGATTTGGCTAAATTCGTATGGTCAGGGAAAAAGCCAAGAATAAAACACAAAATAATGATAGATAAGAAGGAGAAAGGAGGATTTGGTCTCCCAGATATGGAGTTATATCAGGATGCGGTGGGTCTGACCAGGCTAAAGGAATGGATCAAATTAGATGACTTGGATGTATTTGATTTAGAGGGAGTAGAGACGAGATTTGGATGGCATGCCTATCTAATAGATGAAAAAGTGAGAGTACATAAAGGCTTCCTAGGGCATATAATCAGAAAATCTATATATAAAATATGGGAGAAATATAAAAGACTCCTAGAACCGAAAACTCCCTGGTGGGCATCGCCAGCAGAAATTGTCGCAGTGAAAAATTAAATATGAAAGAAAATTGGGCTACCTATAAAACTGTATTAAAGGAAGAAAACGGAGAATTGGAATTAAAGGATTACACAGAAATTAAAGTTGGTTCCAATTGGTTCCAATATATTCAAATTAAGTATAGATTAGCGAAAGACAAAAAGTTAGGATTTGAAAAAGAAATATCAAAATTTGATAAATACTTAATACAAGAAAAATAAAAAAATATATCTAAATTGTATAATCTGATTTTAGAGTGGGAAACAAAGGATGAATTGGTTAAAGCATCAATGATTAAATGGGCGCAAGATATTGGGAAAAATATTATGTTTGAACAATGGGAAAAATTGTGGAAAGAAGATATGAAATTCACTATGTGTTATATACTGAAAGAAAATTACCTTAAAATGCAACATAGATGGTATGTAACACCTGAAAGAATAGCAAAAATGAATAAAAATTGTAGCAATGTCTGCTGGCGATGCAACACGGGAAAAGGTACTATAATACATATATGGTGGAATTGTTTAAACATCAAACAATTTTGGGAAATAATATATAATGAAATGAAAAAAATGTTTAGATACTCATTTAGGAAAACACCAGAAGGTTTTCTATTGGGAATAGTACCAGGAAGCCTAAAGGAAGAAGATAAGACCTTATATTTATACGCAACAGTAGCAGCAAGGCTATTGATTGCAAAAACTGGAAAAGTGGTATAATACTGACAAAAACAGAGTGGCTTGCCAAATTATTGGAGTATTACAATATATCCAAAACAATGGAAGAAATTGGAAGGATTTCAAAAGAAAAGATAGATATGGACTGGAAGGTGTTTAAAAGATACTTGCAAAATCATCTCGAAAAATCAGAACTCCTATTAGAATAAACAAGTTCCGTTTCAAATACTGAAATATCAAATAAGATGGATAACAATGTGTAATAGAAAATGAAGTATGAAATTAGGCTAAAGGTGTGTGAAAGAAAGTAATAGAAGTGGAAAGAAGTTGTAATTGAGTAGATTGGAAGTCAAACACAAAGGTGGGGTGAGGGGTGGTGGATGGTGATGGGGAAAGGAATTATTTGTGGTATTGAGTGTAAGTATGTTTGAACACTTTTAAGGATTGTATGAAATGTATGTTTGTATGCTTGTATATGTGTACTAATGATGAACTATTTTAACAATAAAAACTTATTTTTTTAAAAAAATATTTATGTATACTTTTGGCTTTGATAACAACCTGACAAGTTTTGGCAATCAGATAATAATGAATATGTGAAATATGGAGTGGATGGGAAGTTATATGTAAAGTAAGAAGATATTCTTTATTTTATTATATTAGATTTTTTCCCCTTTTAGTTGATTTGCTTTATAATTTTGTATTAATGGATGATAAGGAAGCTTTCTTTTATTTATTTCAATTGAGCATATAAAAATAAAAAAAGAAAAAATAATATAAATCTTAGAAAGATTTTTACCTCCCAAAGCATTTTATTTTAAAAATCCGATTTAAATTTTAAAAAATCCGATTAAAAAAAATCCGATTTTTATGAAAATAAATAAATAAATCCGATTTTTTAAAAAATAAAAAGAAAGCATTGATTTTTATCCACCCTGATAATACATTTTTATTTGCTGCAAGTCACTTAGAGACCTTCAGGTGACAAGCGACTAATAATAATAATAATAATACCCGAAAAATAAAAGTCACCGGGAAAAGAGCGAACGGGGACTCGAACTCGTAGCCCTAAAAAGGAATCATGACGCTTCCTCCACCGGCCCCTCCCTTCCACCGCAAAAGCCACTTTCTGGATTGGCCTGTTGTCATGGGGACGTCAAAGTAAAGCAGCCAATCTGCGTTACCGCGCCTGCCCCGCCCTCAGTGGGCGGAGCGGCAAGGGAGAACCGCCGCGACGAAATCAAAAGGCTCGCCTTCCCCCGCCCGGGTTTTTTCCCTCCCCCCCCCCCGCCCTCTACTCCTCCTCCTTGGGAGGTGCTCCGGCCAGACGTACGCACGCGCAGAGGCCGACATGCGCAGGAGCAGCGGGGTGCATGCGTGAAGGGCCGGCCCACCGTTTCCCTCCTCTCCCAGCAGCCAGCGCGCGCACATACCCGCATGCGCACCGCCTCCCGGCTGGCCCGCCTCCGCCTGAGGAGGCCCATCGACGCTGTGTTCCGGCGAGAAGGACGCACGCATACGCAGGAGCAGCCCTTTCCTTTCCTCTCGCCCATCAGCCGGGCGATCCAGTACGCACGCGCGCGCATGCGCAACGCCTACCGGCTGGCCGGCCTCCGCCTGAGGAGGCGCTCCGACGCCGCTCCGGAGGCGAAGCTGAGGCGACGACGGGCAGGAGGAGCCGCCTCCCCCGGGCAAGCCCTCCGCGGGCGCTGCCATGCTCCTTCCGCCGCAGCTGGGAGGCCGGGCCTGAGGAGCCGCAGCCGAGCCGCCCTCGGTGAGCAGGCCCTCCGCCGCCGCCGCCTCCATGGCCCAGGCCGAGAAGATGGAGCTGGACCTGGAGCTGCCGCCGGCCGGGAGCGAGGGGGGCGGCCTGAGGCGCTCCAACAGCGCCCCGCTCATCCACGGGCTCAGGTGAGGCACGGGCCCTCCGTCGCGCGCGGGACCGGTGGTCGGGGATGGAGGGATGGGCCATGGCTGGGTGAGGGGAGGGCAGGGCACCTCCTCCTCTTGGGCCTGGCCTTTGGCCACAGGAGGAATAATAATAATAATAATAATAATAATAATAAATATTATTTGTATCTCGTCCTCCCTGGCGGAGGCCAGGCTCGGGGCGGCTAACATAGTAAAAACAACGCAGTATGCATAAAAACAGACTAAGGTTAATTAAAATTGATCTTAAAATTAATTCAGACAAGTTATAACCTGGGCTGGTGGCAATTATCAGGTTGGAATTAAGAGAGGTTAACACTTGCTAGGACCAACTGTTTCCACTGTTTAAAATAATGGTTATTATTTTAAAAAGGGCATTGGGGTCAGGAAGGGCAGAAAGGGGGCATCACCCCCGGAAGTAGCACTGCCCCTTGGCCCTCCAGCTGCTTTGGGACTACAATGTCCATCATCCCTGACCACTGGTCCTGTTAGCTAGGAGTGATGGGAGTTGTAGTCCCAAAAGAGCTGGAGGGCCAGGTTGTGCCATGCCTGCTTGAAATGAATGGGCGTACTCGAGACTCGAAGAGACCAAGATCCATCATGCGCAACGAAGCCGAACTTAGGGTCGACGTGGGAATTATGAGACGTATAGGATGCCCAACTACCACGCTTACAGTCCCAGAGCAGAAATGTGAATATTGTTTATAGGCACCTTGCCTGTATATATATGTGCAACGGAAGGCTTAAAAGCAGTTCTTGCGCCAGGTGAGCTGGGGGTTCCCCTGGAGGAAAAGCAGTGTGGATTTGATTTAAATCACTAGTCAGTAAGGCTTGATTTAAATCCATTTTTTTACAGAAAGTTTTAACCTTGCTGGCATCCTCTTCGTATTGACAACCAGAGGAAGATTGCATTTTTGGAAGAATAAATTTTCAGAGTTGTTTTTACAGTGACATCAGAAATGACCGATTTGGTTATATTATTAGAAATACATAGACAGAAAATGATGAAATTATTTTTATTTGGACACTGTACTTGATTGGAAGGAGAAAAATCATTTCCTTCATAACCATTTCAACCATGTATTCCACTATAACAATAACATGATAGCATATGGATCCATGTTTGTGAACTGACGTGGTTAAACAATTTTTTTTAGTCAGAGTTTTAGCACACATGAGAAACTTTAAACAAATCCTTATTTCCTGATGAATAGCCTTTGGAATAGAATGTCACATAAATAGAAAACTATCTTTAGAAAGATTTTCCCTCCAGAAGCATTTTATTTTAAAAATCCGATTATTTTTTTAAAAAGTGATTTAAATAAAAAAAATCTAATTTTTTATTTTTGTTCTTTTACATCAGTGATGACCCAACTTGGCCCTTCAGCTTTTTTGGGCTACAACTCCCATCATCCCTAGCTAACAGGACCAGTGGTCAAGGATGATGGAAATTGTAGTCCCAAAACAGTTGGAGGGCCAGGTTTGGCCATCACTGCTTTAAATCATTGATTTTAATCTACCCTGATATAATATGTGTGTGTATATATATATATATATATATATATATATATGTGTGTGTGTGTGTGTGTGTGTAAAAATAATATTTTTCATTCCATAAGACACGCCTAGTTTTTAGAAGAGGAAAACAAGAAATAATATATTCTGAATCAAATGTTGTACTAAACTACAGTGGTACCTCTGGTTAAGAACTTAATTTGTTCCAGAGGTCTGTTTTTAACCTAAAACTGTTCTTAACCTGAGGTACCACTTTAGCTAATGAGGCCTCCCGCTGCTGCTGCGCCACCGGAGCACAATTTCTCTTCTCATCCTGAAGCAAAATTCTTAACCTGAGGTACTATTTCTGGGTTCGTGGAGTATGTAATCTGAAGCGTCTGTAACCTGAAGCATCTGTAACCCAAGGTACCACTGTATATGAGCTTTCCACATTGAGTCCCTTAGATCTAAGGACTGTATGGTTTGGCCCTACACAATTATTTTAATAAAGCCAAAAGAAGTGGGACTTCTTGTTCATTGCAGAGAGCTCTGGGGGCTTTCATATGAGGGAGGAATCTGATTCAATTCCCATTTAAAGTCACACCTTCGTACACAACACAAGGACCAAACCACAGCTGCCCTTCAAATTTCACACTTCTGCAAAGGAAGGTACTATTGTCCCAGCAAGACCAGTGGCGGAGGGAGGGTCTTGTGTGGTGGCACGTCGCCTGCGGGGACGTGGGATGTCGCCCATGCGATCGTTGTCCCAAGGGGGTGGCATGTGTGCGCGCGTGCCCATCCCAATGGGGCGGCCAAGCACAGGGGCAGACATATTACACGGCTCCCGCTGTGTTTGCTTTGCACCCGTCATCATCCATGACCTCTTGTCCTGTTAGTTAGGGATGATAGGATTTGTAGTCCCAAAACAGCTTTAGGGCCAAGTTTGGCCATGCCTGCTTTTAAAGCATACAGTTAAAGCACAAATACAGTGGTACCTCTGTTTACAATTCGTTCCAGAGGTCTGTTCTTAACCTGAAACTGTTCTTAACCTGAGGTACCACTTTAGCTAATGGGGACTCCTGCTGCCGCCGCATGATTTCTGTTCTCATCCTGAAGCAAAGTTCTTAACCCGAGGTACTATTTCTGGGTTAGCAGAGTCTGTAACCTGAAGCGTCTGTAGCCAGAAGCATCTGTAACCCAAGGTACCACTGTAAAGGATCTGGAGAGGACATTGGAATGTTGTTCTACTTTACGCTACCTAAGGTCACAGGGAACTGGTATCCTATAGACCAGTGATGGCCAAACTTGGCCCTCCAGCTGTTTTGGGACTACAACTCCCATCATCCCTAGCTAACATGACCAGTGGTCAGGGATGATGGGCATTGTAGTCCCAAAACAGCTGGAGTGCCGAGTTTGGCTACCACAGCTATAGACGTCTGTTACAAAGGGCAATTAACCTGTATATCAGTGGGGCTTCTGTTGTTTTGTTGGTATCCGTCTGTCTTGGGAGAGAATGGAGGATTGCACCTGTGGAATGGCCTTCATAGTAGTTTCAGACGGACGGCTTCTTGTCTCACAGCTCATACTCTTAGCCAACATACTGCTATTCCATTAGTAATTAATAATACTAACAATTTATTATTTATACACCCCATGCCCCCCAATCTGGCTGGGTTTCCCCAGCCTCTCTGGGTGGCTTCCAACCGAATATTAAAAACACAAGACAGCATCAAACATTGAGAAACTTCCCTAAACAGGGCTGCCTTCAGATATCTTTTAAAAGTCAGATAGTTGCTTATTGCCTTGATATCAGCTGGGAGGGCGTTCCACAAGGCAGACGCCACAACCCAGAAGGCCCTTTGCCTGGTTCCCTGTAACCTCGCTTCTCGCAGGGAGGGAACCGACAGAAGGCCCTTGGCGCTGGACCTCAGTGTCCGGGCCGAATGGTGGGGGTGGAGACGCTCCTTCAGGTGTACAAGATGGGGCTTTCAAGGTAGGCACCAACCCTTTGAATTGTCCTCGGAAATGTACTGGGAGCCAATGCAGGTCTCTCAGGACCATTGTTCTGTGATCTTGGTGGCCACTCCCAGTCCCCAGTCTGGCTGCCGCATTCTGGATTAATTGCAGTTTCCAAGTCACCTTCAAAGGCAGCCCCACGTAGAGCGCATGGCAGTAGTTCATTTCCTAAGTTAGATGGGTTCCACACAAAGTTTCTTCAGTCCCTATTACAGGTCCCAAACTGTGTACCAAATTCAATTCTTGGAAACATGTGAATGCCCACTCTCCACTAAAGTATGGTGGATTGCCCTGAGATACAGGTGCAAAATCTCAGTACTTGGCCTGGGGGAGGGATTACTTCTACATTTAACCAACAAGGAGTTTATCAGCCCATGGCTGAAAACTATGGCCAGAAAATCCAGAAAAGCCCTTGAATCCCTGAGGCAAAGATTTTGGGACATTTCACATAGCGACCTGCAATCCCGATCTTATGTAATTTGTAGCCCGGTCGCAGCTGGAATCCAATACAGGTACGACTTTCAGATATCCTCATATCTTAGGAACCTGTCCGTACCAACATATTAGTGTTTATTTACCAAGCCAGACTAAATGTATTTCCGTCGGAAGTGCTGAATGGTAGACTGAGAGGCATCCCTTATCAGAACTGGCTTTGTTTATGTTCTCAGGACATTGATTGCATGAAGCATATTTTACTGTGATGTGGGCAGTAGAAGCAAGCAAGGGACCAACTGATCAAACACCTTCTGGCAAATCTGCCGGGAAAATCTGAAGCGTCCCATATTAAACATCTTTTGGAGGACAGGTCCAATGATATTGCACTGGCTGTGGCAAAGTTTCTTTCGGAAGTTAAAAGAAACAAAGATCTTCATGCTTAAAAGATCTTCATAACAAAACGACCGCTTCGGTTTCTCTTTCTTTTGTGGTTGGCTGTCATAACTGTATTTTGTCCTGAAATTGTTCAATGGGTCTTTGGACCACAATAAAGGTTGATGATGATGATGATGATGATGATGCAGGGCAACAGTGTGGTCAGGATTCAGAGTGCCACAGGTGATATTGTGCTAGCTGTGCGTGGGAGCTACGTATTTATATAGAGCCAGCAATATACATGGCACATTTCTGAACAAACCAAGCAGCCTCTTCCAAAGTTGATAGTCTACATTCAGATGGGAGAGAAAAGTGTGGGAAGGGAAGGATAGTCACCTGCATAACGTAATAGACGCTTTCGCTTCTTTCAGTGATAATTCCCAGGTCTTCCAGCCACACGTCTTGCGCACCCGCCGGAACAGCACAACGGTCGTGAACCGGCACAGCATGGTAAGCACTGGGGAGATCCAAAGAGCTTTCGAACCCCAGCGGTTTGTGGAAGATGGAGGCTGTGCGGGAGACTGACTGACAGGCGGCGGAGGCCCTGTTGCATTTTGATCAAAGCTGAATTGGTTGCTGGAGGGCCGAGTTTGCCTATGCCTGCTTTAATGCTACTGTTAACTCCAGATAATAAAGGTAAAGGTAAAGGTACCCCTGCCCGTACGGGCCAGTCGTGACCGACTCTGGGGTTGCATGCCCATCTCGCTTAAGAGGCCGGGGGCCAGTGCTGTCCAAGGACACCTCCGGGTCACGTGGCCAGTGTGACAAAGCTGCTCTGGCGAGCCAGCACCAGCGCAGCACATGGAAACGCCATTTACCTTCCCGCTAGAAAGCGGTACCTGTTTATCTACTCGCACTTAAGGGTGCTTTCGAACTGCTAGGTGGGCAGGAGCTGGGACCGAACGACGGGAGCTCACCCCACCGCGGGGATTCGAACCGCCGACCATACGATCGGCAAGTCCTAGGCACTGAGGTTTTACCCACAGCGCCACCCGCGTCCCAACTCCAAATAATAAACCAGAATAAACCAGATTTCCATGTCACAGTTGACGTGTGTGCTGTACTATCCAATCCAAACCATTTAAACCTGGCCCTCCAGATGTTTTTGGAACTACAACGCCCATCAGCCCTAGCTAACAGGACCAGTGGTCAGGGATGATGGGAATTGTAGTCCCCAAACAGTTGGAGGGCCGGGTTTGGCGATGCTTGCTCTAATATGACTCTCCTACCAAGGAGTTAACACTCTTGTGTCCAGATTGTGCTCTGGAGCATGCATATATATATATATATATATATATATATACACACACACACACACACACACACACACAACATAAACATATTTATATGTGTGTGTGCGCGCAAGTTCTCTCTGGTGTCTCTTAATGAGCTGTATATGTCTGTATATAATACAGTGTTGTGGGGCATTCTTCCTGACTATATTACGTGGAAATTCATTAAATTCCTCTGGGTTGACTCTCCTCTTTACTTCTTGGGTACGCAGGCTACTTTTCTGATCCAGACATTGTTTTTTTACAATCGCTGCCGTTTGCACGTCTCAGTTTCCCACCAGGGCAGAACTCCAACTCGAGGCCAGGCTTCCCATCGCGCCCGACGTAATCACACAAATAGAAACTGCAAATAGAAATATGCCCTGCCAGCCCACTGAGAAACTCTGCTCTGGAGCGTAGCTATTCATGACATATCTCAGGATTGAAGTTGTTGAGATTTTTTTATGGTTTTGCCCCAAAGCTGTTGAGCTTCTTTTAGGATTTTAAGGATTTTATCCCAAAGTTGTAGAGGTTTTTTTAGGCTTGATGCTGCTGAGTGCTGAGCTTTTCTTACATTTTTGCCCCAAAGCTGTTGAGCTTCTTTTAGGATTCAAGTTGTTGAGCTTTTTTTAGGGTTGGAATTGTTGAGCATGCAGTAAACTTTATTTCCTCTTTCCATAACTTTTTGCAAGATGAGAAACTTGCAATTTTCTGTCTTGCAAAGAGGCAAGCTGATAACATTTTCAATGGCAGGGATTAATTCAGCTAATTTTGCCCCGAGATTGAATTAGCTTTAGTATCAGTCTCTGCATGGTAGGCTAAAGTGTCACTCATCTCCACCAGATGAACAGCAAAGATGAGAAAAATAAGTTTTGCACCTGAAATTTCACATATAAATAATGCTTCAACTCTTCTTAGCCACCAATGAAGGTGTTTTCAGGTTCTATTGTTGTTAAAATATTCAGAGTAATATTACCTTCCTTTGCAACAGATTTATATGATGGAGTTTGACTGCGTCTGCATGAGAGAAACTGTCATTCCTCTTTCCTTTTAAGAAGAATGAATATTCTTTCAATGCTATAAAAATAAGGAGTTTTCAGGGCCACCTGCCTTGGAGTAGAGGCTGAGTGGTAGTATATTTCTCCTACATTAAAATGGGTGGAATGCATATCTACCATAATCCATAGTTCTTGGGAGGTTACAGCTGTGGAAATATTAGTGTTCTTCAGGGTGGATTTGATTTAAATCACGATTTAAACCACTAGTAAGACTTGATTTAAATCTTTTTTTTTTTACAGAAAGGTTTAATCTTGCTGGCATCCTCTTCATATCGAGAACCAGAGGAAGGTTTCCTTTTTGGAATCTTAAATTTTCAGTCATTTTTACAGTCACATCAGAAATGACTGATTGGTTCTACTATCAGAAATAAACAGATCATTGTTTCTGTTTGGACAACTTTTCTGCTGTACTTGATTGGAAGGAGAAAAATAATCATTTCCTTCATAACAATTTAAACCATTTATTTTACTAAAACAATAACATAGTTTATGGATCCATGTTTGTTAACTGATGTGGTTAAACTATTAGAAATACATTGAAAGAGAATTATGAAATTATGGTGAGGTTTAATAAGTTAACTGTTTATATTTGGACAACATTTCTGCTGTACTTGATTAGAAGGAGAAAAATAATCATTTCCTTCATATTTCACTAAAACAAGAACATGATAGCATATGGACCCATGCTTGTAAACCATGCTTGTGGTTAAATTAATTTTTTTAATATTAAAAAAACTTCGAGTTTTAGCACACATGAAAAACTTTAAATCAGGGGTCAGCAAACTTTTTCAGGAGGGGGCCAGTCCACTCTCCCTCAGACCTTGTTGGGGGCCGGACCCACCGCCTCCCAAAAGCACCCCCCTCCGGAATAACCCCCCCTTATGCCACTCACGCCACAGCCACTGGCGCTGCCCCATCTTCGGCAGCGTCGGCATCCCCTGTCTTGGCGGAGTACAGAGGCCATGCCGCTGGCCTGGTGGCGGAGGCAGCCTCCACGCTGCTGCCGCTTCCTTCCCACTCGACCGCTTCCTCCTGCTCAAGGGGCGTCGCGGAAGTCAGTTTCCGCGTGGTGAGGCCTCTGCACCGCGCCTGTTTAGCGCGGGGACTGACCAGGTGGGCGGTAGGGTCCTGCAAGGTTCGTGGGCCGGATTAATGAGCCCAGTGGGCCATATCCAGCCCGCGGGCCTTAGTTTGACAACCTCTGCTTTAAACGAATCCTTCTTTCCTGATGAACAGCCTTTGGACTAGAATGTCACTTAAATAGAAAACTATCTTTAGAAAGACTTTTCCTCCAAAAGCGTTTTATTTTCAAAATCCGATTTACCGAAATTTTCTGGGTATAAGATGCCCCCATGTCTAAGACCCCATGGGGGACTCCAAATTAAGAAAACACCCCTCAGCACTACCCATGTATAAGATGAGCCCCAATTTTAAACCTATTTTGGGGGTAAAAACCCCCCAAAAGACACTGAAAAATACGGTAAATTTAAAAAAAATCCAATTTTAAATTTAAAAATCTGGTGTTTTTTGTGTGTTGTTTTTTAAATATAGTTGATTTTTATCCACCCTGGTGTTATTACTATACAAGTTCTGTGGGCAGTTATTATTAACGGCTCATCTTTCCGTCTTTACAAAGTGGCATGCCAGGTTCTTGATTGAGTGTCGGTTTTCAGCCCAACCAAAGAAAGGTAACATCTGAAAGGTCTGTGCCTTCTTCCTTCTCTCCTGCAGCTGATCTCTTCCTCTACAATTCGTATCCCCAGCAGCCGACTCCATCAGATCAGAAGGGTAAGCAACATTTCACTTTTATGGGCACTGTCATTAAAGTACAAACATATATAAAAGTTCTTTGGAATTGGTCTCTCAATAATATCTCGGTTCTTTGAAGAAAACAGTTGTCTTGTGTCCTCCACTCCCAAAACCAAGCTCTATTTTTTTGCCTTCCTAAAAGGAAAAAAACTCTGGGTTTCTTAGCTAAATTTTTCTAGCTTCCACATATGGTTGTTAGAATTGGGGTCTCCATGACCCTATTCCACCTCTCCCTAATTTTCAGAAGCGCAGATTTTTCCGTGTATAAGACTAGGGTTTCCCCTGAAAAGATAATGTTCAGAATTTGGGGGGCGTCTTATACTTGGGGGCGTCTTATAGATGGAAAAATACGGCAGTTAAATGCAACTTAAGAGCAAGTTCTTGTTTGCAGGTCTGGGGTCCCACAGTGTGCATTTAACCCAGGCATAGGCAAACTCTGCCCTCCGGATGTTTTGGGACTACAATTCCCATCTGTAACAACCTTTCATGTGGATGGTTTGGACTTTATGAACAGACAGGTGGAATAGACACCGTTACACGTACGGGCTGGATTGAGAAGGCCAATGGGCCGGATTTGGCCAGCGGGCCTTAGTTTGCCTACCAATGATATAGGATATATTAGATTCTGCTGATATAGGACAGGCCTAGGCCAACTCGGCCCTTCAGATGTTTTGGGACTACAACGCCCATCCTCCCTGACTGCTGGTCCTGTTAGCTAGGGATGATGGGAGTTGTAGTCCCGAAACAGCTGGAGGGCTGAGTTTGGATGTGCCTGATTTAACCTTTGGCCATTGCTAATTGGAATCCTCCTACCCTACTTGCATTCTAGAAGCTGAGCTATATCATCATCATCATCATACTCTTTTTTAGAACCCAGTATAATGGTCTCTATATAATCTTGGACTGGAGCTTTTGTTGGGAGTGTTGTTGCTGTTAATATTTTGTACTGTATCTTTATTTGGAATCTTACATTTTACATGGAAATTGTTCTATTTGGTTGTGTACTATTGGATGTTTTCTTTATTGTATGTGACTACTTTTCTTTGTAGTTACGTATTTTTTATAGTATGTTGTAAGCCTTGAGCATGACTTTAACTTTGGAAACTCAATAAGCACATGAGATGTAACCGGCTGTGTTCTTAGATAAATAAGGTATACTATTCATAGAATCAAATTGTAAATTTCAACAGAAGTAACTCATAAAATTCAACAAACGAACAAAGCAGAAGACCCAGTGGATCAGATCATTCTATAGTCAGTTCATGCATAAGGTCCATTCGTGTAATGATATTGTATATATTTGCATTACTTAGAGCTTTAACTACTGATGAAGCCCAGGACGGCGAAACAAGGCCAATATTCCGGAAATCCTTGTCTTAGACTCTGTGAAAGGATTTTATGGAACTGTAACAACCTTTCATGTGGATGGTTTGGACTTTATGAACAGACAGGTGGAATAGACACCATTACACGTACAAAACCCACACATATGTACATTAGTGACAGAGGTGACCTCTGCTCTTTTTAAGCAGCATTTGAACACAGTTTGGCATGGAGTCTACTAGTTTCGAACAGTCCCTGTAGATCAGGGGTCAGCAAACTTTTTCAGCACGGGGCTGGTCCACTGTCACTCACACCTTGTGGGGGGCCAGACTATATTTTGAAGAAATAAAAATGAACGAATTCCTATGCCCCACAAATATCCCAGAGATGCATTTTAAATAAATGGACACATTCTACTCATGTCAAAACACCAGGCAGGCCCAACATATAACCCAGAGATGCATTTTAAATAAATGGACACATTCTACTCATGTCAAAACACCAGGCAGGCCCCACAAATAACCCAGAGATGCACTTTAAATAAATGGACACATTCTTTTTTTTTTTTAAATCATATTTATTAAAGTTTCCAAAAATATAAAAATACAAAGAAAAAAGACAAAAGAAAAAAGATATTTAAAAACCTTACTTTCATTCCCTACTTTCTGGGACTCCCCCCCCCCCAATTGTATTCCCCTTTCCTTAATTTGGTTCTACAAGCTCTCACTCCCAATTTAAAGCTTAATTTGTTTAACCCACTATCCAGATTGAATTGTACAAATCTTACCACCGTCCCACATCATTAACAGAAAAAGAAAAAGATTTTCCCCAAGATCCACCCCAGTTCCTTCCACAAATTCCCTTTTTTAAACACGTCCGATCATAGTAAAATAACATGCGTAAGTTATGTAAAGAAATAGAAAATAAGAGATATAGAAAAATTCAAAAATAGTTACACAGCCTTTGGATTTCAAATCTCCCCCCCCCCCTTCCCCGGTTCGAATTCCCCATGTCCATCAGTCTATACGTTATCAGCTTGGAAGTCTCATTTCATGACCAGGTTTCTCCCCGATTCCATCTTGCCGGTTTTCTTTTAGTTTATTAATTTAAATAATATTTGACTTCAAATGTCCAATCTAACAAAGGCCTTTAATTTCCTTGATCTTTACCACTCCTCCCGTTGTTCTTTCCGTGTCGTAATCAGTCCTTTATTCTTCTTATTCCTCACTTTCTCAGGTTTCTTGTCCTGTTCAGCTGCTAAAACTTTCTAATTCAGAAATCTAGTGTCTCTGCAGAGGTTTGTTATTCAGGAACAAAAACTTACGTCCAGTCCCTTTCTTTCTTCAATAAAAGATTCCATTGTCTTCCTCTGTAGACAAAATATTCTTTCAGTTTTGCAGCTTTCCCAGAAGATAACAAATCCTGTGCGAATCCCAGGGTATTTTTCCACTTACGACCGTTCTTGTAGTATCCCGAAACCCCTCTAGGGGTTTGTAATAACTTTGTATCCTCTAATCCAAAAGTCAAATTGTTGCTTATTTTCCAACAGTTTATATCCATATTATAGCAAATTGTAACAAAATTAACCAGCAAGGTCCTCGTAAAGTCCTCTTTATATTCTCCAGCTTTGACAGCCACTTTGACAGCTGTCAAAGTCTCCGTCTCTCTTCACCAAGCTCCACGAATCGCCCCGGTTCCCAGGGGGGGGGTTGCATTTTTCTTCTCACCCTCCACTCTTCTCCTCCAGCACATTTCTTATAATTTCCCATCGTGAAATTAATGATTTTTATCAAAGACATACTTCCCTTTGGACCTTGGTTACCCAGTCCTTGTTTTGGAATGTTTACAATAGGGGGATTGACTTCCTTTTAAATCGCCCCGCTCGTGCCAAATCCAAAATTTTGAACCCGGTTTCCCAATTACTCACGGGTTGTTGTTAATAGTCCAAATTTTCAATAGAAGAAGTCAGCGCTCTCCGCCGAATGGCATGCGGCTGCGCTCGGCAGGGAAAGCAGTGGACTCAAGCACCACGCCACTCCCGGCACCCGATCCGAAGCCTTTAAAAGGCTCCTTCACGAGTCGGGAGGGCGCTAATGGTGCAAGCCGAGTCACCCATGTCCACGGACTCCGTGCCCGTGGTTTTTAAGGGTCCCCGCGTCGCCGGCGCGGTAGGACCCAGCCCCTGCCGAGCAGACTCCCTCCCGAGCTCGGAGGGAGTCCGCCATTCGGCGATGGCGCTAACCCGGAAGTCCCATAAATGGACACATTCTACTCATGTCAAAATATGCTGATTCCAGGACCATCTCCGGGCTGGATTGAGAAGGCCAATGGGCCGGATTTGGCCAGCGGGCCTTAGTTTGCCTACCCATGATATAGGATATATTAGATTCTGCTGATATAGGACAGGCCTAGGCCAACTCGGCCCTTCAGATGTTTTGGGACTACAACGCCCATCCTCCCTGACCACTGGTCCTGTTAGCTAGGGATGATGGGAGTTGTAGTCCCAAAACAGCTGGAGGGCTGAGTTGGCCGGTGCCTGATATAGGATATGTGGTTGATATAGGAAATGATAATTTTGCGGAGCAGGAAGTCATTGAGAACTAAGCTGTGAATTCTTGTACTCCAGGAGGAAGGAGTGGATTTGATGAACAGAGAAGCAGCGCATGAAAGGTAGGCGCAACTGAACTGCTGTTTTTTTAAAAAGCAGATACTGTGTTCTCTTGTCGCCACTGATGAGCCTTTTTGTGTTTTAGGGAAGTCCAAACAGCAATGCAGATAAGCCAATCATGGGAAGAAAGCTTGAGCCTGGTAATCCTTTTACAGATGTTTAATATTTTAATTCCACTCCCTGACTTAACCAGTGAGCTCAGAGTGGGGGATGGAGTGATTGGCCGTTCTCTTTTTCATCGGGATCTTTATGGCGCAGCCTCTAGGGCCGCTGCGTCCCGTGAGGCTGTCAACATGACCCTTTTGTGTTCTCAGAGTGACAATGACTTGGACAAATCGGAAAAATCCTCGTCTCCAAAGAGGATAGACTTCATTCCCGTCTCTCCGGCACCTTCGCCTACGAGGGGGATTGGAAAGGTATGCCAGAGAGCTTCCTCGGTTTGGGAGTTGCAAGGGAAGCGGCAGTGTGGGAAGACTACAGGAACTAAATGATATACAGTAGTACCTTGGGTTACAAACACTTCGGGTTACAGACTCCGCTAACCCAGAAATAGTACCTCGCGTTAAGAACTTTGCTTCAGGATGAGAACAGAAATCATGCGGCACCAGCGAGAGGTCCCATTAGCTAAAGTGGTGCTTCAGGTTAAGAACGGACCTCCAGAACGAATTAAGTTCTTAACCAGAGGTACCACTTTATAGCGGGGCCTCAGATCTTTTGGACCGATAAGCTCATTAATAATCTTCAGAGAGGGCTGTGGGTACCAAGCCTTCTTGTTGCTTCTGTCCAGAAATGGAGAGATAAATATCCTTTACTTTCCCAGTAGTCAAGTTAAAAACAAAAACACCATCGCATTAAAGCTTGCCTTGGTAAAAACCGTAGATTCCCTGCTCACTAACACCACAAAACCTTTGATCCAAAGCATGCAACCGAATGCTGAATGCTCAGATGCTACATGGGCAGCTGAATTAAGATTTCCAGTGGTTTGGAGCCGGATTTAATGTCAAAGTAATTTGTGCCGGAAGGAGTACCATGTAGCGTCATTTCAGCTTCCTTCACTAGCAGGGGTGGAATAGTGAAATCCTGAGCACTAATTTTGAGAACCTGCTAGAGTATCACAGTGGTTTCTGATGACAGCACTTTTTAAGTGAGAAAAAAGCATCCGATGTTTGCAATATGTTTATAAAACTTTTTTTAATATCATAATTTTTATTAATTTTTTGCAAACGTTTTAAACATAACATGCAATTTATATATAATATAGAAAGCATTTGGCTACAACAGCCTGAGACTTCCCTCCTCCTTGACTCATTGTTTCCCCACTTATTATCTAATACTGCATTTTGGAATTGTAATTATTACCGTGTTTTTCCGTGTATAAGACTAGGTTTTCCCCCTAAAAAAATAATTTGGGGCGTCTTATACACGTATACGTCTCGCCGCCATTTTCTTAAATCGGAGTCCTCAAAAATAGGGGGTGTCCTATTCATGGGGGTGTCTTATAGGCAGAAAAATATGGCACTATTAAATCTTAATCGTAAATCAACCATTTTTAAATTACCGTATTTTTCTGTCTATAAGATGCCCCCTATTTTTAGGAACCCTGATTTATGAAAGGGGGGGGAGATGGCCTGTGTGTATAAGATGCCCCTCAGTTTTGGACATTATTTTTCAGGGGGAAACCCTAGTCTTATAGACAAAAAAATACAGTGGTACCTCTGGATGCGAACGGGATCCGTTCCAGAGCCCCCTTTGCATCGTGAGCAGAACACAACCCGCATCTGCAAGTGTGCGGGTTGCGATTTGCCACATTAGCGCATGCGTGTGACGTCATTCTGAGCATATGTGCAAGCGGCGAAACCCAGAAGTAACCTGTTCCGTTACTTCCGGGTTGCCGCGGAACGCAGCCTGAAAAGATTTAACCCGAAGCGTCTTTAACCTGAGGTATGACTGTAGTAAGAAATCCTAATCGTAAATCAACCATTTTTAAATTATACTTTGAAATAATGGATAAAGTCCACCTTGTAAAACTTCTTGCAACCCTGCTAGCGAAGTTAGTTTTTTACAATTGTCTTTCAAGTATTCTGTAAGTTTATTCTAATATTTCAGGAAAGTCTGGTCTTGCTGGTACCGAGTTTTCCCTGCAAGTTTTGCCAGCTCACCATAGTCCATTAATTTCATCAGCCCCTCTTCTTTCATTGGCATCTCATGTGCTTCCATCTCTGGGCTAATAATATTCTTGCTGCAGTTTTTGCAGATAAAAAGTCTTTTATATTGCTTATGTATTTCATTACCCACAATTCCTAGTAAGAAGGCTTCCGGGTTTTGTTTTGTTTTTTTTAAAATAAATGTATGTTTCAACATTTTTTTAAACCACATACGGTTAAAAAGTAGCTTCCTTTTCTTTACGTTTCCAACGACGATTCATTGTTTTATACGTTTTTAGCTAATTTCACTGGTGTTTATATGTTGATAAGACTTCTTTAAAACATCGTTTCAGGTGCTTTTCAATGCTGTGCTTGTCTTTCCTAGCAATGCTTTTCTCCCTCCCTGCAAATGTTTGTGAGTAGTAATGGACTGCCTCCAAGCCCAATTCCCAGCCCCACAAGGAGATTTTCAAAGTAAGTCACTGTATCTGTGGAAGTGTTTCTTAATAATCAGTTTGACTTCTGTACTGTTAATTTATTCTGTACATGAACTATGCTTGTGAATGGAATATATCAGGGTGCATAAAAACATTGATTTTTTAAAAATATTTTTTTTAAAAAAATCGGGATTCTTTTTTTATTTAAATCAGATTTTTTTTAATTTTAATCAGATTTTTAAAATAAAATGCTTTTGGAGGAAAAATCTTTCAAAAGATAGTTTTCTATTTAAGTGACATTCGAGTCCAAAGGCTATTCATCTGGAAATCAGGATTTGTTTAAAGTTTTCCTTTTTAGAAAATAATAAATTTTCAGAGTAGTTTTTACAGTTTTATCAAAAATTACTGATTTGGTCCTACTCTTAGAAATACATTGATTGACAGATAATTATGAAATTTGTTTCATAAACAAATTATGACAATTTATTTTAAGTTTTCATTTTTGGAAAATAATAAATTCCCAGTTTTTACAGTTCTATCCAAAATGACTGATTTGGTTCTACTATTAAAAATACATTGATTGACAGATAATTATGAAATTATTGTGAGGTTTAATAAGTTAACTGTTTCTATAAGAATAATAACAATCTTTATTATGTTATGTGGTCCAACGACCCATAAAATGGATTCAAAATAAAATAGATTAATACAGACAACCCCCCAGAGAAGGGAGACCGAAGCGTTATTTGTTTAGTCATGGGTATGTTGATCTTTGATTTGTATGACTACTGAAAGAAACTTTGCCACGGCCACTGTGATATCATTGGACTTGTCGTCCAGAAGATATTTGATATAGTAGGCTTCAGATTGACCCAGCCGATTTGCCAATAGTGGTTTAATCTATAGTTCCCTAGCTTGATCAGCTGATGCTGATAAAACTGATGTATAGAACTGATAATTATTTATTAAAAAAATAAATCATTATCAGTTCTATACATCAGTTTTATCAGCATCAGCTAGCTACACTGGTTAGTGAGCTCTGATCTACAAGTATTATATTTACATGTATGGATATCCTAAAAAAAATACTTGGTACGTATTCCTTATTTATTGTTTATTTGTTACTTAATATGCAGGGGACGTGGGTGGCGCTGTGGGTAAAACCTCAGTGCCTAGGACTTGCCGATCATCAGGTCGGCGGTTCGAATCCCCGCGGCGGGGTGCGCTCCCCTTGCTCGGTCCCAGCGCCTGCCAACCTAGCAGTTCGAAAGCACCCCTGGGTGCAAGTAGATAAATAGGGACCGCTTACTAGCGGGAAGGTAAGCGGCGTTTCCGTGTGCTGCGCTGGCTCGCCAGATGCAGCTTGTCACGCTGGCCATGTGACCCGGAAGTGTCTGCGGACAGCGCTGGCCCCCAGCCTCTAGGGCACACAACCCTAGAGTCGGACACGACTGGCCCCTACGGGCAGGGGTACCTTTACCTTTTATGCAGGTTGCTTCAGCACTGTTTAAAATGTCAACTCATTACGTTGACTACTCTTTGGTGATGGACCAATATATCTATATATCAAATCTGGCAGCACAACGCAATTTGAAACTATAAAGTCACAGGCTGGTTACTTAAAGCCTATTTTTTAAATAAATTTCTTTCTTGTGGAAATTTCTCAGTTATCATTTAAACACGTTGTGTGTTGCATTCCTCATCTATGCAGATATAAATTGGCATTTCAGACGTTACATAACTTGTCATTATTTGTGTTTTATTTTCTGCAGATGATAGCATTTATTTTCAACTTTATATTGATGTTATTAGTGTTGCCCAGAAAATACTGCACCGTGTAGATTTGCTTATTAAAGAGCAGACTCATTTAACAGAGGTTCATTTGATAACCCGCTTGGGCACAGAGTCCATCTTCAGTGAAATTCCTCCGGGGGTTAAAAATATTATGGGGTTTTCTTTTCGGGATGAAATCTTGTGAAAGGCTACTCTTTGTAAGGATTGGGGGGGGAGGGTTTCCTATACAGCATTATAATCAGGGTGGACTTGATTTAAATCAAACCGATTTAACTCATGATTTAAATTCCTTGATTTGAACCACTAGTCAGGAAGGCTTGATTTAAATCTTTCTTTCTTTCTTTTTTTACAGAAAGGTTCAACCTTGCAGGCAACCTCTAAATATGGACAAGCAGAGGAAGGTTTCCTTTTGGGAATAATAAAATCCCTTTTTTTACAGAAAGGGTTAACCTTGCTGGCATCCTCTTCATATTGACAAACAGAGGAAGGTTTCCTTTTTGGAATCATAAATCTTCAGAGGACTTTTTACAGTTATATCAAAAATGACTGATTTAGTTACACCATTAGAAACAATTATGAAATTATGGTGAGGTTTAATAAGTTAACTCTTTCTATTTGGACAACTTTTCTGCAGTACTTTATTGGAAGGAGAAAAATAATCATTTCCTTCATAACAATTTAAACCATTTATTTCACTAAAGGAATAACATTATAGCACATGTATCCATGTTTGTTAACTGATGTGGTTAATTAATTTTTTTTAAACACACCTTAGACCAGCGAGGGCAAAGTTGGGCCACGCCTGATCTAGAACAGTGGTGGCTCAACTTGGCCCTCCAGCTGCCTTGGGACTACAATTCCCATCATCCCTGACCACTGGTCCTGTGAGCTAGGGATGATGGGAGTTGTAGTTCCCAAACAGCTGGCGGGCCAAATTTGGCCATGCCTGCCTTAGACTGAGTTTTAGCACTTAAAAAAAATCCTTGTTTCCTTGATGAATAGCCTTTATGCTATAATGTAACCGAAATAGAAAACTATCTTTAGAAAGATTTTTCCTTCAAAAGCATTTTATTTTAAAAATCCGATTTAAATAAATAAAAATCATTGATTTCTATCCACCCTGATTATAATCTTGAAAACACAATATAGTAGCTTTAAAGTCATTCACCTTGTCACCTCGGAAGTTTCCCCGTTCCTGGAGAGACCATAATCCGGCTTTGATTTTAGCAGGAGGAGCCAGAGTCCAATCAACTGCATCCGGCCCAGCGCTCTTGGTCCCATCAAAAGGAAAGGTAAGTGCAGAGGTGGAGGAAGGGGGGGCAGTGGAGGCAGGGCACCCCGGGTGTCACCACTGACGGGGTGGTGACAAATTGCTGGGCGGCCCTTGTTGTGGGGTCTGCGGCCCGCCCAAGCCGCACATCTCTCCTGCTCTAGATCAGGCATGGCCCAACTTGGCCCTCCAGTTGTTTTGGGACTGCAACTCCCATCATCCCTAGCTCACAGGACCAGTGGTCAGTCCCAAGACAGCTGGAGGGCCAAGTTGGCCAAGGCCTGCTCTTTTCTCTGCCAAGCTTGTGACTTCCCTCCATCCCTTCAGCTGGTTTTTTTTCTTTTCAGATCTTTGTATTGCCCTTTAAATTAGCATTTTCTGACCCTAATATCCTTGTAGCCAACTCTTATCTCTTTGGCCAGATTTTTTGCAGTACATTTTTAGAATAATTGTTCATATACCAAATAAATTTACTCCAGTCTCTTCAAAATTTTTGGTTGTCTTGGTTCCGGATTCTACCAGTCAGCGTGGCCAATTCTGCATAGTCCAGGCATGGCCAAACTCAGCCCTCCAGCTGTTTTGGGGACTACAACTCCCATTGTCCCTAGCTAACAGGCCCAGTGGTCAGGGATTATGGGAATTGTAGTCCCAAAACATCTGGAGGGCAGAGTTTGCCTATGCCTGGACTACAACTCCCATCATCCCTAGCTCTTAGGACTTGTGGTCAGGGATGATGGGAGTTGCAGTCCCCAAGCAGCTGGAGGGTTGAGTTTGGCCCCCTCTGGCTTAGTCCACCATCTTCATTCTGCCACTCCTCAATCGTTGGTAACTCTGGCAGTTTCCACCTCTTAGCTAATAAACCATCTGAAACAAATCTGCTTGATTTCAATAGGTGAAATGGAAACCGAAAGCCAGCCCAAGAGACTTTTCCAAGGAACCACCAACATGCTTTGTCCTGACGCGACACACCTTTCTGACCTCAGCTCATGGTAAAATTAATCTTAATAATACATATACTACTCATCAATGCCCAGAAATGGTTCGCTGTATCTTTTGATGCTCTAGCATTCCAAAATAGTTCCTACCCAGGGTGGATAAAAACCAATTATTTTTTTATTAAAAAGTTTTTTTTTAATTTGATTTTTTAAAAATTTAAATCAGATTTTTAAAATTTAATTTGGAATTTTAAAATAAAATGCTTTGGGGGGGTGGGAATCTTTCTAAAGATAGTTTTCTGTTCAAGTGACATATGTCCATGGATCAGGGTGGCTAAAAATCAAGGATTTTTTTAAAAATAATCGTATTCTTGAAAAAATTAAATCAGATTTTTTTTTCTTCAATTAGTTTTTTTTGATTTAAATCAGATTTTTAAAACAAAATGCTTTTGGAGGAAAAATCTTTCTAAAGATTTTTTATTTAAGTGGCTTTCTAGTCCACGCATAGGCAAACTCTGGCCTTCAGGATGGTTTGGGATTACAACTCCCATCATCCCTGACCACTAGTCCTGTTAGCTAGGGATGATGGGAGTTGTAGTCCCAAAACAACTGGAGGGCCGAGTTTGCCTATGCCTATTCTAGTCCAAAGGCTATTCATCAGGAAATAAGGATGTGGTTAAAGTTTTTCATGTGTGCTAAAAAATCACTCATTTTTTATATAACTGTAAAAAACTATTCTGAAAATTTATGATTTCAGAAAGGAAACCTTCCTCTGCTTGTCAGTATTAAGAGGATGGCAGCAAGGTTGAACCTTTCTATTAAAAAAAAATGACTTGAATCAAGCCTTACTGATGAGTGATTAAAATAAAGTCTGACTGATGAGGGATTTATATCTATTTGATTTGTATCAAATCCACCCTGCCACAAACACTCCCCCAGCCCGTAAACTGTAAAAGCTTCTCTGTAAATTGATGATTCCAAAAAGGAAACCTTCCTCCAATGGTCCATATTAAGAGAATGCCAGCATGACTGAACCTTTCTGTAAATAAAAAGGATTTTAAATCAAGCCTTACTGACGAGTGATTTGAATTGTGATTTCAACCGACTTGATAGCAATAAATGATAGTACCCAGTCCACCCGGGTGGGTACTGACCTGAAGAAGTGTGCAGATACATACCGTATTTTTTGCTTCATAAGACACTTTTTTCCTCCTAAAAAGTAAGGGGAAATGTCTGTGCGCCTTATGGAGCGAATACGTGGTCCCTGGAGCTGAATTGCCCAGGGTCAAAAAGCAGATCATGCTCCTTTTTTTGAAAGAGGGAAGTGGGTGTTGAAAGGAAGCAGCTGATTGGTAAGCGATCGGGGAAAGAGATAAGGGACGCGATAAAGGAGGCTGCCTGGGAGGGGGGATCCTCAGGATTTTTACATTGGGTCACCTCAAATTCACCATCAGATCACGTAACATGTCCATGGCTATAACCTGCACCAAAAAAATCACGCATCCACTTTTTTGTGGGGCCGCAATGGTGCAAAAACCTGATTACAAAGCACAGATCCACATGAATCCTCAGGATTTTTGCAATGAGCTACCCCAAACTCACCGTCAAATCCCGTCTGTGGCCATTGCATGAACCACAAAACTCATACATCCACTGTTTCGTTCAGAATTTTTTTTTTCTTGTTTTCCTCCTCTAAAAACTAGGTGTGACTTATGGTCAGGTGCGTCTTATGGAGCAAAAAATACGGTAACTTGGCCCTCCAGCTGTTTTGGGACTACAACACCCATAATCCCCAGCTCACAGGACCAGTGGTCAGGGATGATGGGAATTGTCCCAAACCAGCTGGAGGGCCAAGTTTGGTCACCGCTGCATGGCCCAACTTGGCCCTCCAGCTGTTTTGGGACTACAACCCACATCATCCCCACTTCACAGGAGCACTGGTGAGGGATGATGGGAATTGTAGTCCCAAACATAGGAGTTTGCCTATGCCTGCTCTAAGATGCTACTGGACCATTTTTTATTTTGTGCCCTGACTGAAGCTTGCGGTTTCCCCTCGTGTCCGCAGCCTGCCCTCAGATGCCCTCGACAGTTGCTCCAGCGGCGCCAGCCCCTCCACTGACTCACTGGCCAAAGGCGACGCCTCTGGTGCCGCAGCGGAATCGCCTGCCGCGCGATCCGAACCTGCTTCCCCATTCATCTTGATGGAAGACCTTTCCCCCAAGTGACTCGCCCTGCCGCCTGCCTGGATGTCCGCCTGTGCCATCCTTTTGCTATACCCGCCTACGGAGAAACCGGCGGCATAAAATCCCCAAGGGCATCCGGATTAGGAGTGCCGAGTGCGAAACACCCATGTCAACCCTCCTCGGCAACGTCTCCAGGCGATTTTAATCCTCCTTTTAATGGACGCGTCAGGCCCTGGCGCTGCCTGGTCTGCCGGTTTCCCTTTTAATTCTTTTGCCAACGTCTGCTCGGTTTTCCTTTTAACTACAAATTATTTTGCGAATGTATCCTTGGATCGGGACTTTCCTTTCAAAGAAATGACACCCACATTTCCTCCGAATTCCCGGAAAAGCATCCAATTTATATTCGCATTAAAATTGTCGGTGGGAAACCAGTCGCCGTCGCGATCCCTTGTTCCGAAGGTAAGAATGGAACTGAAATAAATGAGTTTATTCTAGGTCAGGCCTAGTCAAACTTGGCCTTCCAGCTGTTTGGGGAATACAATTCCCATCATCGCTGACCACTGGTCCTGTTACCTAGGGAGGATGGGTATTGTATTCCCCAAACAGCTGGAGGGCCAAGTTGGTGGCCCAACTTGGCCCCATCCGCTATTTTGGGACCACAGTTCCCATCACCCTGACCACTGGTCCCGTTAGCTAGGGATGATGGGTGTTGTAGGCCAAAACATCTGGAGGGCCAGAGTTTGCCTGTTTCTTGAGATGAATGCTGGTGGAAACTGAGAAGTACACTTAAGTATGGGAAATGTCATTTGGTTTGGGGTGCAAGAAATGATCTATTCCAGGCTTCCTCAACCTCAGCCCTCTAGATGTTTTGAGACTACAAATCCCATCTTCCCTGACCACTGGTCCTGCTAGCTAGGGATCATGGGAGTTGTAGGCCAAAAACATCTGGAGGGCCGAGGTTGAGGAAGTCTGATTTATTCCTCACAAGATCCAATTGGGCTTAATTTCCAAAAAAAGGAAAAAAAAGATGCAACCCATTTGTAATCTACTGTGTCACGCTATTTATTATTTATAATTCTGTAAAATAATAACAAAAGTCTGGTGATTTATTAGAGTATTTTTTTATGATTGAAGCCCTTTCCCCATGTCCTGCGAGCACTGGCTGGTCTGTATTGATAGGCAACTTTGTCCGCCGGATTTGTGCGATTTTGGTTCCAAATGTTTCTTGTCTTCCGGATTTGGAAAACTTTGATTTCCTTCCTTCCTTCCAAGAAATAGTGCGGAATTCGAAGCGTGATTGTGCTTGTCTGGCTCGGAAAAAGGGCGAAAAAAAGGACATTTGGCTTTCCCCTTCCTGGAATTTTCCTTTGGAAAGCGTTGGTTTGGAATCGGAGTTGGGCCTCTTGTTACCTGTATTCCGGTTTTTGCCTGGGAGAGAGAGAGTTTCCTTGCCTCCAATAAATGTGCATATTGTAAAATGTCACCCAGGGGTATCTTTATTTTTTTAAATGACTATTTTATCCACATGCACACAAAAACTTCGACCTAGAACAAACTTAGTTGGTCTTTAAGGGGCTACTGGACCGATTTTTTATATATATATTTCAATTTTATCCGCGTGCGAATTGTATTTGTGTAGATAAACTGTGCTGTTTTGGCTGGCCTCCCAGCTGCTGCTAAATAATAAAGAAATCTGATTTAAATCCAACAAATTCAATCTTTTATTATCATCATCATTATTTTTTAAAAATAATAATTTTATTTTATAATAATTATGATTATAAAATTAGTAATATATTATTAATTTAATATTAATGTTATTAATATAATTTATAATAATAATTTTATTTTAGAATTATTAAGCTTTCCCTGACATCTCCAGGGGGAAAGACACACGTGAAGCCCATGAGAACAGCTGCCAGTCAGTGTTGACAACACCAAGCTAAACGAAGGGCTGACTCATATCAAGAGGGTTTCCTATAGTCCCAGCAATACAAGACCTATTACACAGGATGTTATCTACAGCTTAGAAAATTTATATTATATAACAGCAATTTTCTAATTATTTCATTTTATTAATAATAATTTTAAAATACAAGTTATCAATCCGTGCACTTACTGGCTGCTGTTTGACCTGGTACTGGAACTTCAGAACCGTGGCAGTGAAGTTTTCAAACCTCAATTCAGGAAAGGCTCGATACCTTTGGATAGATCAGGCATAGGCAAACTCCAGCCCTCCAGATGTTTGGGACCACAATTCCCATCATCCCTAGCTAACAGGACCAGTGGTCAGGGATGAGGGGAATTGTAGACCCAAACATCTGGAGGGCTGGAGTTTGCCTATGCCTGGGATAGATCATTCTTGCTTAGCCTCGGTTCCTTGTTCTTTAAAATGGGAACATTTGAGGCTTATGTGGGCAATCCCAGGTAAGCTCAGAGCATTTGAAAGCACTGCATGACCACATGACAGGGTGGATAAAAATCAGTGATTTTTTTAAAAAAACAACCCCCAAATCAGATTTTTTTGGATTTAAATCAGATTTTTAAAATAAAATGCTTCCGGAGAGAAAATCTTTCTAAAGATGGTTTCCAATTTAAGTGACATTCTAGTCTAAGGGCAGCTGTGTCCAGCATTGCCAAAGGCTTCAAAATAATGTCCATGGATCAGAGTGGATAAAAATCAATATATATTTTTTTAAAAAAGATTATTAATTTTTAGAGCTACTTTTTACAATTTTACCCCAAAGTTGCTGAGCTTTTTTAAAGGATGTTTTTAGTGTGTTTCCCCACACTTTGTAACTCTCCCCACTGGCACCCACGCTTGAGAATACAGTAGTGATAGAATCAATGAATAGGTTTCCATTGGCAAACCCTCTTCTCAATTGGTAGACCAAGTTACAAGATGTAGTTGTCATGGGAAACGGAAGGAGCTATCCCCTACTACAGGCATGGCCCAACTTGGCCCTCCAGCTGTTACAGTTCTCATCAACCCTGATCACTGGTCCTGTTAACTAGGAATGATGGGCGTCGTAGTCCCAAAAGAGCTGGAGGGCCACGCCTGCGCCTGCTATGCATGACCTGCCCTGAAGTGCAGATACAGCAGTACCTCAGCTCACCTAACCCTCTGGTTGCATAAACTTCGGGATATGTAAGCGACAAACCTGGAAGTATTTTACCGGGTTTTGCCGCATGCACAGAAGCACTCTACTACGCCGCACACATGCGCAGAACAGGCACCTCCTGTTGCAAAAACCTCGGGATCCGGCCACTATAATGTATTAGTTTTAAAAAATAAAAAAATCTGTGTCGCCAATTTGGCAGTCAACAATTCATCTGGTGTAGTATGGTTGCAAAAGCTTGTCCTCTTTTCTCCTTTTCTAAAAAGGGCGTCAGGGGTCAGCAACTTTTTCCAGCCGTGAGCTGGTCCACTGTCCCTCAGACCTTGTGGGGGGCTGGGGTGGGGAATGAATGAATTCCTATGCCCCACAAATCACCCAGAGGTGCATTTTCAATAAAAGCACACATTCTACTCATGTCAAAACACGCTGATTCCCGGACTGTCCACAGGCTGGATCCTGAGGCAACTGGGCAGAGCCTTAGTTTGCCTACCCATGCTCTGGGCAAACACCCCCCCCCCCCGTTTTCCTAAACCGGAGTCTCCAAAAATAAACGGAAAAATACGTCAGCTTCCACCATCGGACAAGCGGCTTTCAATTCCGCCATCCAGGCGTTTTTATCTGTATTTAAATTTGCAATACTTACAGGCAAATGAACACTGCAGATAGAACTGCCGGCTCCTATGGCGATCAAACACTGAAGTTGACATGAATTTAAAAACATGCAATTTAAAAAGAAAGCACAAATGAGATTTTTGCACGGTAGACGTAGGTAGAAAAGCTTCTTTCGATTCCTTTTCCTTCAACCATTTCATCAGTCAAAAAGCACCTCCGAGCGCGTGAGTCTTTCCGGTGAAAACGGAGTTAAAACTTTGCTTTCAAAAAAAAGAAATAAAAAAAAAGAGAGCGATGCAAATCGCCAGATGATTTTTGCACCCAAATGGAGGTCAGAGGCCCACGTTCAGGATGCGGATTTAAAAGGCAGTAAAAAAATAGGAGGAAAAAGATGGACATCCAATTGTGTTATCGCTCATGTTCTCAGGATGACCATAGTGATGAGACCTGCAAGAATCAGAAGAAAAAAGCCAGTTATTTCGGCTTAACTTGAGAAATAACCCACACCAAGAGTTTTGTTAGGTGGGGCGCATGCGCATGAAAGCTTGTTCACTGGGAGCACGTTTGTGAATATTTGTGAAACGTGGTTTACATACACAACTTATCTTACATACACAACTCATCTCTCTACAAATGCCGAAATGTCAGAGAGCTCAAATTTACTTTCAGTTGCAATCAGTTAAATCACTAGTCAGTAAGACTTGATTTAAATCTTTCTTTTTTTCCCTTACAGAAAGGTTCGGCCTTGCTGGCATCCTCCTAATATTGACAAGCAGAGGAAGGTTTCCTTTTTGGAATCGTAAATTTTCAGAGTCGTTTTTACAGTTCTATCAAAAATGACTGATTTGGTTCTACTATAAGAAATACATTGACAGATAAGGATGAAATGATGGTGAGGTTTAATAAGTTGACTGTTTCCATTTGGACAGCTTTTCTGCTGTACTTGATTGGAAAGAGAAAAAGAATTGTAGTCTCAAAACATTTGGAGGACTGAGGTTGAGGAAGCCTGCTTTGGACTATAATGTAACCTAAACAGAAAACTATAGAAAGATTCTTCCTCCAAAAGCATTTTCTTTCCAAAATCCGATTTAAATAAAAAAATCCTATTTTAAAAAACTTGCTTTTAAAAAACATTGATCCACCCTGGTTGCAATTTGCTGACATGGCCCTCACGCAATGACTCGATTATAGGGTTGTTTTTTACGTTTCTTTACACATTTTCATTTTTACACTCTGCTCCAAATCCTATTTCGAAATGACGACAAAAAGATGCGTACCTAATACGTACCTAATACGTACGCCGCTACTAACTTTTGATTCACACTTAAGTGGAGGTAGAGAGGCACAAGGGAACCCCCTTCTCCCAGCGTGGGAAGCATGAGAGCCGCAATGCACACGATTCCGAGGAACACGGTGAGCAAACTCGGCCCCGATGAGGCAATTCTGTTTTCTGGGAAAAGGAAAAGGCATTTAACACTATGGAAAGGGGCAATTTCTTTCCTTTCCTTTCTCTCCCCCCCCCCCTTTATTGAATTTAGTAAATAACAAAACATTTTAAAAAAATCTTTATTATATTGCAAAGTAAATACATCAAAACAAAACCATACATAAAGAATAATATCAAATAAAACAGAAAGAAAAAATAAAGAAAAAGAAAAAATGCAAAGAAAAGTAGACAGAAAAGAAGAATAAAGTATCATATTTCATTACAATAAACACTGATTTACAAAATAATAATAGACTTCCATCACTCTCACAGCACTTCCTTTCACCTTTCATATTTTATCTGTATTTCAGTATCATTTTCATCTGAATATATAAATGTGTATATATGTATATTTCCCCTTTTCCATTCACCAGGTCATTCTAGACACAGCCAAATTTTTACATTTGAACCTTGTCTTTCTAAGTAGTCATTCAAGCAATTCCATTCCTCCTGGACTGTATTCATTGGCTTTAGTCTTATTATATCCGTCCATTTGGCCAGTTCCAAATATTTACATAATTTATATAGCCACTCCTCTTTGGTCAGTACCTGGTTACCCTTCCAGTACTTAGCCACTAGAATTCTTGCCGCTGATGTTGCATACAGAAAAAATTGAGTTTTTTCTTTTGGAATATCACTGTTCAATATTCCCAAAAGATATGTTTCTGGTCTTTTACTTTGTGAAGTTCTTAGTAACTTTTTTATTTATTCATGGATCATGTCCCAGAACTTTCTGATCTCTGAACATGTCTACCACATATGGTAGAAGGTTCCAATCTGCTTTGTGCATCTCCCAACACTTATTACTAAGCGATCTGTTCATTTTAGCCAATCTCTCCAGTGCTAAATACCACCTATGGTGCATTTTCAGGTAATTTTCTCTTATTAAATAACATGCTATAAAATTTATATTTTTTGCCCACAGTTTTTTGAATGGTATAACATAGGCATGTCCAACAGGTAAATCTGAAAGCATCTGAAGGCAGCCCTGTTTAGGGAAGTTTTTAATATTTAATGCTGTATTGTTTTTAACACTTGATAGACTGGGGAAACTTAGCCAGATGGGTGGGGTATAAATTAATCATCATCATCATCACTGGCTCCCCCCAAAGAAAAAAGCTCAACAACTTAGACCTGAACCGGGGTAGATCACTGCTAGTTTTTAACTTTGTGAGTAGATCACAGTCTTGCCCACCCTAACAAAAAGTTCAAATGAGATCCACTTCATTCCTAAACATTTCATTTCATCAAACATTCTTGCTTTTATTGACATTGGGCTTCCCATCAAATCCACCCAGCCAGAATGGCTAGGACTTCAGAGATTGGCAACCTTTTTCAGCAGGGGGCCAGTCCACTGTCCCTCAGACCTTGTGGGGGGCTGGACTAGTTGGGGGGGGGGAAATGAACAAATTTCTATGCCCCACAAATCACCCAGAGATGCATTTTCAATAAAAGGACACATTCTACTCATGTCAAAACACGATTCCCGGATGGTCCGCCGACTGGATTGAGAAAGCAATTGGGCTGGATCCGGCTCCCGGACCTTAGTTTGCCTACCCATGGGCTAGGTTCGACCTCCAATGGGGGAAAACAGTGTTCCTCTGAATACCAATTGCCAAAAACCACCAGCGGGGAGAGGGATGCTCAGGTTCAGCTTTTGAGCTTCCCATTAGGTGCAGGGGCCAGCAAATTTTTTTTTTGCTGCAGGCTTGTCCACTGTCCCTCAGACTTTGGGGCGGGCCGGAGAACCAGCACCAGGGAGGGTGGGAGCTGGAAGAAGAGGCGAGGTGGGCAAGTAGTCCTCCTCCCCATCCCCCACGCTTACCCTCCCAGGGGCTGCCGCCGCTTCTCATGGGTAGGCAGGGCGGCGGGGGAAAGATGAGTGGTGCGAAAGGGCTGGCTCCAAAGAGGGATTCCTGAAAATGGTGCTCAGCCAGCTCCCTTCCTCACCTAGGCAGGGGAGGGAGAAGCCAGGAGGTAAGACTTGATTTAAAACACACACACACACACTACAGAAAAGTTCATCCTCTTCATATTGACAAGCAGAGGAAGGTTTCCTTTTTTCCCAAATCATAAAATCCTTTTTTTCCTTACAGAAAGGTTCAACCTTGCTGGCATCCTCTTCATATTGACAAGCAGAGGAAGGTTAAGCTTGTAAGGTGACTTGATGTTACACCGTAATCATACTATCAAAGGAAGTAATTGCAGTGATAAATAATACGTAATGGGAATGAGAACTTAAAAGGACTCTCAAGGTGACAAGTGCTGATGGAGGGGAGTCAAATGGGTGGGCTCCTCCATCTTTTCTATTTTTCTCACCTTTTCCCTTTACTGTCTTTGGTTTTTGGGGGTGAAGTGTGTGTACCTGTTTGTTTGTTTGTAAATATTCTCAAATAAAACATTAAAAAGTCAAATGGGTGTAGTTCTTTCTTTCTTTCTGACCCTTTCCCTTTACTCTTTTTGGTTTTTGGGGTTAAGTGCAGGCTTCCTCAGCCTTGGCCCTTCCAAATGTTTTGAGACTACAATCCCATCATCCCTGACCACTGGTTCTGCTAGCTAGGGGTGATGAGAGTTGTAGGCCAAAAACATCTGGAGGGCTGAGGTGGAGGAAGCCTAGTTTAAAGGTGAAAACCAGCCCCTGAAACCTGACCCTGTGCTCCACTGGGAGCCAGTGCGGCTGGCACAGCGCTGGGTGGACGTGGTCCCGCAGCGGGGACACTGTGAGGAACCTCGCCAAGGCGTTCTCTGCCCGCTGGGGTTTCTGGGTGACCCTGCGTAGAGCGAGTTACAATAATCAAGCCTGGGGGTGACCGTTGCATGGGTCACTGTGGCGAGGTCAGGACAAGGGAGGTAAGGGACCAGCTGCTTAATACGGCAGATGTGGGGAAATGCCTCCATATTGTCTGCTTGTAAATATGCTTAAAGAAATAAGAAATAAGAAAGGACAACTGGAAATTATTTATGCGTGAAACAACAGCAGCAAGGATTCTATTAGCCCCAGCTCGGAAGACAGAAGAAAGCCAAGAAAGAACAACGGCAAGAGAAAGTCATGGAATATGCAGAATTAGCAAAATGAACAGATAAATTACATGAGAGGGACAACAAAGACTTTAAAAGAGAATGGGAACCATTTATGATATATATGAAGAGACAACAAGGAGAGTTGGACTCATTGGCAGGGTTTGAGTAAACATTCACAAATGCATATAACAAGGGTAGGCAACCTAAGGCCCGGGGGCCAGATGCAGCCCAATGGCCTTCTCAATCCGGTGGACTGGGACTAGGAATCGGCATGAGTAGAATGTGTCCTTTTATTTAAAATGCATCTCTGGATTATTTGTGGGGCGTAGGAATTCGTTCTCCCCCCCCCTCAAAAAATCTAGTCCAGCCCCCCACAAGGTCTGAGGGACAGTGGACCAGCCCACCATGAAGAAAACTTGCCAGCCCCTGCCATGGGTAGGCAAACTACAGCCCAGGGGCCGGATCTGGCCCAATTGCCTTCGGGCGGTCCGGGAACCAGCGTGTTTTTACATGAGTAGAATGTGCCCTTTTATTTAAAATGCATCTCTCGCCCCCTGCTGAAAGTTTGCTGACCCCTGGTATATAATACAGTGGTACCTCTGGTTAAGAACTTAATTCGTTCTGGAGGTCCATTCTTAACCTGAAACTGTTCTTAACCTGAGGTACCACTTTAGCTAATGGAGCCTCCTGCTGCCGCTGCACGGTTTCTCTTCTCCTTAATCCAAGGTACTATTTCTGGGTTGGCGGAGTCTGTAACCTGAAGCATATGTAACCCAAGGTACCACTGTAGTAGTAGTAGTAGTAGTAATAATAATAATAATAATAATAATAAATAGATAAAGAGGCAGGTCTATAGCTCCAAAAAGCAATGGTGTTCCAACCATCCAACTACCTGGCTGGCACAAAGCCTGCTCGAAAAAGACGCTCTCTGCCAGATGTGCTGTGATCCTCTTCTCCTCCTCTTCCTTCGGGTCTTTCGCTGCTGGAAGCAGAGTGGCGATGACCTCTTTCCTCCCCAGCGCTTTCCTCTGGCTCTGCTCTGAGACCTGGAGCCGAAACTTGTCGATCACGCCATAGTGGCAAGGTCGGACATCTCTGTGACGGATCACGCTGTAATGGGAGGAGGACGTGAATGGCCACATTTCCTTTTTTAACGCGTTATTGCTCTTTTTTTGTTTTAATACAATGTTTATTAAATTTTCTTTTTTATTTTATAACAGGCATCCCCAACCCGCGGCTCCCCAGATGTTTTGGCCTACAGCTCACATGATCCCTAGCTAACAGGACCAGTGGCCAGGGATGATGGGAATTGCAGTCCAAAACATCCGGAGGGCCAAAGGTTGGGGATGCCTGCTTTATAACAAACAACCAAATAAAATTTCTTCATCACATATATCTTTGCTCAAATTGAGCTTTGACTTTCTCCCGTTCTCCTCCCTGACTACCATATGCAATCACTTTTATCTCCGCATTTCTAAATCACCCTATTTACCTTATCTCAGGCTTCCTCAACCTCGGCCCTCCAGATGTTTTTGAGACTACAATTCCCATCATCCCTGACCACTGGTCCTGCTAGCTAGGGATCATGGGAGTTGTAGGCCAAAAACATGGAGGGCCAAGGTTGAGGAAGCCTGTCATCTCCATACTAAATAGACTTACTTCTAATATTTATAAGCAGCTCATTATTTATATATGCACAACAAGTTGTCATAATTATTTCTATTAGTACCTTGGTTTGTGAACAACCTAGCTTACGACAGTTTTGAATGACGATCGATTCAAACCCAGACGTGCACGTCCCGGTTTGCGAACCTTTTTCGGGTTACAACCCGTGGTTTTTTATTACAAACAATTTTTTTGGTTGGCGAACACATTGTTTTGGACAATGACCCGTTTTTGGAGGCCCCATTGGCAAAAGCATGCCTTGGGTTACGACCTCTTTCAGTTTACGAAGGGACCTCCGGAACGGATGATGGTCGTAAACCAGGCATAGGCAACCTAGGCCCTCCAGCTGTTTTGGGACTACAACTCCCATGATGCCTAACTCACAGGATGAGTGGTCAGGGATGATGGGAATTGTAGTCCCAAAGCAGCTGGAGTGCCAAGGTTGCCTCTGCCTGTCGTAAACTAAGGTACCACTGTAAAGCTATCGGTGATCTCAAAAGATACATACAGTTTCAATTATGGGGTTTCTTCACAAACCTATGACTACCCATCCTCTCCATGTTTTTTCCCTTTCTCATAAGCGTGTTGTATCATTTTATTTCTGCGATGTTTTATAAAAACTTTCTTTCCTAGATCAATATTGTATTCCTTTATACCATGGGTAGGCAAACTAAGGCCCAGGGGCTGGATCCGGCCCAATCGCCTTCTCAATCTGGCCCACGGACTGTCCAGGAATCAGCGTGTTTTTACATGAGTAGAATATGCCCTTTTATTTAAAATGCATCTCTGGGTTGTTTGTGGGGAATAGGAATTCATTCATCCCCCCTATCTAGTCTGGCCCCCCACAAGGTCCAAGGGACAGTGGATCGGTCCCCTGCTGACCACGTCCACCCAGTGCTATGCCAGCCACACTGGTCCCCGGAGCACAGGGTCAGGTCCTGTCGGACTAATTGCAGTCGTTCACAGTCGCCCACAGGTTGACCATACCCATTGAGTGCTACTACCCTTTGGGGGAAAACCCTACCCCACCCTCCCACTATCTATCAGGGTCTGGTTAATAAAAATAAATAATAAACTTTTATTTGTATGCCGCCCTCCCCGTCCGAACCTGGGCTCAGGGAGGCTAACACCAAATATGTAACACTGGTATAAAATCAAGCAATAACGAAATTACCTCCTGAAAACAAGTCAGGATCAAATTCAAATCCAATTAGATGGCTTTCCGCAGGATTAGGGTTGGGAACAGTAAACGCTCGTCAGGCCCAACTGCCTTATATGGGCCTGTGAGAACGCTGGGAGGCCTCTTTCATACTAGACTTTGGTTTCTGTGTATCTGAAGAAGGGCACATGCCGACGTAAAGCTTAGACCCAGAACAAACTGAGTTGGTTCCTAAGGTGCCACTGGACAATTTTTTAATTTTTTGATTTCCCCACCCTGAGATGTATTGATGAGGGTGGACTACGCATCTAATAAATTAACGAATGGCCTCTGGAAGGCAGCTTAGTGGTTGCTATTCATTACAAAGCAACAAACCAAAAACCAGCTTTTTACTCACATGTCAACACAGCACTGAGGCTTCACCGCGCCCGCTGCATCGACCACGACATATTTATTTGGGGTTGTGCAAAGAACTGAAAGAAAAGAAAAGGGGCCGTCATCCGATGTCAGCCAATTGCAAGGAAAACTGGCACAGAAGCGAAGCTCAACATCGGGAACGACCGAACTCCAACCCTCCAGCTGTTTTGGGATTATAATTCCCACCATCCCTGACCGCTGGTCCTGTTAGCTAGGGGTGATGGGAGTTGTTGTCCCAAAACAGCTGGAAGGCCAGGTTGGGCCATGCCTTATCCGGACTCCCAAGTTCTTGTAACCCACCCACGGACCTTCAGGCAAAAGGCAGGTCAGAAAGCAAATAAAAGGAAGTTGAGACAATCCCTCCTCCCCAAGCAAACCCTTAAATAGAATTGTACCTGAGACGCACCTTTGAATTTTAAGGCAAATTCATAGGGGTTATAGAGAGTCAACACCTGTTTATGGGTCGACTGGTCGTCCGCATAAAATATAAGCTCCGTGGGGAATAGGAAGACAGGAAGGTTTCCTTCCACTAACTCTGGCTGCCTTTTTTGCTGCTGCATTGGCCCCGAGTCGTCCTCGCCACTGCGCCTTCTGCTCGCCCGACGGCTTTGTCTCCCCACACGTCTCGCCACAGCAATTTAGGAATCCGAAAGCATTATGGCACACCTATAGGCAAACCTATAAAAACACAAGACAGCATCAAACATTAAGAAACTTCCTGAAACAGGGCTGCCTTCAGATGCCTTTTAAAAGTCAGATAGTTGTTTATTTCTTTGACATCTGATGCGACGGCGTTCCACAGGGCGGGTGCCACCACCGAGAAGGCCCTCTGCCTGGTTCCCTGTAACCTCACTTCTCGCAGCAAGGGAACCGCCACTCTGGCAGGTAGGGTCTCATCTATCTATCTATCTATCTATCTATCTATCTATCATCTATTTATCTATCTATCATCTATCTAATCTATCTATCATCTATTTATCCATCTTATATCTAACTTCAATCATCTATCGATCTACCTATCTATCTATCTATCTATCTATCTATCTATCTATCTATCTATGTCAGTGCCGGATTTAAGGCCCTCGGGCTTTCAAGGTCCACACGGTCATTTTGAATTGTGCCCGGAAATGTCCCGGGAGCCTATGCAGGTCTTTCAGGGTTATGCAGTCTCCGCAGTACCAGTCTCCAGTCTGGCTACCGCATTCTGGATTAGTTGTAGTTTCCGGGTCATCTTCAAAGGCAGCCCCACGTAGAGTGCATGGCAATCGTCCAAGCGGGAGATAACCAGAGCATGTTCTGCTCTGGGCAGGGAGGGTCTCATCCCGCATACCAGATGAAGCTGCCCTGGACAGAGAACGGACCTGCACCTCCATGGGTCCAAAATTACCCCCAGGCTATGCAGCTGGTCCTTCAGGGGCACAGTTGCCCCATTCAGGACAGGGAGTCCCCCACACCGACCCGACCCCTGTCCCCCAAGAACAGTACTTCTGTCTTTTCAGGATTCAACCAAAATCCGTTAGCTGCCATACGTCCTCCAACCGCCTCCAGGCACTCACACAGGACCTTCACTAGTTCTGATTTAAAAGAGAGGTAGAGCTGGGTATCATCCACATATTGATGGACGCCCAGCCCAAACAGCTGGAGGGCCAACTTGGGCCATGCCTGAGCTAGAGCAGTGGTGGCCAAACTGCGCCCTTCAGCTGTTTTGGGACTACAATTCCCACCATCCCTGACCACTGGTCCCGTTAGCTAGGGGTCATGGGAATTGTAGGCCAAAAGCTTTTATGCATCTATGAGATCCCACAGCAGCTATTCACAACACCCATGCCAATTAATCCTGAAAATTGCAAGCCTGCCACATTTGCAAATCACGTCATTGTTATCGGAAAGAGCAGGGGTGGCCAACTCCCGAGAGACTGCGATCTACTCACACAATTCAAAACTGGCAAAACTTGAACTAGCCCAGACGACAGCGTCAATTAGAATGCAATCAAAACAAGAATTAGTGGGATGGGAATTGTAGTCTCAAAACATCTGGAGGGCCGAGGTTGAGGAAGCCTGGCCAAGGAGCTTAACGAAGCACGTTCCTCTAGATGTGTTTCAGGCACACCAAGCAGCGAAGAGAAACCCAAAGAAATGAATGGGAGACAAACCGAACGGAATATTGTAGACGAGGAGACATGATTCCGGCCCTCTCCAATCTAGCTTGCACCCTTGACAAAACGCTGCCAAGTCACATTAGTGTTTACAACAGCAGGGGTATCTTCTCCCGATTGGCCGGAACAGCAGACAAAAAATGAGCGGGGGGGGGGGGAGAGAGACACACAAGCAGAGTCCAACCATCGGATCCATACGTGCTGTCTCTGAGGATACGGCCCCTGCTGCTGCTGAAGCCCCCTCTAGGTGAGGGGCTGCCGCGGCCAACCCTGGCATTCTTTTTAACAAAGCTACCAGACCCCTTGCACTGCCAGCAGGCATGGCCAAACTTAGCCAGTGGCCAAGGATAATGGGAGTTGCAGTCCCCAAACAGCTGGAGGGCCGAGTTGGGCCATGCCTTAAATTTGGCCCTACAACTCTTTTGGGGACTACAACTCCCATCATCCCTAGCCAACAGGACCAGTGGTCCAGGATGATGGAAATTGTAGTCCAGGACAGTAGAACAAGGACACCGCTGCTGTTCTCTCGCAACAGACTTCATCCCTTTCTGGCCCAGGCATGGCCCAACTTGGCCCTCCAGCTGTTTTTTGGATTCCAAATCCCATCATCCCTAGCACCAGTGGCCAGGGATGATGGGCACTGTAGTCCCCAAACAGCTACGGCGGTCATCTCTGACGCAACTCTGCCAAAGGCACGACGACGACCCCCCCTCAAAACAGCCAGGCCCTCCTCGCCCTCAGCGATGGTCATCTACTTTTTCGAGAGCCATTTCCCCCAGGAAGCCCCCACCCAGGCCAGAGACCCCCGATCGCCCCCTCCCCGCCGAGGGGCGGGGGGCGCGCGAACGCTCAGGCTGAGGCGAGCCGCCGCCCCACCGGAGCCGCAGAGGAGCGCAGCGCAGCCCCTTCCCCTCAAGCCCGAAGAGGCCCGCTTTTGTTTCGGGCTCGGGTCGCCTCGCAGCTGTTTGGGGACTACAACTCCCACCATCCCCAGCTACCAGTAGCCAGCGGTGAGAGATGATGGGAGTTGTAGTCCCCAAACAGGCCCCTCGCCGGGAATGAGATCCCTGAGGACCCTTCCTGGGCGACGACGGGCCCTCGCTCCCTGCCCTCACTCACCCCTCGGACCCGCCTCCGCCTCCGGGTTCTTTCGGTCACCAGCCGCCGCCGAGGAAGCACCGCCTCTTCGCCTCTCTCTCCCTCGCCTCAGCGGACCGGCCCGCCCATTTCCCCGCCCCTCTCGCGTCACCAGGCGCTAGGGCTGCCGGGAACGTGAAGTGGAAAGCGGGAAAAGGGCGACAGAGACGCGAGAGGCGGCGCTTCTTCTCGACGTCCTTGGGAGGCGGGGGCGGTGGTGGTGGGAGCTTCTCCTACGCGTGCGCAGAGAGGAGGGCTCGCTCGGGCCCGCCCCTCGTCGCTTGCTGCTCACGGGACCAGTGATCAGGGACGATGGGCATTGTAGTCCCCGAACAGCTGGAGGACCCGCTTCCCTCAGAGCTGCCACCATTCCACCCTAATCCGTTATCGGAACGAATTGCTGGTGTTGCCGTTTGTAAACTACAATGCCCAGCACCCCGACCGCTGTGAGCTAGGGATGATGGGAGTTGTAGTCCCAAAACAGCTGGAGGGCCTCGCCAGGTTCAACATGCTGCCATCTGCCTTATTGTAGGGCAGATTCGCGGGTAATCCATAATCCATAATCCACAGAAGGAGTCTGCCCCTGCGGCTTGATGGAGGTAGAAACTGTCTCTAATGTCTTGTTACGCTTGGCATTTATCACCCCTGCTATACAAAAATCTCCAAATGGGTCCGAACTTCAATGTCTAAAACTCCTGGTAGAGGACAAGGATCACGCTCAGGGTGGCCAAATTCCGTGCGACTGCCATAAAATTTAGGGAACAAGCTGTGCTACCAAAATGATTAAGCTCTTAAATGACAATTTTAGGTTATATTTTAGTGAAACATTATTATTATTATTATTATTATTATTATTATTATTATTTCTACCCCACCCATCTGGCTAGCTTTCCCCAGCCACCATGGGCGGCTTCCAGCAAAATATTAAAATACAATAGTGTGTCAAACATTAAAAGCTTCTCTAAACAGGGCTACCTTCAGATGTCTTCTAAAAGCCAGAGAGTTGGTTCTTTCTTTGACATCTGATGGGAGGGTGTTCCACAGTGGGGGCTCCACCACCGAGAAGGCCCTGTGCCTGGTTCCCTGTAACTTCTCACAGAGGGAACCGCCAGAAGGCCCTAGGAGCTGGACCTCAGTGTCTGAGCTGAACGATGGGGTTGGAGATGCTCCTTCAGCTATACAGGATGGGGCCGTTTAGGGCTTTTAGGCTAGGCACCAACACTTTGAATTGTGCTTGGAAACGTCCCGGGAGCCAATGTAGGTCTTTCAAGACCGGTGTTACGTGGTCTCGGCAGCCACTCCCAGTCACCAGTCTAGCTGCCGCATTCTGGATTAATTGTAGTTTCCAAGTCCCCTTCAAAGGCAGCCCCACATAGAGCGCATTGCAGTAGTCCAAGCGGGAGATAACTAGAGCATGCACCACTCTGGCGAGACAGTCCGCGGGCAGGTAGGGTGCCTGCGTACCAGGTGGAGTTGGTAGACCTGCGCCTCCATGGACAGCTTTGAGTCCAAAATGACTCCCAGGCTGCGCACCTGGTCCTTCAGGGGCACAGTTACCCCATTCAGGACCAGGGAGTCCTCCACACCTGCCCACCCCCTGTCCCCCCAAAACAGTACCCCCACACCCACCTGCCCCCTGTCCCCTCGACAGGCGCGACCAAGGCAGTTTCAGTCCCATGGTGAGGCCTGGATCACAACTGGAAGGGATCCAAATTGTCCGCTTCTTCCAAGTTAAGATTTAACTTATATGTTTTTAACTACTGCTATATCCGTATTGTCCCTGTTAGACCCAATTGCCATTCAATGTATCCCTCTTGTGTTTTTATGATTTTCCTGAGATTGTAAGTGAGCCGGAACTGGTCTGTGACTGTAATAATAAATTCATTCACTGAAGGGCCAAGTTGGGCCATGCCTGCAGAGGGTTTTGATTCTTGCCATGTTTTGAGCCACTTTGAGTATGTATTTTTCCGTGTATAAGACTAGGTTTCCCCCCTAAAAAATAATGTCCAAAATTGGAGGCGTCTTATACACGGGGGCCATCTCCCCCCATTTTCTTAAATCAGAGTCCCCCCAAATAAGGGGTGTCGTATGCATGGGGGCGTCTTATAGACAGAAAAATGTGGTATATATATGTATGGGAAAGCAGATTGCAGTGTGAATAAAAAAGTCATCCGCCTGTCTTGTAAGACGAAGGAAGAATGCACTGCCTTTGGGAGTAAAGTCAAACCCTTGCAGGCATGGCCCAACTTGGCCCTCCAACTATTTTTGGGACTACAACTCCCATCATCCCTAGCTCATGGGACCAGTGGTACAATAAACTACAATACAATAAAATGGCAGCAAATGTCAGTGTAACGCACAAGGCTACAACGAAGGAAGTGAGGGAAGGTATTGAGGGCTGGCAATTTATTGCAGTTTATTCAGCTCATAACAATTGTCCCCTCTTTGGTGGTTTATTTTCTAATAACACTAGTAAATTAAGCACGAGAGCCTGTACAGCAGAGTTTGAGCAGAATGGCAAATATCAATCCTTTGGAAATGAACTTGGTCCCGTTATTTTAGGATAGGGACATCCAACTCCCAATAGACTGTGATCTACTCACTGTGAAAAAACAGTTTTTTTGGGAAGCCAAGGTGGTGAATGGAACTGAATGATTGGAACTGAATATATGAATGAATGAAACTGAATGAGCATTGCGATATACACAAAGCACAATCAAAATTTGATTATATAAAACACAGTGGAGGGTCTTGAATCCCCAGTCCGATAGTGGAACTTAATCTGATGACCCACTTTTTTGCTAGGAAGCCAAAGTTGCTGAGCTTTTCTTTGGAAAGCCAAAGTTCTTGAGGTTTTTTTAGGAAAGGCAAAGTTATTGAGCTTTTTTTTGGGGGGGGGGGGAGTAGATCACTGAAGGGTCAGAGATCTACCAGTAAATCATGATCTGCCTGTTGGACATGCCTGTTTTAGGAAATGTGGGGTATGTGCTGCTCTTATCCTATGGCTTAGAAAGAACCCACAGCTCACACTAACAGAAGCCAAAGAGTCATAGAATCATAGAATCATAGAGTTGGAAGAGACCACAAGGGCCATCGAGTCCAACCCCCTGCCAAGCAGGAAACACCATCAGAGCACTCCTGACATATGGTTGTCAAGCCTCTGCTTAAAGACCTCCAAAGAAGGAGACTCCACCACACTCCTTGGCAGCAAATTCCACTGTCGAACAGCTCTTACCGTCAGGAAGTTCTTCCTAATGTTGAGGTGGAATCTTCTTTCTTGTAGTTTGGATCCATTGCTCCGTGTCCACTTCTCTGGAGCAGCAGAAAACAACCTTTCTCCCTCCTCTATGTGACATCCTTTTATATATTTGAACATGGCTATCATATCACCCCTTAACCTCCTCTTCTCCAGGCTAAACATGCCCAGCTCCCTTAGCCGTTCCTCATAAGGCATCGTTTCCAGGCCTTTGACCATTTTGGTTGCTCTCCTCTGGACACGTTCCAGTTTGTCAGTGTCCTTCTTGAACTGTGGTGCCCAGAACTGCCCAGAACTGGACACAGTACTCCAGGTGAGGTCTGACCAGAGCAGAATACAGTGGCACTATTACTTCCCTTGATCTAGATGCTATACTCCTATTGATGCAGCCCAGAATTGCATTGGCTTTTTTAGCTGCCGTGTCACACTGTTGGCTCATGTCAAGTTTGTGGTCAACCAAGACTCCTAGATCCTTTTCACATGTACTGCTCTCTTTTTTTTCTTCTTTTTTTTAAATAATTTTTTATTAAGGTTTTAAACAAACAAAAAAGAAAAACAACACACACAAAAAACAATACAAAACTTAACAATAAAAACACAAAACATAACAATTAAAAACAAACTCTCTTTTCCATTTCCAATTTTAAATTACTTATTTTCTGGACTTCCTCATACCTCCCTCTTTTGTATTCCAATCCACATTATTTGTCCAGCAGTTTCTTTTCCACTTTTTAATCCCAATCTTTAATTTAATAAAACGTTAAAATATATAACTTCAACTTTTTAAACCTAATCCTTGATCTTAATGTCATATAGCTTTAAATTTTTCCCTTTTATTATCAAATTTCCATTTCTTTAAACATCTTTAATCTTGATCTTTAATCTTAATCTATCCTTAACTTTAACCTGTACAGCTGGAAACCACTTGTTTTCAGTCCAACATCACTCTAACATTCCTTAATTTTGCAGTGTTTCTGAAGATAGTCTTTGAATTTCTTCCAGTCTTCCTCCATCGACTCTTCTCCCTGGTCACGGATTCTACCAGTCATTTCCGCCAATTCCATATAGTCCATAAGTTTCATCTGCCATTCCTCCAGCGTGGGAAGTTCTTGTGTCTTCCAATACTTTGCGATGAGTATTCTTGCTGCTGTTGTTGCATACATAAAGAAAGTTCTATCCTTTTTTAACACCATTTGGCCTACTATGCCCAGGAGAAAGGCCTCTGGTTTCTTGGGGAAGGTATACTTAAATACCTTTTTTAATTCATTATATATCATTTCCCAGAAAGCCTTAATCTTTGGGCACGTCCACCAAAGGTGAAAAAATGTACCTTCAATTTCTTTACATTTCCAACATTTGTTATCGGGCAAGTGATAGATTTTCGCAAGCTTGACTGGGGTTATGTACCACCTGTATATCATTTTCATAATATTCTCTCTTAAGGCATTACATGCCGTAAATTTCATACCTGTGGTCCATAACTGTTCCCAGTCAGCAAACATAATGTTATGACCAACGTCCTGTGCCCATTTAATCATAGCCGATTTTACCGTTTCATCTTGAGTATTCCATTTCAGCAGCAAGTTATACATTCTTGACAAGTTCTTAATCTTGGGTTCTAACAATTCTGTTTCTAATTTGGATCTTTCCACCTGGAAGCCAATTTTCCTGTCCAATTTAAATACCTCCATTATTTGATAATAATGAAGCCAGTCTCGCACTTTGTTTTTAGTTTTTCAAAACTCTGCAATTTCAGTCTATCTCCGTCTTGTTCCAAAATTTCCCAATATTTCGCCATTTGACCTCCATATTGACCTTTTTCAAGGCTTTCGCTTCCATTGGTGACAGCCACCTTGGGGTTTTATTTTCTAGCAAATCCTTATATCTTATCCAAACATTGAATAGCGCTTTCCTGACAATATGGTTTTTAAATGCTTTATGTGCTTTGACCTTATCATACCATAAATATGCATGCCATCCAAATACATTATTAAAACCTTCCAGATCCAAAATGTCAGTGTTTTCAAGAAGTAGCCATTCTTTGAACCAGCAAAAGGCTGCTGATTCATAGTACAGTTTAAGGTCTGGCAGGGCAAATCCACCTCTTTCCTTTGCATCCGTTAGTATTTTAAATTTTATTCTGGGTTTCTTGCCCTGCCAGACAAATTTAGAAATATCTTTCTGCCACCTCTTGAAACAATCCATTTTGTCCACGATCTGCAAAGTTTGAAACAAAAACAACATTCTAGGCAATACATTCATCTTTATCGCAGCAATACGGCCTAGCAGTGAAAGCTTCAAATTTGACCAAATTTCTAAATCTTTTTTCACTTCTGACCAACGTTTTTCATAATTATCTTTAAATAAATTCCCATTTTTTGCTGTCATGCTAATCCCCAGGTATTTAACTTTCTTAACCACTGTTAAACCTGTCTCATTCTGAAACCTCTCCACATGTACTGCTCTCAAGCCAGGTGTCACCCATCTTGTATTTGTGCCTCTCATTTTTTTTGCCCAAGTGCAATACTTTACATTTCTCCCTGTTAAAATTCATCTTGTTTGTTTTTGCCCAGTTCTCTAATCTGTCTAGGTCGTTTTGAAGTGTGATCCTGTCCTCTGGGGTGTTAGAGTCACGGAGTATAAAGAGCAGAATTTTTAATTCTGTGTCAAATATTTAGACAGAGGCCTTTGTAAACAGAATTATCCCCCCCCCCCCCATTTTGGTATTTCTGCCGAGGTTTCCCCCATAAATTCCAACCCAGTTTCTCCTTTCCCATCCTCGGTGGTGCCAAACCCTTTTGCAAAACAGGGAGCTGCCGCCGTCAGAAGCTGCCATATTTGGTTACAGTCTCCCAACTTGGTCTGGAGTGTGTGAGTTCCTTCACTTTGAAGGTGATGTGTGAAGGTTTTTGGCCCTGCGAATGCAGAAAGCAAAAGATAGCAAACCTAAAAGTTCAAAACCTTCCAGCTTTGCTCGCCGTCTTGGCTTGTTCTCGCAGTCGCTGGGAGAGATCACCAGTGGGTTTGGGGATGGACATTCATCAGTATGTGGATGGTACCCTCTTTTTTCAGATCGGAACCGGTAAAGGCAGTGAAGGTCCTGTGTCTGGAGGCAGTTGGAGGACGGGTGGCTGCTAACGGGTTGAGGTTGAATCCTGCAAGACAGAAGTCCTGTTGTGCGTGGGCAGGTGGGGAGCACTCCCTGGTCCTGAACGGGGCAACTGTGCCCCTGAAGGACCAGCTGCGCAGCCTGGGGGTCATTTTGGACCCATGGAGGTGCAGGTCCATTCTGTGTCCAGGGCAGCTCCTTGTGGGACGCAGGATGAGACCCTACCTGCCCAGAGCAGCACATGCTCTGGTTACCTCTCGCTTGGACTATTGCTATGCGCTCTATGTGGGGCTGCCTTTGAAGATGCCCTGGAAACAACAACTAATCCAGAATGCGGCAGCCAGACTGGGGACTGGGACTGCTGAGACTACATAACCCCGGTCCTGAAAGACCTGCATTGGCTCCCGGGACGTTTCCAGGCACAATTCAAAGAGTCAGTGCTGACCTTGAAAGCCCTCAATGGCCTCAGCCCAGTAGACCCGAAGGAGTGCCTCCACCCCAGACGCCAGGGTCCCTCTCCCCAGGGCCTTCTGGTTCCCTCCCTGCAAGAAGCGAAGTTACAGGGAACCAGGCAGAGGGCCTTCTCGGTGGTGGCGCCCACCCTCTGGAACGCACTCCCATCAGATCTCAAAGAAATAAGCAACTCTCTGGCCTTTAGAAGACATCTGAAGACAGCCCTGTTTTGGGAAGTGTTTTGTACTGAGTTGAATAGGATCCAAACTGCAGCAGTCTGATTGGTCCTAGAACAATAGGATCCAAATTGCAGCAGTCTGATTGGTCCTAGAACAATAGGATTCAGAATGCAGCAGTCTGATTGGTCCTAGAACAATGCAGCAGTATGATTGGTTGGCAGGAACCACCCAATCATGCTCCAGATATAAGTGAATCCACAACCTGATTGGCTTACAGTAGAATTCCAGAATTAGCCAATCATGTGCAGCCCATTGTGTAAATAATGTATATAAAGCAGATACTTTGAGGGGACTTTCATTCATTCCTCCTCACCACTATGAGCTGAATAAAGAGCATGAAATCACTTTGCGACTCTGAGTATATAGAATAGAATCATAGAATCATAGAATCATAGAGTTGGAAGAGACCACAAGGGCCATCGAGTCCAACCCCCTGCCAAGCAGGAAACACCATCAGAGCACTCCTGACATATGGTTGTCAAGCCTCTGCTTAAAGACCTCCAAAGAAGGAGACTCCACCACACTCCTTGGCAGCAAATTCCACTGTCGAACAGCTCTTACTGTCAGGAAGTTCTTCCTAATGTTGAGGTGGAATCTTCTTTCTTGTAGTTTGGATCCATTGCTCCGTGTCTGCTTCTCTGGAGCAGCAGAAAACAACCTTTCTCCCTCCTCTATGTGACATCCTTTTATATATTTGAACATGGCTATCATATCACCCCCTAACCTCCTCTTCTCCAGGCTAAACATGCCCAGCTCCCTTAGCCGTTCCTCATAAGGCATCGTTTCCAGGCCTTTGACCATTTTGGTTGCCCTCCTCTGGACACGTTCCAGTTTGTCAGTGTCCTTCTTGAACTGTGGTGCCCAGAACTGGACACAGTACTCCAGGTGAGGTCTGACCAGAGCAGAATACAGTGGCACTATTACTTCCCTTGATCTAGATGCTATACTCCTATTGATGCAGCCCAGAATTGCATTGGCTTTTTTAGCTGCCACGTCACACTGTTGGCTCATGTCGTTTGTGGTCAACCAAGACTTCTAGATCCTTTTCACATGTACTGCTCTCAAGCCAGGTGTCACCCATCTTGTATTTGTGCCTCTCATTTTTATTGCTCAAGTGCAATACTTTACATTTCTCCCTGTTAAAATTCATTTTGTTTGTTTTGGCCCAGTTCTCTAATCTGTCAAGGTCATTTTGAAGTGTGATCCTGTCCTCTGGGGTGTTAGCCACCCCTCCCAGTTTGGTGTCATCTGCAAATTTGATCAGGATGCCCTTGAGTCCATCATCCAAGTCGTTGATAAAGATGTTGAATAAGACCGGGCCCAAGACAGAACCCTGTGGCACCCCACTAGTCACTCTTCTACAGGATGAAGAGGAACCATTGATGAGCACCCTTTGGGTTCGGTCAGTCAGCCAGTTACAAATCCACTGAGTGGTAGCATAGTGAAGACCGCATTCTACCAGCTTCTTTACAAGAATATCATGAGGCACCTTGTCAAATGCCTTGCTGAAATCAAGGTAGGCTACATCCACTGCGTTCCCTTCATCTACCAGGCTTGTAATTCTGTCAACAAACGAGATCAGGTTAGTCTGACATGACTTATTTTTCAGAAATCCATGCTGACTACTGGTGATCACAGCATTCCTTTCTAGGTGCTCACAGACTTTTTGCTTAATGATCTGCTCCAGAATCTTCCCTGGTATTGATGTCAGACTGACTGGGCGGTAATTATTTGGGTCCTCTCTTTTCCCCTTTTTGAAAATAGGGACAACATTTGCCCTCCTCCAGTCTGCCGGGACTTCGCCTGTTCTCCAGAAATTCTCAAAGATGACTGCCAGTGGTTCTGAGATCACATCTGCCAGTTCTTTTAATACTCTTGGATGCAGTTCATCTGGCCCTGGAGACTTGAATACATCTAAACTAGCCAAGTATTCTTGTACTATCTCCTTAGTTATTCTGGGCTGTGTTTCCTCTGCTAAATCATTTGCTCCAAATTCTTCAGGTCGGGCATTGTTTTCTTTATTGGAGAAGACTGAGGCAAAGAAGGCATTGAGGAGTTCAGCCCTTTCTGTGTCCCCTGTTTGCATTTCACCATCTTCTCCTCTGAGTGACCCCACTGTTTCTTTGTTCTTCCTTTTGCTACGGACATACCCATAAAAGCCTTTTTTGTTGCTTTTAACCTCTCTAGCAAGCCTGAGTTCATTCTGTGCTTTAGCTTTTCTGACTTTGTGTCTACACGTGCTGGCTATTTGTTTGAATTCCTCTTTGGTGGTTTCCCCCCTTTTCCATTTTTTGTACACATCTTAACTCAGTTAAAAGTTCTTTAGATAGCCACCCTGGCTTCTTTAGGCACCTTCCATGTTTCTGTCTCATTGGTGTTGCCTGAAGTTGTGCTTTTACTGTCTCCCTCTTAACAAACTCCCAGCCATCATGAACTCCCTTTCCTTTTAGTATTACTGTCCATGGGATCTCACCCAGCACTTCCTAAGTTTTATGAAGTCGGCTTTCTTAAAGTCAAGAAATTGAGTCCTAGTATGCTTGGCTGCTCCTTTCCGCTGTATAGTAAACTTCAGAAGAGCATGATCACTCGCGCCTAATGATCCTTCCACTTCTACCCCACTAACCAGGTCATCAGCATTGGTTAGGACCAGATCTAAAATGGCTGTTCCTCTTGTTGCTTCTCCCACTTTCTGGACAATGAAGCTGTCTGCAAGGCCAGTGAGGAATCTGTTTGACCTTATGCTCTTGGCTGAGTTTGACATCCAACAAATATCCGGGTAATTGAAGTCGCCCATTACTACTATCTCCTTCCTTTTGCATGCTTGGCCATCTGTTCCAGGAAGGCATCATCTATGTCCTCCGTTTGGCTTGGGGATCTATAGTAAACTCCCACAATGAGGTCACTGTTATTCTTCTTTCCCTTAATTTTGACCCAAATGCTCTCACTTTGGCTTTGAGGTTCTAAATCTTGGATCTCTTCACAGGTATACACATCCCTGACATATAACGCCACTCCTCCTCCTTTCTTGTCTGGTCTGTTTCTCTGAAATAGATTGTATCCCTCCATTATTACATTCCAATCGTGGGACTTATCCCACCAGGTTTCAGTGATGCCTATTATGTCATATTTAGTTTGCTGTACCAAGAGCTCAAGCTCATAAAATATGTGTCCATATTTCACTGGCAACGAAGGTGGGATCCCGCTAAGCTGACTGCCACACACAGCACCGCAGCACCGCCACCTGCCGCACCGCTGCCTCGCACCGTGTATCCAGGCTTCAGCTCCGGGACCCAAGGAACTCAGAATGGCAACCGACAGCAGCTTCTCGCCGTTCAACCCAGCATCTGGAGACTGGGAAGCGTACGCCTCCCGTTTCACCTTCCTCCTAGAAGCCAAAGGGGTCACCGATGAAGAAGACGCCAAGAAGAGGGCGATATTCTTCAGCGTCTGCGGAGAGGAGACGTTTGAAATCGCCCGGGCTCTCCTTGCACCTGAAGACGTTGCTACTGTTCCATACAAAATAATAATGGAACAGCTGAAGGGGCACTTTTTGCCGCAGCCCTCAGTGGTGGCTCGTGGAAATGCCTTCTACGCAAAGCGGCAAGCCCCTGGGGAAACCATAACTGGGTTTGTGACCTCTCTCCGCCAAGCCGCCCGGTTCTGCAACTTCTCAGAGCTGAAGAACATGCTTCGGGACCGCCGCGTCGGTGTCCTGAAGGATGAGAAGCTGCAACGACGCCTCTACGCTAAGAGGACCTAACGTTCCAGGTCACTCTGGAGGAGGCCCTGGCAACGGAAGCTGCCAAGAGGTCGACGCAAGAGGCACGGCCGAGCCTGCCATCCCAACCGAGGGTCCACCACGAAGACCTCACCGACGACTCAGGATCTGACAGGGAGGAGGTGCACCGAGTACAGCAGCGCACTCAAGCAGCCCACATACCACAGCTGCCTCGACGAGAAGGAGGGAAGTGCGTAAGCTGCGGGGAAAGTCACGAGAGGAGGACCTGCCGTTTCTGCAACGCAGAGTGCAGGCAGTGCAGAAAATCGGGACACATCGCCCGGGTGTGTCGAGCTCCGCCCACCCGACGCCAGGCATCAGATGACCAATCCAAGAGCCCCTGGTCCCAGGGCCCAACGCACCAAGGCAACTCGACGGAGCTCACGGACTTCCAGGTATACCAGTTGCCCCACCCCAACGTAGAGAAAATTTATGTAGAGGTACAGATAGAGGGGCCCCCATGCCGCATGGAGCTTGACACGGGTTCAGCTCTATCCATAATCTCGGCAAGGACCTTAAGGAAACTGTGTCCTACTGGGGGGTCCCAAACTCAGGCCGGCCCCATTCACCCTCCGGGACTTCCAGAAACGTAAGGTCCCCACAATGGGGGTGGGGACCTTCAGGGTGCAATACCAAGGGCGGACACGGCAACTGGACTTGCTTGTGGTCAAGGGCCCCTACATTAGCTTACTGGGATTGGCATGGTTTGGACCACTGGGGCTAGCCATCACCGGGGTGAACCACACTACCTTACAAGTAGACGTGGACGCCATATGCAAGGAATTTCCAGGGGTTTTCGATGGGAAATTGGGACAGTATACGGGGCCCCCCATTGCTCTACAGCTTGACCCTGCAGTACGACCGGTCAGGCTCAAGGCCTGCTGGGTCCCGTTCGCCCTGAAACCCCGTATAGATGAGAAATTGGACCGGCTCGTGGAGCAAGGAGTGCTGGAGCCGGTGCCTAATGTCCCCTGGGTAACCCCAATCGTCACACCCGTCAAGCCTAATGGTTCGGTCCGCATCTGTGCAGACTACAAATGTACCATAAACAAGGCCCTCACGGCCCATGCATACCCAGTGCCAGTGGTCAGCCATGTCCTTACCATCCTGGCTGGGTCGAAAATTTTTGGCAAGCTGGACTTGGCCCAAGCATATCAACAGCTGCCAGTAGATGAGGCCCAGCAGAGGCACAGACGATTGTGACGCACAGAGGAGCATTCAGGGTAAAGCGGCTGCAATTCGGTGTCAGTGTGGCACCAGGCATATTCCAGAATCTAATGGACTCGCTCCTTAAAGGGATTCCTGGCGTCACCCCCTTCTTCGATGATGTGTTGATTGCCGGGCCCACACCAGAGGAGTTTGAGGACCACACCAGAGGAGTTTGAGGAGGTACGGGCCATTTGTGATGCCCCAGCGCCCAAGAGCAAGACTGAACTTCAGGCCTTCTTGGGACTATTGAACTTTTACCATTCCTTCCTTCCCCACAAGGCGGCGGTAGCGGAGCCGCTACACAGACTCCTGGACAAGCGGGCCCCTTGGGTGTGGGGCCAGCACCAGGAGGCTGCATTCCAGGCAGTCAAGGACTTGTTTGTCTCAAACTCGGTCTTGGCACACTTCGACGAGAGGCTGCCGGTGGTGCTAGCATGCGACGCTTCGCCCTATGGCATTGGCGCTGTCCTGGGACACCAACTCCCGGATGGAAGAGAGGTACCGGTAGCATACTTTTCCCAGACACTCAACGCAACCGAGCGGAACTACTCGCAAATAGACAAGGAGGGGCTGGCAATCGTGAAGGGAGTAAAAAAATTCCATGATTTCTTGTACACCACCCTTCACTGTGGTGACTGACCACAAGCCGTTGCTTGGCTTGTTTGCCCCCGAAAAGCAGACCCCCCAAGTGCTGTCTCCTTGTGTCCTCAGGTGGTCAATTTTCCTTGCCAGCTACCAGTATGCACTGATTCACTGCCCGGGGAAGGTGATGGGCCATGCGGACGCCCTTAGCAGGATACCACTACCGGAAACAGGCCCCGACCCAGCACCTGCACAAGAGGTTATGAGCCTGGAGCTGCTTCCCGACCGCCCCATTCAGGCACAAGAAGTTGCACACCATTCCAAGAAAGACAGGGTTATCTCCCGGGTCCTGGACTGGGTGTGGAGGGGATGGCCCAGCAGCAGCCCCGGGCCAGAATTCGCCAGCTACACAACCCGCAAACATGAACTGTCGGCCCACAAGGGGTGGGGAAGCAGGGTCATTGTTCCCCAGCCCCTCCACGAAAGGGTCCTCACAGCCCTACACGAGACACACCCAGGGGTAGTAAGAATGAAGGCCCTGGCCAGGAGTTATGTGTGGTGGCCGGGGATCGACGGAGAGATAGAGGCCTGGGTCAAACACTGCCAGACCTGCCAAGAATCCCGCCCAGATCCCCCAAGGGCCCCAGTGCAGTCCTGGGAGTCCACCCGAGCACCATGGTCACGCCTGCATGTGGACTTCGCTGGCCCCTTTCAGGGGAAAACATTCTTCATAGTGGTGGACTCCTACACCAAATGGCTGGAAGTCGCACTGGCACCGTCCACTTCTACATCCGCAGCCATCTGGGTACTACGCAGGCTGTTTGCAACCCACGGGCTCCCTGACACTCTCGTGTTTTAATATTTGTTTAATTATTCGCAGGGGTGGCCAACTCCCAAGAGACTGCAATCTGCCTACAGAGTTAAAAACTGGCAGTGATCTACTCACTTTGGGGGGGTTCAGGTCAAAGTTGTTGAGCTTTTCTTAGGGAGGAGAAAAGTCCCGTTTTGGGGGAGTGCAGGGCAAAAATGTTGAGCTTTTTTAGGCGAGTCAAAGGTGTTTAGCTTCTTTGGGGGGAGCCAGTGACCTGCCAGTGACCCCATTGCTTCCCTCCCTGCAGAGAAACATGTGAGGTCAATTGGGTAGAGTCCAAATGGTTTCAGGATGGTCTTCTTGTGCTGTTTCAGACACGTGGTTTACATCTTTATGTACATGTTTGCCTTGTACATTATTGAACATTGAATTTATATCTTGGAGACCTTCAGTTCTTACAACACTCTGAAGGAAGTATTCCATGTCTGGTGTTGAGAAGGAGCCTCCTAAGCAAGCGTTTAGAGTGAAAGTTGTCGCCTTCGTCCAAACATGCTTTGCAGCGAAGCGGCCAAAACCCTCCCATTTTGTGTCCCTCCATTTCCAACATTTCCAAATAAAGCTCTTTCTCCCCGCAGCTTCTTCTGCAGTGACTAATACACTGGAAACCTCTTCCAAGGCCCCGTGCTTATACTTTGTTCCTGTTTGGAAAAACAAGCCAAGTCTCCATTTGTCTCCGTTTTATTACGTTTGCCAAGAATTGATATACAGTTGTACCTCAGGTTACAGACGCTTCAGGTTACAGACTCTGCTAACCCAGAAATAGTACCTCGGGTTAAGAACTTTGCTTCAGAATGAGAACAGAAATCGTGCTCTGCCAGCGCGGCAGCAGCGGGAGGCCCCATTAGTTAAAGTGGTGCTTCAGGTTAAGAACAGTTTCAGATTAAGAACAGACCTCCGGAACCAATTAAGTACTTAACCAGAGGTACCACTGTATACCAAATGAAATTAGTTTTATTTCCCATTGGGCAGCGGCCGCAGACACATTGCAGGCTCAGGATTCTCTCCCAGCCGATGTGAAGCAATGTGGCCTTTTCTGAAAGTGAGCCTCCATGGTTTTACTAGCGCTCCTTTCCTCAATTTTCCTTGGTGCCTTGTCTCCTTGCCTTAGTCCCCCGCCTGGTTTCTGATACACTTTCCAACATAGCCCCAAAGCAGTTGCTTTTGCAATACCACCAACTGCCCCAAACAGAGGGTTGTGATGAGTTAATCTCACACCTTTAAGCTTGAAAGGGGTGGTGGTGGTGGCCCAAAGGGCCAAAATAAATGTCATAATGTGTATCCCTAGAAATCCTTCAGTGTACTTCTAAAAGGAAAGTTATGGTAACCTGTTGCTTTATGAAACTGAGGATTTTGCAAGTTGCCCCCCCCCCCATTGGGGCAGGAATACAGTCTTACCTCTGCTTACTCTGGATACGTAATTTTTGGGATGCAAACGCAGCAAACCCGGAAGTATTTTTCTGGTTGTTGCCGCGCACACATGCGCAGAAGCGGTCCTCCAGTTGCAAATTCCTCGGGATGCAGCCAGACCTCCAGAACAGATCCCGTTTGCAACCAGGGGTACCACCGTACAGCTGATTGTGGATCACAAAGATACAGCTCAAAGCTAGAACCGCTACATGGTGCAAACGGCATGCACGCTAACACAATGTAACACAGGCATCCCCAATCTTCAGCCCTCCAGATATTTTGGACCAATTCCCATCATCCCTGACCACTGGTCCTGTGAGTTAGGGATCATGGGAGTTGTAGGCCAAAACATCTGGAGGGCTGCAGGTTGAAGATGCCTGATGTAACAGCACATGGTGGGAATCCAAGCTTACTTGACAGAAATGGGTGAGAATCAAAACTGAATCGGCACAAATGGCCACTCCTTATTACACATGTATATTAAACATAAAATGAGGTGATAGGCAAACTTGGCCCTCCAGCTGTTTTGGGACTACAACTCCCATCATCCCTAGTTAACAGGACCAGTGGTCAGGGATGATGGGAACTGCAGTCTTAAAACATCTGGAGGGGGCCAAGTTTGGCCATGCCTGATCTAGGGCATAATGATATTTGTTTCTTATAACCTCCAAGAGAAACTTTGCCATGACCAGTGTAATATCATTTGACCTGTCTTCTGAAAGATATTTAATATGGGGGACTTTGGATTTTCCCGGCAAATTTGCCAGGAAGGGTTTGATCCGTTGATCCCTTCCTCACATTGCCCACAATGCAGTAGGATATGCTTCATACAACTAGTGGAAACTGGAATCCTTTGTTTGAAACTTTATCAACACCACTACCAGAACCACTGGGCGGGGTTGCACTTTTGCAGAACAATCTGGCTGTAACCTATTGCTTTGCAATCAGCGTTGGACTTTTAACTCCTCAAGCTCCTGGGTTTTCATTGGCAGGAGATAAGCCACTTTAGGCTTCCAACATAACAAAAGGGCATATTGCAGTCTAGAATTTACTTCACCATTTTGTTTTAAATCCTGCTTTGCACATTTGTAAGCAGGAAAATTGCTTTATTTTTTCTTCCAGCAAGCATGAAAAAGCCAGTTCTCTTTCTGGTAGCAAAGCTGTACTTTTCCAGAATAAAAAATCAGAGTCACTTTGCTTTCCTGCCTGCAATAGGACATGTTGTTGTTGTCCTCCTCCTCCTCCTCCTCCTTCTCCTTATCCTTCTCCTTCTCCTCCTTCTCCGGCGATCCCTCGTAGCCGAGTAAGATTTTCTTCCATAAATATGGATTTTAACAGTGAGCCTGTAAGTGACTGTGGAGGCCAATTCTGGATTCACACATCCTTCCACAGTGGGGACATTGGTTTCTGGGCAGGAGTTGATCCCAGCGAGTCTTCCTTCCTCTTCGCCCGTTTCTCCCTTGCGTCCCGAGTTTGAGTGTCTTCAAAGCCCACGACACCTTTGGTCAAGGCTGTTCTCCCATTGGAGCGCTCGCAGGCCAGTGCTTCCCAGTTGCCGATGTTTGTACTACATTTTTTAAAGATTTGCTTTGAGATCTTTCAACCTCTTTTGGAGACCACAAAACAGACCTCAGCGTAACACTCAAAGCAGAAGTGTGGCACTCAAATCAGAAGCAGAACCAGGGCTGTCTTGAGCACGCCAGGCACTCCTGTCTTCCACTGCCTCCCGCAGTTTGGTCAAACTCATGTTTGTAGCTTCGAGAACACTGTCGTCCCCTTCTCCTTGCACCCTTCATTTTTCCCAACATCAGGGTCTTTTCCAGGGACCCTTCTCTTCTCACAAGGTGGTATTGGAGCCTCAGCTTCAGGATCTGTCCTTCCAGTGAGCACTCAGGGCTGATTTCCTTCAGAATGGATAGGTTTGATCTTCTTGCAGTCCATGGGACTTTCAAGAGTCTCCTCCAGCACCAGAATTCAAAAGCATCAATTCTTCGGCGATCAGCCTTCTTTATGGTCCAGCTCTCACTTCCATACATCACTACTGGGAAAACCATAGCTTGAACTATAAGGACCTTTGTTGGCAAGGTGATGTCTCGGATTTTTAAAATGCTGCCTAGTTTTGTCATTTAGTTTAGCCACCCCCAATTTTTTTGGGGGGGGGCAAACTCAAAGCTTTTAGTTTCCTTACTCATCAGGAATATTTGCCGCCATGGAGTAACAGAGTGGCAGAGGGTGGGGGCAGGGACTTTCACTCCCGTGCTTTTCACTGCTGCCAATAGAGAGGGGCTGGTACAGTTGCAGGCGGGATCCGTTCCGGAGATCTGGCCGGATCCCAAGGTTTCCACAATCCTTCCAGGCTTGCTGCGCGCGTATCTCAAAGGATATGTGACAAGAGGGGCACGTAAGTAGAGGTAGCACTGTATACAATAGGTATACATTGGGCACCCCCCAGAATCCGGCGCCCTGGTTCCCTACACCCCCTTGCACCCCCAGGTCGAGACAGGCCTGAGCGTGCTCAAAACGGAGTACGTTCGGCTTCTGGGAAAAGTCCACCAACCGGAACACTTCCCTCCGGGTTTGCAGCGTTTGAAAACCAACGTTGCACCGTATAGTAGCATTGCTTTCCTTGCTCCTTGCCTTCTGAAGGAGCTTTTGTCTCTCTGTCCTTCCCTCACCCCACACTCAGTCTCCCTCTCGACACTAAAAATTCCTCAACGCTTCAGTCATTTCTCCTTTGTGCAGCTATCTAAACTGTGTACATACACGGCGGGGACATAATTTTGAATTACAGCAATGGAAAAAAACTAGAAAGCCACCCAGGGCTGGAATCATGAGCCGTATATGGGATCCAGATTAGTTTTCACGGGGTGTTGGCTGACTTTATATGAAGGGCCACCACACCTTCTTCTGCTGGATTTTGCCAAACTTAATTCTAGAATCGTGACCTTTCCTTGTTTTTGCTTGCGTTGCTAGGGACCTGGAGCAGACCGTGCATTAACAGGACAGCTTTGGGGTGAAGAGTATTGTTTCTAGGACAGTTCCTGAGGAGGAACTCTGCTTTTTAAGATGCTGTCTAGCTTTGCCGTCACTTTTCTCCCAAGAAGCAGGCGTCTTTTAATTTCATGTCTGCTGTCACCATCTGCAGTGATCATGGAGCCCAAGAAAGTTGTTTTTATTATTGTTGTTGTTGTTATTTTAATATTGCATACACACACACACACACACACACACACACACATCAAATATACCAGGCATGTCCAACAAGTAGATTGCGACCTACTGGCAGATCATGGGGTGTTCTTGGTAGATCCTGATAGATTTCCGGCCCCTCAGTGATCCCCTCCCACCCCCCAAAAAAGCTCAACAACTTTGCCTTCCCAAGAAAAGATCAACAACTCTGGCTTCCCAAAAACAGCTCAACAATTCTGTGCCCCCCCCCCAGCTCAACTCAACAACTTTGGTCCGTCCAACGACAATGGGTAGATCACTGCTAGGTTTTTTTCACACTGTGAGTAGCTCGCAGTCTATTGGGAATTGGAAATATATTTACAGAATGTAAAGGAAGAAATGTTAGAAGATGTTCTCTTTTTAAAAAATGTAATACTGTAAGAAGAAATAAAAATAAATAAATAAAAAGTATGCATCCCTCCCCTCCTCCTCGCCTCCCACCCCATGTTCCTGTGGGAGAGTTGGTTTATGCTTAATTTTAACAGGGAGAAATGTAAAGTATTGCACTTGGGCAAAAAAAATGAGAGGCACAAATACAAGATGGGTGACACCTGGCTTGAGAGCAGTACATGTGAAAAGGATCTAGGAGTCTTGGTTGACCACAAACTTGACATGAGCCAACAGTGTGACGTGGCAGCTAAAAAAGCCAATGCAATTCTGGGCTGCATCAATAGGAGTATAGCATCTAGATCAAGGCAAGTAATAGTGCCACTGTATTCTGCTCTGGTCAGACCTCAGCTGGAGTACTGTGTCCAGTTCTGGGCACCACAGTTCAAGAAGGACACTGACAAACTGGAACGTGTCCAGAGGAGGGCAACCAAAATGGTCAAAGGCCTGGAAACGATGCCTTATGAGGAACGGCTAAGGGAGCTGGGCATGTTTAGCCTGGAGAAGAGGAGGTTAAGGGGTGATATGATAGCCATGTTCAAATATAGAAAAGGATGTCACATAGAGGAGGGAGAAAGGTTGTTTTCTGCTGCTCCAGAGAAGTGGACACGGAGCAATGGATCCAAACTACAAGAAAAAAAGATTCCACCTAAACATTAGGAAGAACTTCCTGACAGTAAGAGCTGTTCGACAGTGGAATTTGCTGCCAAGGAATGTGGTGGAGTCTCCTTCTTTGGAGGTCTTTAAGCAGAGGCTTGACAACCATATGTCAGGAGTGCTCTGATGGTGTTTCCTGCTTGGCAGGGGGTTGGACTCGATGGCCCTTGTGGTCTCTTCCAACTCTATGATTCTATGATTCTATGCTTCTTTTTATCAAAAACAAATTCCTAACAGAAAGTGGCAAAGTGAGGCAATGTTGTTGCCAGCAGGGTTCCTGTGCGTTGCAAATTAATGTGCCACTTTTCTTTTACTTTCTATGATCTTAAATGCTTGGCTCTTGCCCTTGAAGAAGAAGAAGAAGAAGAAGAAGAAGAAGAAGAAGAAGAGTTTGGATTTGATATCCTACTTGATCACTACCCGAAGGAGTCTCCAAGCGGCTAACAATCTCCTTTCCCTTTGAGGTGAGTGGGGCTGAGACTTCAGAGAAGTGTGACTGGCCCAAGGTCACCCAGCAGCTGCATGTGGAGGAGCAGAGACGCAAACCCGGTTATAATAATAATAATAATAATAATATAATAATATAATAATAATAATAATAATAATAATAATAATAATAATAATTTATTATTTATTATTTATACCCCGCCCATCTGGCTGGGCTTCCCCGGCCACTCTGGGCGGCTTCCAAAAGAATATTAAAATACTATAATACATCAAACATTAAAAGCTTCCCGAAACAGGGCTGCCTTCAGATGTCTTCTAAAAGCCTGGTAGTTGTTGTTCTCTTTGACATCTGGTGGGAGGGTGTTCCACAGGGAAGGCGCCACTACCGAGAAGGCCCTCTGCCTGGTTCCCTGTAACTTGGCTTCTCGCAGTGAGGGAACCGCCAGAAGGCCCTCGGTGCTGGACCTCAGTGTCCGGGTAGAACGATGGGGGTGGAGACGCTCCTTCAGATATACTGGACCAAGGCCGTTTAGGGCTTTAAAGGTCAGCACCAACACTTTGAATTGTGCTCGGAAACGTACTGGGAGCCAATGTAGGTCTTTCAAGACCGGTGTTATGTGGTCTCTGCGGCCACTCCCAGTCACCAGTCTAGCTGCCGCGTTCTGGATTAGTTGTAGTTTCGGGTCACCTTCAAAGGTAGCCCCACGTAGAGCGCATTGCAGTAATCCAAGCAGGAGATAACCAGAGCATGCACCACTCTGGCGAGGCAGTCCACAGGCAGATAGGGTCTCAGCCTGCGTACCAGATGGAGCTGGTAAACAGCTGCCCTGGACACAGATTTGACCTGTGCCTCCATGGACAGCTGTGAGTCCAAAATGACTCCCAGGCTGCGCACCTGGTCCTTCAGGGCACAGTTACCCCATTCAGGACCAGGGAATCCTCCACACCTGCCCGCCTCCTGTCCCCCAAAAACAGTACTTCTGTCTTGTCAGGATTCAACCTCAATCTGTTAGCCGCCATCCAACCTCCAACCGCCACAGAGGTTCACCACATTACGAGTCCACTGCTCTTAACCACTACACCACACTGGCTCTCAGTGTGCAATGTGTTCCTTGGCTCTGTGATGGAATTGGCCACCTCTCTCGGATCCTCAGAATAGTGCTGTTCTTTCTGTGCCCATTGGCAATCTCACAGAGAAGACCCCCCTTGTGTCACAGCCAGCTGTATATCTTTTTATGTTAGGAAGGGTGGTTTAGAAAGGTTTTTTTTAAAAAAACAAACTAGCCATCGAAAAGAATTGCCAGCATTTTGAACTGGATATTGCAACTAGCCAAAATGCAGCGAAGGCATTTCAATGAACAGAACAAGATATTGCAGGGGGTGGGGTGGCGGAAGGTTGCACTCTGCACATGATCAGAGGACACGTCAGCTACAACTGCGGTGAGGGTTTTATTCACCCGAAGATGGAAAAGTGATAAAAAACTGGTGGAATTTGCTGAAATGGCGAAATGAACTGAAAGACTTTGAGACAAGATTGGAAACCATTTATGTTGTATTTACAAAATCTATGTAAAGAAATGGACTCGCTCACAGGGTTTGAGTAGACACTGACAATTAACAACAGAAACATTGAAATGATAGAATGTCAGGATAGAACAACATTTCATTTAAGAATATAGTACTGAAGTATAGTATTGTAAGCAGGACCATTTTTTTCATGTTGAGGGGGGGTTAATCTGTTATTATTTGTTAAGATATATTTGTGGAAAAGATAACAATGTAAAATGCAATAAAAATTATTTAAAGAAAAGAAAGGAAAAGAGGACAAATCCCAGTTTTCAGGACTTCACAAGTTCCAGCACTGAGCCATTCACCGAAACACGGTTCGCTCATTTATTCATCTGCCTTCCTTTGAGCAGATTTTTCCCAGGATGGGTGTCAGGGAAGAAATGATAATTTTGGCTGAGCCCTGGTTCACATTAAACCCTGGATACTATTCCATGGCCTTCTTCAGATGAAACCTCCAAAGGTTTTATATTCATGTTGCTTCCCTTTCGCTCCATCCCACTGAACCACCTTTGGTGCAGGAGGCCTCAGGATCGTCCAGGCAAGTGTGCCCCCGCTCCCCACAATGGGAATTGAAAGACAAAGAGGTAAAGGAGGTTATGATTCAGTGGAGCCAGGATTTTGAGTATGCAATCAGGATGGATCAGTGGGAAAGGCTGTGGAGACAAGATGTCAATTTTACTGCCTGTTACACAATCAAGGAAAATCTAATGAAGATGTGGTACAGGTGGTACGTGACCCCTGCCAGATGAGCTAAAACATATACAGTGGTACCTCGGGTTAAGAACTTAATTAGTTCTGGAGGTGCACTCTTAACCTGAAACTGTTCTTAACCTGAAGCACTACTTTAGCTAATGGGGCCTCCCACTGCCGCCACTGTGCGATTTCTGTTCTCATCCTGAAGCAAATTTCTTAACCGAGTTAAGTTCTTAACTATTTCTGGGTTAGCGGAGTCTGTAACCTGAAGCGTCTGTAACCCAAGGTACCACTTTAAATTAAAATCAAACGCATGTTGGAGATGTAAGACAACGGAAGGAACAAGGTATTGTGTATGGGGGGATGTGATAAAATCCAAAAGTTCTAGAGTAATATCTATGAAGAACTAAAAAAGAGGTTCAAAATAATGTTTGAGAAAAGTCCAGAAGCGTTCCTTCTGGGTATAGTGAAAAAAGAAATCCCCAACGATAAGAAAAAAATATTCTGCCACTATGATTTTAGTGGCCAAAAACTGGAAGAGAGATATAGTCCCATCAGTAGCGGACTGGCAAGTAAAATTTTGTGAATTGATTGAATTGGCCCAAACGACAGCAGCAATCGGATGACAACCGAATCAAAAACTCAGGAAATAATGGGAATGTGTAGAGGAGTCTATGGCAAAACATTGTTCCCAAAGAAACTGACTGATAGGCTGATGTTCGCAAAGTCAGGATAAAAGTTGGAGAAGATTTTATGGGTTTCTATGTTGGACAATAAACTACAGTTAGAACTGGATATGGAACAACTGCTTGGTTCAAAATTGGGAAAGGAGTACAACAAAGCTGTATATTGCCTCCCTTCTTATTCAACTTAAGATATATGCCCGATAGATCCTGCGAAAGGCTGGACTGGATGAATCCCAAACCAGAATTAAGATTGTTGGAAGAAATATCAACAACCTCAGATATGCAGATGACACAACTTTGATGGCAGAAAGTGAGGAGGAATAAAAAAACCTCTTAATGAGAGTGAAAGAGGAGAGCACAAAATATGGTCTGAAGCGCAACATCAAAAAAACTAAAATCATGGCCATTGGTCCCATCACCTCCTATCAAATAGAAGGGGAAGAAATGGAGGCAGTGAGAGATTTTACTTTCTTGGGCTCCATGATCACTGCAGATGGTGACAGCAGTCACAAAATCAAAATATGCCTGCTTCTCTCAGGAGAAAAGTGATGATAAAACTAGGCAGCATCTCAAAAAGCAGAGACATCACCTTGCTGACAAAGGACCTTATAGTTCAAGCTATGGTTTTCCCAGTAGTGATGTATGGAAATGAGAGCTGGACCATAAAGAAGGCTGATTGCCGAAGAATTGATGCTTTTGCATTATGGTGCTGGAGGAGACTCTTGAGAGTCCCGTGGACTGCAAGAAGATCAAACCTATCCATTCTGAAGGAAATCAGCCCTGAGTGCTCACTGGAAGGACAGATCGTGAAGCTGAGGCTCCAAGACTTTGGCCACCTCATGAGAAGAGAAGACTCCCTGGAAAAGACCCTGATGTTGGGAAAGATGGAGGGCACAAGGAGAAGGGGACGACGGAGGACGAGATGGTTGGACAGTGTTCTCGAAGCTACGAACATGAGTCTGACCAAACTGCGGGAGGCAGTGGAAGACAGAAGTGCCTGGCATACTCTGGTCCAGGGGGTCACAAAGAAGCGGACACGACTAAACGACTAAACAGCAACATCAAAAAGTAAAGTAGCCCCTTCATGGCCTTGTGGCGAAGGGGCTTGAATAACCCCAAGAAGCTGTGAGCCATGCCGTCAGGGCCACCCAAGATGGACAGGTCATAGCCAAGAGTTTAGACTAAATGTGATCCACCTGGAGAAGGAACTGGCAAACCACTCCAGTATTTTGCCAAGAAAATTCAATGGACATAAAAAAGGAGAAGCTTTGAGAAGAAAAGTGAGAGTTTCTAAGGTGTGCTCTGGTTCATAGGGTCACGGAAAATCAGACATGACTAAGGCGACTAAACAACAATGTAAAGTACCATATTTTTCCATTTAAAACACTAGGTTTCCCCCCCTAAAAAACAATGTCCAAAATTTGGGAGTGTCTTATACATGGATACATCTCCCCCCCCCATTTTATTAAACCCAAGTCCCCCCGAGTAGGGGGCGTCTTATACATGGGGCATCTTATAGACAGAAAAATACGGTATTTTGCTTTAACACAATATTAAAAGAATATTAAATTAACTAAATTATGCCGAGCACTATTTAGGGGGAGGGAAGTTACGGGGTGGGGAATGTACAATGATATATGGAGATATATTTACAGAATGTCAAGGAAGAAATGTTAGAAGATGTTCTCTTTTTTTGGAATGTAATACTGTAATATTATTATTATTAAGTGTGCACCCCCCCTCCTTGCCCTCCCACCCCCTGTGCCTGTGCTCCACCTAGCCAGCACCAACCCTCTTGCTCAGCTGTTTTTTATCTTCTATTTTGGAAATGTACATCCAGTCCCCCCCCTTTAGGTTTTTGGGGGGCCCACAAGAGAGTTAGTGGGGCCCTAAGCTACAGCTTGTTGAGCTTATACATAAATCCAGCACTGGCATAGGTAGATAGATGGATAGATAGATAGATAGATAGATAGATAGATAGATAGATAATAGATAGACAGACAGATGGACAGATGATTGATTGATTGAGGGCTGGATTTAGGTTTGATGAGGCCCTAAGCTACCTCAAGGTAATTGGGCCCTTTATATGTCCAGCTGTCCTTTGTCCACAACAAATTGCCACTTTTTTGTGTTGAATAAATGCTATAAGGTAATTGATGGAACTCATAGGTATCTCAAGCCATTTGCACATGTTGCCAGACAACCAGTCCATACAGAATGTCGGCACCCTATATATAGAAATGAGCAAAGCAGTGATAGTTTGAGGAGCAGGGGAGCAGGCAAGCAGGCGGGGCCTATGACTTACATCATAGGAGCCTACACAACACAAAACACAGTTGCTGTATGTCGGTTTTATTTGTTTTTTATCTTCTCTTTTGGAAATGTACATCCAGGTTTTTTCACGTTAATTTTTTGGGGGCGGGGCCAAGAGAGGGGGCCCTAAACTAGAGCTTGTTGAGCTTATATGTAAAGCAGGCACTGGCTCCACCCAGCCAGCACCAACCCTCTGGCTCAGCTGCTTCCAGATCTTAGTTCCCCTTCCCTGCCTCCTGAGCAAAGCAGCCGCTCCCCAGTCTCTCCTCCTGGGCATCATCCAGGCAGCCGGTCAGAGATCCTTCAGTGTGAGTCTCTCTCTCTCTCCAAGGACATCTTCCAGCCTGAGGGTTAGAAGACAGCTGTCCAAGCCTCTGGCTGCTGCAGGCGACCGTCTCTGTTAGTAAGTTTCTTGTTAACTTGGGGAATCCCCCTTCCCCAACGTATTCCGGAGGGAAAGTTTATGCTTCTTTTTATCCAAAAAATTTCCTAGCAGTACTAGAAGGTGGCAAAGAGGGCAGTGTTGTTTCCGGCAGGGTTCCTGTGGGTTGCGAATTAATGTGCCACTTTTCTTTTGCTTTCTGTGAACTGAAATGCTTGGCTCTTTCCATTGGCTGTGCAATGGAAGAGGCTCCGTCTCTCAGATTCTCAAAATCACCCACTTCTTTCTGAGCCCATTGTTGGCAATCTCACCATCGGGCAGGGCACCCTGGCTCAGATTCAGAACCCTGGATACTCTTCCATTGCCTTCTTCAGATGAAACCTCCAAATGTTTTATATGCATGTCGCTTCCCTTTGGCTCCATCCCATGGGACCACCTTTGGAGCAGCAGGATCCGGGTCTGCGCCTCTGGACCGTCCAGGCTCGCCTGCATCCCCCCTCCTCCTCCTCGCCCTCCCACCTCACGCTCCAATGCTCCACCCAGCCAGCACCAACCCTCTGGCTCAGCTGCTTCCAGATCTTAGTTCCCCTTCCTTCCTCCTGAGTAAAGCAGCCGCTCCCCAGTCTCTCCTCCTGGGCATCATCCAGGCAGCAGGTCAGAGGTGAGTCTGTCTCAGTGTGAGTCTGTCTGTCTGTCTGTCTCTCTCCTCTCCAAGGACACCTTCCAGCCTGAGGGTTAGAAGACGGCTGTCCAAGCCTCTGGCTGCTGCAGGTGACTGTCTCTGTTAGTACGTTTCTTGCTAGCTTGGGTAATCCCCCTTCCCCAACTTATTCTGGAGGGAAAGTTTGTGCTTCTTTTTATCCAAAAAAATTCCTAACAGAACTAGAAGGTGGCAAAGGGTGCAATGTTCTTGCCGGCAGGGTTCCTGTGCATTGTCAGTTGCCAACAAATTAATGTCAACTTTTCTTTCGGTTTCTGTGATCTGAAATGCTTGGCTCTTTCCCTCGGCTGTGCAATGGAAGGGGCTGCCTCTCTCAGGATCTCAGAATCGCCCCGTTTTCTCTGTACCCATTGGCAATCTCACAATCGGGCAGAGCCAGGGCCGGATTTAGGTTTGATGAGGCCCTCAGCTACTGAAAGTCATGGGGCCCTTGATCTGTCCAGCTGTCATTTGTAAACAACATTTTGTCACTTTTTGTGTGTGTTGAATGTGTGCTATATGGTCACTGAAGGACCTAATAGGTATCTAAAGCCATTTGCACATAATGAAATATAGGTAGGTAGCCTTGTTGGTCTGACAGTCAAAATAAATAAAAAAAATAAAAAATTGACCAGTAGCACCTTAAAGACCAACTAAGTTTGTTCTCAGTAGAAGCTTTCATGTGCAGGTGCCCTTCTTCAGATACACGGAAACAGAAGTCCCCAGACCCTGATATATAGAGGGAGGGTGGGGCGGGGTTTTTCAGACCAGGTCTCTCCATAGTTTTCAGCTGAGTGATAAGTTACAATTCAGCCACTTCTCTCTCAAGTCTATTTCCGAAATTCTTTTACAGTATGACAGCTGCTTGGAGATCCTGCGTTGAATGTCCCAGGAGATGGAAGTGTTCTCCTCCTGGCTTATCTGTCTGGTCTGAATAGAGATATTGGATTCTGGTCTCATTACACATGCTAAAGCTAATTTTGGTCATCTGCATACTTTCTCTTGCTTTTTCTTGTAGGACTAATTGCAGTCATTCACAGTCGTCCACAGGTTGACCATACCCACTGAGTCCTACTACCCTCATGAGAAGGGACGCGGGTGGCGCTGTGGTCTAAACCACTGAGCCTAGGACACAGCAGCCAGATGCTCAGCCAGATGTTGCAGGGCCTGTTTATTTCCCTTCCCACTTGGAGGGACGCAGTGGGGCATGGTGGTTTTGTAACATGGAGAGCACAGCACAAAAACCAAATGTTTTCCCTGTAGAGAAGGAAGTGGTGGAGATCACAGAATTGCAGAGTTGGAAGGGACCCTTACAATGGCTTAGGCATGGCTTCTTTCTTTCTTTGGCGATCCCTTGTAGCTGAGTCAGATTGTTTTCCATTAACACAGTTTTAGCAATGAGTCTGTAAGTGACCGTGGAGGCCAATTCTGTATCCACATGTCCTTCCACAGTGGGGACATTGGTTTCCGGGCGGGAGTTGATCCCGCAAGTGTGCCTTCCTCTTAGCGTGTTTCTCCCTTGCATCCAGAGTTTGAGTGTCTTCAAACCCCATTGACACCTTTGGTCAAGGCTGTTCTCCCATTGGAGCTATCGCAGGCCAGTGTTTCCCAATTGTCAGTGTTTATACTACATTTTTAAAGATCTGCCTTGAGATCTTTCAACCGCTTTTGTGGACCACCAGCATTATGCTTTCCATTTTTAAGTTTGGAATAGAGTAGTTGCTTTGGAAGACGATCATCAGGCATCCGTACAACATGACCAGTCCAAAGTTGATGTTGAAGAATCATTGCTTCAACACTGGCGATCTTTGCTTCTTCCAGTACGCTGGCATTAGTTCTCCTGTGTCTTCCCAAACTTTTTGGAGACCCTTTTGATGGAATCTTTCAAGGAGTTGGAGACGGCGTTGATAAGTGGTCCATGTTTCACAAGCAGACAGTCAGATTGGTAGTACCATAGCAAATTTGGGTTTCCCTGCAAATGTCCCAGTCCTCAAATACTCTGCTCTTCATTCGGGAGAAAGCCGCACTCGCAGAGCTCAGGCAGTGGTGGATTTCGGCATCAATGTCGGCCCTTATGGAAAGATAACTCCCTAGGTAGGAGAAGTGATCGACACTTTCCAACATTACACCATTGAGCTGGATTTGTGGCGCTGCAGAGGTATTATTTTGTGCTTGTTGGTGCAGCTCTTTGGTTTTTTGCATGTGAAGCGACAGGCCAAGCTTTTCGTAAGCTTCTGTGAAGATATTTAGGGTGGTTTGGAAAGCAAAGAGCCGAGTTCCAAATTTTGGAACCAAATATGGCTTGAATCATTTTAGGGTTGTGCCTGGAAGAGAAATACAGTCATACCTCGGGTTAAATACACTTCGAGTTGAGTGCGTTCGAGTTGTGCTCCGCGGCAACCCAGAAGTAACGGAGTGCGTTACTTCCGAGTTTTGCCGCATGCGCATGCGCAGACGCTCAAAATGACATCACGTGCATGCGTAGAATTTGGCGAAAAGTGACGCGCATGTGCGCAGACGTGCCATCACTAGATACGTTTACCTCTAGATTCGAATGGGGCTCCGGAAGGATCCCGTTCGTATCTAGAGGTACCACTGTAGATGTGTTTAGGGTTACAGTGGCGGCAGCAGTAACAAAGACGAACAGCTCCTTTCACATTCCTAAATGTGTCCAAGTTCCGATGTCAGCTTAAAGGCTTAGGTTGCAGTGAGTAAATATGCATAGGAATCAGATGATGGGATTCAGCTGCTAATTATGCCAGGATTATGCCACTCCCAATTTGTCCACTCCTGCTGGCCTTTGCAAAAACTTCGTAACCCAAATCTAGTGCTAGAGTTTGCTCTTTTCTCCCTCCCTCATCCTCCCTTTTCCTTTTGTGTCGTGTCTGTTAGAAGGAAACACAGGCGTTTGTAGGGTTTTTTGGAAGCTCTTATTTTTTTTTAGCCAAGTAAGATTGTCTTCCATAAATACAGTTTTAACCATGACTTTGGAGGCCAATTCTGGATCCCCACATCCTTCCACAGTGGGGACATAGGTTTCTGGGCAGGAACACACACACATACCAGCCTGTGCCAAGGTGCCAGTCCAGATTGGGGGGCCCTGCCGTGGCAGTTTAGTTTGAAAACCCCATTGGCACAAATTGTGAATTGCACAAACGGTGCCACGTCAATGTAGGCCTTGACACAACCTTTTTTTAGTAAGGCATCAAGACTTTTAGTAAGGCTTTCGCTGCACAGCTATCCCTCTTGCTGTTCCGGATTCCGAGATTCAGGATTTTTTTTTCTTGTTTTCCTCCTCCAAAAACTAGGTGCGGTAATTTGTTTAACCAATCCTCTATTGAGGGGACAGTGTCCCCTTTCCAATTTTTAGCTATCAACAACCTGCCAGCGGCCGTGGCATTTAGAAACACACTTTTCTTATCATTCAGGATGTCTTTTGTAACAATACCTGTTAGGAATGCTTCTGGCCTTTTCTCAAAGGATGTTTCAAACATCTTTTTTAGTTCTTCATAAATTGTATTCCAGACCGCCCCCCCCCCCCCATTTTTTCGCATCCCCACCATATGGGAAACATTGTTCCTTCTGCTCTGTTGAATCTCCAACTTCAGTTGGATTTTAATTTGTACGTTTTAGCAAGTCCGGTTGGGGTCATGTCCAACCTGTGCATCATTTTCATTTGGTTCTCCTTAATTGTGTAACAGGCAGTCAATCTAATATCTCGCCTCCATAGCTTTCCCCACTGCTCTGGGATATTCATGCATAGCGACTGCACAGTCTCTCTCTCTCTCTCTTTCTCCTCTCGCCTCCATTGCTGCCAAAATATTTGGGTGGCTGCCCCCTCCCTCCCTCCCTCTCTGGTTTCTTCAGCCCTCTCTGGCTTGTGGCGAAACGTTCCTCTCTGTATCTTCTCTTGACATCCGCGGTGTCAAGGAATGAATCCATTGTAAACGGATGAGTCACTTTAATCTCGATTTTATTTTGGGCGGCTAGGGCGGCTGCCAATGGCCAATTTAAAGCGCCAACCCACCGCTTGTACGGTAGGGCGGTTCATAAAAAACTTTTTTTTGAAAATGCCTACTCCAAAGGTCTTATCTTACCACACTAGGGATTATATAGCTATAGCTGAATTTTCATGCATATCAGTTAATATCTCGACCCTCCTCCACAAAAATAGCTGTTTACTTCACCTTGTGGGGGCCAGACTATATTTTAAGGGGGGGGAATAAACGAATTCCTATGCCCCACAAATAAGCCAGAGATGCATTTTAAATAAAAGGACACATTCTACTCATGTCAAAACACGCTGATTCCCGGACCGTCTGCGGGCCGGATTTGGAAGGTGATTGGGTCTGATCCAGCCCCTGGGCCTTAGGTTGCCTACCCATGCTTTTAACTAACCAGAAAGGAAATCTGGAATCCTCAGGAAAAGGGCAGGGCTACACTGCCTTGCTGGCCAGGCTCTCTCAAGTGCAGTCCTATATTCTTGGCTTCCTAACTTCTGTGATGAACAAATTGTCCAGTAGCACCTTAGAGACCAACTAAGTTTGTTCTGGGTCTAAGCTTTCATGTGCAAGCACACTTCTTCAGATACACTGAAACATGCGCACAAAAGCTTATACCAAGAACAAACTTAGTTGGTCTCTAAGCTGCTACTGGACAATGTTTTTATTTTTTAATATATTTCAAATGCGTCAGATCAACACAGCTATCTACCTGATTCTGTACTGAAAGTCCACCTCACCCTATGTCGGAATGGAAGGGGGGCATGTGCCTCCATTATTTCTTTTTGATATACTTCGTATTTGCTATCTTATTTGGCCAACCTCCCTGTAAGGACTGCGTGGGAGGGGAAAGAAAGAAAGAGTATTTCATCATTGTTATGATTATAGTCTAGCTATCACATTACCTGCATGGAAATGATTTGTGAATTTTGCAATTACCTTCAACGGATTGACAAGAATAGATGATGGAAATGATGGTTTCTAGCCAAAATGCAGGCTGATTTGTCATGGAAGGAGATAAAACAAAGAAGTTTGGACATATGCCTGGTACAAATGGCAAAAAGCCAGATTTCCTCCACCTTGGGACGCGTCGCAGTGGAAAATCACAGGCACAAGAAAGAGAAAGAGAAACGCCACGGACAGACTGTTGAGTCCAAAGAATATAAAGAGAGAAATAAAGAAAATAAATATCCACACAGAAACATATGACATTGGTCCAACCCACTTGCCGGACGAACTCAGTCTGTTAAAAATAAACGAAGGATCAATATTGGAATGTTTTATTGGATTGACCTGGACTAATTAAGATAAGCCGCACAAATGTGAAATCACCATCACGCCCGCCCGCCCCGAACCTCAGAGCATGGGAAGTCAACCAAGGACTTACTATTTGGCTTAATATTTGGATCATTTGGTGATTTTATCATTTGGAATGTTTTTAATGTGGTATTTATTAGATTGTTAAAATGGAAATTTAATCAACATTACTATAAAAAGAGAAGGAAAGAAAGTCCACCTCACCCAAAGTAGTGGGAGACCAGGGAATACCCATTTGCACCGCGAGCCTCCTCCCAGAGGCCTCGGTGGCATCCGATAGGTGGTTGCTAAGCAACCACGGATGCCTCCCTGGTCCTCCATCTCCTGTTAACTGTGACATCTTCTCTCCTCACTGTCACTGAGAACACCCAAAGGAGAACGCAGAGCCCAGAGGCTTCACCGAGGTCACCCACATGTGCGAGAAAAATGATGGTGAAGGAAGCAGAAACACGGAAACGGATGTCAACGACAAAGGCAATTTCTGGGGGATGCTATTAGTTTTGTGGCTTGGGAGGAAATGGGTGGAGGGTCTCAGCTAGTGGTACCTGCCACCCCCCCCCCAAAAAAACCCTCCATGATTGTTAAGAGTCCTGCTGCAGACTGAAAATTCCCCGCCCCAATGCGATTAAATCAAAAAGCTCTGGGGTAATATTTACGAAGAATTTTAATGGGTGTTCAAAATGACATTTGAAAAAAGACCAGAAGCCTTTCTTCTCCCCCCCCCCCCCGGGTAACACTTCTTTATTCATTTTATGTACAATCTTTACAACAAAAGACTTCACATCCAAGACAAAACAGTATATAACAAAACCTTGAGTCTCATATTTTCATTTGTACTGATTCTTCTCAGATTCCCTTATTTTACTATTCCTTAATTTCTGTCTCCTTTTGGTTCCTTATCCTTAATCTCTTAGGTCCCATATATATCTTTAACAATTTTTCAATTAATGCCCTCACCTCCTTCCCCCTAAACTTGTTGCTTCCCTTCACCCATGTACGATCTTCTTTACATACTATTGTTGCTGTTTTTGTTGTTGAGTTAACAGCTGTTTATATTTGTTTTTCCATATTTGTTTTAATATCATCCTATAACCTTGAGCCCTTTAAACTATCGCATATCAATTTTAGACTCCGAAGCCAACTCTTTTCATGTAATCCTTTACGCACTCTCACTCTTTATAAAAAAAATTATTAGCACAGCCTCTAATTGTTGCTGTTAACTTTGCCATCTCTGCAAATTCACAAAGTTTAGCTTGCCATTCTAGTAATTCTGGAATTTTGTCTGTTTTCCGGTTTTTTGCCACTAATATTCTGCCCGCTGCTGTTGAATAAAGGAATACATTCCTTTTATCCTTGGGGATGTCACTAGATATTAAGCCCAGCAGAAAACATTCTGGCTTTTTAGAAATTGAACTCCTAAGTATCTTTTTGAGCTCTTCATGTATCACAATCCAAAACTGTTTAACCACCTTACACCACATGTGGCACATTGTCCCCACCTCCCTCCAGCAGAGATTTGAGTACTTTTTGTACATCTTTGATAATTTTACTGGGGTGAGGTACCAACGATAGAACATCTTCATTATATTCTCTTTAATCAGATAGCAGGCTGTAAAGTTTATATCGGTTTTCCATAACCTTTCCCATCTCTCTAAATGGCCCAGAAGCCTTTCTTCTAGGAATAGGGACATCCCCAACAACAAGAAAAAAAATTCTTATACGCCTCCAGGATTTTGGTGGCAAAAAACTGGAAGGGAGATAAAGTCCTTTCAGTGGCAGAAGGGCAAATTGAATTTTGTGAATTCATTGAATTGGCCAAAATGATGACAGCAATCAGATTACATTCTAACCAAAACTTAAAGAAAGAGTGGGAATGTGTAGATGAATCTATGGGAAAACAGTGTTCTGAATGAAATTGATTTATATGTTTAGACTGAAATCCACAAAGTTACAATAGAAAGAGCTACAAGATTATATGGGATAATATCTAAAGTACAAAATTTTTCTGTCTATAAGATGCCCCCATGTATAAGATGCCCCCTATTTTTGGGGACTCAGATTTAAGAAAATGGGGGGGAGAGATATCCATGTACAAGACGCCCCCCCTAATTTTTAACATTATTTTTTAGGGGGGAAACCTAGTCTAATAATAATAATAATAATAATAATAATAATAATAATTTGTACCCCGCCCATCTGGCTGGGTTTCCCCAGCCACTCTGGGTGGCTTCCACAGAGACCAAAAATACACTAAGATGTCACACATTGAAAACTTCCCTGAACAGCCTTAAGATGTCTTCTGACTGTCAGGTACAGTGGTGCCCCGCAAGACGAATGCCTCGCAAGACGGAAAACCCGCTAGACGAAAGGGTTTTCCGTTTTGGAGGTGCTTCGCAAAACGAATTTCCTATGTGCTTGCTTCGCAAGACGAAAATGTCTTGCGAGTTCCTGCGGGGTTTTTTTCCTTTCCCCACCTTTCCCCAAGCCGCTAAACCGCTTATCAGCTGATGGCTAAGCCGCTTAACAGCTGATGCTAAGCCGCTTATCAGCTGATCGTTAAGCCGCTTGTCAGCTTATCGTTAAGCCGCTTATCAGCTGATCGTTAAGCCGCTTATCAGCTTATGTTAAGCCGCTTATCAGCTTATGTTAAGCCGCTTATCAGCTGATCCACTAAGCCCGCTAAGCCGCTAATACTGTAGCACTAATCCGCTAATGGGCTTGCTTCGCAAGACGAAAAAACCCGCAAGATGAAGAGACTGGCGGAACGGATTCTTTTCGTCTTGCGAGGCACCACTGTAGTTATTTATCGCTTTGACATCTGATGGGAGGGCGTTCCACAGGGCGGGCGCCACTACTGAGAAGGCCCTCTGCCTGGTTCCCTGTAGCTTTGCTTCTCGCAATGAGGGAACTGCCAGAAGGCACGGAAAAATACAGTATACTGTTTGAACACAAATAAAGGATATACTGTAGAAATCAATCTAATGGGGCCAAGCATGGGTGGAGGGAAGGTCATAGGGACACTAAGGGTGAAAGGATGTTTGGATACATATATATACAATGTACGTCAAAAAATGTTAAAAGGTGTCTTCTTTTAAATGGATCAAAGTATTAATGTGAGGAGCAAATAAAAGTTAATTTTAAATGAGGGAGAAAGGGAAATCCCCTGCAATAAAAGTATGTTTAGGGGTCCCAGATGAGACAACCAAGGTCCATAAAAGGGCAGGGCTGTGCCAGGGCCCCGGTTGGCACATGCAGAGCGAGGGCTGCATGTTCACTGCAACATAATGGAGACCTTTCGGAAAACCTGCCTAGCCTGTGTAGTAAGCCAGCCAGACGAGCTGCATAAAAATAAAATGGGATTTATATCATCACAGAAGCTTAGGAAAGAGTACTATGGTCCCAGCAAAGCAGCCATGGTTCCAGATGTGCAGTTAAAATAACTACAAACATCAGATTCAGGTAGGTAGCCATGTTTGTCTGATGCAGTCGAGAGAGAGAGAGAGAGAGAGACAAAATAATAATAATAATAATAATAATAATAATAATAATAATAATAATGTCCAGTTTTCCTCCATGAAAATAGCTGTTTCCTTGGCCATTTTCCTATGTTGTGAAGGCTGAAATGTCAATTCAGTGGAGCAGGGTCAAGATATTAACTGATATGCATGAAATTTCAGATATAGCTATATAATCCCTAGTGTAGTAAGATAAAACCTTGGGAGCAGGTCTTAAAAAATAAGGTTTTTTATGAACCGCCCTACTATATATAGATGTCTTTTGTTTTTCTAGCTTGATCAAAATGATTGATTCTTTCATAACAGGTAGATAGTTAAGAGATTAGGCAGCTTCCGTCCACCCCAGAATGTGGCGCCCAAGTGCCCCACGCCCCTTGCGCCCCTGGGTCAAGACGGCCCTGACCTGCCACCCCCCCAAAAAACTCCATGGCTCTTAAGATTCCTGCTGTGGACAGAAAACCCCTCACCCTGAACGATGGAGAAATGCAATAAAAATACATTTAGGGGTCCCAGACGAGACAACCAAGGTCCATAAAAGGGCAGGGCTCTGCCAGGGCCCCCGGTTGGCACATGCAGAGCGAGGGCTGCATGTTCACTGCAATGCAATGGAGACCTTTTGGGAAACCTCTGCCCATGGCGCCCTGCCCAGCCTTTGACCTGCCTGCGTAGCAAGCCGGCCAGACAAGCTGCATAAAAATAAAATGTGATTTATATCACAGAAGCTTATGTCAGGGTCCCAGCCAAGCAGACACAGTTCCTGGCATGCAGTTAAAATAACTGCAAAGAGGATGACAGGGAGAAGAATCCACACTTTTGTTGTTGATCCATCTCCAGATTGAAAATGATGCAGTTTGGTCTGCAGCCCCAGAGATGTGGGGGTCAGAACATGGCCTCCCTATCTCAGTCTAATAATAATAATAATAATAATAGTAATAGTAATAATAGTAGTTATAACAATTTATTATTTCTACCCCGCCCATCTGGCTGGGTTTTCCCAGCCACTCTGGGCAGCTTCCAACAGAAGGTTAAAAATACATTGAAACACCAGTCATTAAAAACTTCTCGAAACAGGGCTGCCTTCAGATGTCCTTTAAAAGTGAGATAGTTATTTCCTTGACATCTGATGGGAGGGCGTTCCACAGGGCGGGTGCCACTACCGAGAAGGCCCTCTGCCTGGATCCCTGTAACCTCGCTTCTCACAGGGAGGGAACCACCAGAAGGCCCTCAGAAGAGGGACCCCGGTGTCCGGGGTGGAGATGCTCCTTCAGGTCTATTGGGCTGAGGCCGTTAAAGGCTTTCAAGGTAAGCACTGAGACTTTGAATTGTGCCCAGAAAAGTCCCGGGAGCCGATGCAGGTCTTTCAGGACTGGTGTTATATGGCCTTGGTGAGACTTGATTTAAAACTTTTATTTTACAGAAAGGTTCAACCTTGCTGGCATCCTCTTAATAGTGACAACCAGAGGAAAGTTTCCTCTACCAGGCCATTTAGAGCTTTCAAGGTCAGCACCAACACTTTGAGTTGTGCCTGGAAACGTCCTGGGAGCCAATGCAGGTCTCTCAGGACTGGTGTTATGTGGTCTCAGGGGCTGCTCCCAGTCCCCAGTCTGGCTGCCGCATTCTGGATTAGTTGTAGTTTCTGGGTCACCTTCAAAGGTAGCCCCACGTAGAGTGCATTGCAGTAGTCCAAGCGGGAGATAACCAGAGCATGCGCCACTCTGGGCAGGTAGGGTCTCATCCTGTGTCCCAAATGGAGCTGCCCTGGACACAGAATGGACCTGCGCCTTCATGAACACCTCTGAGTCCAAAATGGTGTCCAGGCTGCACACCTGGTCCTTCATGCTCTATTTTGAGTAGCAGCAACTATGGGAGGCCAAGCATTTCATCTTGCTGCCTCCTTCTGTGTGTGCCAAGTTGTCTTCCAAACACCATGGAAACTAAGCTCTAAGGTTGGCTGCGTGACAAAGGGATTAACGCGATTATTCAAGTTGGAACAAAATATTTGCATGTTCTTGTGGGGCCGTTTAGTGGCTCACAGCCTGGCAGCTCATTTTAGAACACCATTTGGCTCGCTTCGGCTGCCATGCCGACTATTTGCAGGGTAACCTTTCCGCTTAATCCTTCCCATAGGATCTTGACGTTTAGGGCTCTCAGAAAGCTTTGTCTGCCTTTGTAACGAACGACAGACACGATGTGACCATTGCCATCCCAGTTGCCCCCAAAATATTCCTGCTGGTTTATCCCTTTGGGGTACCAGTGAAAATGATGTATTGGACAGAGATGGATGATGCTGCAGCAGGCGGACATTGTTCCAAACTTCTGATTTGATACCTGCGTGGAGGGTGGGAATTCCCCCCCCCCAAGAGCTGTTTGTACCCACTTTTCTTCCTTATATGATAGAGCAGATAGAGGTTAAATCCTGACAAGACAGAAGTACTCTGAGAGCCAGTGTGGTGTAGTAGTTAAGAGCGGTAGTCTCGTAATCTGGGGAACCGGGTTCGCGTCTCCGCTCCTCCACATGCAGCTGCTGGGTGACCTTGGGCCAGTCACACTTCTCGGAAGTCTCTCAGCCCCACTCACCTCACAGGGTGTTTGTTGTGGGACAGGAAGGGAAAGGAGAATGTTAGCCGCTTTGAGACTCCTTAAAGGGAGTGAAAGGCGGGATATCAAATCCAAACTCCTCCTCCTCCTCCTCTTCTTCTTCTTCTTCTTCTTCTTCTTCTTCTTCTTCTTCTCTTCTTGGGGGGGGGGGCAGGGGGCTGCTGGGTGTGGGGGACTCCTTGGTCCTGAATGGGGCAACTGTATCCCTGAAGGACCGGGTGTGCAGCCTGGGGGTCATTTTGGATCCATGGAGGTACAGGTCCATTCTGTGTCCAGGGCAGGTCCATCTGGGATGCAGGATGAGACCCTCCCTGCCCACTGACTGTCTTGCCAGAGTGGCGCATGCTCTGGTTATCTCTCACTTGGACCACTGCAATGCACTCTATGTGGGGCTGCCTTGGAAGGTGACCCAGAAACTACAACTAATTCAGAATGCGGCAGCCAGACTGGGGACTGGGAGCGGCCGCAGAGACCAGTCCTGAGAGAGAGTGGGGCCCTAAGCTACAGCTTGTTGAGCTCATACTTAAATCCTGCACTGGCATAGATAGACAGATGGATGGATAGATAGATAGATAGATAGATAGATAGATAGATAGATAGATAATTGATTGATCGATAGATTAGATAGATGATAGATAGATAGATAGATAGATAGAGTGGTACCTTGGGTTACATATGCTTCAGGTTACAGACGCTTCAGGTTACAGACTCCGCTAACCCAGAAATAGTACCTCGGGTTAAGAACTTTGCTTCAGGATGAGAACAGAAATTGCGCGGTGCTAGCGGGAGGCCCCATTAGCTAAAGTGGTGCTTCAGCTTAAGAACAGTTTCAGGTACCACTGTAGATAGAAAATATAAGATGATAGATTAGATGATAGATAGATATAAGATAGATAGATGATCAATAGATAGGTGATAGATAGATGATAGGTAGGTTAGGTCGAGGAGTCATGAGCAACTCATTCAATGTGATTCTGCTCTCTTCACAGCTGAGCTGTGGTGGATCAGGAGAGAAAGCTGCGTAGTTTCCCCCCCAGTGCCCCTTCTGTACCTCTGAAGGTTTGATAACTAGGGGCTCTTCCCATCACAGAAGAGGGAGAGGGAGGGAGGGAGAGAGAGAGAGAGGGAGGGAAGGAAGGAAAGAAGGAAAGAAGGAGAGAGAGAGAGAGGGAGAGATTTTCCAGTTCCTTTTAGATGTTTGCCATCTGCTTCTCCTCTCTGTGAACCTTCGGGTCTGAAATTCTCTTTAGCTTTGGCCAATCCCACCTGTTGCTGAGACGGAACATCCCTGACCATTCGCTGAGAGGTGTTTGCCAAAGAGAGTTTGGCTGGGGGCATAATTCAGCAGCAGCTTTGACTCCTCCTCCAAGCCTTGTGCTTTCCCTCTTCCCTCTTCTCTCCCTTCTATTATGCCATGGATAGGCAGACTAAGGCCCGGGGACCAGATCCGGCCCAATCGGCTTCTCAATCCGGCCTGCGGGCGGTCCAGGAATGGGCATGTTTTGACATAAGTATAATGTGCCCTTTAATTTAAAATGCATCTCTGGGTGATTTGTGGGGCATAGGAATTCATTCATATTTTCCCCCCAAAATCTAGTCCGGCCCCCCACAAGGTCTGAGGGACCAGACCCTGCCAAAAAAGCTTGCTCACCCCTGTATTACGGTCTCCGCCATTGCCAGATTTATGTCTAGGGGGCTAAGTCGGCTGAAGCTTAGGGCCTTAGATGCACTTTCTTCAAGAGATAAGTTTAGGATCAAATCATTTCTTCCTATATTACAGGCAGGCCCAATAGGCAGATCGTGATCTACCGGTAGATCACTGGACGTCTGTCATAGATCACAAGCTCGCCCCAAAAAAGCTCAACAGCTTTGACCTGAACCCCCCAAAAGGGGGTAGATCACTGCCAGTTTTTAACTCGGTGATTTTTTAACCCTGTAATATACCCTCTATACAACATTTTCATATAATTATCTTTTAGCAGCGTACAATAGGGCGGTTCATGAAAAACTTTTTTTTGAAAATGCCTTCTCCAAAGGTACTACACTAGGGACTCTCCTTCATGAAAATAGCCGTTTTCCTATATTGTCGTGAAGGCTGAAATGTCAATTCAGCGGAGCAGGGTCAAGATATTAACTGAGATGCATGAAATTTCAGATATAGCTATATAATCCCTAGTGTAGAAAGAGAAGACCTTTGGAGCAGGCATTTAATAAATAAATAAATTATGAACCACCCTAGTATGCAATCAGTGAATATTAAATTCATTCTCCGTAACTTTTCCCAACCCTCCATTTGTACATGATGTCCTATATCTTGGGCCCATTTCATCGTTACCAATTTAACCCCCTCACTCCCACCTTTCAGGCTTAAAGGTGGGAGATTCCTTGCACCCTTCAGCTTGACCCTCATCACGACCCTCTGTTTGGGGCAGTTGGTGGTATTGCAAAAGCAACTGTTTTGGGGCTATGTTGGGAAGTGTATCAGAAACCAGGCGGGGGACTAAGGCAAGGAGACAAGGCACCAAGGAAAATTGAGGAAAGGAGCGCTAGTAAAACCATGGAGGCTCACTTTCAGAAAAGGCCACATTGCTTCACATCGGCTGGGAGAGAATTCTGAGCCTGCAATGTGTCTGCGGCCGCTGCCCAATGGGAAATAAAACTAATTTTGATGGGTGTGTATCAGTTCCTGACTGTGTTTAACTATATGAATTCTTTATACATCATATAAACATAAACATTATCAAATTAAGTAGAAGCAATTAAAAACCACCATTCTGAACAGGAAATACAAATAGATCCTTTCTTACATACGTAATGTCCAAATAGAAGCTTTTTTTGTGTTCCACATACAGTACGTCTTTATGAATACAAGTGTCAGATGCGACAACTTTAAGAAGCGGTACTCGCAGAAAATGAACTTTTTATTTGAAGGGTTCCATGTACACCTTTGCAAAGTATAGTTATTGTATGCAGGTATAAGACAAAAGATACAAAAGATCTTAACATATGCCTTTGCAAAATATAGTTGCTGTATGCAGGTATCACACAAAAGAACTTAAGACAAGGATTCCCGGAATAACACCTTGTTTCGCCTTGTCAGGCTTCGTCAGCCATGCATACTTTAAATAATACATAATAATAATAATAATAATAATAATAATAATAATAATAATAATAAATTATTTCTACCCACCACTCTGGGCGGCTTCCAACAAAATATTAAAATACAATAGTGCACCAGACATTAAAAGCTTCCCTAAACAGGGCTGCCTGTAGTTTTTTTTAAACAAATTAAGAAATAAAACATAACACGCATGGATCTCCATACCATATTTTGTGACCTGGCGGATCCCACAGTAAACAAACAGTAATCCTATGTTTACTTTTCTAGAGAGACACAGTGTTAATTCTTGTTACAGGTGGCAGCAATCTACAGCAAAGTTTTTTAATCTCTTAAAACAGGCATCCCCAACCTGCGGCCCTCCAGATGTTTTGGCCTACAACTCCCATGATCCCTAGCTAACAGGACCAGTGGTCAGGGATGATGGGAATTGTAGTCCAAAACATCAAGAGGGCCAAAGGTTGGGGGTGTCTGTCTTAAAGTGACCCCTTTGAAACCACCAGATTCAACATAGATTTTTAAGGTTATCCATTGTATGTCAAGATATTAATGATGACTCATAAAAAAACTATAATCTATTTCTGTATTTAAACCTGCGGGATGCAAAGAATCAAGCAGGAAAATCAATCTAGTTTCCTTCTGCAGAAGAATCTTTTGGGCATGCTAGTTGGATTTACATAACTATAGGTTTGATAATGTTGTGCAGGCTTCCTCAACCTTGGGCCTCCAGATGTTTTTGGGCTGCAACTCCCATCATTCCTAGTTAGCAGGACCAGTGGTCAGGGATGCTGGGAATTATACAGTGGTGCCCCGCAAGACGAATGCCTCGCAAGACGGAAAAACCGCTAGACGAAAGGGTTTTCCGTTTTGAAGTTGCTTCGCAGGACGAATTCCCCTATGGGCTTGCTTCGCAAGACGAAAATACCTTACGAGTCCTGAGATTTTTTTCGCTTCCCCCTTTATCTAATCTGCTAAGCCTTTAATATCCTTTAATAGCCTTTTAGCAGCTTATCCCCTAAGCCTTTAAGCCTTTAATAGCCGCTAAACAGCTGATAGCGCTATTAGCGCTAATCCGTCAATGGGCTTGCTTCGCAAGACGAAAAAACCGCTAGACGAAGACTCTTGCGGAACGGATTAATTTCGTCTTGCGAGGCACCACTGTAGTTTCAAAACAGCAGGAGGGCTGAAGTTGAGGAAGCCTGGTGTTGTATATCAGTTCCTGGCAAGTGTAATAAAACGGAGACAAATGGAGACTTGGCTCGCTTTTCCAAACGAGAATGAAGTATAAGCCTTGGAAGAGGTTTCCAGTGTATTAGTCATTAGAGAAGAAGCCACAGGGAGAAAGCTTTATTTGGAAATGTCGGAGATGTAGGGACACAAAATGGGAAGGTTTTGGCCGCTTCGCGGCAAAGCATGTTTGGAAAAAAGCGACAACTTTCACCCTAGACCAGGCATAGGCAACCTTCAGCCCTCCAGATGTTTTGGACTAGGGTTCCCATCATCCCTGACCTTCTAGATAGGGATCATGGGAGTTGTAGGCCAAAATACTTGGAGGGCCGAAGGTGGCCTATGCATGCCTAGACCAGTGGTGGCAAATCTTTTTGAGACCGAGTGCCCAAACCGCAGCCCCAAACCCCTTTATTTATCGCAAAGTGTTAACACAAAGTGCCCAGAGTTGAGCTTTTTTGGGGTGGGTGGGTAGTGGGGTTCCCCAGAGTTGTTGTTTTGGGGAGGGGTTTTGGGGAGAGACCTGACTCTCGTTCAAATCGGAACCAGGGAAGGCGGTGAAGGTCGAGTGCAAGTGCCTGGTTGTGGTTGGAGGACGGGTCATGACTATCAGGTTGAGGTTGGATCCAGACAAGACAGAAGTCCTGTTGTAGGTGGGGGGGGGTGACTCCCTGGTCCTGAATGGGGCAACTGTGCCCTTGAAGGACCAGGTGTGGAGCCTGGGGGTCATTTTGGACCTAAGGAGGCGCAGGTCCATTCTGTGTCCAGGGTGGCTGCATCTGGGATGCAGGATGAGACCCTTCCGGCCCACTGACTGTCTCGCCATAGTAGTGAATGCTCTAGTTTCTATCTCCCAATTGGACTACTGCAATGCGCTCTACGTGGGGCTGCCTTGGAAGGTGACCGGAAACTACAACTAATCCAGAATGCGGCAGCCAGACTGGGGACTGGGACCACCGAGACCACATAACACCGGTCTTGAAAGACCTGCCTTGGCTCCCAGGAAGTTTCCGAGCCCAATTCAAAGTGTGTTAAGAGGATGCCAGCGCGGCTGAACCTTTCTGTAAAATAAAGTCTGATCAAGACCGTATAACACTGGTCCTGAAAGACCTACGTTGGCTCTCAGAACGTTTCTGGGCCCAATTCAAAGTGTCGGTGTTGACCTTGAAAGCCCTAAATGGCCTCGGCCCAGTAGGCCTAAAGGAGCGTCTCCACCCTGGTCCCTCTCCCTTCTGGCTGTTTCCTCCCTGCTAGAAGCCAAGTTACAGGGAACCAGGCAGAGGGCCTTCTCAGTAGCGGTGCCTGCCCTGTGGAACACCCTTCCGTCAGATGTCAAAGGAATAAAGAACGATTAGAAGACATCTGAAGGCAGCCCTGTTTAGGGTGAATGACAGATGTTTTCATGTATTTCTAACCTTCCATTGGAAGCCGCCCAGAGTGGCTGGGGAAACCCAGCCAGATGGTCGGGATAGAAACCATAAATCATCATCATCAACAACAACAACAACAACAACTAGTTCAGAACAAGAATCCTGTCCCCTCCTGCAATTTCTAGCGTCTGGTGCTCAGAAACATTACTGCCTCCAGCCCTGTGTTTTATTATTTCTGCATCCTCTTGGCCCTTTCGTTGGGCCCCATTAAGGAATTTATATGCCAATTTCATATGAAACATTACCCCGAAGTGAGGTTCTGATGCCCTTCTTTGCTTGCTGTTGATTGCCACTGAAATTACCTGTTTGGTGATCGTGACTAATAGTTCATCCATGCGGGGGCCCTTTTAAGCAGCGTTGAGTGACAGGAGGAAACATGAGAATGCCACCATTCATCCGTTCTCCCACCCTGAAATATACTCAGTCGTAAAGTGATTTCATGCTCTTTATTCAGCTCATAGTGGTGAGGAGGAATGAATGAATGTCCCCTCAAAGTATCTGCTTTATATACATTAATTACACAATGGGCTGCACATGATTGGCTAATTCTGGAATTCTACTGTAAGCCAATTAGGTTGTGGATTCACTTATATCTGGAGCATGATTGGGTGGTTCCTGCCAACCAATCATACTGCTGCATTGTTCTAGGACCAATCAGACTGCTGCATTCTGAATCCTATTGTTCTAGGACCAATCAGACTGCTGCAATTTGGATCCTATTGTTCTAGGACCAATCAGACTGCTGCAGTTTGGATCCTGTTCAACTCAGTACATAACACTCCCCCTTCCCATTTATGGCAGGAGCGTTAAGGCTGAGGAAAAGCTTTGGAAAACACAACACATACTCACCGTGCAAAGCCACGGATTGGGAAAACAGAGCTTCAACCTTGATGGAGAGCAACTTGTGCGAGTTCAATGAAGCACTCTGAAGGAAACGTTCCAAGGCCGAAGCCCACAATTGGTTTAGGCTGTAGGTCAGGCATTCCCAACCTCAGATGTTTTGGACTACAGTTCCCATCATTCCTGACAACTGGTCCTGTTAGCTAGGAATCATGGGAGTTGTAGGCCAAGTTGTAGGGCTGCAGGTTGGGGATGCCAGCTGTAGGTGAACACAGTTTTCTGTTTAACAGTTTCAATACAGGATCTCCAAGCAGCTGTCTTCTGAAAAAATAATTTCGGAAATAGACTTGAAAGAGAAGTGTCTGAATTGCAACTTATCACTCAGCTGAAAACTATGGAGGGAGCTGGTCTGAATAGAGATACTGAATTCCTGTCTCTTTACACACGCTAAAGCTATTTTGGGTCATTTGCATACCATCCCTTGCTTTTTCAGTCATTCATAGTCGCTAGCAGGCTGACCATACCCACTGAGTCCTACGACCATTTGGAGAAAACCCCCACCCACCCCCACTATATATGAGGTTCTGGGGACTCCCCTCCCTCTATATATCAGGGTCTGGGGACTCCCCTCCCTCTATATATCAGGGTCCGGGGACTCCCCTCCCTCTATATATCAGGGTGTGGGGACTCCCCTCCCTCTATATATCAGGGTCCGGGGACTCCCCTCCCTCTATATATCAGGGTCTGGGGAATCATAGAATCATAGAATCATAGAGTTGGAAGAGACCACAAGGGCCATCGAGTCCAACCCCCTGCCAAGCAGGAAACACCATCAGAGCACTCCTGACATATGGTTGTCAAGCCTCTGCTTAAAGACCTCCAAAGAAGGAGACTCCACCACACTCCTTGGCAGCAAATTCCACTGTCGAACAGCTCTTACTGTCAGGAAGTTCTTCCTAATGTTGAGGTGGAATCTTCTTTCTTGTAGTTTGGATCCATTGCTCCGTGTCCGCTTCTCTGGAGCAGCAGAAAACAACCTTTCTCCCTCCTCTATGTGACATCCTTTTATATATTTGAACATGGCTATCATATCACCCCTTAACCTCCTCTTCTCCAGGCTAAACATGCCCAGCTCCCTTAGCCGTTCCTCATAAGGCATCGTTTCCAGGCCTTTGACCATTTTGGTTGCCCTCCTCTGGACACGTTCCAGTTTGTCAGTGTCCTTCTTGAACTGTGGTGCCCAGAACTGGACACAGTACTCCAGGTGAGGTCTGACCAGAGCAGAATACAGTGGCACTATTACTTCCCTTGATCTAGATGCTATACTCCTATTGATGCAGCCCAGAATTGCATTGGCTTTTTAGCTGCCGCGTCACACTGTTGGCTCATTTCAAGTTTGTGGTCAACCAAGACTCCTAGATCCTTTCACATGTACTGCTCTCAAGCCAGGTGTCACCCATCTTGTATTTGTGCCTCTCATTTTTTGCCCAAGTGCAATACTTTACATTTCTCCCTGTTAAAATTCATCTTGTTTGTTTTTGCCCAGTTCTCTAATCTGTCAAGGTCGTTTTGAAGTGTGATCCTGTCCTCTGGGGTGTTAGCCACCCCTCCCAGTTTGGTGTCATCTGCAAATTTGATCAGGATGCCCTTGAGTCCATCATCCAAGTCGTTGATAAAGATGTTGAATAAGACCGGGCCCAAGACAGAACCCTGTGGCACCCCACTAGTCACTCTTCTCCAGGATGAAGAGGAACCATTGATGAGCACCCTTTGGGTTCGGTCAGTCAGCCAAGCCAGTTACAAATCCACTGAGTGGTAGCATAGTGAAGACCGCATTTTACCAGCTTCTTTACAAGAATATCATGGGGCACCTTGTCAAATACCTTGCTGAAATCAAGGTAGGCTACATCCACTGCGTTCCCTTCATCTACCAGGCTTGTAATTCTGTCAAAAACGAGATCAGGTTAGTCTGACATGACTTATTTTTCAGAAATCCATGCTGACTATTGGTGATCACAGCATTCCTTTCTAGGTGCTCACAGACTGTTTGCTTAATGATCTGCTCCAGAATCTTCCCTGGTATTGATGTCAGACTGACTGGGCGGTAATTATTTGGGTCCTCTCTTTCCCCTTTTTGAAAATAGGGACAACATTTGCCCTCCTCCAGTCTGCCGGGACTTCGCCTGTTCTCCAGGAATTCTCAAAGATGACTGCCAGTGGTTCTGAGATCACATCTGCCAGTTCTTTTAATACTCTTGGATGCAGTTCATCTGGCCCTGGAGACTTGAATACATCTAAACTAGCCAAGTATTCTTGTACTATCTCCTTAGTTATTCTGGGCTGTGTTTCCTCTGCTAAATCATTTGCTCCAAATTCTTCAGGTCGGGCATTGTTTTCTTTATTGGAGAAGACTGAGGCAAAGAAGGCATTGAGGAGTTCAGCCCTTTCTGTGTCCCCTGTTTGCATTTCACCATCTTCTCCTCTGAGTGACCCCACTGTTTCTTTGTTCTTCCTTTTGCTACGGACATACCCATAAAAGCCTTTTTTGTTGCTTTTAACCTCTCTAGCAAGCCTGAGTTCATTCTGTGCTTAAGGTTTTCTGACTTTGTGTCTACACGTGCTGGCTATTTGTTTGAATTCCTCTTTGGTGGTTTCCCCCCTTTTCCATTTTTTGTACACATCTTAACTCAGTTAAAAGTTCTTTAGATAGCCACCCTGGCTTCTTTAGGCACCTTCCATGTTTCTGTCTCATTGGTGTTGCCTGAAGTTGTGCTTTTACTGTCTCCCTCTTAACAAACTCCCAGCCATCATGAACTCCCTTTCCTTTTAGTATTACTGTCCATGGGATCTCACCCAGCACTTCCCTAAGTTTTATGAAGTCGGCTTTCTTAAAGTCAAGAAATTGAGTCCTAGTATGCTTGGCTGCTCCTTTCCGCTGTATAGTAAACTTCAGAAGAGCATGATCACTCGCGCCTAATGATCCTTCCACTTCTACCCCACTAACCAGGTCATCAACATTGGTTAGGACCAGATCTAAAATGGCTGTTCCTCTTGTTGCTTCTCCCACTTTCTGGACAATGAAGCTGTCTGCAAGGCCAGTGAGGAATCTGTTTGACCTTATGCTCTTGGCTGAGTTTGACATCCAACAAATATCCAGGTAATTGAAGTCCCCCATTACTACTATCTCCTTCCTTTTGCATGCTTGGCCATCTGTTCCAGGAAGGCATCATCTATGTCCTCCGTTTGGCTTGGGGATCTATAGTAAACTCCCACAATGAGGTCACTGTTATTCTTCTCTCCCTTAATTTTGACCCAAATGCTCTCACTTTGGCTTTGAGGTTCTAAATCTTGGATCTCTTCACAGGTATACACATCCCTGACATATAACGCCACTCCTCCTCCTTTCTTGTCTGGTCTGTTTCTCTGAAATAGATTGTATCCCTCCATTATTACATTCCAATCGTGGGACTTATCCCACCAGGTTTCAGTGATGCCTATTATGTCATATTTAGTTTTTACATGAGTAGAATGTGTGCTTTGATTTAAAATGCATCTCTGGGTTATTTGTGGGACATAGGAATGCGTTCATTTTTCCCCCCAAAATCTAGTTCGTCCCCCCACAAGGTCTGAGGAACAGGGGGCCAGCTCATGGCTGAAAAAGTTTGCTGACCCCTGAGTTAGTTTATACAGTTAGTTTATACAGGTTACATTTGATGGAAGCAGGACTCTCAGAAAGAGTCCCATCCTGTGAATAAAACAGTATTTAAACAGCATTCAAAATGTTTGACATCAGGCTTCCTCAGCCTCAGCCCTCCAGATTTTTATGGCCTACAACTCCCAAGATCCCACTAGCAGGACCAGTGGTCAGGGATGATGGGAATTGTAGTCTCAAAACATTTGGAGGGCTGAGGTTGAGGAAGTCTGCTCTACATAAGAAATCAAACAACAAACGTTTAATTTCACAATATAACACAACCACTTCCAGATACTCACAGAGGACTCACAGAAGCTCAGAAGTGAAGTTGCCTGATGATGCTCAGCCTGAACCATAATAATAATAATAATAATAATAATAATAATAATTTTTCATTTCTAACCCTGCCCATCTGGCTGGCTCTCCCCAGCCGCTCTGAGCTGCTTCCCACAAAAGATTAAAAAGACAGCCGTTTAAAATTTCCTGAAATTATGCACACACACACCCCCCCCGAGAGGGCTCAGATTCCTACAGGGGCTACTCAGCATTTTGGACGTTTTCAGAGACTGAAGTAGCTGGGCAGGTATTTATATCCTGTTGACGGTGCCCTATTCTTCTCCCCTGAGATCACCTAAAATGGTAAATGTTTTCTGTGGGATGAGGGCCACCAGTCCTGGGCAAAGGGGTGTGGACATCTCTTGGTGCCCCCCCCCCCATATTAATAGCCTCCCTGAACTCTCAAACTGGGAGAGCTCTTACCAGCCAAGCTCCTATAGTAGGGCTAGTTGGGAATTGGTCTTCGCTGAAGGATGGCTTATCACAGGCATGCAGGTAACCCTCCTCTGCCCCCCAAATATATATATGGCATTTCATTGTCTTTTGTGCTTCGGGCAAGAGATCTGGCTGGCTGGCTTGCTCTTTCAACAGGATTTCGCTGTGCTGGAAATTCTTCCTTTGAGCCTTGGGGTGTGTGTGTGCTTTCTAACAAAAAAGAGACCCTTTGTGCGATGATATTCCTTCCAGGGTGGGCAGTAGGGTGGTTCATAAAAAACTTTTTTTTTTGAAAATGCCTTCTCCAAACGTCTTATCTTAACTACACTAGGGATCTCTGAAATTTCGTGCATATCAGTTAATATCTTGACCCTCCTCCACAAAAATAGCTGTTTACTTGCCCATTTTCCTATATTGTGAAGGCTGAAATGTCAATTCAGTGGAGCAGGGTCAAGATATTAACTGATATGCTTGAAATTTCAGAAATAGCTATATAATCCCTAGTGTAGTAAGATAAAACCTTTGGAGAAGGCATTTTAAAAAAAAGTTTTTATGAACCGCCCTAGTGGGTAGAGGTTCTGCTAACTGCTGCAAGAAGGATCCTTGCACAAACATTTCCTTTGCTTTACTTTCATGCTGTGGGTGTCTGTTAGTGTTTCTGTCCTGTTTTTCCCTGAAACTTTCCAAACCCTTCAGTATTGCAAGAGCCTGGTAGAGATGCTCGTGGGGAGGGGTCTTCTTCTCCTTCATCTTTGGCAATCCCTCGTAGCTGAGTCAGATCTTCCATAAACAAGGTTTTAACATTGAGTCCATAAGTGACTGTGGAGGTCAATTCTGGATCCACAGTGGGAACATTGATTTCTGAGTGGGAGTTGATCACAAGCGTTTCTTCCTCTTCACCCGTTTCTCCCTCACGTCCCAAGTTTGAGTGTCTTCAAAGCCCAGGACGCCTTTGGTCAAGGCTGTTCTCCAACTGGAGCTCTCGCAGCCCAGTGCTTCCCAGTTGTCAGTGTTTATACTACATTTTTAAAAAATTGCCTTGAGATCTTTCAACCGCTTTTGTGGACCACTGGCGTTACGCTTTCCATTTTTAAGTTCGGAAGAGAGTCATTGCTTTGGAAGGAGATACACAACATGACTGGTCCAAAGTTGATGTTGAAGGATCATTGCTTCAACACTGGCGATCTTTGCTTCTTCCAGTACGCTGGCATTAGTTCGCCTGTCTTCCCAAGTGATATGTAAAAATTTTCGGAGACCCTGTTGACAGAATCTTTTGAGAAGCTGGAGATGGTGTGGATAAGCAAGTATAAGAGCTGGTAAAGGGCAATTAAGCAGAATATCATTAACTTCGTTTTAATATTCTGTTGGAAGCCGCCCAGAGTGGCTGGGGAAACCCAGCCAGATGGGTGGGGTATAAATAATAAATTTTTATTTTTATTTTTATTTTTATAATATAGCTCATGGATTGGACCCTAAACAACTGCCAGATCCTTTTAGCAGGAGACAGGACACAGATAAGCTTCGGGGACAGCATTGTCCATGCTTAGACTCTCCATTAAACTCCTTGGTCGCCATTCTTTTAAATTTTGTTGTTGTTTAGTCGTGTCTGCCTCTTCGTGACCCCCTGGACCAGAGTATGCCAGGAACTCCTGTCTTCCACTGCCTCCCGCAGTTTGGTCAAACTCATGCTGGTAGCTTCGAGAACACTGTCCAACCATCTCGTCCTCTGTCGTCCCCTTCTCTTTGTGCCCTCCATCTTTCCCAACATCAGGGGCTTTCCAGGGAGTCTTCTATTCTCATGAGGTGGCCAAAGTCTTGGAGCCTCAGCTTCAGGATCTGTCCTTCCAGTGAGCACTCAGGGCTGATTTCCTTCAGAATGGATAGGTTTGATCTTCTTGCAGTCCATGGGACTTTCAAGAGTCTCCTCCAGCACCAGAATTCAAAAGCATCAATTCTTCGGCAATCAGCCTTCTTTATGGTCCAGCTCTCACTTCCATACATCACTACTGGGAAAACCAGAGCTTTAACTATATGGACCTTTGTCAGCAAGGTGATGTCTCTGCTTTTTAAGATGCTGTCTAGGTTTGTCATCACTTTTCTCCCGAGAAGCAGGCGAATTTTAATTTCGTGGCTGCTGTCACCATCTGCAGTGATCATTTATATCATTTAGGTGTAGACAAATTGGACTATTTGCTTTACTAAAACCTGAACAGTGAAGTTTTGGATAGACCATTTGAGTCCAGGCGCTCTTGGGACAATCTTGTAGCACTAGGGATATTAGACTGGGGGGATTTGAGTATAGGTGAAGCCAGAAGTTAAATGTCCTGTGCCAGATTCGTAATTCTACTGAACGGAGATTGGCCTCTAGGCGCAATGATGCCTTTGGGACACAGGGTGCTACAGAAAAAAATTGCCTTAAAAACTTTGCATGCAGGAAAGCTCCAAGCTAGACCCCTGGGACCACCACTTTAAAACACCTGAGGTCGCAGGTGAATCGAAAACCCCCGAGACCTGCTGCCTTTCTGAGTATGGCGTTTGGTGGACAAATATCCTGACCTGGAACCAAGCGGCTTCCTAGGGTGATGTTATTGGGTCCATATTACAGATCAGGTAGATTGAGGCAGAGGGCGAGAGAAAGGGTGTTAACTTCTCTTACGGAAATGACAGGTGCCCCCCACATCTTTAAAGTTGTTAAATGTTACAAATTTTATGCCTGAATGTATCATTTTGACTTGACAGCTCAGGGAAGGTGCCCAGCTTTAAAAAATCGTATAACATCAACTCCTTTGCCAGTTTCCTCCATTTCAACGCTATTTTGCCCTTGGAAAAAGGACTCTTTTCCCTGCCACCTCCCCAAGCCTGGGGACATGTATACACACCTCCTACCCCGGGAAATGCCAGAGGTGACAATTGCTGAGCTGATTGTTGGCCAAGGGAAGCCAAATCTCATCACCAAACTTGTCTCAGGCTCCAGACATGCAAAGAAAGTTCTATTGTACTTTTGGGTGGTTGGTACTTGAGACATGTTTGCCTGTGCTAATCTTATACTTGGGTGTTGCCTTGACATATCTGTCTATGCTAATCTTGTGTAACCCTCCCCTTTCTGACGGTTTTAGTGGTGTAGCAATGAAGTATCGATGATGCTGTGTGAAGTGTTTAAAAAGTCAATGTCGCCCCAATGCTCAGGGTTCTTACTGCCGTTTGAACCTGTCGCACAACAATAAGGGATCAAAGTCTACTGACTGCTGTTTTGCTCCAAATTACATGCCTGGAATTTCCTTCTTTTACTGACCTCATGGACCCATGGGGGACTTGCTCCGCAACAAGCTGGGCTGTTGAGTACAGTCTCATCCCAGAATTTTCTTTAACACTTGCTTGACAGGGCTCACAGCTTAGCCCCTTGTCTCTGTCTTCCATAAGCACTTTGGTGCTCATTCGCCCTAGCTGTGCTCCTGCACTGTAGGACTGGCATTTGCTGTTCATGCTTCAATCCCACTTTGCCTGCTGACGGACGGACAGAGGCTGCAGAAATCGTTTCGCGTCTATCCAGAGACATTAGCGAATCCCCCCCAAAAAGCTCTTTGCTTATCAGTTTCCACTCCCTCCTGTTTGTTGAATGTGCTCCACAAACTGTTGCCACGACACAAAATACTTGGTGTAGAGCTGGACCAAATCCAGGTAATTGAGTGAAAGGGCAAGCGACTCATGAAACAATGGGGTCATGGACCTATATTTAGATTGGAGGGCGGGCGGGTGGGGTACGTGCCAGAGAGAACATTGCAGAAACAAGTTAGCCATGAACACATTGGTTTTCCTTGGCTGTCCTTAGGAGGAGGTGCTCTGTGCGGCCACACTGCTTGCTTGCTTCTCTTGTTCCGAGCTTGTGCACCTGAACCTGTCGCTGTGAGAGCTTCAGAGAGGAATGCGTCAGATCTGGGTCTCTATCCCGATCTAACGCTGTTTGAAATAAAAATAAAAATAAAAAAATTGTCCAGTAGCACCTTAGAGACCAACTCAGTTTGTTCTTGGTTGAAGCTTTCGTGTGCAGGCGCCCTTCTCTAGATACAGTGAAACAGAAGTCCCCAGACCTGATATGTAGTGGGAGGGTGGGGTGGGGTATTTCTCAGAAGGGTAATAGGAGATGGGTGATTTTATAGTTCCCAAAAGGAAACCTTCCTCTGCTTGTCCATATTGAGAGGATGCCAGCAAAGCTGAACCTTTTCCTAAAAAAGGATTACAGACCTGTGCCTCCATGATTGACATCTTCTTAATACTTGTAGTCAATAATAATAACAACACTTGGCTGTTGTGCGCAGGCAGACCTCTTCAGATACACTGAAGCGGAAGTCCGCAGACCCTGATATATTGTGGGAGGAGAAGAACCCAGACCCTTATATATAGAGGAAGGGGAGTCCCCAGACCCTGATATATAGAGGGAGGGAAGTCCCTGGACCCTGATATATAGAGGGAGGGAAGTCCCCGGACCCTGATATATAGAGGGAGGGAAGTCCCCGGACCCTGATATATAGTGGGAGGAGACGTACCCAGACCCTTATATATAGTGGGAGGGGAGTCCCCAGACCCTGATATATAGAGGAAGGGGAGTCCCCGGACCCTGATATATAGAGGAAGGGGAGTCCCCGGACCCTGATATATAGAGGGAGGAGAAGTACCCAGACCCTTATATATAGTGGGAGGGGAGTCCCCAGACCCTGATATATAGAGGGAGGGGAGTCCCCGGACCCTGATATATAGAGGAGGAGAAGTACCCAGACCCTAATATATAGTGAGTGTAGTCCCCCGACCCTGATATATAGAGGGAGGGGAGTCCCCGGACCCTGATATATAGAGGGAGGAGAAGTACCCAGACCCTTATATATAGTGGGAGGGGAGTCCCCAGACCCTGATATATAGAGGAAGGGGAGTCCCCAGACCCTGATATACAGAGGGAGGGGGGGGCCCCGGACCCTGATATATAGAGGGAGGGAAGTCCCCGGACCCTGATATATAGAGGGAGGAGAAGTACCCAGACCCTTATATATAGTGGGAGGGGAGTCCCCAGACCCTGATATATAGAGGGAGGGGAGTCCCCGGACCCTGATATATAGAGGGAGGAGAAGTACCCAGACCCTTATATATAGTGGGAGGAGAAGTACCCAGACCCTTATATATAGAGGAAGGGAGTCCCCAGACCCTGATATATAGAGGAGGGGAGTCCCCGGACCCTGATATATAGAGGAGGGGAGTCCCGGACCCTGATATATAGTGGGAGGAGACGTACCCAGACCCTTATATATAGTGGGAGGGGAGTCCCCAGACCCTGATATATAGAGGAAGGGGAGTCCCCAGACCCTGATATATAGAGGAAGGGGAGTCCCCGGACCCTGATATATAGAGGGAGGGGAGTCCCCGGACCCTGATATATAGAGGGAGGGAAGTCCCCGGACCCTGATATATAGTGGGAGGAGACGTACCCAGACCCTTATATATAGTGGGAGGGGAGTCCCCAGACCCTGATATATAGAGGAAGGGGAGTCCCCGGACCCTGATATATAGAGGGAGGAGAAGTACCCAGACCCTTATATATAGTGGGAGGGGAGTCCCCAGACCCTGATATATAGAGGAAGGGGAGTCCCCAGACCCTGATATATAGAGGGAGGGGAGTCCCCGGACCCTGATATATAGAGGGAGGGAAGTCCCCGAACCCTGATATATAGTGGGAGGGGAGTCCCCAGACCCTGATATATAGAGGGAGGGGAGTCCCTGGACCCTGATATATAGAGGGAGGGGAGTCCCCGGACCCTGATATATAGAGGGAGGGGAGTCCCCGGACCCTGATATATAGAGGGAGGGGAGTCCCCGGACCCTTATATATAGAGGAAGGGGAGTCCCCAGACCCTGATATATAGAGGGAGGGAAGTCCCCGGACCCTGATATATAGAGGGAGGGGAGTCCCTGGACCCTGATATATAGAGGGAGGGGAGTCCCCGGACCCTGATATATAGAGGGAGGGGAGTCCCCGGACCCTGATATATAGAGGAAGGGGAGTCCCCAGACCCTGATATATAGAGGAGGAGTCCCCAGACCCTGATATATAGAGGGAGGGAGTCCCTGGACCCTGATATATAGAGGGAGGGAGTCCCCGGACCCTGATATATAGAGGGAGGGAGTCCCCGGACCCTGATATATAGAGGGAGGGAGTCCCCGGACCCTGATATATAGAGGAGGGAGTCCCCGGACCCTGATATATAGTGGGAGGAGACGTACCCAGACCCTTATATATAGTGGGAGGGAGTCCCCTGACCCTGTTATATAGCGGTAGGGGAGTCCCCTGCCCCTGATATATAGAGGGAGGGGAGTCCCCGGACCCTGATATATAGAGGGAGGGGAGTCCCCGGACCCTGATATATAGTGGGAGGAGACGTACCCAGACCCTTATATATAGAGGGAGGGGAGTCCCCGGACCCTGATATATAGAGGAAGGGGAGTCCCCAGACCCTGATATATAGAGGGAGGGGAGTCCCCAGACCCTGATATATAGAGGGAGGGGAGTCCCCAGACCCTGATATATAGTTGTAGGGGAGTCCCCTGACCCTGATATATAGAGGGAGGGCAGTCCCCGGACCCTGATATATAGAGGGAGGGGAGTCCCCGGACCCTGATATATAGTGGGAGGAGAAGTACCCAGACCCTAATAAATAGTGGGAGGGTAGTCCCCAGACCCTGATATATAGAGGAAGGGGAGTCCCCGGACCCTGATATATAGAGGGAGGGAGTCCCCAGACCCTGATATATAGAGGGAGGGGGTCCCCAGACCCGGGTATATAGAGGTAGGGCAGTCCCCCGCCCCTGATATATAGAGGGAGGGGAGTCCCCAGACCCTGATATATAGAGGGAGGGGAGTCCCCAGACCCTGATATATAGAGGGAGGGGAGTCCCCAGACCCTTATATATAGAGGGAGGGGAGTCCCCAGACCCTGATATATAGAGGGAGGGGAGTCCCCAGACCCTGATATATAGAGGGAGGGGAGTCCCCGGACCCTGATATATAGAGGAAGGGGAGTCCCCAGACCCTGATATATAGAGGGAGGGGAGTCCCCAGACCCTGATATATAGACGAAGGGGAGTCCCCAGACCCTTATATATAGAGGAAGGGGAGTCCCCAGACCCTGATATATAGTGGGAGGAGAAGTACCCAGACCCTTATATATAGTGGGAGGGGAGTCCCCAGACCCTGATATATAGAGGAAGGGGAGTCCCCGGACCCTGATATATAGAGGATGTGGAGTCCCCGGACCCTGATATATAGAGGGAGGGGAGTCCCGGACCCTGATATATAGAGGAGGGAGTCCCCGGACCCTGATATATAGTGGGAGGAGAAGTACCCAGACCCTGATATATAGAGGGAGGGGAGTCCCCAGACCCTGATATATAGAGGGAGGGGAGTCCCCGGACCCTGATATATAGAGGAAGGGGAGTCCCCAGACCCTGATATATAGAGGGAGGGGAGTCCCCGGACCCTGATATATAGAGGGAGGGGAGTCCCCAGACCCTGATATATAGAGGGAGGGGAGTCCCCAGACCCTGATATACAGAGGGAGGGGAGTCCCCAGACCCTGATATATAGAGGAGGGACTCCCCTGACCCTTATATATAGACGATGGGGGTCCCCAGACCCTTATATATAGAGGAAGGGGAGTCCCCAGACCCTGATATATAGTGGGAGGAGAAGTACCCAGACCCTTATATATAGTGGGAGGGGAGTCCCCAGACCCTGATATATAGAGGAAGGGGAGTCCCCGGACCCTGATATATAGAGGGAGGGGAGTCCCCGGACCCTGATATATAGAGGGAGGGACTTCCCCGGACCCTGATATATAGAGGAGGGAGTCCCGGACCCTGATATATAGAGGAGGGAGTCCCCGGACCCTGATATATAGTGGGAGGAGAAGTACCCAGACCCTTATATATAGTGGGAGGGGAGTCCCCAGACCCTGATATATAGAGGGAGGGGAGTCCCCAGACCCTGATATATAGAGGGAGGGGAGTCCCCAGACCCTGATATATAGAGGGAGGCCAGACCCCAGACCCTGATATATAGAGGGAGGAGTCCCCAGACCCTTATATATAGAGGAGGGAGTCCCCAGACCCTGATATATAGAGGAGGGAGTCCCCAGACCCTGATATATAGAGGGAGGAGTCCCCAGACCCTGATATATAGAGGAGGGAGTCCCCAGACCCTGATATATAGAGGGAGGGAGTCCCCGGACCCTGATATATAGAGGGTGGGGAGTCCCCGGACCCTGATATATAGAGGGGGGGAGTCCCCGGACCCTGATATATAGTGGGAGGAGAAGTACCCAGACCCTTATATATAGTGGGAGGGGAGTCCCCAGACCCTGATATATAGAGGAAGGGGAGTCCCCAGACCCTGATATATAGAGGGAGGGGAGTCCCCAGACCCTGATATATAGAGGGAGGGGAGTCCCCAGACCCTGATATATAGAGGGAGGGGAGTCCCCGGACCCTGATATATAGAGGGAGGGGAGTCCCCAGACCCTGATATATAGAGGAGGGAGTCCCCAGACCCTGATATACAGAGGGAGGGGAGTCCCCAGACCCTTATATATAGAGGGAGGGGAGTCCCCAGACCCTGATATATAGAGGGAGGGGAGTCCCCAGACCCTGATATATAGAGGAGGGGAGTCCCCGGACCCTGATATATAGAGGAGGGGACTCCCCAGACCCTGATATATAGAGGGAGGGGAGTCCCCAGACCCTGATATATAGACGAAGGGAGTCCCCAGACCCTTATATATAGAGGAAGGGGAGTCCCCAGACCCTGATATATAGTGGGAGGAGAAGTACCCAGACCCTTATATATAGTGGGAGGGGAGTCCCCAGACCCTGATATATAGAGGAAGGGGAGTCCCCGGACCCTGATATATAGAGGAGGGAGTCCCCGGACCCTGATATATAGAGGGAGGGAGTCCCCGGACCCTGATATATAGAGGGAGGGAGTCCCGGACCCTGATATATAGTGGGAGGAGAAGTACCCAGACCCTGATATATAGAGGAGGGAGTCCCAGACCCTGATATATAGAGGAGGGAGTCCCCGGACCCTGATATATAGAGGAAGGGAGTCCCCAGACCCTGATATATAGAGGGAGGGGAGTCCCCGGACCCTGATATATAGAGGGAGGGGAGTCCCCAGACCCTGATATATAGAGGGAGGGGAGTCCCCAGACCCTGATATACAGAGGGAGGGGAGTCCCCAGACCCTGATATATAGAGGGAGGGGAGTCCCCTGACCCTGATATATAGACGAAGGGGAGTCCCCAGACCCTTATATATAGAGGAAGGGGAGTCCCCAGACCCTGATATATAGTGGGAGGAGAAGTACCCAGACCCTTATATATAGTGGGAGGGGAGTCCCCAGACCCTGATATATAGAGGAAGGGGAGTCCCCGGACCCTGATATATCGAGGAGGGAGTCCCCGGACCCTGATATATAGAGGGAGGGAGTCCCTGGACCCTGATATATAGAGGGAGGGAAGTCCCCGGACCCTGATATATAGAGGGAGGGAGTACCCGGACCCTCATATATAGTGGGAGGAGAAGTACCCAGACCCTTATATATATTGGGAGGGAGTCCCCAGACCCTGATATATAGAGGAAGGGAGTCCCCAGACCCTGATATATAGAGGAGGGAGTCCCCAGACCCTGATATATAGAGGGAGGAGTCCCCAGACCCTGATATATAGAGGAGGGAGTCCCCAGACCCTTATATATAGAGGAGGGAGTCCCCAGACCCTGATATATAGAGGAGGGAGTCCCCAGACCCTGATATATAGAGGAGGGAGTCCCCGGACCCTGATATATAGAGGAAGGGGAGTCCCCAGACCCTGATATATGGAGGGAGGGGAGTCCCCAGACCCTGATATATAGACGAAGGGGAGTCCCCAGACCCTTATATATAGAGGAAGGGGAGTCCCCAGACCCTGATATATAGAGGGAGGGGAGTCCCCGGACCCTGATATATAGAGGGAGGGGAGTCCCCAGACCCTTATATATAGAGGAAGGGGAGTCCCCAGACCCTGATATATAGAGGAAGGGGAGTCCCCGGACCCTGATATATAGAGGGAGGAGAAGTACCCAGACCCTTATATATAGTGGGAGGGGAGTCCCCAGACCCTGATATATAGAGGAAGGGGAGTCCCCAGACCCTGATATATAGAGGGAGGGGAGTCCCCGGACCCTGATATATAGAGGGAGGGAAGTCCCCGGACCCTGATATATAGTGGGAGGAGAAGTACCCAGACCCTGATATATAGAGGGAGGGGAGTCCCCAGACCCTGATATATAGAGGAAGGGGAGTCCCCAGACCCTGATATATAGAGGGAGGGGAGTCCCTGGACCCTGATATATAGAGGGAGGGGAGTCCCCGGACCCTGATATATAGTGGGAGGAGAAGTACCTAGACCCTGATATATTGTGGGAGGAGAAGTACCCAGACCCTTATATATAGAGGGAGGGGAGTCCCCAGACCCTGATATATAGAGGAAGGGGAGTCCCCAGACCCTGATATATAGAGGGAGGGGAGTCCCCAGACCCTGATATATAGAGGGAGGGAAGTCCCCGGACCCTGATATATAGAGGGAGGAGAAGTACCCAGACCCTTATATATAGTGGGAGGGGAGTCCCCAGACCCTGATATATAGAGGAAGGGGAGTCCCCAGACCCTGATATATAGAGGGAGGGGAGTCTCCGGACCCTGATATATAGAGGGAGGGAAGTCCCCGGACCCTGATATATAGTGGGAGGAGAAGTACCCAGACCCTGATATATTGTGGGAGGGGAGTCCCCAGACCCTGATATATAGAGGAAGGGGAGTCCCCAGACCCTGATATATAGAGGGAGGGGAGTCCCTGGACCCTGATATATAGAGGGAGGGGAGTCCCCGGACCCTGATATATAGTGGGAGGAGAAGTACCCAGACCCTGATATATTGTGGGAGGAGAAGTACCCAGACCCTTATATATAGTGGGAGGGGAGTCCCCAGACCCTGATATATAGAGGAAGGGGAGTCCCCGGACCCTGATATATAGAGGAAGGGGAGTACCCAGACCCTGATATATAGAGGGAGGGGAGTACCCGGACCCTGATATATAGAGGGAGGGGAGTCCCCGGACCCTGATATATAGAGGGAGGGGAGTCCCCAGACCCTGATATATAGAGGAAGGGGAGTCCCCAGACCCTGATATATAGAGGGAGGGGAGTCCCCAGACCCTGATATATAGTGGGAGGAGAAGTACCCAGACCCTGATATATAGTGGGAGGAGACGTACCCAGACCCTTATATATAGTGGGAGGGGAGTCCCCAGACCCTGATATATAGAGGAAGGGGAGTCCCCGGACCCTGATATATAGAGGAAGGGGAGTACCCAGACCCTGATATATAGAGGGAGAGGAGTCCCCGGACCCTGATATATAGAGGGAGGGGAGTACCCAGACCCTGATATATAGAGGGAGAGGAGTCCCCGGACCCTGATATATAGAGGGAGGGGAGTCCTCGGACCCTGATATACAGAGGGAGGGGAATCCCCAGACCCTGATATATAGAGGGAGGGGAGTCCCCGGACCCTGATATATAGAGGGAGGGGAGTCCCCAGACCCTGATATATAGAGGGAGGGGAGTACCCGGACCCTGATATATAGAGGGAGGGGAGTCCCCAGACCCTGATATATAGAGGGAGGGGAGTCCCCAGACCCTGATATATAGAGGAAGCGGAGTCCCCAGACCCTGATATATAGAGGGAGGGGAGTACCCGGACCCTGATATATAGAGGAAGGGGAGTCCCCAGACCCTGATATATAGAGGGAGGGGAGTCCCCAGACCCTGATATATAGAGGAAGCGGAGTCCCCAGACCCTGATATATAGAGGGAGGGAAGTCCCCGGACCCTGATATATAGAGGGAGGGGAGTCCCCGGACCCTGATATATAGGGGGAGGGGAGTCCCCGGACCCTGATATATAGAGGGAGGTGAGACCCCAGACCCTGATATATAGAGGGAGGGGAGTCCCCGGACCCTGATATACAGAGGGAGGGGAATCCCCAGACCCTGATATATAGAGGGAGGGGAGTCCCCGGACCCTGATATATAGAGGGAGGGGAGACCCCAGACCCTGATATATAGAGGGAGGGGAGTCCCCGGACCCTGATATATAGAGGGAGAGGAGTCCCCGGACCCTGATATATAGAGGGAGGGGAGACCCCAGACCTTGATATATAGAGGGAGGGGAGTGCCCAGACCCTGATATATAGTGGGAGGGAAGTCCCCAGACCCTGATATATAGAGGGAGGGGAGTCCCCGGACCCTGTTATATAGAGGGAGGGTGGGGCGGGGTTTTCTCTGAAGAGTAGTAGGACTCAATGGGTATGGTTAACCTGTTGGCGACTGTGAACAACTGCAATTAGTCCTGCAGGAAAAAACAGGGGTGCCAAAAATAGCCAGGTCTCTCCATAGTTTTCAGCTGGGTGATAAGTTGCAATTCAGCCACTTCTCTTTCAAGTCTCTATCTGAAATTATTTTGTAATAATACAGCTGCTTGGAGATCCTGTATTGAACGTCCCAGAAGATGGAAGCGTTCTCCTTTTGGCTTCTCTGCCTTGCAATTCCCGATGTCGGAGTGATGCCCATTTATCCTCTGGCACAGGGTTTGGCCTGTTGGTCCAATAGAGAGCACTGCTGGCATTTGATGACATTTGATGGCATTTGATGGCATTTGATGGCATACATAACGTTCGAAGATGAGCCATTCAATAGGCCTGAGATGGGATGTTTGGCATTGTTGGGTCCAGCGATGGTGTTGTCTGGGTGTGAGTGGCAGCAAAGTTGGCACCTGGGTTTATTGCAGGCTCTGGTACCTGTGTCCGTGTTAAGGTATGATTGTGGGTGAGGAGTTGTTGTCGCCGTCTAGGAAGGTTGCAAATCTCTGAGGTGTTGAACTGTTTTAACTTGGGAGCTGTATGTGATCGCTAGTGGCATTCTGTTATTTTCTCTTTGGGGTCTGTCTCGCAGCAAGCGCTCTCTGGCAATCTGTCTCACTTTGTCGATCTGTTGTTGAACTTTGAATTCCAAAACACCTGAATCTAGGATCTAAGGCTGTTTGAAAGAAGACCAACATCCAAAGCAATTTTGGCCAAGAATGTGAACTGCTGGGGAAACCCTGGGAGTTTGTCTGTCTCCTGTGTTCTTTCTCTTGATGGATGAGGTGGCAACTGGCCTGATGAATGGGAGACAGGTCGAGGTTAACATAGCTGGAAGTTTTGGCAAGTCAGAGGGGAGACAGCGTCCCAGCCATTGAAGCAATGTGTTCCTTTGTGGATTAGGAAGCAAAACAGGCCATCCCGCTCTGCAAAGAGCAGCTGGGTCACGTCATGTTATTAAAAAAATGCCATTGCTCCCTTTCCCCTTATGGGGTACCCAAAAGCCCGTCTAGAGTCCTTAAGTGGGTTCCCTATCAGTAGGAGAAAAATTGTTGTTGCTGAGTTGTTTAGTCATGTCTGCCTCTTCGTGACCCCACAGACCAGAGCATGCCAGGAACTCCTGTCTTCCACTGCTTCCCGCAGTCTGCTCAAACTCATGCTGGTAGCTTCGAGAACACTATCCAACCATCTCGTCCTCTGTCGTCCCCTTCTCCTTGTGCCCTCCATCTTTCCCAACATCAGGATCTTTTCCAGGGAGTCTTCTCTTCTCATGAGGGGGCCAAAGTCTTGGAGCCTCAGCTTCAGGATCTGTCCTTCCAGTGAGCACTCAGGGCTGATTTCCTTAAGAATGGATACATTTGATCTTCTTGCAGTCCATGGGACTCTCAAGAGTCTCCTCCAGCAGCATAATGCAAAAGCAGCAATTCTTGAACAATCAGCCTTCTTTATGGTCCAGCTCTCACTTCCATACATCGCTACTGGGGAAACCATAGCTTGAACTATATGGATCTTTGTCGGTAAGGTGATCTCTGCTTTCTGAGATGCTGCCTAGTTTTGTCACCACTTTTCTCCCGAGAAGCAGGCGTCTTTTGATTTTGTGACTGCTGTCACCATCTGTCATATTTTGGGGGACTCAAATGGGGGGCCCTTTTTAAACATTTTTTAAAGTAAAAAAAACCTAGTCTTATACACAGAAAAGTACGGTACCTTGGCAATGGATTATTTGGATCCTGAACAACCAGGAGTTCTTAGCAAGAGATGGAAAAGTCCACGGACAAACAAAACTGTTTGCTTTATGCGGCTGCACAGAGCTGGCCAAGGAGCAGCATAGTTTGGATTTTTCAAGCCTTTTCCCATGTTTTGGAGGAGAGAAGGCTTGACTTAATTCCAGGCAGCCTCCCAGACCCCGCGCTGGATCTCAAATGCCATCTTTCAGAATGTGGGGTTTCAAAGATCTTTTCCCATGTCTGAGAGGTCCTCCTGGCTGGTTTTTTAAAACTTTGGTTTCCTGGTCTCTGTTGTGATGGTCTCCTTGTCGAGAATCACCCAGTTAGGCGTTTATTGATCTGTGTAACTTTGGGAAATGTCATTCTCATCTCCTACCTGAGCAGTTCTCTTTCCACAAGGGCCAACATTGATGTTGAAATCGAGCATTGCCTGAGCTCTGCGAGTGCAGCTTTCTCCCAATTGAAGGGCAGAGTGTTTGAGGACCGGGACATTCGCACGGAAACCCAAATTTGCTGTGGTACTACCAACCTGACTGTCTGCTTGTGAAACACAGACCACTTATCAACGCCGTCTCCAACTCCTCGAAAGATTCCATCAACGGGGTCTTGAAAAAGTTTAGGAAGACACAGGAGAACTAATGCCAGAGTGCTAGAAGAAGCAAAGATTGCCAGTGTCGAAGTGACAATCCTTCAACATCAACTTCTTGAATCCTGACAAGACAAAAGTATTATTTTGGGGGGACAGGGGGTGGGTGGGTGTGAGTGAGGGACTCCCTGGTCCTGAATGGGGCAACTGTGCCCCTAAAGGACGAGGTGTGCAGCCTAGGGGTGATCTTGGACCCAAGGAGGCGCAGGTCCATTCTGTGTCCAGGGCAGCTCCATCTGGGATGCAGGATGGGACCCTCCCTGCCCAGAGCGGTGCATGTTCTGGTTATCTCCCGCTTGGACTGCTGCCACACGCTCTACGTGGGGCTACCTTTGAAGGTGACCCAGAAACTGCAACTAATCCAGAATGCGGCGACTGGGAGCAGCCACCAAGACCACATAACATCAGTCTTGAAAGACTTAGGGATGTTTCAGGCCCAATTCAAAGCGTATTAAGAGGATTCCAGCAAGGCTGAATGTTATGTACTGAGTTGAATAGGATCCAAACTGCAGCAGTCTGATTGGTCCTAGAACAATAGGATCCAAATTGCAGCAGTCTGATTGGTCCTAGAACAATAGGATTCAGAATGCAGCAGTCTGATTGGTCCTAGAACAATGCAGCAGTATGATTGGTTGGCAGGAACCACCCAATCATGCTCCAGATATAAGTGAATCCACAACCTGATTGGCTTACAGTAGAATTCCAGAATTAGCCAATCATGTGCAGCCCATTGTGTAAATAATGTATATAAAGCAGATACTTTGAGGGGACCTTCATTCATTCCTCCTCACCACTATGAGCTGAATAAAGAGCATGAAATCACTTTGCGACTCTGAGTATATTTCACTGGCAACGAAGGTGGGATCCCGCTGAGCTGACTGCCACACACAGCACCACAGCACTGCCACCTGCCGCACCGCTGCCTCGCACCGTGTATCCAGGCTTCAGCTCCGGGACACAAGGAACTCAGAATGGCAACCGACAGCAGCTTCTCGCCGTTCAACCCAGCATCTGGAGACTGGGAAGCGTATGCCTCCCGTTTCACCTTCCTCCTCGAAGCCAAAGGGGTCACCGATGAAGAAGACGCCAAGAAGAGGGCGATATTCTTCAGCATCTGCGGAGAGGAGACGTTTGAAATCGCCCGGGCTCTCCTTGCACCTGAAGACATCGCTACTGTTCCATACGAAACAATAATGGAACAGCTGAAGGGGCACTTTTCGCCGCAGCCCTCAGTGGTGGCTCGTCGAAATGCCTTCTACACCCCTGGGGAAACCATAACTGGGTTTGTGACCTCTCTCCGCCAAGCCGCCCGGTTCTGCAACTTCTCAGAGCTGGAGAACATGCTTCGTGACCGCCTCGTCGGTGGCCTGAAGGATGAGAAGCTGCAACGATGCCTCTACGCTAAGAAGGACCTAACGTTCCAGGTCGCTCTGGAGGAGGCCCTGGCAACGGAAGCTGCCAAGAGGTCGACGCAAGAGGCACGGCAGAGCCTGCCATCCCAACCGAGGGTCCACCATGAAGACCTCACCGATGACTCAAGATCTGACAGGGAGGAGGTGCACCGACTACAGCAGCGCACTCAAGCAGCCCACATACCACAGCTGCCTCGACGAGAAGGAAGGAACTGCGCAAGCTGCGGGGAAAGTCACGAGAGGAGGACCTGCCGTTTTCGCAATGCAGAGTGCAGGCAGTGCAGAAAATCAGGACACATCGCCCGGGTGTGTCGAGCTTGGCCCACCCGACGCCAGGCATCAGATGACCAATCCAAGAGCCCCAGGTCCCGGGGCCCAACGCACCAAGGCAACTCGACGGATCTCACGGACTTCCAGGTATACCAGTTGCCCCACCCCAACGTAGAAAAAATTTATGTAGAGGTACAGATAGAGGGGGCCCCATGCCGCATGGAGCTTGACACGGGTTCAGCTCTATCCATAATCTCGGCAAGGACCTTAAGGAAACTGTGTCCTACTGGGGGTCCCAAACTCAGGCTGGCCCCATTCACCCTCCGGGACTTCCAGAAACATAAGGTCCCCACAATGGGGGTGGGGACCTTCAGGGTGTAATACCGAGGGCAGACGCGGCAACTGGACTTGCTTGTGGTCAAGGGCCCCTACATTAGCTTACTGGGATTGGCATATTTTGGACCACTGGGGCTAGCCGTCACCGGGGTGAACCACACTAGCTTACACATGGACGTGGACGCCATATGCAAGGAATTTCCAGGGGTTTTCGATGGGAAATTGGGACAGTATACGGCCCCCCCCCATTGCTCTACAGCTTGACCCCGCAGTACGACCGGTCTGGCTCAAGGCCCACCGGGTCCCGGTCACCCTGAAACCCCATATAGACGAGGAATTGACCGGCTCATGGAGCAAGGAGTGCTGGAGCCGGTGCCTAATGCCCCCTGGGAAACCCCAATCGTCACACCCGTCAAGCCTAATGGTTTGGTCCGCATCTGCGCAGACTACAAATGTACCATAAACAAGGCCCTCACGGCCCATGCATACCCAGTGCCAGTGGTCAGCCATGTCCTTGCCACCCTGGCTGGGTCAAAAATTTTTGGCAAGCTGGACTTGACCCAAGCATATCAACAGCTGCCAGTAGATGAGGCCACAGCAGAGGCACAGACGATTGTGATGCACAGAGGAGCGTTCAGGGTAAAGCGGCTGCAATTCGGTGTCAGCGTGGCACCAGGCACATTCCAGAATCTAATGGACTCGCTCCTTAAAGGGATTCCTGGCGTCACCCCCTTCTACGATGATGTGTTCATTGCCGAGCCCACAGCAGAGGAGTTTGAGGACCGCCTCCGCACCATTCTGCGCCATTTCCAGACGGCGGGTCTCAAGGTGAAGCGGGAAAAATGTCTACTAGGAGTGCCTCAGGTGGACTTTCTGGGATTTATGCTGGACGCAGAAGGGGTCCACCCAACTGGGGACAAGGTACGGGCCATTTGTGATGCCCCAGCGCCCAAGAGCAAGACTGAACTTCAGGCCTTCTTGGGACTATTGAACTTTTACCATTCCTTCCTTCCCCACAAGGCGGCGGTAGCGGAGCCGCTACACAGACTCCTGGACAAGCGGGCCCCTTGGGTGTGGGGCCAGCGCCAGGAGGCTGCATTCCAGGCAGTCAAGGACTTGCTTGTCTCAAACTCGGTCTTGGCACACTTCGACGAGAGGCTGCCGGTGGTGCTAGCATGTGACGCCTCGCCCTATGGCATTGGCGCTGTCCTGGGACACCAACTCCCGGATGGAAGAGAGGTACCGGTAGCATACTTTTCCCAGACACTCAACACAACCGAGCGGAACTACTTGCAAATCGACAAGGAGGGTCTGGCAATCGTGAAGGGAGTAAAAAAATTCCATGATTTCTTGTACGGGCGGCCCTTCACCGTGGTGACTGACCACAAGCTGTTGCTTGGCTTGTTTGCCCCCGAAAAGCAGACCCCCCAAGTGCTGTCTCCTTGTGTCCTCAGGTGGTCAATTTTCCTTGCCAGCTACCAGTATGCACTGATTCACTGCCCGGGGAAGGTGATGGGCCATGCGGACGCCCTCAGCAGGCTACCACTACCGGAAACAGGCACCTGCAGAAGAGGTTATGAGCCTGGAACTGCTTCCCGACTGCCCCATTCAGGCACAAGAAGTTGCACACCATTCCAAGAAAGATAGGGTCATCTCCCGGGTCCTGGACTGGGTGTGGAGGGGATGGCCCAGCAGCAGCCCTGGGCCAGAATTTGCTGGCTACACAACCCGCAAACATGAACTGTCGGCCCACAAGGGGTGCCTGTTTTGGGGAAGCAGGGTTGTTGTTCTCCAGCCCCTCCGAAAAAGGGTCCTCACAGCCCTACACGAGACACACCCAGGGGTAGTAAGAATGAAGGCCCTGGCCAGGAGTTATGTGTGGTGGCCGGGGATCGACGGAGAGATAGAGGCCTGGGTCAAACACTGCCAGGCCTGCCAAGAATCCCGCCCAGATCCCCCCAAGGGCCCCAGTCCAGTCCTGGGAGTCCGCCCGAGCACCATGGTCACGCCTGCATGTGGACTTCGCTGGCCCCTTTCAGGGGAAAACATTCTTCATAGTGGTGGACTCCTACACCAAATGGCTGGAAGTCGCACTGGTACCGTCCACTTCTACATCCGCAGCCATCCGGGTACTACGCAGGCTGTTTGCAACCCACGGGCTCCCTGACACTCTCGTCTCAGACAACGGGACTGCATTTACGTCAGGAGAATTCCAAACCTTCACAGCGCAGAACGCCACCCGCCACATCCGTTCGGCGCCATTCCACCCTGCCAAGCAGAACGCATGGTGCAGAGCACCAAGGACACCCTTCGCCGCATGATGCAAGGGGATTGGGAGTACCGCCTTGCCACATTCCTCCTAGCACGGCACAGCACCCCCAGCTCAACGACTGGCCGGAGCCCCGCGGAACTACTAATGGGTCAGCGCCTTGCAATCAGATTGGACCGCCTTCACCCCGATAGAGCTCAGGATGAGGTAGTGGTGGGGGAAGGCAGGAACCCCCGGACCTTCGAGGCCCAGGACCCAGTGTACGCAAAGAATTTTGGGGCAGGCCCAGCATGGGTACCCGCCACAGTCACCAGGGTCACTGGCCCCGTGTCGTAGGAGGTGCTAACGGATGGGGGGGCAATGCTGGCGCTGCCACTGTGACCAGATACGGCGACGATTCCCGGGAGAAAACCAGGAGGAGGAAAGGTCAGAGGAGTCCCAAGGGAACAGAGGGGCAGTGAGGCCCATAGAGCAGGAGGGGCCAGCAGGAGAGGCAGAATCAGTAAATACAGAGAGGACCCGCAAGGCCGAAAGGACACCGGAACCAGAACCACGACTGAGCGAGCCGGTTGCGCCAGACCAAACAGGCCCATCACAGCCAGCATCCTTGGAACACGAGCCAGAACCTGAACCCCGGACCAGGGAACACCCCAGGCCGCAACGCACACGTAGGCCGCCGGCATACCTCGAGGACTATGAATGCGACCTCCCGGGCAGGACTGGAACTTAGAGGGAGGGGTGTTATGTACTGAGTTGAATAGGATCCAAACTGCAGCAGTCTGATTGGTCCTAGAACAATAGGATCCAAATTGCAGCAGTCTGATTGGTCCTAGAACAATAGGATTCAGAATGCAGCAGTCTGATTGGTCCTAGAACAATGCAGCAGTATGATTGGTTGGCAGGAACCACCCAATCATGCTCCAGATATAAGTGAATCCACAACCTGATTGGCTTACAGTAGAATTCCAGAATTAGCCAATCATGTGCAGCCCATTGTGTAAATAATGTATATAAAGCAGATACTTTGAGGGGACCTTCATTCATTCCTCCTCACCACTATGAGCTGAATAAAGAGCATGGAATCACTTTGCGACTCTGAGTATATTTCACTGAAACTTACTGTTTTAAGGTAAAGGGACGGTATCCGCAATATACAAAATACTACTCCAAAATCCCACAAACCCCCAAGACGCAATCAAAAAACAATGGGAGAATGACATAGGCTATGAGATTAACCCCACTCAATGGACCAGAATGTGGTCTAACCCCCCCTTTAAATCCATATCAATGAAAAGAGAAGAACTCACTCTGAAACTCACCTACAGGTGGTACCTAACACCAAGAAAACTGGCATTAATATGCCCAGGAACCTCACCAAAATGCTGGAGAGAGTGCACCTCCACAGGCACATACCTCCACATGTGGTGGGAGTGTCCCAAAATCCAACTATTCTGGACAACAGCCATACGAGAAATATGTAAAATAACTAAGCAAGTATTAGACATCACCCCAGAATTGGCCCTACTAAACATCTTCCAAGACAAGAATGCCCATTTACACCACAAAGAACTCATAACCCACCTACTTTCAGCAGCCAGAAACACCATAACCAGACACTGGAGAGACCTGTCAGGAGTAAACATGGACCAATAGTACCAAATAGTATGGGAAACAGCCCTACTAAAAAAATTAACTAATAAACTGAAACTGACACGGGGACAAACAGAAGAAGACACCTTCACCCCGGTATGGCTCCCCTTTATCACATACACAGCCCAACAAGACAATGACAATAACCCACCACACTCACACACGAAAACAAAGACCACCACAGCCAATCACAAACAAACAACCACACCCTAGGCCAACCCCAACCTCTCTCATCACCAAAGAAACACAAGTGAACAGCAGAGAACCGGCACGAGTAAAGCTGACACGAAACCCATTAAGCAAAATAGAAACATCGCCACCCCCCCCCCACCCACCTTCCCTCCTCCCCCCTCCCCCCCCCACTAATGTCTCAATAAATGAAACTGATTTGTAAAAATGTTACATGGAAGAAATACGAGAGACATTACACATACTTCTATAAAACAAGAAAATCTTTAATAATAATAATAAATTAACTTACTGTTTTTAAAAAAGGGATTTTATTCTTGTCAAAAGGAAACCTTCCTCTGCGGGTCAATGTGAAGAGGATGCCAGTGAGGTTGAACCTTTCTGTAAAATAAAGTCTTACCGAGACCATAAAACACCAGTCCTGAGAGATCTGCATTGGCTCCCAGGACGTTTCCAAGCACAATTCAAAGTGTTGGTGCTGACCTTTAAATCCCTCAATGGCCTTGGCCCAGTAGACCTGAAGGAGTGCCTCCACCCCGGACGCCAGGGTCCCTCTCTGGCAAGAAGCGAAGTTACAGGGAACCAGGCAGGGGGCCTTCTTGGTAGTGGCACCGTCCCTGTGGAGCGCCATCCTGTCAGATGTTAAAGGAATAAACAACTGTATGACATTTAGAAGACATCTGAAGGCAGCCCTGCTTAGGGAAGCTGAATGACTTGTTTTAATGCATTTTTAATCTATGTCAGAAGCCCCCCAGAGTGGGGATGCCTGTCCAATACCATGTTCTGAGCTGCAGATGCTTTTCCCGTTTGCCATGCACCAACCATGTGCTTCGCTGTCTCCTTCCCCGCCGCCTTTGCCCTAAATATATTATTATTATTATTATTATTATTATTATTATTATTATTATTATTATTACAGGGCCTACCAGCTACACGGTGGGCACCATGTCGGAGCGCTTTGACTGCCACTATTGCCGGGACAACTTGCACGGGAAGAAGTATGTGCAGAAGGAAGGCCGCCACTGCTGCATCAAGTGCTTTGAGAAGTTCTGCGCAAACACCTGTGCTGAGTGCAAGAAGCCCATCGGGGCCGATTCCAAGGTGGTTATTTTAACAGTTTGCTTGTTTACTGAATGGATATTTCCATCCCACGCTCCCTGCCCCAAGAAATGTGGGGATGTTCAGGGAGGCAGGAGAGGACCCATTGTTTAATAGAGGCATAGGCAAACTTGGCCCTCCAGCTGTTTTGGGACTACAACTCCCATGATCCTTAGCTAGGACTCCCCTGTGTGAGTGCCTGAGGGCCCCACTCCTGCCACTCACCACCTGGCCCAGGGCAGGGCCTGACAGGCCTCATAAGGACAGTTGCTGCTGCTGGCCAGGAAGACTCGGAGCAGTGCAGTGTTCTTTTTAAAATGTTTTAAAATTCTATTATTTCCCTTTTGAATTTTTTTTTGTGGGGGGTGGGGGGGATGGATGTTTGGTTGGGTTTGGGAATTTGTTTTGATTTTGATGTGTTTGTAATTTTTACAGTTTTTTGTTTGTATTGTTTTATTGTGTTTTGTTTTAAAGGTTTTATTTTGTACTTAAGGGCTGCCGGGGAGTGGGTCCCAGCCAACAGATTGGCTGGGGCAGGTTCCACAGGGCGGGTATGCACTGGGACAACCGATCTCGGTGATCACGGGTAGGAGGAGGAGTTATGCTAAGACCAGACCATGTCATTACTGAGGAGGCAGGCTTAGTCATTGTTTGAGGACTATCCCTGCCTCCAGGTCTGGTCTTGTCCGGACAGATACTGGAATCAGCAAGGGATACCCACATGACCTGAAGGTGCTGCTGTGCAATGCCAGGTCAATGATCCATAAGACCACTGCCATCCATGACTTGATCATGGATGGAGGACTTGACCTGGCCTGTGTAACAGAGACTTGGTTGGATGATGCAGATGGGCCTGTCCTTGCTGCTGCTTGTCCACCAGGTTTCTCTTACACGCAGCAACCCGGGCCTTGTGGGCAGGGAGGGGGGGTTGCAGTGATTTTTAGGAAGTCGCTAGTTTGCACCAGGCGTCCTATTGGGAAGACCCAGTTCTCTGAGTGCATGTTCTGGAAGTTGGGCAATAGGGGCAGTACAGGATTCCTTTTGGTGTACTGACCTCCCCGCTGCACCAAGGATTCCCTGCCCAAGCTGCTTCAGGTCATGGCGGATGTTCTCCTGGAGACACCTGGTTTGGTTGACCTAGGGGATTTTAACATCCATGCCAACAGGACCTTACAAGGGGCCGCTCGGGACTTCATGGAAAGCATGGCCTCCATGGGGCTGTCCCTGAATAAGTCTGGCCCAACCCAAGGACATGCCTTGGTGTTCACCTCTATGGATGTTGGTGATCTGACACTAAGTAAAAGTGAAACGAAAGAAGTGCTGTTGGAATGAAATCACGACAGACGAGTAGCAGGTGTCATGTGAGAGGCATCTCTGGAGCAAGCCCTGAGAAGACTCTTTTATTGAATATTACAACATTGCCACAGGTGCGCTAGTTGCTGATTGGTTGATACAAACACAAAGCAACTTGTTGCTGATTGGTTAACACAAGTACAAGGCGAGGGTTACATATAGGCATTAATCACCAATAGATTAAAGGCTGGGAAAGGGAGCACAGAACTAGACAGGCATGAAAACCTCCTAATTAAATGATAACTAATGATTGATATAGCATGACCAAAACAATTACTAATGATTGATCATAACATGAAAGAATACAATAATCGTGTTCCGTAGATGTGATCAACTGTGCATTAAGAACAGGTCAGAGTATAATGTTTTCATGAACTTGGGATGAACTGAACAGCCTAGGAGAATGAGGGAATGTCTAGGTATTTAGAACGGGTTGTACAGTATGTACAGAAACAGAGAAAAGCTTATAAGCAGGATTTCCCATAATGCCAGAGAAAAGAAGCAGGACTTCCCATAATGCCAGTTATGTGCAGAAAGAGAACTTCCCTTCATCTCCCCCTTTCTTTTCTTGTTTGCGAGGTGTTCTGGGTGAATAAGACAAAAATACTTCGGGATACGTGGTATGCCAGCGAATGCCCAAAATAAGTTCGCCAGGGTTGACGGGACAAAAATATTTCGGGATACGTGGTCTGCCAGCGCATGCCCAAAATAAGTCTGCCCACATCTCCCCTAATGTTTACTCTTGGTGCTGCCATTTCGCAAAGTAGGCAGCAAGGAGTTTATTGGGTGGCTGAGGGGGAGAGACAAGCCAAGACAATCATAGAATCATAGAATCATAGAATCATAGAGTTGGAAGAGACCACAAGGGCCATCGAGTCCAACCCCCTGCCAAGCAGGAAACACCATCAGAGCACTCCTGACATATGGTTGTCAAGCCTCTGCTTAAAGACCTCCAAAGAAGGAGACTCCACCACACTCCTTGGCAGCAAATTCCACTGTCGAACAGCTCTTACTGTCAGGAAGTTCTTCCTAATGTTTAGGACAAAAGACTTATGAGGCCAGGAATGCATTGGAGGAAACAACATAGCAAAATTAATATACATATAATGACAATGGCATATTGAAAGAGATTATGAAGCCAAGTCAGGTTTGGTAACCAAGCGGTAAGCCACTGGGTGAAAGAATCCCAGAGGCCAGAAAATCCAACGTCCTGTTTAATGTGATGTGTAAGATTTTGTAAATGAGAGATTTGGCTTTGAATGGCTTTAGAATTATCAGTAATATTGAAACAACACATGTCATTCACTTGTTCACAGCCATAATGATGAAGCATGAGCAAATAATCTATAGCAGCGCGGTTCTGCAAAAGTCCATGCTGGAGTTCACTTTGTTCTTTATTCAAAAGGTGAAGAGCTTGAGAAGTATAATTCAGGGCTTTTGCTGCAGAACAAGCCAAAGAATTAATGTTCCTACTACTACGTACAGCCAATCCAGGGACTCCTAAGAGAGAAACAGCTAAAGAGATATATTCAGACCTACTGGGAAGAGAAATTGAATCGTCACAATCGTTAGTTAATTCAATAGAGCGGCGATATCGAGAGCGGGTCAAATGATGCTTTTTGGGTAATACAATGGACAAATGGCTTAAACAACAGGGTGTTCCATGGCTGATGTTTGCTGGAATGTAATTAAATGTATAGCCAGGACACAACCAGAACCAACCTGCAGGTAATTCTGTATACTTGTATACATAAGAAATATTTACATAATTAGAGCAGTGGAAATTATCCTTGCCCATTTTCACACAGTTGGTTTTTGTGCAATTCACCATACGGGCGCAAGTGACATTAAAAGAAGCCACGTATGGGGTCAATAAGTCAGTGGCCAGAGGTGGGCGTTGGCGCACTTGGTTACCCCAGACATAGTAACCGGAATAACCAAGGGTGCGGAGAGAATCATTTTTGGGTAGGGATGAGAAAAACCAGGTATCATTTTGTATATCAAAAGGGTCATGGCAAACAGGTATAAGGCAGGAGCCAAGGATTTCACCTATAGATACCTGTTGGGTTAGGCAAAAGGAAGAAATATTGAGGGTCTTTGCAAAAGATTCCCACACATTTGTTGGTGTGTGGTTATCGCTATTAGGAGCAGAAGCAGAGAGAGGCAAAAACAAAACGCTAAGAATGAGCACTATCATGGATAGTAATACACAGAAGCAAATTCTCAGGGGTTGCTTCAAGCTGCTTTTCCTTTCTAAGCTGTTCAGCCTGAAATGAGAGTGATTTTATTTGGCCCCATGTCACAGGTCCATTACGATTTCCCCGCTTACGAGTCCTGGGGGGGCTGGACGCCGCATCCTGGGCGATCTGTAGTTTGCGGTCGAACTGCGGTATCGGATCCGGTAGGGTCTGTCGCCACGCCATGGTATAGGCGGATGCAGCGTGCGGGAACCCAGCGAGCACCCTGTGGAGTAAAAACTGCAGCGTAACCCTTTCCCCAGGTGATCAGTTTTACAGATTCACTCCATTCGTTGGAGGGTAATATCTTATAGCGGACCAGTGGGGCTGGGAGTATCTCTGTTTGCTGAAAATGCTTCTGGAGGTGAGTATAAGATTGATGATCCTGTATGGAAACATTCAAATGATTGAGAGTAAAGAGAACACTAGCCAACCAGCCTTCCTTTTCAGAGAGTGAGGCTGGGACTCCGGCCTTCTTTTCTTGTCGAATCAAGGCAGTTTTTAAAGTGCGATTGGCACGTTCAACAATCGCTTGGCCTTGAGAATTGTAGGGGATGCCAAATAAATGGTGAATATTCTATGTTTCACAGAACTGAGCAAAGGTTTTTGCACAGTACGCTGGGGCACTGTCAGTTTTCAAGGAATGAGGCTTGCCCATGACTGACATGGTACGAACAAGATGATTGCAAACATGCTTAACCTGTTCTCCCCTTTGAGGGGTGGCCCAAATAAAGCCAGAGAACGTATCAATGCAAACATGTATGAACTTCCAAGGTGAAAAGGGGGCGAAGTGAGTTACATCCATTTGCCACAACTGGTTGGCTTCCAGCCCACGGGGATTAACACCAGGGCTGGGGTGGCCAATCTGATTAGAGCATTGAGGGCATTGTTGGATAATTGCACGTGCTGCTTCCAACGGGATTTGGAACTGGCGGCTAAGGGCTTTTGCATTTTGATGATGGAAAGCATGACTTTCAATGGGGGAAACAGGCAAAGCCCTAAGCAAAGAATCCGCTTTTGCATTGCCATCAGTAATAAAGCCTGGGAAGGGTTGGTGAGAGCGAATGTGCACCACAAATAGTGGGTGGGAGTGATTAGAAAGAAGCAATTGTAAGGACAGGAAAAGGCTCAATAAGTTATCATCCAATAAAGGACTTACATAACTGCCCTGTAAACGAGTTATGACATTTGCAACATACTGTCCACTACCAAATTAAAGGGCTGTGAGGAGAAGTGGTGCAGAGCTTTGACAGCAGCTGCTAACTCAGAACGCTGGGCAAACTTTTGTGGAAGAGTGTAGAGGCTGTGCCATTCCTCATTTTGTTGCCAAGCAACCACCCCCCTGGAGGGGGCTCCGTCAGTAAAACAGTAGGGGCATCCAAAGGGACAGGAGATAATATGGAAGAAAAGGACAGGGAAATTTGTTTGCTCATTTGCAGGTGAGGGTCGGCTGGGATATGGCAACCCACTTGGCCAACAAAATCGGCTAAAGCGCACTGCAAATCCATGCAAGTGGAGAGAGCAGTTTCCCATTGTTCTAAGGGCATGGGCACAATAATTTGGCGGCAATCAATGCCAAAGAGGCTTTTGCAGCGACGGCGTCCCTTGCTGATGAGCTGAGCAAGGAGATCCATTAAGGAGTCACCGTGTTCTTTGGCGTATGATGTAAATACAGCCATTCAATTATATGAACTTTCGATGGTCCTAACTGAATAATGGCCGCAAAAGGTTGGACAGAATCTGTCATTATGACTACATCGGGCAAAACATTAAGAATTGCTCGATCAACCCAGTGGAGACGCATGATTTCCTTTAACTGGGCAACAGTCTTCTGTTGAGAGGAGGTCAAGGTGATTTTCTCACCAGGAGATTGATGGCCTTTTAAGGCTGAAAAAAGCAGCCGTAAAACTTCAAGGGGGATTTTAAAATAGGGTCTTATCCAGTTGATATTGCCCAGCAATTGCTGCAGCTGGACATATTTCATTGTTTTTGGAACATGAAGTTCAGGGACTATAGGAATAGAATAGCTAGCTATCATTTTGTGTCCCAAATAATGGAAGGGAGAGGATTCCTGAACTTTTTCTGGGGCAATTTTTAGACCATAAAGTGACAAACAGGCTGTCATATCATGCTTCCATTGAGGGGGAAGGCGTGGCCCACTGATAAGCACGTCATCCATATAATGATAAATTGAGAGGTGTGGATACTGCAAACGAAAAGGCTGAAGGGCTTGATTCACATAATATTGGCTCCCCGTCGGGGAATCGAACCCCGGTCTCCCGCGTGACAGGCGGGGATACTTACCACTATACTAACAAAAGGTTGTAATATTCAATAAAAGCTTCTTCTCGGGGTTTTGCTTGAGAGATGCCTCTTACATGACACCTGCTACTCGTCTGTCGTGATTTCATTCCAACATCTGGTGACCCCGACGTGATTTGCCAGATCCCTTACGCAGCCAGCCCTCATACTTCACTCGACTGGAAAAGTCTCGGCGCGCTATTTCCTGTTAGCTGTAGTCCAGAGGATTGGTGAAAAGAAACTTCTTCGTAAGTATAAAATCAATGGTATAGTTCTGGAAGGCTTGATTGACACGGGCGCAGATGTTTCTGTAATTTCCAGTAGTTGCTGGGACCCCACGTGGCCCCTTGAGTCTGCCTCTGCTGTCTGGGGTGTGGGTGGCCCCCAAACCTCTTCTAAAAGCGTACAGTGGCTGCCTGTTTCTCTGCCTGATAGCTCTGAAACCATTGCTTACATCCAGCCCTGTGTGCTGAAAATCCACCTCAATCTGTGGGGCAGAGACTTACTACAACAATTACAAGCTACCATTCAATTTAATGAGTAAGCTTGCACTCCCCCTCAACTGTAAATTCTTTGCTTTTACTGTTCCTGTGTTAAATAACAGTCAGCCCACGGAACGGTATCAATGGAAAGTCCTACCGCAAGGAATGCTGAATTCCCCTACCATGTGCCAATACATCAGCCATGGAACACCCTGTTGCTTAAGCCGTTTGTCCATCATTTTACCCAAAAAGCATTATTTGACCCGCTTTCGATATCGCCGCTCTGTTGAATTGACTAACGATTGTGACGATTCAATTTCTCTTCCCAGTAGGTCTGAATATATCTCTTTAGCTGTTTCTCTCTTAGGAGTCCCTGGATTGGCTGTACGCAATAGTAGGAACATTAACTCTTTAGCTTGTTCTGCAGCAAAAGCCCTGAATTATACTTCTCAAGCTCTTCACCTTTTGAATAAAGAACAAAGTGAACTCCAGCATGGACTTTTGCAGAACCGCGCTGCTATAGATTATTTGCTGATGCTTCATCATTATGGTTGTGAACAAGTGGCTGACGTGTTGTTTCAATATTACTGATAATTCTAAAGCCATTCAAAGCCAAATCTCTCATTTGCAAGATCTTACACACCACATTAAACAGGACATTGGATTTTCTGGCCTCTGGGATTCTTTCACCCAGTGGCTTACCGCTTGGTTACCAAACCTGACTTGGCTTTGTAATCTCTTTCAATATGCCATTGTCATAATATGTATATTAATTTTGCTATGTTGCTTCCTCCAGTGCATTCCTGGACTCATAAGTCTTTTGTCTCGGCTTCTCTCTCCCCCTCAGCCACCCAATAAACTCATTGCTGCCTACTTTGCAAAATGGCAGCACCAACAAACATTAGGGGAGATGTGGGCAGACTTATTTCGGGCATGCGCTGGCATACCACGTATCCCGAAGTATTTTTGTCCCGTCAACCCTGGCGAACTTATTTCGGGCATGCACTGGCATACAACGTATCCCAAAATATTTTTGTCTTATTCACCCAGAAATCATACAGTAACCCCTCGCAAATAAGAAAAGAAAGGGGGAGATGCTGGGAAGTTTTTGCCTCTGCACATGAGTCTGAGAATGTTCTGATCAGTTCCCATTGAGTTCATGAAACAGTGTACCTTGACCTGTTCTTAACGCATTGTTGACCACATCTACGGACTGCGATTGTTATGTTCTTTCAAGTCATGCAATATCAATCATTAGTAACCATGTCTTCCCTTTCCCAACCTTCATGATTAATGCCCTTACATTGTATTCCTGTTAACCAATCAGCAACGAGCGCACCTGTGGCAATGTTGTAATATTCAATAAAAGCTTCTTCTCGGGGTTTTGCTCGAGAGATGCCTCTCACATGACACCTGCTACTCGTCTGTCGTGATTTCATTCCAACATCGTGCCATGGTCAGATGACTTCCTGGTGCAACTGGACTTCTCCGCGACCCTTCCCCTCTGCAAGGAGGTAGGACCGATTCGGATGGTCCGCCCCCACCACTTAATGGATCCAAATAGTTTCCAGAGAGTGGTAGGGGATGTTTTATCCCATGTTGATGGCCTTTCAGCTGATTCCCTGGTGGCCCACTGGAATGCGGAGTTAACCAGGGCTATTGACTATTTGGCTCCAAAGTGCCCTTTCTGATTGCATGGAGCCTGGATAGCCCCGTGGTTTTCCACGGACCTGAGGGCAATGAAACAATCACTGAGACGGCTAGAGCGCCGGCGGCGGATAACTCATTCTGAATCTGACCAGACACGGGTTAAAGCTCAATGTCGAGCCTACCAAGTGGCGATAGCGACGGCGAAGAAGACTTTCTTCACCGCCTCTATTGCATCTGCAGAAAACAGCAGCAGGAGACTTTTTCAGGTGGTTCGCAATTTAGTGGAACCACCTGCTACATCGGGGCCCAGTATGGGCCACATGATCTCCTGTAATGATTTTGCAAAGTTTTTTGCAGATAAAGTAGCTCAGATTCGGGAAGAGGTAGACTCCACTGTGGGAGCAGGGCCGGGGCGGGAGAGTGCTAGAGTCCTGTCTAGTCAAGCTGCGTGGGATCAATTCCAATCTGTTACTTCCAAGGATGTGGACAGGCTGCTTGGATGAGTGAAACCAACCACCTGTCTCCTTAATCCTTGCCCATCCTGGCTTATAAAAGCTAGCCAGGAAGGGCTGGGAGACGGGCTTCGCAGGGTGGTGAATGCTTCTCTCTGTGAAGGAGCCTTCCCAGACCCACTGAAAGAGGCGGTTATCAAACTGCTTCTTAAAAAACCATCTTTAGATGCGGCCAATATGGCCAACTATCGCCCAGTTTCAAATCGTCCATTCTTGGGCAAGGTGATTGAACTCCAGGCACGCCTTGAAGAAGCGGACCATTTGGATCCCTTCCAATTGGGATTCAGGCCTCATCATGGGACTGAAACTGCCTTGGTCGCGCTGGTTGATGATCTCTGGAGGGCTAGGAACAAAGGTGAGAGCTGTTTCCTAGTTCTGCTGGATCTCTCAGCGGCTTTTGACACCATTGACCATAACATCCTCCTGGACCGTATAGAGGGGCTGGGAGCTGGGGGCACTGTTATACAGTGGTTACGCTCCTTTCTCCTGGACCGTGTCCAGAAAGTGGGGGGGGGATGAGTGTTCAGACCCTTGGGCTCTCACTTGTGGGATGCCTCAGGGTTCTGTCCTCTCCCCCATGCTTTTCAATATCTACATGCAGCCGCTGGGAGAGATCATCAGGGGGTTTGGGCTGGGTGTTCATCAGTATGCGGATGATACCCAGCTCTACCTCTCTTTCAAATCGGAACCAGTGAAGGCGGTGAAGGTCCTGTGTGAGTGTCTGGAGGCGGTTGGAGGATGGATGGCGGCTAACAGATTGAGGTTGAATCCTGACAAGACAGAAGTACTGTTTTTGGGGGACAGGAGATGGGCGGGTGTGGAGGACTCCCTGGTTCTGAATGGGGTAACTGTCCAGAGTGGTGCATGCTCTGGTTATCTCTCGCTTGGACTACTGCAATGCGCTCTATGTGGGGCTACCTTTGAAGGTGACCCGGAAACTACAACTAATCCAGAATGCGGCAGCTAGACTGGTGACTGGGAGCGGCCGCCGAGACCATATAACACCGGTCTTGAAAGACTTACACTGGCTCCCAGTATGTTTCCAAGCACAATTCAAAGTGTTGGTGCTGACCTTTAAAGCCCTAAACGGCCTCAGTCCAGTATACCTGAAGGAGTGTCTCCACCTCCATTGTTCTCCCCGGACACTGAGATCCAGCGCCGAAGGCCTTCTGGCAGTTCCCTCCTTGTGAGAAGTGAGGTTACAGGGAACCAGACAGAGGGCCTTCTCGGTAGTGGCACCCGCCCTGTGGAACGCCCTCCTATCTGATGTCAAGGAAATAACTATCTCACTTTTAAAGGACATCTGAAGGCAGCCCTGTTTAGGGAAGCTGTTAATGTTTAATAGGTTATTGTATTTTAGTGTTTTGTTGGAAGCCTCCCAGAGTGGCTGGGGAAGCCCAGCCAGATGGGCGGGGTATAAATAATAACAATAATAATATATATTATTATTATTATTATTGTTATTATTATTATTACTACTACTACTACTAGCAGGAGCAGTGGTCAGGGATGATGGGAATTTTAGTCCCAAAACAGCACACATGAAAAACTTTAACCAAATCCTTATTTCCTGATGAATAGCCTTTGGATTCTGGACACATGGTCAGCAGACCCTGGGCACCTTCCACTGGACATTCAATAGAATGGCTTTCGCCCCACCATCAAGCTAACAAGGAACCAATCTATGCAATAAATGCATTGTCTGGACACTACTATAAAAAGACAGGATGGGCTCATAGACACCACCTGAGGCCGGAAACCAAACAACTGGCAAACATATCTAACATGCTTCTGGCCACCACCCCAAACATACCAAACAATCCATTGTGTATAGCCAGGCTCTGTTCCAACTCTACAGACAGGGATGCTCCCCTAAGAGATCTGCAGCAAACCTTTTTGGAACTAAAATATCCGCCTGATGGAAAAAATAAAAAATAAAAAAGGTATCTGAAGAGGTGTGCCTGCACACGAAAGCTTCTACCCAGGACAAACTGAGTTGGAAATGAAACTAACACCAACTGGCTCCTTTAGATGGAGGATGAATGACACCTTATTTAGAGATGAAGAAGTGCTTAAGAAGGCCCAAAAAACCTTGAGAGACTATTTTGAGATAAATATGAGCACCAATGTGGAAAAAAGAGTAATCTGGGACGCAAGTAAAGTGGTTATGAGAGGGTTCTTGATACAACAGAATGCATTAAAGAAGAGAATTCAAAATGAGAAGAAGGACAAAATATTGGAGAAAATAAAGGAAAGTGAAAAAAGATTGAGAACAAAACCAAAGTCCCAAGAGATTCTGAGAGAACTAAAGTTACATCAAGTGCAATTCATGAAAATGACAAATCAGGAGATAGAATGGAAAATTAAACAAATGAGACAAAAGACATTCGAGTCGGCTAATAAATGTGGGAAACTGTTGGCTTGGCAAATGAAAAAAAGACAAAAATTAAATACAGTTACAAATTTAGAAGTGGAAGGAAGGAATATACAGAACCCAGCTGAGATTAGAAATTGTTTCCAGAGGTACTTTAAACAACTATACACACAAGGGCCATTGAAAGAAACTGATGTAGATAGATTTTTGAAAACAAATGGATTACAAAAAATCTCTCAAGAAAATAAATTAATGTTGAACTACAAAATAACTGAACAGGAGATAGAAGGTGCCATTCAAAACATGCAATTGGGTAAATCTCCAGGACCGGATGGACTGTCTTCTAGATATTACAGATCCTTGAAAGAATGGCTAGTACAACCTTTGAAAGAGGTTTGTAATGAAATAATGGAGGGGAAAAGGGCACCAGAGTCGTGGAAAGAAGCTTATATTACACTTGTACCGAAAACAGAGACTGAAAAGACGCAGCTTAAGAACTACCGCCCCATATCATTACTTAATGTGGATTACAAAATTTTTGCAGACATTTTGGCTAAGAGACTGAAAAGTGTTGTTGGAAGAGATTCATAAAGACCAAGCGGGCTTTCTCCCAGGTAGACATTTGTCTGATAACATGAGGAACATAATTGACATTTTGGAGAAACTAGAAGTGAATATAAACACTAAAGCAGTTTTGATATTTGTGGACGTGGAGAAAGCCTTTGACAATATTTCTTGGAGTTTTATGAAGAAGAACCTACAGGGTATGGGGGTAGGCCAAGGTTTTGAAAACGGTATAAGTGCAATCTATTCAGAACAAAAAGCTAAATTAATTGTAAATAATGTGGTGACGGAAGAATTTAAGATTGAAAAAAGGACACGACAAGGTTGCCCAATCTCCCCACTGCTTTTTATTTCGGTCCTGGAGGTTTTGCTGAACATGATTAGAAGGGATCAGTTGGTTAAAGGTATACAGGTTGGAGCCAAACAGTACAAATTGAGAGCATTTGCAGATGACTTAGTATTGACGTTACAGGAGCCAGAATCTAGTACCAAAAGGGTTTTAGAATTGATTCAAGAATTTGGTCAAGTTGCAGGATTTAAATTGAATAAGGTAAAAACTAAGGTTTTAGAGAAAAATCTAACACCAATAGAGAGAGAGAGGTTTCAGAATGAGGCAGGTTTAACAGTGGTTAAGAAAGTTAAATATTTGGGGATTAACTTGACAGCAAAAATGGGAACTTATTTAAAGATAACTATGAAAGATGTTGGGCTGAAGTGAAAAAAGACTTAGAAATTTGGTCAAACTTGAAGGTTTCACTGCTGGGTCGTATTGCTGCCGTAAATAAGAATGGATTGCCTAGAATGTTGTTTTTGTTTCAAACATTGCAAATTGTGGACAAAATGGACTGTTTCAAGAGGTGGCAGAGAGATATTTCTAGATTTGTCTGGCAGGGCAAGAAGCCCAGAATTAAATTTAAAATACTAACAGATGCAAAGGATAGAGGTGGATTTGCCCTGCCAGACCTTAAACTTTACTATGAATCAGCAGCTTTCTGCTGGTTGAAAGAATGGCTGCTTCTTGAAAACACTGACATTTTGGATTTAGAAGGTTTTAACAACGTATTTGGATGGCATGCATATCTGTGGTATGACAAGGTCAAAGCACATAAAGCATTTAAAAACCATATTGTCAGGAAAGCACTGTTTAATGTTTGGATAAGATACAAGGATTTATTGGAAAACAAAACTCCAAGGTGGCTGTCACCAATGGAAGCGAAAGCCTTGAAAAAGCTCAATATGGAGGTCAAATGGCCAAAATATTGGGAAATTTTGGAACAAGATGGGGACAGATTGAAATTGCAGAGTTTTGAAAAACTAAAAACAAAGTGCGAGACTGGCTTCATTATTATCAGATAATGGAGGCATACAATTTGGATAAGAAAATTGGCTTCCAGGTGGAAAAATCAAAATTAGAAACAGAACTGTTAGAACCCAAAACTAAGAATTTGTCAAGAATGTATAACTTGCTGCTGAAATGGAATACTCAGGATGAAACGGTGAAATCTGCTATGATTAAATGGGCACAAGATGTTGGACATAACATCATGTTCGCTGACTGGGAACAGTTATGGACCACAGGTATGAAGTTTACGGCATGTAATGCCCTAAGAGAGAATATTATGAAAATGATATACAGGTGGTACATAACCCCAGTTAAGCTTGCAAAAATCTACCATTTGCCTGATAATAAATGTTGGAAATGTAAAGAAACTGAAGGTACATTTTTTCACCTTTGGTGGACATGCCCAAAGATTAAGGCTTTCTGGGAGATGATATATAATGAATTTAAAAAGGTATTTAAATATACCTTCTTGAAGAAACCAGAGGCCTTTCTCCTGGGCATAGTCGGCCAATCGGTGTTAAAAAAGGATGGAACTTTCTTTATGTATGCTACAACAGCAGCAGGAATACTCATCGCAAAGTACTGGAAGACACAAGAGCTACCCACACTGGAGGAATGGCAGATGAAAATGATGGACTACATGGAATTGGCGGAAATGACTGGCAGAATCCGTGACCAGGGAGAAGAGTCGGTGGAAGAAGATTGGAAGAAATTCAAAGATTATTTACAGAAATATTGCAAAATTAATGAATGTTAGAGTGATGTTGGATTGAAGTTAAGTGGCTTCTAGCTGTACAGGCTTTAAAGTTATAAATATATCAAGATTAAGGATTAGGATTAAAAAGGTTAAAAGAATGGAAAAATTGGTTTTTAATAGGTAAAAATTTAATGTTATAATATATTAAGATTAAGGATTGGGATTAAAAAGGAGGGAAAGAAATTGCTGGACTAACAAACTGAATTGGAATACAAAAGAGGGAGGTATGAGGAGGTCCGGGAAACAAGTAAATGTAAAAGAAGTGATGAAAAGACGGAATTGTTTTTAACTGTTTTTTCTTTTTTCTTTTTGTATTTTGCATTGTGTATTTTTTTTTATTCTTAAATTCTTCTTTTTTATTAATGTGATTCTTTTCTTGTGAAACTTTAATAAATATCATTTAAAAAAACAAAAAACAAACTGAGTTGGCCTCTAAGGTGCTAATTTTCTAATTTATTTTGACTATGCCAGAAATAAATATATATTTTTACATATTTATTTTTTCATTATGAATTATGATTATGATTATCTTTTATATATTTCTTCCTAACTTGCGCTAGCAAGTCCCTTTGCCAAGCCGAGTGCATCCCCCTTTTGAATGCATAGCGGTTGGCTCAAGACTAGCTTCTCACTCGCCATCTACCGGTAGATCCCCGGCCGATCCTGGTAGATCGCCGGATTCTTATCGTGTACAAAAAGTTACGGGGGGGAGCTTAAAAAATCTCTGTGCAAACCCCCCCCCCCCCGCAAAAAAGCTCAACAACTTTGGGCAATATACCCACCCCACGCACGCTCCCCCTCCCTCCAATGACAACGGGTAGATCACTGCCAGTTTTTTTATACTGGGAGTAGATCACAGTCTCTTGGGAGTTGGGACATGCTTGAATATGACACGGCCTCCTCGTGACTGTTATAACACCCCCCCCCCACCCCCATAAAGAGAGATGGAAAAAATTGGACCGGGAACTGCCAGATAAGAACCAATAGATGGCAGCATTGGAAAGCCTTGCTAAAAAAAACACATGAACATGCAAAACTTACCTGGCTGGTTTCTCTAGTTACACACTCTTGCCTTTAAAAGGGAAACAGTGAAAATCATCAAGTAGAGGAGGGGAAACGTGCAGAGAAATTGGAACAGAAGCTCAATAAGCTAAGGCTGTCAGATAGATAGATAGATAGATAGATAGATAGATAGATAGATAGATAGATAGACAGATAGATGGTTGATAGATTAAATAGATAGATGATAGATAGATAGATAGATAGATAGATAGATCAGGACCAGGGAGTCCCCCCACCTGTCCCCCTCACAACAGGACTTCGGTGTTGTCAGGATTCAGCCTCAATTCTGCTGCCTCCCCCTCCTCTCCCTCCAGGAGCTCCATTTCAAGAATCGCTACTGGCACGAGAACTGCTTCCGCTGCTTCAAGTGCTCCACGTCTCTGGTCAACGAGCCCTTCATGCTGAAGGAGCACAACAAAGTGTGGTGCAACAAGTGCACCATGGATCAGGCCCCCCACTGCAAGGGCTGCCAGAAGCCCATCGTGGCAGGTAGGACTCCCCTCAGCTGCCTTGCACCCCTTTGCTTCTTGCCCCACTCGACTATGGAGCCTTGTCATGGGGCAGCCAGCTGGGTTATGGAACATTTCTTTTACCAAAATACTTACGTAACACGAATTCATTTTTAATGTTGCGCACAAAACCAGAGCTGTCTTGTGCATACACGTTGCCAGGGTGCAAAGACCTGTCCAGCGCAATAATAATAATAATAATAATAATAATAATAATAATAATAATTTATTATTTATACCCCACCCATCTGGCTGAGTTTCCCCAGCCACTCCGGGCGGCTCCCAATTGAGTGTTAAAAACAATACAGCATTAAATATTAAAAACTTCTCTAAACAGGGCTGCCTTCAGATGTCTTCTAAAAGTCAGATAGCTGATTATTGCCTTGACATCTGCTGGGAGGGTGTTCCACAGGGTGGGCACCACCACCAAGGCGGCCCTCTGCCTGGATCCTTGTAACCTCACTTCTCGCAGGGAGGGAACCGCCAAAAGGATCTTGGGAGAGGGACCCCAGTGTCCGGGGTGGAGGTGCTCCTTCAGGGATACTGGGCCGAGGCCGTTTAGGGCTTTCAAGGTCAGCATCTACCCTTTGAATTGTGCCTGGAAATGTCCCAGGAGGAATGTAGGTCTTTCAGGACTGGAGTTATGTGGTCTTGGCAGCCACTCCCAGTCCCCAGTCTGGCTGCCGCATTTTGGATTAGTTGTAGTCACCTTCAAAGGTAGCCCCATGTAGAGCGCATTGCAGTCGTCCAAGCGGGAGATAACTAGAGCATGCACCACTCTTGCAAGACAGTCTGTGGGCAGGGAGGGTCTCAGCCTGCGTACCAGATGGAGCTGATAAACAGCTGCCCTGGACACAGAATTAACCTGCGCCTCCATGGACAGCTGTGACTTCAAAATGACTTCCAGGCTGCGCACCTGGTCCTTCAGGGGCACAGTTACCCCAATCAGGACCAGGGAGTCCCCCACACCCACCCGCCCCCTGTCCCCCAAAAACAGTACTTCTGTCTTGTCAGGATTCAACCTCAATCTGTTAGCCACCATCCATCCTCCAACTTCCTCCAGACACTCACACAGGACCTTCACTGCCTTCACTGGTTCATATTTGAAAGAGAGGTTGTATCTCTGCATACTGATGAACACCCAGCCCAAATCCCCTGATGATCTCTCCCAGCGGCTGCATGTAGATATTGAAAAGCATGTGGGAGAGGACGGAACCCTGAGGCACCCCACAAGTGAGAGCCCAGGGGTCTGAACACTCATCCACCACCACGTTCTGGACAAAATATACTTTAGCCCTTCACATATGCGCCGCCCGGGTGCAAAGACCAGCCCAGTGCCCCCCAAATTTAGTTAATTTTGCACGCATGGCACCACAGAGAATGACAAGTGCCGCTGTTGAGTTGGACAGGCGCCGATATTGTGAATGAGAAGTGCTGCTGCGGGCGCACCACATCTTTGGTAAATGAGCTCACAAATTTGAAAGTCCTCGAGTGAAACAGTGGGTCTACATTTTGGGAATACCTAGGTATAGATGTCTATTTTTTCCTAGCTCTGGCATAGGCAAGCTCAGCCCACCAGATGTTTGGGGAGTACAACTCCCATCCTCCCTGACTACTGGTCCTGTTAGCTAGGGATGATGGGAGTTGTAGTCCCAAAACATCTGGAGGGCTGAGTTTGCCAATGCCTGTACTAGCTTGATCAAAATCACCACATTTCCCCGTGTATAAGACTAGGTCCCCCCCCCCTTAAAAATAATGTCAAAAATTAGATGGCGTCTTATACTAGGATCCATCTACCCCACCCCACCCCATTTTCTTCAATCTGAGTCCCCCCCAAATAGGGGACATCTTATGCATGGGGCCGTCTTATAGATGGGGAAATATGGTATTTATTCTTTCATAACAGGTAGAGGCAGCTCTTAACAAATCCAAACTGCAAGAACCATATAAATAATCAAAACCATTAGTCAGGTAGCTATTGTGGAAATAGGTATTCTTCATTGTCTGTTGGAATAGAGTTTTCAGCCAGTATTTAAAAGTGGAAACAGAGGGTTCCCACTGAATCTCTGGTAGCAGAATATTCTGCAATAATGGTTTGGTTTCCTTTTCATTGTCAAACAAACATTCAGGCATCATTGCTTGTTGAAAGTGGAGTTGCAAACTGTTTCCCGGTTTTCTGGTTGACATGGGATTTTTGACCTGGAAGAGCACGCATGCTTTTTGCCAGCCCCACCCCACTATAATCCATGTACTATAGTCCAAGAGATTCATTATTCCTATTTTTTATTTTCATCTTTATTTCATTTCATCGTATTGCAGAATCTAGTGTCAATTATGACATTGATAAAAATCCCCGTTTCCTCTCTCATTCTGTTTCTGTGACTTCCCTCTGCCACATGGCAGCCTTTCATACATTTTGAACTTGTCATTGTGTGTGTGTGTGTGTGTGTCATAATAAATAACAAGATGAAAAAATATTTAATAATTCCAGTGGCACCTTAAAGATCAACTAAATATAAGCTTTCAAGGTATGAGGTTTTGTGTGTAATACGCACTCCGTCTGATACTCTGACAACACAACATCCTTTAATACATTTTGAACTTGTTATTGTGTGTGTATCTGAAGAAGTGTGCATACATGCAAAAGCTTATACCAAAAACTACTCAGTTGGCCTCTAAGGTGCTGCTTTTTATTCTTTTGGAAGAATTCTTTGAAAGACTTTCTTAGATCGTATCACTTTTTGGAAGACTTGATTCTTTTAAGGAAGTTTTTAGATTTTTAAGAAAAGTCTTTTGAACTATCTTTTTAAAGAATGGTTTTGGTATATTTTGATGATGGCAGACCAACATGCCTACCTACTTGAATCTGTTAGAAATATGGGCAGTTCATAAAAAACCTTTTTCTTAAAATGCCTTTTCCAAAGGTCTTATCTTACTACACTAGGGGTTATATAGTTATCTCTGAAATTTCATGCATATCAGTTAATATCTTGACCCTGCTCTGCTGAATTGACATTTCAGCCTTCACAACATAGGAAAATGGCCAAGTAAACAGCTATTTTCATGGAGGAGGGTCAAGATATTAACTGATATGCATGAAATTTCAGCTATAGCTATATAATCCCTAGTGTAGTAAGATAGGAGCTTGGGAGCAAGCATTTTCAAAATAGAGTTTTTTTATAAACCGTCCTACTGAACACCCAATGCTTTTCAGTGGAGCAGGGTCAAGATATTAACTGATATGCATAAAATTTCAGATATATCTATATAATTCCTAGTGTAGTAAGACCAGACTTTTTTATGAATCACCCTAATATCTATTAGTTACTTTGGCCCCCAGGACAATCTGACAATAATTTTCCCACTCCTTTACGAAGTTAGCCCACGCATATCAATCCATTTGTTTTGGATCAATGTTTGGTCATTCTTCCAAACTAGTTCCGTTCCTTCTGACGTTTCGGTTCCAATGGAAATCTCATGGTTGCGGTCATTTTAGCCAACTCTATGAATTCACATAATTTGTTTAGCCAACTTGATGAGTTCACACAATTTGTTTAACCAATCTTCTACTGAGGGGATGTTGTCCCCTTTCCAATTTTAGAGTCCAAGAGATTTAGACCACTGTGTTTCATCACTGCGAGAGGTGAGGTTACAGGGAACCAGGCAGAGAGCCTTCTTGGTGGTGGCGCCCACCCTTCAGATGTCAAGGAAATAATCAACTATCCTACTTTTAAAAGACATCTGAAGGCTGTTGAGGGAAAATTTTTAATGTTTGATGCTGTATTGCAGGGACGTCCAACTCTCAAGAGATTGCGATCTACTCCCAGTATAAAAAAAACTGGCAGTGATTACCCTCTTTTTTTGGGGGGGGGGTTCAGTTTAAAGTTGTTCCTATCCCTAACCCCTATCCCTAACTCCTATTTCTAGCCCCTATCCTTAACCCCTGTTCCTATTCCTATCCCTAATCTTGCATTTTTAATAATTGATTGGGAGCCACCCAGAGTGGCTGGGGAAACCCATCCGGATGGGTGGGCTATAAGTAATAAATAATAATAATAATAATAATTATTATTATTATTATTATTATAGCTTTCAGCTTGCCATTCGTGAATCACAATTTTCTCAGTGCCACAAATTGCATCAATCTGGCAGTGAGCACCATCTCTTTCCCTCCCTCTTTGCAGGCGACCAGAATGTGGAATACAAGAAGACTGTCTGGCACAAGGAGTGCTTCACCTGCAGCCAGTGCAAGCAGGTGATTGGCACCGCCAGCTTCTTCCCCAAGGATGACGAGATTTATTGCACCTCCTGCCATGAGCAGAAATTTGCCAAGACCTGTGTGAAGTGCAAGCAGGTAAGTTGTGCCGACCCACCCTCCCCCAGCTTACCTGGATCCCATTTGGATCCTGGCTTTCCCCCAAAGGGCTCGGAGCTGCGCTCATTATCAGAGTTTCCTCCGCCAGTTCGGAAGGTGCGCCAAAAGGCACTTATGCTGACCAATGCACCCACTCTTCTTTCACCACAGCCTCTCTTGGTACAGTTCTTAACGGAGGACATATGGTGGAGATAAGGTCAGGGTCAAGGGACTCCTGGAAAGTTCAGTCCAGTCCAAGGCGGCGATGGGGTTGCAGCACTCATAGGGGTTAAAGATAGGGATAGGGATAGCAGGCATGTCCAACAGGTAAATCATGATCTACCAGTAGATCACTGGACATCTGTGGTAGATCACTGGCTCTCCCTAAAGAAGCTCAACAAGGTCAACATCTTTGCCCTGCACCCCCAAAAAGGGGTAGATCACTGCCAGTTTTTAACTGTGAGTGGGTTGCAGTCTCTTGGGAGTTGGCCACCCTAGGTATAGGGGTTAGGGATGTCCAAAGTCCGTTTTGGGGGCCTAATCTGGCCCACCAGTGGATTTAATCTGGCCCCCGTGGCAGTATAGGTCCTGGGGTAAAATCCTAAAAAAAGCTCAGCAACTTCAATGCTAAAAAAAGCTTAACAACTCTGGTTGGCCCTCTGGCCCTTTTGATTTAAATCACTCATCATTAAGGCTTGATTAAAAACCTTTTTTTCAGAAAGGTTAAACCTTGCTGGCATCCTCCTAATATTGACAACCAGAGGAAGGTTTCATTTTTGGAATCATAAATTCTCAGAGGAATTTTTACAGTTAAATAAAATATGACTGATTTGGTTCTACTATGAGAAATACATTGACAGATAAAGATGAAATTATAGTGAGGTTTCATAAGTTAACTGATTCTATTTGGACAACTTTTCTGCTGTATTTGATTGGAAGGAGAAAAAACATTTCCTTCATAACAATTTAAACCATTTATTTCACTAAAACAGTAACGTGCTAGCATATGGCTCCACGTTTGTTAACTGAGGTGCTTAAACTTTTTTTCTTTTTTAAACCCAACAGACTGAGTTTTAGCACTTAAAAACAAATCCTTATTTCCTGACGAATAGCCTTTGGACTATAATGTAATTTCAATAGAAGACCTTTAGAAAGATTTTTCTTCCCAAAGCATTTCATTTTTAAAATCCTGATTTGAATAATAATAAAAATCCCATTTAAATCAAAATTAAGAGTTTGTGGGTTTTTTAAAGTCATAATTGAAAAAATCAGAAGAATAATTCATAAAGAAAACAGTTTATAAGAAGTAAACAAGGAGGCCATGTACAGGATAAAGGAAGTCTTTTATTCTGACGTTTTATGTTATGTTTATTTTATGTTATGTTCATGTCTAATGGTGGTGGATTTGTTGATTTGAGTTGTGGTGGATTTATGTTGTACAATGTACAGTGGTACCTTGGTTTACAACCATAATCCGTTCCAGAGGTCCATCTGTAAACCAAAACAGTTTGGAACTTGAGGCACGCTTTTGCCAATGGTGCCTCCCCCCCAAAATTGTTTGTTATCCCCCCCAAAAAAGGGGGGGGAAGGGCTGTAATCCAAAAAAAGGTTGCAATCCAGGATAAGCACTTCCAGGTTTGATATGTTTGTAATCCAGAACGTCTGCAAACCAAGACGTCTGCAAACCAAGGTACCACCGTAAATAAAATTTAAATTAAATGAAAATTTTTAATACAAATGGTCGTCAGATTAATTCAAATGAAACCCCCCCCATCCAAATATTTTTTTTTATTATAAAAAAATCATTAAAAAAATCATTGTCCACCCACAGAAGAAAGCTTCCACAGGTGACACAGGGTTCGGGGTGGCTGGGACGAATGGTTCCCCAGGAGTCGAAGCAGCGCTTGACCTTTGACTTCCTTCCCCACGCCAGGCCATCACCTGCGGAGGGGTCGCCTACCAGGAGCAACCGTACCACTCCGAGTGCTTTGTGTGTGCCACCTGCTCCAAGAAACTGGGAGGGCAGCGCTTCACAGCTGTGGAGGATCAATTCTACTGCGTCGATTGCTACAAGTCCTTTGTGGCCAAGAAATGCAGCGGTTGCAAGAACCCCATCACAGGTGGGTCAGTGATGGGTCCGGGACAGGTGCCTGGAGGTGGTTGGAGGATGGGTGGCGCCTAACAGGTTGAGGTTGGATCCTGGCAAGGCAGCAGTCCTGTTGTGGGTGGGCGGGTGTGGGGGACTCCCTGGTCCTGAATGGGGCAACTATGCCCCTGAAGGACCAGCTGCGCAGCCTGGGGGTGATCTTGGACCCAAGGAGGCACAGGTCCATTCTGTGTCCAGGGCAGCTCCATCTGGGACGCAGGATGAGACCCCTCTCTGCCCAGAGCGGTGCATGCTCTGGTTATCTCCCGCTTGGACTACTGCAGTGGCAGCCCAACTCGGCCCTCCAGCTGTTTGGGGACTACAGTGCCCATCGTCCCTGACTGCTGGTCCTGTGAGCTAGGGACAATGGGAGTTGTAGCCCCCAAACAGCTGGAGGGCCAAGTTCAGCTATCACTGGGATATAGGGTATATCAGATTCTTCTGCTATAGGATACACAGGATATATATTCCGTTCCATTCATTCATATATTCAGTTCCATTTGTTCATTTGCTTCCCAAAAGCTCGACAACTTTGATATGTCCAGTGTCAATGGGTATATCACTGCCAGTTTTTTTATACTGGGAGTAGATCGCAGTCTCTTGAGAGTTGGACATCCCTGGCCTAGCTCATAAGCAATTAAGTCAAGCATCCCCAAACTCGGCCCTCCAGCTCTTTTGGGACTACAACGCCCATAGTCTCTGACCACTGGTCCTGGGAGCTAGGTATGATGGGGGTTGTAGTCGAAAACAGTTGGAGGGCCAAGTTGGGCCATGCCTGATCTAGAGTAGTGGTGGCCAAACTTGGCCCTCCAGCTATTTGAGGACTAAAACGCCCACCATCCCTGACTGCTGGTCCTGCTAGCTAGAGTTGTAGGCCAGGTTTGAGGAAGCCCACAAGCTCATTGGAGGGAAGCCCACCTACCTGTCCCTGAACTCCCCCACTCCTTCTTCCAGGCATACAATTCCCATCATCCCCGACCACTGGTCCTGTGAGCTAGGGACGATGGGAGTTGTAGTCCCAAGACAGCTGGAGGGCCAAGTTTGCCTATGCCTGAATAAGTGACCTGTGTGCTTCCTTCTCCTTCCTTTCTAACCCTTCCCTCCCTGCTCCTCCTCTGAACTGGCAGGTTTCGGGAAAGGAACCAACGTGGTCAGCCATGAAGGCCACTCCTGGCACGACTACTGCTTCAACTGCAAGAAGTGCTCCATCCCGCTGGCCAACAAGCCCTTCGTTTTCCACAGCGAGCAAGTCTACTGCCCCACCTGCGCCAAGAAGCTGTAAGGGGCGGAGCCAGGAGCAAAGGGGGGGCGCGGCCTCGCCTCTTCCCTGGAGGGGCTTGATCCGTGTGCTTGGAGAAAACCTGCCCACTCTCCTGCCCACATTTTAGGCTTCCCCATCCCCATCCTTAAGTGGTGCCCGGCATCTCCCCCCTCCCCATCTGATAGGTGGCATTCAATAAAAGCTCTGCCTTAGCATCCTACCTGCTGCTAACCTTGCTTAAAATCCCCCCCTTTTTAAAGGAAAGATCCTCTTATTTTCTTGCCATGCTTCGCAGGTGCCGGCCGAAGTTTAGGCTCAAGCTTTGCACATCCAAATGTACTTACTGATAACCAGGGTGGATTTGATTTAAATCATATATTCAGTAAGACTGGATTTCAATCACTAGTCAGGAAGACTTGATTTAAATCATTTTTTAAAAAACAGAAAGGTTCAACCTCGCTGGGATCCTCTTGCCATGCTTCGTGGGTGCCGGCTGATGTTTCGGCTCAAGCTTCACACAACCAAATATACCGCACTTTCCCATCTAGAAGACTCCCCCTTCTGTAAAATGCCCCCTATTTTGAGGGACTAAAAATTTCCAAAATTGGGGGGGCGGGGATTGTTGAGCTTTTTTTAGGGTGCGTTGCCACAAATTGCCTACCCGCTGTGGTCACCGAGGGGTCTTTGCAGCCTGCGCTTTGAGTCTTATATAGAACCTCGTTCTTCTACACGGAAAAGTACGGTACTTGCTGATAACTGAGCACATACAGCTAATTAGTCTTTTTCCGTGTATAACATGCCCCCATGTACAGTCATACCTCAGGTTGAAGTAGCTTCAGGTTAAACATTTTCGGGTTGTGCTCTGTGGCGACCCGGAAGTAACGGAGTGTGTTACTTCCGGGTTTCGCCGCTTCCGCAGATGCTCAAAATGACGTCATGGGCACGTGGCTAATTGCGGCACACGCGGACGCAGGTTGCGTTTGCTTCAGTATGTGAACGGGGCTCCGGAACAGATCCCGTTCGCATCCAGAGGTACCACTGTATAAGATGCCCCCTATTTTGGACTGGACTTAACTGGCAGGAGTCCTTTACCTTTATTTTGGGGGACTCAAAAATTAAGAAAATGGAGGGAGATTGCCCCCAGGTATAAGATTACCCTTCCCCTTTTTGCATTATTTTTTAGTAAAAAAACAACCACCCTAGTCTTATACAAGGAAAAGTATGGTAGGTTACTAACTTCTAAGTGAGCAGTAAGATGAGGGCTGAAATCACATGACTGCTTTTGAAACAGAAATTTTTGCTTTTCCTTCCTGGGGAGCAAAAGATCGCGAGAGAGTTTGAAGCCGTTTTAAAGGTTCACTCACTGACCCTTTAAAAGTCTAAACAGGGCTGCCTTCAGACGTCTTGCTGATTTCCTTGAGATCTGATGGGAGAGGGTGCCACCACCAAGAAGGCCCTCTGCCTGTATTAAACTGAATCCTGGGGTGGGGTGGGAGGCAAAATGCTTGTGTGCTCTTCCATATAAAAAATCCCAGGAAAGCCAGGAAATGGCCGGCCTGAGCCCTTCGCAACGTCAGTTTCCACAAGCAATGATGCCTTCATATTTGTTTGACAATGAAAAGCAGGGGTCAGCAACCTTTTTCAGCAGGGGACCGGTCCACTGTGCCTCGGATCTTGTGGGGGCTGGACTATATTTTTTGGGGGGAAATGAACAAATTCCTATGCCCCACAATTAACCCAGAGATGCATTTTAAATAAAAGGACACATTCTACTCATGTCAAAACATGCTGATTCCCAGACCATCCGCCAGCCGGATTGAGAAGGCAATTGGGTCGGCCCCAGCCCCCAGGCCTTAGTTTGCCTAGCAATGCCCTAGGTCAGGCACATCCAACAGGTAGATTACTTTGGCTTCTCCCAAAAAGCTCAGCCACTTTTGTTTCCTAGCCAAAAAGTGGGCCATCAGATTAAGTTCCACTATATAGGACTGGGGATTCATGACCCTTAACTGTGTTTTATGTAATCAACTTTTGGTTATGTTCTGTGTATCTCACAACGTTCATTCAGTTCTATTAATTTATATATTCAGTTCCATTCATTTGCTCCCTAAAAAAAAAAGCTCAACCACCTTGGCTTCCCCAAAAAAGCTCCACAACTTTGATCCATCCAACGACAACGGGTGGATCACTGCCAGTTTTTTTTAAGACTGTGAGTAGATCACAGTCTCTTGGGAGCTGGACATCCCTGCCCTAGGTCAGGGTGTCAAACTCAAATTCATCGGGGTCCGCATCAGCAGTTTGGTCACCCTCATGCGCTCAATATAAAAACAAGTGGAGGTTTCCTGAATGCACGTAGAGTGGAGGTTTCCTGTGTAGAACGGCCGGCGCCGCTAGAGGGCAGACGTTCTCTGGCTTGTAGGCTGCCGCGCATGCGCTGAAGAGGCGGCTTTCTTGTGTCAAAAAAAAAAGAAGCGAGAATAAAAGGTGAAGGGTGGCGGCCGGCGGCGGCTACACGGGCCACATGACAAGGTCTGGTGGGCCGGATTCGGCCCGTGGGCCTTGTGTTTGACACCCGTGCCCTAGGTGATAGTATGTCAATATGCAGATCTGATCAGCATCACATGGTCCAGCCCAGAAACGTCTCCAGAAAACCTGGCCTTCGCAGATTAACACAATGAAACCCTTGATGCGCATGAAGGAATAAAACCAAACGTTTGCAACACACAATTTCCTCCACCCATTCTTAGCTGATACTTGTATCTGTTATCACACCCAAGGTTGCGTCCAATGAAGTGTCTCATGGGGAATTAAGGGGAGGGGGGATTACGGAAATCTACGTGTGCTTGGTTCAAAACTGTATAAGAAGTAAGAAACGTCTCCCGTTTGGAGTCTTCTCCTTTCCTCCTTGGCGAGACTGGCTTTGACCCTGCTGCCGCAGAAATCTCAAATAAAGGTCCAGCATCTTCGCTGCTTTGCTTCAACTTGCCTGGGTTTGTATTCCGTTTTTGCATGCCGGCCGCGGGAACCTTCACAGGTCCCATATGACAGGAGTCCCTTATTTTTCACCATTCCTGGAAGCCTCGTGTGGGAACATAGATGGACACCATAGATGGTGTCCATAGATGGACACCAGAGACAAAGTATGACAAACTAGTAACAAGAAAAAACTCAGAATGGATGAAAATGAGATCATAAGTATGGATATATGGTAAACAGGGCAATTCAGAAATGCTCAGATAAAAGTGATTACATCTGGAAGTCAGGGAGGGGGATGGGAGGAAGTCAAAGCTCAATTTGAGCAAAGATCTATGTGATGAAGAAATGTTATTTGGTTGTTATAAAGCAGGCATGTCCAACAGGTAGTATGACTGGATGTCTGTAGAGAAGCTCAACAACTTTGGCTCCCCTAAAAAAGCTCAACATTTAAAATGGTGCCTTCCTCCTCCCTAAAAAAGGTCAACAACTTTGACCTGAACCTCCCTAAAAAAAAAGTCACCCACTTAGACCTGAATCCCTTTTTTTAAAAAAAGGGCTATTCTTCCTAAAAAAAGCTCACCCACTTTGATCTGAATCCCAGAAAAGGGGGCAGATCACTGCCAGTTTAGATCGCAGTCTCTTGGGAGTTGGCCACCCCTGTTATAAAGGGAAAAAGAAAAAGAAATATTATTAAAAGAAAAAGAAAATGAGATCATTATCCATAAGATAACCCCAACCAGGCGACAGGAGAAAAGAGAGAAATCTAAACCTCTAGTAGAAGTCCTAAAAGGAAACCTGATAGTTCACAGGTGGGAATTCCCAGAGGGCACCTCGTTCTTCTTTGAGGGGGAAAGGCGGATGTTCACAACGCCGAAAGACACTGAGAAATTTGGGACAAAAGCCACTTCTTTTCAGAGAAAGGCCCAATTGATTTTGTGCCTGATTTCCAAACATTCCTGTTCCGCAGATGAGGCTGTACCATGTCTATGGAACAGTCATGTAGAACAGGCACGTCCAACAGGTAGATCACAATCTACTGGTAGATCGTGGGGCTTTCCTGGTCGATCTCTGGCCCCTCAGGGATCTCCTTCCCCTCAGAATAAAAAAGAACAAAAGGAATTAAAAAAAGCTCAACAACTACTGCTTCCTGTTATGTTCTGTGTACCGTATTTTTCGCCCTATAGGGCGCACCGGCCCATAGGACGCACCTCGTTTTTGGGGGGGAGGAAATGAATAAAAAAAAAAATTCCCCCCCCAGCCGCGGGGCTGGGGCAGGGGAAGCCCGAGCTTCCCCTGACCCCAGAACAGGCTGCTATCTGCAAGCCTTGTGAGCCCGGTGGCAACTCCCGCCGGGCTCGCAAGGCTTGCAGACACCTGTGCGAAGCATGGGGCGCCCTCTGGAGGGCGCACCGTGCTTCGGGCTGCAGGCTGCTGCTCGCAAGCCTTGCGAGCCTGGCAGCAACTCCCGCTGGGCTCGCAAGGCTTGTGGATAGCTTCCTGAAGCCTGGAGAGCGAGAGGGCCGGTGCGCACCTACGCCTCTCGCTCTCCAGGCTTCAGCGAAAGCCTGCATTCGCCCCATAGGACGCACACACATTTCCCCTTCATTTTTGGAGGGGAAAAAGTGTGTCCTATAGGGCGAAAAATACGGTATACCGCAAGGCTCATTCGGTTTCATTCATTCATATTTCCCGTTCCATTCATTCATATCTTCCGTTTCTTTCCTTCCTTTGCTTCCTTAGAAAAAGCTTGTCAATGTTGGCTTCCGGGAAAAAGCCGGACAGCTTTGCCTTTCCAAAAAAAACGCGGCAACTTTGGCTTCATTTGGTTTCATTCATTTCATATCTTCAGTTTCATTTATTCATTGATTCCTAAAAAAAAAAAAAGCTCAACAACAACTCTGGCTTCCTAAGAAAAGCTGAACAACTTTGCCTTTCCAAAAAAAGCCCGACGACTTTGGTTTCCTAAGAAAAGCTCCACAATTTGCCTTTCAAAGAAAAGCTCAGCAACTTTTGCTTCCGAGCAAAAAATGTGGACCATCAGATTAAGGTCCACCATTTGACTGTGGATTCAGGACCGTCAACTGTGTTTTATATAATCGACTTTAAATTAGGTTTTGTTTATCTCGCAATGCTCACAGTTCCATTCATTCATAAATTCAGATCCATTCACTCAAAAAAAAAGCTCAACAACTTTGATCTGTCCAATGACAATGGGTAGATCACAACCAGTTTTTTTTACACTGAGAGTAGATCACAATCTATTGGGAGTTGGAGACGTCCCTGATGTAGAACAATGACTGCTCCCTAAAGAGAGTATCTCTACTATGCAGCTTTTAGAGTTGGATCGCTGTACATCTGCCCCCCATTTCAAGAGGCTTCTCTCTCAAATTCAGGCTTGTTGAGAACCAGGGTGGATTTGACTTAAATCAAATCAATTTTAATCAGGATATAAATCACAATTTACCGTATTTTTCACTCTATAGGACGCACTTTTTCCCCTCCAAAAATTGAGGGGAAATGTGTGTGCGTCCTATGGAGCGAATGCAGGCTGAAGCCTGGAGAGCGAGAGGCGTTGGTGCGCACTGACCCCTCTCGCTCTCCAGGCTTCAGGGATAGCCGCCTGAAGGCCTTTGGAGCGCAGTGCAAATTCCCGCTGCATTCTGGAGGCTTCAGGTTCCTTTCAGCAAAAGGAACCCGAAGCCTGAGGAGCGCAGCGGGAATTTGCGCTGCGCTCAGAAGGCTTCAGGAATAGCCATGCACAGCCCCTCTGACAGGGAGAGGCTGCACACGGCTATGGCTTCTTTAGCCCCGCGCAGCCTCTCCCTGCCGGAGGGGTTGCGCACGGCTAAAGAGGAAGCCAAAGCAGCGAGCGGGATCCATCCCGCTCACTGTCTTGGCTTGTGCCAAAGATGTTGAATAAGACCGGGCCCAAGACAGAACCCTGTGGCACCCCACTAGTCACTCTTCTCCAGGATGAAGAGGAACCATTGATGAGCACCCTTTGGGTTCGGTCAGTCAGCCAGTTACAAATCCACTGAGTGGTAGCATAGTCAAGACCGCATTTTACCAGCTTCTTTACAAGAATATCATGGGGCACCTTGTCAAATGCCTTGCTGAAATCAAGGTAGGCTACATCCACTGCGTTCCCTTCATCTACCAGGGTCTGGTATATAAGGGTCTGGTGACTTCTGTTTCAGTGATTCTGAAGAATTGTGCATGCACATGAAAGCTTATACCAAGAACAAACTTAGTTGGTCTCTAAGGTGCGACAATTTTTAATTTTTTTATTTTGACTGTGTCAGACCAATACGGCTACCTACCTGAATCTATTCTGATTATTATTATTATTAAACCAACAATAGGTCAATACAAAGTCAGTTTCAGAAGCTCTGCATTTCTCCGTGCCTACAGCAACCGTTTTGGATCATCTGTTAATAACCAATGCAGGCTGCTTTCAATGGGAAAATTTATTTAACAGTGAATACGCGTTTACGTACAGCATTCAACAGGCATCAGTTTGCACAGGGGAAAAACTGGAGTCATCATGCTTGTCCAAATGATTGTCTCTGCCAGAATGAAGAGAGTGATCATACAAAAATACATTTTGTTTCAACCTAAGGCACCGCTCTAAAATATTTGGGAATGGCAAAAAGGTTTGGGAGAGGGCAGAGGATGAGATGGAAAGGGGGCTGGATCTCTAGTTCCCAACTGCAATCCCAAGAAATGGGGCATCGTGCCAGTATGAACATCTGCCCTGAAAGCCGAGGGGTCACTGATCTGGGAAGCCGCTCTTTATAGAATAAATTATTATTAATCTTTTGACAAGGGACACCTAGCGATTCAGGACTGGAGGACAAGGACACAGCTGCCGTTCTCTCTTAGCCACAGACTTCATCCCTTTATGCCAGTGGTGGCATAAAGGCCCAGATTGGCCATCACTGCTTTACGCAGAACACTGTCCAAGGGCTGGAGGCTAAATAGGTTGCTTTATGCCAGTCATGGCCAAACTTGGCCCTCCAGCTGTTTGGGGACTACAACTGCCATCATCCCTAGCTAACAGGACCATAGAATCATAGAGTTGGAAGAGACCACAAGGGCCATCGAGTCCAACCCCCTGCCAAGCAGGAAACACCAGTGGTCAGGGGTGGTAGGAATTGTAGCCCCCAAACAGCTGGAGGGTCAAGTTTGGCCACCACTGCTTGACACAAACAGGAGAGGCAAGCAGCGAGGTCAAACGAAGAGAAGGACAGAATAATTAATGAAGACAAAAACAAACAAACAAACAAAACCACAACACACACACACACAACCTCAGGGGTTCGATACTGCTTTTTTGTACACCAATATGCACAAAACAGACGTGTGAATATCAACTTAAATCAGGCACCCCAGACTCGGCCCTCTGGATGTTTGGGGACTACAACTCCCATCATCCCTAGCTCACACGACTAGTGGTCAGGGAGGATGGGAATTGTAGTCCCAAAATCTGAAGGGCCGGAGTTTGCCTATGCCTGCTTTAAAGGTAAATCAGGGAAGACGCTCCATGCAGTGGGCTTCCTGGGCCCCCTCCAAACATTTGGTGTTGGGGTGGGGCTCCTGGCAGGTTATTTGGGCATTGGTCTTGGCCATTCTGGCCCCCCTTCCACGCACTTTGCGGGTCCTTGCCGAATGTCTCATAGCGAGTCGTCGCCTTCAACAAGTGGGGGCTGACAGCAATTTGTAGGCCCCGTAGAGCACTGCACACCATGTTGCCATAATGACACTCGACCGTTGTCAGTGGGGATCCAGTTGCGGGGGAAGCCGCTGGGGCACCCGGGCGGCAAATATGACGCGTACCCGGAGGCGCACCGATCCTCCCGAGAGTGCTGCCACCTGCGCATATACGCCCAGCATGTGGTGCCGCCTGCTGGGGATGGGAGTGCTGCCCGCCTGGCGATCAGCGGGCGGATTTCCGCAGCGGCAATTGTGCCTGTCACGGAAATTCACCCGCCACGACGCCAATCAGCCTGGGGGGGATTTTGTCAACCCCCACCCCAGGCATGGGCCACCTCCGTCCACCAGTGGCTAACAGCAGTTTGCAGCCCCGACAGCGCTACATTACAATGACGGCACTCGATCATTGTTGGCGAGCTCACCAAAATACCGTATTTTCCCTTGTGTAAGACTAGGTTCCCCCCCTAAAATATAATGTCGAAAAGAAGGGGGCATCTTATACACGGATACATCTCCCCCCATTTTCTTAAATCTAAGTCCCCCAAAATAGGGGGCGTCTTATACATGGGGGCCTCTTATAGACGGAAAAATGTGTAACTTGCCACTTGCCATGAGCAAGACATTTGTTGCCAAGCGCCGGAAGAGATCTTAGCCCTAAGCTAGATTTTTTTATGGCAGAAACAGTCCAACCTGTTGCCAAGGAAGATGGCTCGCTCTTAACGATTGAAACGAAACTCTCCTTCAATAATGGAGCGTGCATGTGAAGCCAGTTAAGACAAGGACAAGGTGGTTTAATAAAGGTTAGGTTTCATTTTATTAGGCTGGCTGTGCTCTGTGCAACAATATTTGGTAAATCTCCAATACAAGCTACTAACAGAATAATGAACAATTCACGGAAGGGAAAACGTTTCCTTCCCGTCCCTTCGAGAAACCTGCGTTCAAACAGTCCCTCTAACAAAAACTCATTAAAGCAACAGTCTACCTGAAAGGTTTCCAAGGTGCAAAGTTAGGCGGGGTAGACTTTACTTCTTTTCCGGCACCAAACTCGGGGGGGTTCAACAAGCAGCTTTTCCAAAAACAAGGCCTTCATATGACTTGGGGGGAACCCCAAATTCCTGAAGCGGAGAGTCTGGAGTCTTTCCAGGGTCCTAGTGTTCACAGTTCTGTTCAAAAGCGAGAGAGAAAGAAAGAACTAATAGGAAACAGAAGACAGGTGGAGTTTTAATTGCAATTAGTTACCACATTTTTTTCGTGTGTAAGACTAGGTTTCCCCCCTAAAGAATAATGTCCAAAATTTGGGGGCGTCTTATACACGGGGGCCACCTCCCCCATTTTCTTAAATCGGAGTCCCTCAAAATAGGGAGCATCTAATAGATGCAAAAATACAGTATTTGGCTGCGCAATAGAGATATTGGATTCTTGTCTCGTTACACGTATGAAAGCTGTTTTGGGTCACTGCATACTATCCCTTGCTTTTTCCTGTAGGACAGGGATGTCCAACTCTCAATAGACTGTGATCTACTCCCAGTACAAAAAAAGTGGCAGTGATCTACCAGTTGTCATTGGACGGATCAAAGTTGTGGAGCTTCTCTTGGGAAGCAAATGAATGATTGGAACTGAAGATAAGAATGAGTGAAAGGTAATATATGAATGAATGGAACGGAATATATGAATGAATGGAACTGCAGGAGTGGCCAACTCTCAAGAGACTGCATTCAGAATTAAAAACTGGCAGTGATCTACCCTTGTTTTATGGGGGGGTTTAGCTCAAAGTTGTTGAGCTATTTTTAGGGAGGGGCTTTTTGGGGGGGAGAGTTCTGTTTTCGGGGGGGGGGGTTAAAGGCAACGGATAAAGGGGTAAAGTCACTCAAGAAAAAAATCACTATGCATAAAAACAGCAGCACAGAGAAAGTTCAGTCTTCCCTTCCAGAGATCATACAACAATGGAGGGCTGGGCGAGGGAGCCAGAGATCAACTACGATCTACCAAAACCTCGTGGGGATCTAGCAGTAGATCGCAACTGACCTGTTAGACATCCCTGGAATAGATGAATGAATGGAACTGAATGAGCATTGCGATACACACAGAACATAATCAAAAGTCGAATATATTTAATACACAGTTGAGGGTCTTGAACCCCCAGTCCAATAGTGGACCTTAATTTGATGGTCCACTTTTTGGCTAGGAGCCAAAAGTTGCTGAGCTTTTTTTGGAAAGGCAAAGTTGTCTGGCTTTTTCCTGGAAGCCAAAGTTGCCACGTTTTTTTTGGAAAGGCAAAGCTGTCCGGCTTTTTTCCGGAAGCCAACATTGACGAGCTTTTTCTAAGGAAGCAAATGAAGGAAAGAAATGGAAGATATGAATGAATGGAACGGGAAATATGAATGAATGAAACCGAATGAGCCTTGCGATATACACAGAACATAACAGGAAGCAGTAGTTGTTGAGCTTTTTTTATTCCTTTTGTTCTTTTTTATTCTGGGGGGAAGGAGATCCCTGAGGGGCCAAAGATCTACCAGGAACACCCCGTGATCTACCAGTAGATTGCAATCTACCTGTTGGACATGCCTACTGGCGGACTAATTGCAGTCGTTCACAGTTGCCAACAGATTGACAATACCCATTGAGTCCCACGATCCCTAGCTAACAGGATCAGTGGTCAGGGATTATGGGAATTGTAGTCCAAAACATCTGGAGGGCCGAAGGCTGGGGTTGCCTGAGTTAGAAAGTGGACCCAGCAACGTTCAACATCCCATCTCAGGCCTATTTCATTGCTCATCTTCTAACACTGTGTATGCCATCAAATGCCAGCAGTGCCCTTCGGCTCTCTATATTGGGCAAACAGGCCAGACTCTATGCCAAAGGATAAATGGGCATCAATCTGAAATCGGGAATCACACGGCAGAGAAGTCAGTTGGCCCTCCAGCTGTTTGGGGACTACAACTCCCATCATCCCTGACCCCTGGTCCTGTGAGCTAGGGATGATGGGAATTGTAGTCCCAAAACAACTGGAGGGCCGAATTTGGCCAAAACTGCAATAGGAGAACACTTCCATCTCCTGGGAGATTAAATACAGGATCTATATATCATGGTCTGGGGACTCCCCTCCCTCTATATATCAGGGTCTGGGGACTCCCCTCCCTCTATATATCATGGTCTGGGGACTCCCCTCCCTCTATATATCAGGGTCTGGGGACTCCCCTCCCTCTATATATCATGGTCTGGGGACTCCCCTCCCTCTATATATCAGGGTCCGGGGACTCCCCTCCCACTATATATCATGGTCTGGGGACTTCCCTCCCTCTATATATCAGGGTCCGGGGACTCCCCTCCCTCTATATATCATGGTCTGGGGACTCCCCTCCCTCTATATATCAGGGTCTGGGGACTCCCCTCCCACTATATATCATGGTCTGGGGACTTCCCTCCCTCTATATATCAGGGTCTGGGGACTTCCGCTTCAGTGTATTTGAAGAAGTCTGCCTGCACACAAGATCTTTGATCCAGAAGAAACATTGTTGGTCTCTAGGTTGCTACTGGACCATTTTTTCATTTTTTTAAGATTTATTTTGACTGCGTCAGACCAACGCAGCTCCCTCCCTGAATCTAGTATAGGGAGCTGGTTCACAAGTGCCAGAGTTCGCAGAAAGGGGGCCCTGGGGACACCCATTTTAGGAGGAAGCGGAAGGGCTTCATTAACCCACGCAAAACCTCTCCTTTTATTTCCCTCCAACTTCAGGTCAGTCAGCATCCTTCTTTCCAGCCCTGCAGCCCAGGTTTCAAGTATTTTGAGAACCCTGAACGCCGAACTCAAATGCGAATTTGCCACCTTTCAATGGAGAGGTGGTTTGGTGCACTGGGCAGACCCCTGTGACTGTATATTTAATATTTTTTAAATCTCCTGTTGAAAGCAGCCCAGAGTGGCTGGGGAAATCCAGCCAGATGGGCAGGGTAGAAATAAATTATTATTATTATTATTATTATTATTATTATTATTATTATTATACCTGATGCGGTCTCTATCGGTTTGGTCAAGGAATTCACGGGACTTTCTTCTTCAAAAGCCAGCCTGGGACTCGCAGGTACAACAGCAGCATCTTTCAAGCTCTGGGTGGCTTTATCTGCAGCCATGGTTGTCTTGGGATGGACGCCGAGTTCAATTATTTCTTCAAAATTCCACGTCGTAGATTTCCCATTCAGGTTAGATAGAAATCCAGTTGAGCGATCCTCTTCGTTAACGCACGAGATTTCAGAGTTCTCAACAACCGTTTCCTTTGCTGGAGGACTGGGAAGAGAGCAGGGTGGATAAAAATCAATGATTTTAAAAATAAAAAATAAAAATTGATTTTTAAAATAAGATGCTTTTGGAGGGAAAATCTTTCTAAAGATTTTTTTATTTCAGTTTTATGACAGTCCAAAGCTATTCATCTGGAAAGAAGGATTTGTTTTAAGTTTTTCATGTGTGCTAAAACTCAGTCTTTAAAAAAACAACGTTTAACCATATCAGTTAACAAACAGGGATACATATGCTATCATGTTATTGTTTTAGTGAAATAAATGGTTAAATTGTGATGAAGGAAATGATTGTTTGTCTCCTTCTAATCAAGTACAGCAGAAAAGTTGACCAAATAGAAACAGTTCACTTATGAAACTTCACCATCATTTCATCACTATCTTTCAATGTATTTCTTAGAGTAGAACCAAATCAGTATTTTTTGATATAACTGTAAAAGCTCCTCTGAAAATGTATGATTCCAAAAATGAAACCTTCCTCTGGTTGTCAATATTAAGAGGATGCCAGCAAGGTTGAACCTTTCTGTAAAAAAGGGGATATTTTATTGATTGATTGATTGTGTGATTGCGGAAATGGATAAAAGCCCCCCATCCAAACAATGACTATCATCAGTGCAGGTCAGAAAATAAAAAATTAATTTCTATTTTTCTCATCTACAATATCTTATTTCTTTAATGGTACAGCACATTGATGATTGCTTTCGTTTTATGTCTTGATGGTCTCGTTAGAGTGTAAAATTCATGTTAAATTGCTGCTTTTAAAAGTCTGGAACGTATTAATCCCTTTTGCATGATATTCTATGGGAAATAAGTGTCTTGGTTTTGGAATGCTTTGGTTTTGGAACGGATTTCTGGAACGGGTTAAGTTTGAGAACCAGGGTACCTGTTTTACAGAAAGGGTCAGCCTTGCTGGCATCCTCAGTTTTGGAATGCTTTGGTTTTGGAGCGGACTTCTGGAACAGATTAAGTTTGGGAACCAAGGGACCACTGTACGGGGCTGTTTGGGGGAGGGGCAGGAGTGGGCAACACCTGCACCAAGCTTACCTAGCTTCTTTCACCTGAGTCAAATACATCGAATTCCCACCACCATCGTCGTTCTTCCGATCAACCTCCTCCACCTCATCCCCATTTACAAAGACACTGTCCGGTTCCATTTTTGATCTGTCTTCCAACGTGGCCAAATCGCACACAGCCTCTGGACCGTCTTCGAGGGAGGAGTCATATTTTGCCTTTTCTGAAACAACAACAACAAAAATAAATATTATTATTAATACCCCGCCCATCCGGGCAGCTTCCAGCAAAAGATTAGAAATACATTAAAACATCAGTCATTCAAAACCTCCCTAAAGAGGGCTGCCTTCAGATGTCTTACGTCAGATAGTTGCTTATCTCTTTGACATCTGATGGGAGGGCGTTCCACAGGGCGGGTGCCGCCATTAATAATTAAGAGTCACCACCTGAAATTTGGAGTGCGGATGGTGGTAAAAGGAAACTATTTTCAAACTGCGACTGAAGATGTAAGGCAGGCAGGCAGATGGCAGGCTTAACTAACCCCATGCTATTCTTTCCACAAGAGGGAACGAAAGCCCTCTGCGCCAGAAGCCCCTTCCGAGAAAATCAGGGAATACCTCCAAGCTAGCTAAGAAAGCAGGGTAGATAAAAATCAATGATTTATAAATAAATAAATAAATAAAATTTGGATTTTCTTGATTTAAATTGGATTTTTAAAAATTATTATTGATTTTTTAAAATTTAAATTGGATTTTTAAAACAAAATGCTTTTGGAGGAAAAACCTTTCTACAGATTTCCTCTTTAAATTACATTAGAGTCCAAAGGCTATTCATCTGGAAAGAAGAATTTGTTTTAAGTTTTTCATGTCTGCTAAAACTCAGTCTAAGTCTCGGGGCCACTAGGGGGCGCATTGGAAGATGGCCGACAATACCATCTCTCCGACCCACACGGGGTAATTAAGAGGCTGTTATGGGAGTAGGCAGCCTCCCTTGTTGCCCCAAGGAAATGGGGAACACTGCCCTTGCCTGCTGTGCCCATAAATCACCCCCTAATTCGAAAGAAGGGGGTGAGAGCCCTAGGCAGAATGCTCCCGTGTGGACATCGGGTCTCCTGGATGCTGTCTCTGATCGCGCACTAGTTGCAGCAATTTGGAATAATTAATTACAAAAGAAGCAAATGCACATATTTCAAGTGAAGAAGGGGAGTGAAGTCTGCTAATTTAAGTGACCTCTGCGAAAGAAGACGACGGGCTGGAGAAACAGGAATATTTTACGATGAAGATACACCAAAGGCGGGGTATGTTGACAACTGGGCTGAATGGGGGGGGGGGAACCTTTTTTACTTTCCTTCTATGTGATTTACAAGAACCCCTCCTCATTAGAACCGTCGGTTGAACTGACCCAAGCAGGATGATTAAGGTCTGTGTGGAGATAAACTTTAACCAAAAGTATGCTTTATGGAGACTGAGAAGCAATAAGAGCTTTTGGGAATGACGCAGCAATTAATTCGGAGTCGCCATCTTGCCAAAGGATTTATAGCCGGGAGGAAGTACCGATTTGTTTTCAGACTGCATTCCTAGTGAATCTCCTCAGAGGTTTTGAGAAAGGAGGCAGATTGGTGAAGATTAATGACGCTAAGACTGTTTTGATGTATGGAAGTGATGTTATATGGAAAACGTCTGGATATGGCTACTGGATAAAAATTAATATCCACGCAGGATTACAAACTGTTCTAACCAGCTTATGGAGACTATCAGAGGTCACAAAGAGAAAGGAAAAATATATGAAAATAACAACAAGAGATGTGGAAAAATAATAAGAAAGGACTGGATAGTACTGTGAACATCATAAGGTTAGATTTGTGGACATTAAAACAGCAGTAAGAAGCAAGAAGTTGATTGGATGCCTTCGGAACTTGAAATATGGGTACCCCCAACAAAAATTTAAAATTTGGCTGTGTAATTTGGAATTTATGTAATTTGGTTTGATTTGATGTGATTGGTCGGTTAATAAAAAATTATTCTTAAAAAAAAACACCTCAGTCTAAGTCGTTTAAAAAAAAAGTTTAACCCCATCAGTTAACAAACATGTATACATCTGCTATCATGTTACTGCTTTAGTTAAATAAATTGTTTAAATTGTGATGAAGGAAATGATTGTTTGTCTCCTTCCAATCAAGTACAGTGGAAAAGTTGTCCAAATAGAAACCGTTAACTTATTAAACCTCACCATCATTTCATCATTATCTGTCTATGTCTTTCTAAGAGTAGAACCAAATCAGTCACTTTTGATATAACAGTAGAAACTACTCTGGAAATTTATCATTCCAAAAAGGAAACCTTCCTCTGGTTTTCAATATGAAGAGGAAGCCAGCAAGGCCAAACCTTTCTGTAAAAAAGGGTTTTATCATTCCAAAAAGGAAACCTTCCTCTGCTTCTCAAGATTAAGAGGATGCCAGCAGGGTTGAACCTTTCTGTAAAAAAATTTAAATCAAGTCTTCCTGACTAGGGATTTAAAATGGGATTTAAATCGATTTAATTTAAATCAAATCCACCCGGCAAGGAAGACAAACAGTCGCAGGGCTGCCCCTTACCAGGCTGATCTTGCTTTTCGAGGCCCAGCTCCTCGTCTTCTTCGACGCCTTCATCCTCCTCATTGGACTTGTCATCGTTCTGTGTTAGAGGAAGCAGAAAGAGTCAGTTGCAAGATGAGCTGCTGGTTATAAGATGGCCCTGTGCCCAGCTGGCATCTGAAGGACATTGCAAGCCACAGGAAACCTTCCTCTGGTTGTCAATATTGAAAGGATGCCTGCAAAGTCAAACCTTTCTGTAAAATAAAGGATTTAAATCAAGTCTGATTGAGGCCATATAGCACTGGTCCTGAAAGACCTGCATTGGCTCCCAGGACGTTTCAGGGCACAATTCAAAGTGTCAGTGCTGACCTTGAAAGCCCTAAACGGCCTCGGCCCAGTAGACCCGAAGGAGTGCCTCCACCCCGGACGCCAGGGTCCCTCTCCCCAGGGCCTTCTGGTTCCCTCCCTGCAAGAAGCGAAGTTACAGGGAAGCAGGCAGAGGGCCTTCTCAGTGGTGGCGCCTGCCCTGTGGAATGCCCTCCCGTCAGATGTCAAGGAAATAAACAACTATTGGACTTTTAGAAGACATCTGAAGGCAGCCCTGTTTAGGGAAGTTTTGAATGACGGATGTTTTAATGTATTTCTAATCTTTTGCTAGAAGCCGCCCAGAGTGGCTGGGTAAACCGAGCCAGATGGGCAGGGTACAAATAATAAATTGCTGTTGTTGTTGTTATTGGAAGCGGCTTAGAGTGTCTGGCGAAAATCAGCAAGATGGGCAGGGTAGAAATAAATATGATGATGATGATGATGAAAGCTGTCAGTTGCAGTCTCAAAAGACTGCAAGAGGGAGGTTGCCAAATACGTTTCCCTAATATGCAATCATTTTCATTCATGGCTCAGGCAATCCGTATTTGCCTCTAGGAAGAGTATTCTGCCTTAAAAGTTGCCAATGAAAGAAGATTGGCAGATGAAATTATTCGACTATGCCTAATTGGCCAAACTGATGGGGAAAATCCAGAACCAGTAGGATCGAACTTTTCTGAAAGGCGGGGACAAATTTATGATATATCTGAAAGACAATTGTAAAAAACGTACATCGCTAGTAGGGTTGCAGGAAGTTTTGTCCTGTTAAAATTACTGCTCGTTACTTATCTTCATTATTTTAGTTTATATATAAGACGACGATTTAATAGTAATAAGAAAGGTAAAGGGACCCCGGACCGTTAAGTCTAGTCGCGGACGACTCTGGGGTTGCAGCGCTCATCTCACCTTGCTGGCCGAGGGAGCCAGCGTTTGTCCGCAGACAGTTTTTCCAGGTTATGTGGCCAGCATGACTAAGCTGCTTCTGGTGAACCCAGAGCAGCGAACGGAAACACCGTTTACCTTCCTGCCGGAGCAGGACCTATTTATCTCCTTGCACTCTGACATCTGGAGTGGTGGAATTTGCCTATGCCTGCAATACAAGGCAAGTATTTGTCCAAAAACGGAGCCTATTGGAGCCAAATGTTTCATTTCTTTTTGCATACTGTGATGTTATGTATGAAAATATGTGTAAAAACCAGTAAAAATTATAATGAAATGAAATGAAAGCTGCCACAGCACATCAGCATCAGATCAGGTGTGGGAGCTCAGAGAAAACCACAATTTTTAAGGCAGGCGCCAACAACGTTCCCCTTGAACACTAGCAACAGAAATCAGAGGTAACCAGAGGCCTTTAGCCAAAGTTGGAAGACATTTACCTTGGCGTCGTTCTGCTCTGCCTTCCGGGTCCTCCTCATTATTTCTTCTATTCTCTGTCAAAGAACAGTCACACCACTTAGATAACGCCAAGACTCAGTTAATAACAGCAGCAGTAGTAGTAGTAGTAGTAGTAATAATAATAATAATAATAATAATAATAATAATAATAATAATAATGTATTATTTTGACCCCGCCCATCTGGCCCTTTCCTTTTCCTGCTTGGAGACCCTTGAATGCCAGCAGGGAGTATTGGTTAGACTTTGACTGCAGTGGTGGTCAAACTTGGCCCTCCAGCTGTTTGGGGACTACAACTCCCATCATCCCTAGCTAAAAGGAGCAGTGGTCAGGGATAGTAGGCATTGTAGTCCCAAAACAGATAGAGGGCCACGTTTGGCCACCATTAGGTTAGAGAGAGACCTGGCTCAAAATCCTCTCTCAGCTATAAAAGACACATTGATGCATCATGGGCCTGTCATGGTATCTCCCTCCTAAAATCCCTCAGAGAGGTTCAAAGAAATAAATGGGGCTGGGGAGGAAGCCAAGCATACTTTGTTGAGCTCCATTGTAAAAGCAGCCCAGGGCTGATTTTGGGGACAACAACTCCCACCATCCCTGACCGTTGGTCCTATTAGCAAGGGATGATGGAGTTGTAGTCCCAAAACAGCTGGAGGGGGTCAAGTCGGGCCACCACTGCATGAGACAATTAAATGAAAGGGACCCCAAATGCCAAATATCACTGTTAGGCCATAGAGTAGGCAAACTAAGGCCCTGGGGCCGGCTCCGGCCCCATCGCCTACTCAATCCGGCCTGTGGACGGTCCGGGAATCAGCGTGTTTTGACACGAGTAGAATGTGTCCTTTTATTTAAAATGCATCTCAGGATTATTTGTGGGGCATAGGATTTCGTTCTTTCTTTTGTTTCCAAAATATAGTCCAGCCCCCCACACTGTCCGAGGGACAGTGGACTGGCCCCCTGCTCAAAAAGTTTGCTGACCCCTGCTATAGAGCATACACAATGCCCCACCCACAACCCCTGCCAGCGTACAAGGGAAGTCCCGGCCTTCGACTTGTATCCACTGCTATGGTCTGCGTCCACCCAAGGGCTTATCCAGCTGCTTTTTCATGAAACATTATATGTCTCTTTTGAAGGATATGGCAGGGATGTCCAACTCCCAAGAGGCTGCGATCTATTCACAGTGAAAAAAATCGGGCAGTGATCTACCTGTTGTTGTTGGACAGATCAAAGTTGTGGAGCTTTTTCTGGGAAACTAAAGTGGTTCGGCTTTTTTTTAGGGGCAAATGAATGAAGGAAATGGAATATATGAATGAATGAAACTGAATATATGACTGAATGGAACTGAATGAGCACTGTGATATACACAGAACATAGTAAAAAGTCGATTATATAAAACACAGTTAAGGGTCCTGAATCTGCAGTCAAATAGTGGACCTTAATCTGATGGTCAACTTTTTGGCTAGGAGTCAAAAGTTGCAGAGCTTTTTTTGGAAAGGTAAAGTTTCTGAGCTTTTTCTAAGGAAGCAAATGAATGAATGGAACTGAAGATATGAATGAATGAAATGAACACAGTTGAGGGTTCATGAATCTGCAGTCAAATAGTGGACCTTAATCTGATGGTCAACTTTTTGGCTAGAAAACAAAAGTTGCTGAGCTTTTTTTGGAAAGGCAAAGTTGCTCAGCTTTTCTTAGGAAGCTAGAGTGGTTGAGCTTTCTTTAGGAAACAGTAGAAACAGTAGTTGTTGAGCTATTTCATTCTTCTTTTTTTTACTTTTTCTTTTTTGAGGTAGTGGGAGGAGATCCCTGAGAGACTAGATATTGACCAGGAACACCCCACAATCTACCAGTAGGTTGCGATCTACATGTTGGACATGCCTGGTATATGCACACTGCAATGCTCTTTTATTGCAATGGCCGACGGAAATAAATTCATTCATTCTTTTGAAACAGAGGACTGAGAGCAGAAAAGGAAGGCGTCTCACCTTTTTCCTCTCCAGCCGCTCTTGCTTGTTCCGCTGCACAATCTGCTCCCGTTCCTGACGCTGCTTCTCGGCTTCCTCCATAGCTTTTGCCTCGGCCTCTTCGCGCTAAAATTGGGGGGAAGAGGAATCACCACCGGAAAACCCTTTTGTTCCCAAAACCCCACCCGAATGGAAACCGGGAACAGCTCTCCAAACTGCAAGGCGTCCAGCGTGTGCAAGAGATTCCGTCAATGGAGTCTCCGGAAAATCTGACATGTCGCTCAGGAAGACAGGTGAACTAATGGCAGTGTACTGCAAGAACCAAAGATTGCCAGTGTCGAAGCGATGATCCTTCAACATCAACTTTGGACCGGTCATGTTGTGTATCGCCTTACACTGGAAAGTGTAACGCTGGTGGTCCACAAAAAAGGTTGAAAGATCTCAAGGCAAATTTTAAAAATGTAGTATAAACACCGACAACAGGGAAACACTGGCCTGTGAGCACTCCAGTTGGAGAACAGCCTCGACCAAAGGCGTCCTGGGCTTTGAAGACACTCGAATTCGGGACACGAGGGAGAAACGGGCGAGGAAGAAGGAACCTTCACCAGGATCAACCCCCGCCCAGAAACCCCACTGTGGAAGGATGTGCGGATCCGGAATTGGCCTCCACCCTCACTTACGGGCTCACTGCTAAAATCCATGTTGATGAAAGACAATCTGATTCGGCTACGAGGGATTGCAAAAGAAGAAGACAATAAGAATAATAATGGCAAGGGAGGTGGGGGACTGTGGCCCTTCCGTAGTTGCTAAAATGCCAACTTGCCATTCCCAGCCAATGGCCACGCCGTCTGGGGCTGAAGGGAGCTGGAGCCCTGCAAACTCTGGAGTGCCGCCACAGGCACCCCATAACTGCTATTAAGCAGCTAAGAGCCAGGGGGGAGGCTAATCTTTTTGGGGCTGAGGCTCAGCCAGATGGGCAGGGTAGAAACAGTAAATTAATTATTATTATCATCATCATCATTATTGATCCTGCATCATGTAGCAGATGTGGCATTCTCCACCCACACCCCATGACAGATATTGTAGGTCTTGGCAAGCAGATATCCCATGGGCTGCAGGGGTTCAAGCCCCCCCCCCCCCCCAGTATTAGAGGAGGCATAGGCAAACTCAGCCCTCCAGCTGTTTTGGGACCACAATTCCCATCATCCCTGACCACTGGTCCTGTTAGCTAGGGATGATGGGAGCTGTAGTCTCAAAACATCTGGAGGGCCAAGTTTGGCGATGCCTGGCCTATTCAGTCGCCAGGTTATGTTGAGAATCAACTGGAAAAGTCCTCTGGGCTCTTTAGTGGGGCTTTGGGGCATTATTTATTATCATTTACTGAATTTATATACTGCCCTATAACTAGAGGTCTCAGGGCGGTTTGCAGAACAAAATCAAAATATAAAATATATTATACAAGGTAAAGGGGCCCCTGACCATTAGGTCCAGTCGTGGCCGACTCTGGGGTTGCGGCGCTCATCTCGCTTTACTGGCCGAGGGAGCCGGCGTACAGCTTCCGGGTCATGTGGCCGGCATAACTAAGCTGCTTCTGGCGAACCAGAGCAGCGCATGGAAACGCCGTTTACCTTCCCACTGGAGCGGTACCTATTTATCTACTTGCACTTTGACGTGCTTTTGAACTACTAGGTTGGCAGGAGCAGGACTAAGCAACGGGAGCTCACCCCATCGTGGGGATTCGAACTGCCGACCTTCTGATCGGCAAGTCCTAGGCTCTGTGGTTTAACCCACAGCGCCACCCGTGTCCCAAAATATATTATACTGTTTGGTATAATTTGTGTGCGTGTGTACCTCTGCAAATTCTGGGGTTCCCCTGTACAATTGTTATAATTATTATTACGTTGCATAGCGGTACCTTGGTCTTCAAACGCCTTGGGACTCAAACAACTCAGAACCCAAACACTGAAAAACTGGAAGGAAGTTTTCTGGTTGGGGAATGTTTTTTCGGAAGCCATTTTGAGTGCAATCTTTCTGATGTGAGTGTTTTGCTGAGGTCTGTCTGTTTTTGTGATTTATTTTGCGTTTTTGCGGCTCTCTTTTTTGTGTGATTGTGCGGAACCCAGTTCAGTTACTGATGGATAGATTGTGTGACTGTAGTACATTGTTGATTGCTTTCGTTTCACAGATCCATGGTCTTGTCAGAGAGAAAATTCAAGTTTGATGGCTGTTTTAGGGGTTGTTTTTAAAAGTCTGGAACGGATTCATCCCTTTTACCTTACTTCAGGCTTCCGCAACCTTGGCCCTCCAGATGTTTTTGGCCGACAACTCCCATGATCCCTAGCTAGCACGACCAATGGTCAGGGATGTTGGGAGTTGTAGTCTTAAAACATCTGGAGGGCGGAGGTTGAGGAAGCCTGGTATATGTATACAAGCCCACCACCAAGACCGCTCCAGTGATATCAGGATAGCATACGTGGATTAGGGTTATTCCCACTTCCCCAAGGAAACAGATTAGGCTGATAAATAGATTGGGTCAAGACCATGCTATTATTATTATTATTATTATTATTATTATTATTATTATTATAACATAAAGTTGGGTCAAACCCAGCCAGAATCCCAATACAGGGCCATAGGGAATTAGCCAGTCACGCCTCAAAGGAAGTGTACTCCCCACCTTTGAAGGCGACCCGGAAACCCCCAACTAATCCAGATTGCAGCAGCCAGACTGTGGACTGGGAGTGGCCGCCAAGACCACATAACACCGGTCCTGAGAGACCTGCATTGGCTCCCAGGACGTTTCCAGGCTAGAGCGAGTATGGCGGGGTGCCCATGACGGAGCCTCAAGAACATCTTATAGGGTTTTTATGAAAACCTACGAGATGGCAGTGAAGGCCGCTAAGAAGTCTTACTTCTTGGCCTCCAATGCATCCGCTAGCTCTCACCCGGCGCAATTATTTAGCATAATTAGGTCTTTAAAGTCCCTAGAGGGACAGTCAAATTTAAATAACAATTTGACACACAGCTGTGAGGCATTTGCGAGCTTTTTTGCGGAGAAGGTCCTGTTGCTCCGCCATGACCTCCCTGCCAATTTGGATACAATAAAGGAACTGGAGGCCCCTCGACTGTCCTCGGGTCCAGTATTGGACCACTTTGACCAGATATCCCCAGCCGATGTGGACAAACTCCTCCGAGCTGGAAAGCCCACCACCTGTCCTCTTGACCCGTGCCCGTCTTGGCTGATTAGAGTGTGTCCAGACGAGGTACGGGCCCCCCTGGGGGATATCATCAATTTGTCCCTTGGCACCGGGACATTCCCAGGGGAACTGAAGGAGGCAGTGGTGCGCCTGCTCTTAAAGAAAACATCATTAGATCCCTTAGATCTATCCAATTACCGCCCAGTTTCGAATCTTCCATTCCTGGGTAAGGTGATTGAGAAAGCGGTTGCTGAACAGCTTGGTGGGTTTCTGGATGAAACATCTTTATGCGCCCCCTTGCCCAGATTGTCCGGAGTTTTGGAGTGAGTTGTCATCAATATGCTGATGACACCCAGCTTCATCTCTCAATAGATGGCCATCCTGACCCGGCCCCAGACACACTGATCAGATGTTTGGAAGCTGTGGCTGGATGGTTATGTGGGAGCCGGTTGAAGTTAAATCCTTCGAAGACAGAGGTCCTCTGGCTGGGACGGGACGATATGGAATTGAGGGGGCAACTCCCATCTCTTGCGGGGCTGCAATTAGTGCCAGCACCGTCTGTTAAGAGTTTGGGTGTAATCTTCGATAGCTCCCTCTCCATGGAGACGCAGATTACAGCTATAACAAAGGCGGCATTTTTTCATCTCCGCCAAGCTAAGCAGTTGGCTCCTTACCCAGACTGGATTAGTGTAACTTGCTCTACGTGGGGCTGCCCTTGAGACTGACCCAGAAACTCCAGCGGGTGCAGAATGCCACGGCGAGACTCCTTACGGGGTCATTGCTGCAAGATCACATTCACCCGGTGCTATACCAGACACACTGGCTCCCGGTGGAGTACAGGATCAGGTTTAAGGTGCTGGCTTTAACCTTTAAAGCCCTATACGGCTTAGGACCCTCGTACCTACGGGACCGCCTCTCCTGGTATGTCCCACAGAGGAACTTACAGTCTTCAAATAAAAACATCCTGAAGGTCCCAGGCCACAGAGAGGTTAGGCTGGCCTCAACTAGAGCCAGGGCTTTTTCGGCTGTGGCTCCAATCTGGTGGAAAGCTCTGTCACAAGAGACTAGGGCCCTGTGGGATTTGACATCTTTCCGCAGGGCCTGCAAGACAGAGCTGTTCCACCAGGCCTTTGGTCAGGATGCAGCCTGACTCCCTCCTTTGGCAATCTTTACAGAACTTAAGCTTATGGTTACCATCAATTTGATTTTAATTAATTTTTATAATGAAATGTTTTTAGAATGTTGCACTATTTTATTGTTGTTAGCCGCCCTGAGCCCGGCTTTGGCTGGGGAGGGCGGGATATAAATAAAATTTATTATTATTATTAATTCAAAGGGTTGGTGCAGACCTTGAAAGCTCTAAACAGCCCAGTAGAGGAAACTTTTCTCTGGTTGTCAATATTCAGAGGAAGGCAGCAAAGCTGAACCTTTCTGTAAAATAAAGGATTTAAATCAAGTCTGACTGAGACCACACAACACCGGTCCTGAAAGACCTGCGTTGGCTCCCAGGACATTTCCGGGCACAATTCAAAGTCTCAGTGCTTACCTTGAAAGCTCTCAACAGCCTTGCCCCAGTAGACCTGATGCAGCATCTGCACCCCGGACACCGGGGTCCCTATCTCGAGGGCCTTCTGGCAGTTCCCTCCCCCCTGTGAGAAGCCAAGTGACAGGGAACCAGACACCCGCCCTGTGGAACGCCCTCCTGTCAGATGTAAAGGAAATAAAGAACCACCTGACTTTTAGAAGACATCTGAAGGCAGCCCTGTTTAGGGAAGGTTTTAACGACTGATGTTTTAATGTATTTTTAATCTCCTGTCGGAGGCTACCCAAAGTAGCTCGAGAAACACAGCTAGATGGGCGGGGTAGACATAAAATTATTATTATTATTATTAAAGCTGACAGCTGAAGTATCAAAAGACTGCAAGAGGGAGGTGGCCAGAATACTGTATTTTTCCATATATAAGACTATATATTTACCCAGTTTTTAAAATTTTAATATATTGCTTATACTTTATCTGTTAAACATTTTCTGAAATTGAAACTCTAATGTCAAAAGAAGACTCAGCACAACTAGATTAAGCAGAGTTTATGGAATCATTGAGTAGTAGAGAGAAGCTATTGGGTGACCAAGAGATGGTGGAACCACTCAACACTTACTTTGCAGCCCTGTTTAGGGAAGTTTTTTATGACTGATGTATTAACCTGAGGATTGCCATTTCTTTAGTTTAATTTTAATTTATTTGAATTTTAATCCATTGATTGCTTGTTTTTATGTATATTGTGTTATTAATATGATGTAAGCCCAACTCTGGCAGGGGAGGGAGGGATACAAATATAATAATAATAATAATAATAATAATAATAATAATAATAATAATAAATCTCCTGTCAGAAGCTGCACAGAGTGGCTGGGGAAACCCAGCCAGATGGGCGGGGTAGAAATAAATCATCATCAAGTAGGGGCAGGAATCACCAAAACAACAAAAGACATGGAAGTTTTCGCCCACCAATGGGGATTATTGCAGTAAGAGGTCCCAACACACTTGACTGGTGTAGATTTAAAGATGGAGCTTGGCATGCACTTAAGAAACCTGAAATGAAAATTAAGATCCATTCGATCCCGGGACCGCTGCCCTCAATCCCCCAAAGGGTGCTTTTTGCAGACTGCTGAGCATCCCAGAACATAAAATATTTTCCAGTATCTAGCCTCTTTCCACTCTGCCTCGAGTCCAAACCTGAAGCTGGAGCTCGGCCATCTTCTCCTGCTCCTCCTGCTCGGCCCGCCTTTGCGGCTCCTCTTCCCCTGCCCTCCTCTCGTCTTCCAGTTCCCGGAGGGCCTCTTCCAGCTGGGCCTGCTTCTCAAGGGCTCGCTTGGCAACTTCTTCCTTTCTGATCCTGTTCCAAATAAATCAACAACAGGTCAGATCCTTGCTTTTGCACAGGTAGGATAAAAATCAATGCTTTTTTAAAAAAGAATACTAAAAAAATCAGATTTTTAAAATTTAAATCAGACTTTTAAAAATGGCAATATGAAAGCAGAATCATTAATATGAAGGAGGGTGTGAATAGCTGCCCCTTATTGATTTACCGCATTTTTCCATGTATAAGACGCCCCAATGTATAAGACTTGGGGCTCTTTTTGGAGCTCAAAATGAAGAAAGAAAGAAAAAGAAAGAAAGAAAGAAAGAAAGAAAGAAAGAAAGAAAGAAAGAAAGGTAACATTCTGTGTATAAGACGACCCCCCCCCATTTTAAACTTGGGGGGAAATATAGTCTTATACACGGAAAAATACAGTACCTTTCATACCCAGACAAGATAAAACATTGTTTTTAGATGCTACAACCGTAGCGAGAATATTACTAGCCCAATGATGGAAGCAAGAAGAGATCCCAACGAAAGAAGAGTGGCAAATGAAAGTAATGGATTATGCCAAATTGGCGAAACTGGGAAAATTCGGAATCAGCAGGACCAGAATTTCTTGAAACACTGGAATAAATCTAAGTTGTATTTAAAAGACAACTGTAAACAACTGACATCGCTAGTAGGGTTACAAGAAGCTTTGTAGGTTAGATGATCATTTATTACTTAATGCAATTCACAAACTGTTTTTTAAGATTATGATTTAATAGTAATATTAATAAGAACAAAATGCATACCAGAGATTGAGTTGGAAAACCATTAGTTGAGGAGGAGGGAAGTTCCAGGATTATCAGCCAAATGTTTCTATATGTAATTTATAGGAAAGCTGTTATGATGGAAAAATTTGAAATACCAATAAAAATTACTATTATAAAAAAATATAAATTAGAGATTAATTTGGAAAACCATTAGTCGAGGAGGAGGGAAGTCCTAGGCTGAAACAGCCAAATGGTTTTATATTTTGTATACAAGACTGATGTTTGGATGGAAAATATTTGGAAAAACTAATAAAAATTATTTTTATATATACAGTACCTTTCTTCCTCTTCTCTTTGAGCTCCCTCCTGGTCTTTGCGCTCCCTCTGCTCCCTTGCAAGACGGCGCTTCTCGGCCAAGATCCTCGCCGCCTCTTCGGCCGTTGTGGTTGCCAGAGTGGTTTTGCTACTTGCATCTGGAAAAAGAAGGGGTCCAAATGAATGGAAACGGTTGTCGGCGCAGCCGCCTTATCTGCTGAAAAGCGTGCCCTGTATTAAGTCCTGCTTCCTGTCTAGGCTGTGATAGCCAAAGATTTATTATATTGTATCAGATGGGATGTTATGTTTGGAAACCATGTGCAAAACCCAATTCTCTCTCTCTCTCTCTCTCTCTCTCTCTCTCTCACACACACACACACACACACACACACGTACCGTAAGTGTATATGTATGTATGCATGTATATGTCCTGTTTCCTGCTGTGGGAAACGGCTGCCTCCCATGAGATCGGACCCCCATCGTGCCAGTAATTTAGGGTCAATACATTCGCAGGGAAGGCAAGATGCTCGTTTTCAAGCTATTGTACTACCAATCTTACTTTCCGCTTGTGAAACATGGACCACTTATCAACGCCCTCTCCAACTCCTCCAAAGATTCCATCAGAAGCAGGCATGTCCAAGGTTTCGGGGGCCCAATCCGGCCCGCCGGTCGATTTAATCCGGCTACTGTGGCAGTTTATGCCCTGTGGTAAAATCCTAAAAAAAGCTCAGGAACTTCAGTCCTTAAAAAAGCTCAACAACCTTTGGGGTTAAATCCTAAAAAAAGTTCAACAACTTCAATCCCCCCCCAAAAAGTTCAACAACTTTGGTCAGTCCTCACACATGTTCATCCAAAAAGTTTGGTGGGCACCCCTGATCAAAGGTGTCTCCGGGAATTTTTAAACATCACTTGGGAAGACAGGCGAACTAATGCCAGTGTACTGAAAGAAGCAAAGATCACCAGTGTGGAAGCAATGTTTCTTCAACATCAACTTTGGACTGGTCATGTTGTTCAGATGCCTGATTCTCATCTTCCAAAGCAACTACTCTATTCCGAATTTAAGAATGGAAAGCATCATGCTGGTGGTCCACAAAAGAGGTTTAAAGTTCCCTAGGCAATTTTTTTTCAAAATGTAGCATAAACACTGACAACTGGGAAGCACTGGTTTGCGAGCACTCCAGTTGAGAACAGCCTTGACCAAAGGTGTCCTGGGCTTTGAAGACACTCAAACTCGGGACACAAGGGAGAAACGGGCAAAGAGGAAGGAAGCCTCACAAGGGAGAAACGGGCAAAGAGGAAGGAAGCCTCACTGGGATCTACTCCCACCCGGTGTCCCCGCTGTGGAAGGATGTGTGGATCCAGAATTGGTCCCCACAGCCCCTTACAAACTTACTGTTAAAACCATGTTTATGGAAGACAATCTTACTCAGCTATGAGGGATTGTGAAAGAAAGGAGGAGGAGGAAAAGGAGAAAAAGAAAAAGGAGGAGGAGAAGGAGAAAAAGGAGGAGGGGGAGAAGGAGGAGGAGGAAAAGAAAAAGGAGGAGAAAAAGGAAGAAGATGGAAGAGGAGGAGGAAAAGGTAGAGGAAGAGGAGGAGAAAGAGAAAAAGGAGGAGGAGAAAAAGGAGGAGGAGGAGAAAAAGAAAAAGGAGGAGAAAAAGAAAAAGGAGGAGAAGCAGAAAAAGAAAGAGGAGAAGGAGAAAAAGGAGGAGGAAGAGGAGGAGGAGAAAAAGATTTAAATCTTTTTTCCTTTTTTACAGAAAGGATGCTTGCATCCTCTTCACATTGACAACCAGAGGAAGGTTTCCATTTGGGAAGAATAAATTTTTACAGATCTCTCAAAAATGACTCATTTGGTTCTCAAATTGCTACTTAAGCTTCAGGCAGACAAACAGAAAGAAGGCTAAACCAGGGTGGATCTGATTTAAATCAAATCAATTTAAATCATGTTTAAATCACGATTTAAATCACTCGTTTGTAAGTCTTGATTTCAATCACTAGTCAGTATGACTTGATTTAAATCTTTTTTCTCACCCCCACCCTTTTTTACAGAAAGACTCATTATTGCTGGTATCATCTTCATATAGACAACCAGAGGAAGGTTTCTTTTTTGGAAGAATAAATTTTCAGAGTGGTTTTTACAGTTATATAAAAAATGACTGATTTGGTTCTACTCTTAGAAATACATAGACAGATAATGATGAAATGATGGTGAATTTTAATAAGCTAATTTTCTATTTGGACAACTTTTCTGCTGTACTTGATTAGAAGGGGGAAAATAATCATTTCCTTCATAACAATTTAAAGAATTCATTTCACTAAAACAATAACATAATAGCAAATGTATCCATTTTGGTTAACTGATGTGGTTAAATGTTTTGTTTTTTTTAAAGAAAAAACTTAAGACTGAGTTTTAGCACACATGAATAACCTTTGGACTATAATGTCACTGAAACAGAAAACTATCCACATTTATTATGCTATTTATAACAAACTTAGTTGGTCTCTAAGGTGCTACTGGACAATTATTTAATTTTTATATATATTTCGACTGTGTCAGACCAACATGGCTACCTACCTGAATCTATGCTATTTTTGTGATAGATAAAGGACAGGAGAAAACTGGGCCAACTTATTTGTAGACCATCATTCCTGTTTATAAAAACCAATAATAATAATAATAATGAATTGAAAATCTTTGGAAAGATTTTTCCTCCCGAAGCATTTTAAAAGACATTGGGTACTGAGCGGGTGCTTCCTGCTGAGACCTTGGTGTACCACCATCAGTCAAACCATGCTGGCCAACATGACCAGTGGTCTAACGCAGTATAACGCAAGCTCATATAGGGACCTTGGAAGCTGCCTTCTACGAAGTCAGACCATTGGACCTATCTAGCTCAGAAGTGTCTACACCAGGGGTCAGCAAACTTTTTCAGCAGGGGGCCAGTCCACTGTCCCTCAGAGCTTGTGGGGGGCCTGACTATATTTTGAAGAAAAGAAAAAAAGAACAAATTCCTATGCCCCCCAAATAACCCAGAGATGCATTTTAAATCAAAGCACACATTCTACTAATGTAAAAACATGCTGATTCCCAGACAGTCCGCGGACCTTAGTTTGCCTCCCCTTGCTTTTAGGAGCTTGTCTCCATGGCTTCAGAATGATTATAACTATAGGGTATGTAGACTGTTACATTGGACCGACCGTCAAGGTCCATTTTCTGCAGGGAATGGAAGTGAGAAGGAAAACTCATTCCAGAACCCCACACCCCCTGCAGCAAAATCTTTATTTTATTCCCTATGGCCTCCATGCCACCCCAACTCCTTCTGGTGTCCAAGAACAAATTTAGTTCCCAATCCCTAGTTTAACTTTCCCTGCATTTTTTTCTGAATTTAAGACGGTAAAGCAACTAAGAGACTTGTAGAGCTTCTAGTTGCTCCTGGGTTCAAAAGTTTCTTGCTCTCAAGTCTGAATAATGCAGAACCTAAGCAGATCAACCCACCAACCCTTATCCTATAGAAAATGTAACACAATATTGCGTATTTTTCCGACTATAAGACACCCCATGTATAAGACGCCCCCTATTTTTGGGGACTCCAAATTAAGAAAATACCCCTCAGCACTACCTGTGTATAAGACGAGCTCTCAATTTTAAACCTATTTTTTTGGTAAAAAACCCCCTAGTCTAAGAAAAGGAAAAAAATGGTACATGTTGGACTATTATCATGGACAGTGCTACTGTTCTAAATTCTCAAGATATTGTTTGGAAGGACCACCAGTGTTTTAATATGCATGGCACTTACTGAGACACGGTTAAAATAAAAGAAGACTGATCTGTGCATTTGAAGAGACATTTTTAATTGCCAAAGGTCACACACGTACACCACTGGAGACAATTTCTAGCATTGTTTTTGATTTAAAGTGGTATGGCAATAGAAGCATCAAACTGAGGAAAGTAGACATATTAATGTGATGGTGCCAAGCATTCCCCCAAGTCATGTGACGGAGCCTAGTACCTAGGGATTATAAATGCACAAGGCCGCCATGGTCTCTTCCCTGGCTGTTCAAAACTATGGGTGCATGAAGGGGAAGAGCTGTTCCCTGTCAAGAAATTGTGCCTCCCAGTCAAAGCCTGACAGGGGTCCAAGCACACAAGGCCTGATCTAGAAAGGTTGGGAGATCTCGGTCTCTTCAGCCATAGTATTCGGGGCCATTGTGAGGAGAGTGGCTAGGAAGCGGCAGTGTGCTAAAGTGGTGCGAGAGATCGGCTAGGTGGGTGTTCAGCACCCTGAGCTCCTGGCTGATGTTGTCAACGCTGCACCGCATGGTTTGGAAGGTGTGGAGCAATTTCTCCAGAACATAGGGGTCTGTCGCCACAGTCACCGGCTGGTTATTTGGCAACCTCCGACTGATAGTGGAACGGGAGGTATAAATATAACCTGGGCCGATCCTCTGAGGGGATGGGAAATTAAAGCACCGGAGAGGGCTGACAGCCGCCCCATCTCCCTGCCGTGAAGCTTCCAGAGCAAAGTTGCGCAGGAAACCACCCTTAGCTCCCTGGTCTTCCCCGAGATCCCGAGGCGGAGGAAGCATGCTTGGGGAGCAGGTGCCATCCATTAAATCGGTGTGGAAAGGGGTAGTAGGAGAGTCGCCCGAGGAGCGAGAGGGAGCGCGAATCCGGGACATCGGATCGTATCCGAAAAGGATCTTCCTTGCGACGGAGGAGGCGGGCTGGAAATCCTGAGGGCAGAAAGGCGAGGCAGCGGGAGACGAGGGGCCGAAGATGGAGGGTGGCAACTCAGGCAGGAAGGTGTAGGAGGCCGGAGGCTCTGCAAAGGAAAACATGCGTGTCTGAAGCCAGGGGCGTATTTGCGCAGAAGGTGAAATATTGTCAAACAGAGCTAGTCGACACGTAGCATTTAGTGTGCTCTATGTAATAGCGAAGGGGAGGGGAAGACAAACCATTCAGACTTGTACAAGACTAGCAGGGACGTCCAACTCTCAGTAGATTGTGATCTACTCACAGTGTAAAAAAACTGGCAGGGATCGACCTGTTGTTGTTGGGCAGGCCAAAGTTGTTGAGCTTTTTTTCAGAAGCAAATGAATGAATAGAATGGAATATATGAATGAATAAAACATGAATGAATGAAACGGAATATATGAATGAATGGAACTGAAGGAGCATTGCGATATGCACAGAATATAATCAAAAGTCGATTACATAAAACACAGCTTAGGGCCCTGAATCTGCAGTCCGATAGTAGAACTTAATCGGATGGTCCACTTTTTGTTGCTAGGAGGCAAAAGTTGCCGAGCTTTTTGGGAAAAGCAACATTATTGAGCTTTTTTTAGGAAGCCAATGTTGTTAGGCTTTTCTTTGGAAGCCAAGTTTGTTGAGTGTTTTTGGGAAAGGCAAGGTTGTTCAGCTTTTCTTAGGAACTCACAGTGGTCAAGCTTTTTATTAGGAAGGAAGCAGTAGTTCAGCTTTTTTTATTCTTTTTTAAAAAAAATTGGGGACAAGGAGACCAGATACCAGCCAGGAACACCCCGCGATCTACCAGTAAATCATGATCTACCTGTTGGACGTGCCTGACGTAACACTGAGTGTGCTCTACGTAATAGCTAAGGGGCGGGGGAGACAAACGATTAAGATTTGCGTGAAAGGGATTAGTCGTACGACAATCAGCCTAAAGCATTAACCTGGAGGGAAGCCCTCCAGGAGAATCATGCTTCCAATCACGTGCATTTGACATCGAATGTAGCAGCCAAGCAACCCACTCACCTGTGGCTGTTTGTAGAGAGAGATGCCTCCACCAGGTGCCTGGGTCAAACTCCTTTTTCTGCTAAGGTAGCCCCTAAGTCCTTCTCCAGGGAGACAAATGCCCAGGACATCTCATCCGAAATGTCTCATTTTTGAGAGGTGACAGAGGGTGTGTCCATCCTGCTCAGAAGGGTAGAGGATGTGCTCCTTGCGCACCGGGGCAAGGAGGGGAGATGATTGAGGCATTCATTCCACATTGTTTTAAGTTTCCCTAGGGGGGACCAAAAGTGACTCTTCGTCCCCTAAGCAACTGCGCATACAATGAAACCAGCTTTTCAGGGGAACTTACACCACTCTCTTCCTAAGTCAGAGGTCACAACACCTGAGAAATCCATTTCCCCCCTTCATATTAGTAGAACCACAAACTTCAGAAGTGCCAACTTAGCGGTGTTCCAGAGGCATCAGACATGGGAAATAAAGACTTAACTAATATATATTTGTTAATTGATTTTCAAATTGAGCCTCGTTCCAAAATTTTGCAATACGGTCAGAACATTGATTTTCAACATTGGTATGTCAAAGTTTAAAACTGACCAATTGTCCTTTTGAAAATCTGATGGTGCACCTGATGAAAATCTGATAAACTTATTGAGTTGATGAAAGTGTAAACAACATTAACCTTCAAGGGCACAATACAGTTTGTTTTTGAGGCAAGAGACTACTTGATTCAAAGAGCTAAATTTCATTCACATAAATAGTACATTTTGTACTGCACAAAGTATGTGGACAGAAAGACTACTGTGCTGAAAACACTGGTATGGATGAGTACGAGGTAAGATGTGGTTATGCTTGGGAAGTCAACAAGGGCATAACAGAACCTGGGCCTATTGGGCAAATCAGTATAAATCTGTAAAAGTACAGAATACCGTATTTTCCCGTGTATAAGATGCCCCCATGTATAAGATGACCCCTATTTGTTTGAGCCCCAAATTCAGAAATAAATAATGGCAACATTCTGTGTACAAGACAACCCCCAATTTTGAACTATTTTGGGGGGAAATATAGTCTTATACACGGAAAAATACAGCAAGTTGCTTTAGGGTGTTGATGCGAAGACAAGTCTACAGAATGCCATGTGATAAAAACAACACCAAATTACCAATTACTAATTACAAAAAATAAAATCAAAGGGGTAGGTGTGCTATTTTTGCATGACCAAGTTTAATGTTCAAGACCAAGGAGCATTTAAGAAGCAGGGATCGTCTTCTCTCTGATTCCTATTTTAAATGATTAGTGGAAAGTAGAGCCCTCGAAGAATGGAATATAGTAAAGGCTGAGAATATTGTATCTAAAGCCCTGAGACTATTGGCTGCCGAAAGATATGCAGAGACAAGTCAATAAGAAGTCAAACCGTCTTTGTGTTTAATTACTCATTCTGAAACAAAAACCATTCATACATCACCTGCTATGCTTCCTATAGGGACGCGAGTGGCGCTGTGGTCTAATCACCTGAGCCTCTTGGTCTTGCCGATTGGAAGGTCGGCGGTTCGAATCCCCACAACGGGCTGAGCTCCCGTCGCTCTGCCCCAGGTCCTGCCAATCTAGCAGTTCAAAAGTACGCCAGTGCAAGTAGATAATAGGCACCGCTGCGGCGGGACGGTAAACAGCGTTTCCGTGCACTCTGGTTTCCACCATGCGCCGGAAGCAGTTTAGTCTTGCTGGCCACACGACCCAGAAAACTGCCTGTGGACCAACGCCGGCTCCTTCGGCCAGAAAGCGAGAGGAGCGCTGCAACCCCAGAGTTGCCTTGGACTGGACTTAACCGTCCAGGGGTCCTTGACCTTTTTACCTGCCTCTAAGTCCTATCTCTAGCCCCTATCCCTATCCCCTATCCCTAACCCCTATTTATTTTTTATTTTATTTATACCCCGCCTTCCCCGGCCAAGACCTGGCTCAGGGTGGCTAATGTCAAGTATAAAAACAATTCATTAAAATACAACTTAAAAACAGGATTAAAATACAACTTAAAATGCAGCCTCATTTCAGTGGAAGCCCAGATCAAAAACTGGGGAGAGAAAACGTCAAATCTTCATCAAGGCCAACTATCCAGACTGGTCCTACGTGGGCCAGAAAAAAGCCAGGGGAGTCCCAAATAGGGGTTCCATCACATAAGGAAAAGGAAAGAGGGGAAGTGGATCAGGTTGATTCCAAGCCAAAGGCCAGGTGGAACAACTCTGTCTTACAGGCCCAGCGGAAAGAAATCAGATCCTGCAGGGCCCTGGTCTCATGAGGCAGAGCGTTCCACCAGGCTGGAGCCAGAGTTGAAAAGGCCCTGGCTCTGGTTGAGGCTAATCTAACTTCTTTAGTGTCAGGGAAGAGTTAAGAGTTAGGAGTTTCCAGTTTCCCAGAGGGAGAATATTTTCCCTAAGGGGGGGAGGAGAGCAGTGCATCTAACAGAAGAGAGCAACAGGAACAACAGGGAGGGACTGGCTGTTCCCAGAAAAGGCAAGGGTTAAGTTCTAGTTCAGATTCGGAGGAGGGATACAAGCCAGCTCTAGCCAGGAGGTTAGAAAAAAGAGCGGGAAAGCGAAGGGAAGGGCGCCTTCGCCATTTTGAGGGTGGCTGGTCACGGAGAAGCAGAGCTCAGAAGGTATCTGAAAGAAGTGACTCTGAGGAATAGTAGTTAAAGATAAGAACCATTTATAAGTTTGTTAACACGCAATAAAGAGTTATAAAAGAACAAGAAGAGTTTGTGTGGTGATCTGAAGAGGACAACGACCAGTCCTGACACTTAGGGCCCGGACCTCTAGAGTATTGCTATTTATGGACCTTAAGGTTCTCCGCGGGGCATATCAGGAGAGACGATCCCGTAGGTACGAGGGTCCTATGAGCGCCGCAACCCCTTAGTTGCCTTGGACTGGAGTTAACTCTCCAGGGGTCCTTGACATTTTTACCTATCCCTAACCCCTATCCCTATCTCCTGTCCCTAACCCCTATGAGCACCGCAACCCTAGTCACCTTGGACTGGACTGAACAGCACAGGGGTCCTGTACCTTCACCTTATGCTTCCTATGTGAAAACTATTAAGAAACTGCGCTGATTTTGTTCACTGACTAGAATTGCTGAGAAAATAAATGTCAACATAATGCATAAATCAACGGCATTATACATGTTTGACCACATTTAGTCATGGGACATTCCTGAAAGCTCATCTGCAACAGCAGATAAATGCATCATCCTCCAAAGGCTCTGGCAACCATTATTTCCATTTTATACTGACTTGTTTTTAAGAGGCGATTTAATTATTGTTTGATTTTATATCAGAGTTTATATTTGATGTTAGCCGCTGTCAGGGGTTCAGGGAGAGAGGCACAGGGTAGGCAGGAGATGGAGAGCGATGGGGATGAATTCCAAGCCAGCGAGGAAGAGGATGACAATGACTCAAGAGATTCCATGAGTCTTTCCAGCGAATCAGAGGATTCCCAGAAGGGGCGCCGGTGGTCAAGGCCAGGAGCCCCAGGGGGACGTGTCAGGAGCAGGGGGCCAGCGGAGGATCCCAAAGTGGCAGCTGGGCGTCAGGACCAGCCTCCCCACCAGAGTGCAGCGAAGGGGGTGGAGTTTCCAGTGTGTCAGGGGAAGCAGCCCGGCAGCAGAGAAAGGAGGGAGGTCAGAGCAAGCCGCCCTCCCGGAAGGGAGGAGCAGTGAAGGGAGTAGTGTAACTGTCAAAAGGAAAGTTAGAGGTTTGGCCCGCGCGCCAAGTTCAAATGTAGAGGCGCGCGGAAGTACAGGGAGCCCGGAGGAGGGGCCAGGTCCCAAAGCCCGCAGGAGGGTGAAGAGCAGTCTGATTCCGCGTCAGAGGAATCCAGGAGGGGCGAAACCCCAGCGGGCAGAAGGACCCTGCGGAAAAGGAAGGAGAGAAAGAGGTGGAGCAGCGCAAGCCTCTTAAATTGGTGTAGGGGAGGGACGGATTCAGAGGGGACTTCAGCGGTCTAAGCGTAGCAGACGTAAGGCTGCGCGCCTAGGATGTCAAGCAAACCATGAACTGCAATAAACACTTTTGTATATAAGAAGACATAGGCGTTGGTCTTTTGTGAGCTGAGACTTGAGGCAGCCTTGACAGCCGCCCTGAGCCCGGTCTCGGCCGGGGAGGGAGGGATACAAATAAAAGTTGTTTATTATTATTACTATTACTCTTTCCAGTGAGGAAAACCTTTGAGCTAGACCCAGGAAGGGGAGAAGGGTGGATCAACAGGCGAGCGGATCACCTTTCGCGCAGGTTCTCTTACCTTCTTTGGTCTTTGGAGCAGCTGCCGCCAGTTCTCTCTCTGAGGAGGGGTGCAGCATGGCCGCCGGGCCAGGATCCTGACCCTCAGGATCCTCCAACCTCTCCTTTGGTCGGCACACTGGGTCACTTTGCTTTTTGGCAACGTTAAGGACGTTCGGGGTGATGGACGGGCGCTGAATTGGTGCTGGTTTGGAGACCAAAACAGGAGATGGTGGCCACTGTCTTTTAGGTGAACTTGGATGAGACTTTTGTCTGATGAGAAAAAGGGATCGATCAGAGAACTGCACGGCACAGAAACATGTACAGCTACCGTATTTTCCCGTGCATAAGACAACCCCTATTTTTTGAGCCCAAAATGAAGAAATAAATAATGGCAACATTCCATGTATAAGGCGAACCCCAATTTTAAACTTACAAAATGGGGGGGGGGATACAGTCTTATACATGGAAAACTACAGTGTATTCTGGGGCAGGCAACTCCTTAGCTCCTAATTCTTTAGTCCAGATAGGAAGTTCTGACTCTGGGGTTAAGGCTGCATTTAAATAGATCCAGGTCTACTACCCCTTACAGCACTTTTTTACAACAGTGAAATAGAAGAGGGAAACTTGCTCAGAAATCTTTACTCACCAAAATTATAAGGATCAACAGAGCTTAGAAAATTACTGTATATTTCAATAGCCTTAAGAACTACTTAGCAAGGGAAATCATACCTAAACTGGGAGCTGGGGGCCCTGTAATACAGTGGTTTGGCTGCTTCCTCCTGGGCCGTGTCCAGAAAGTGGGGGGGGGGGACCCCTGGGCTCTCACTTGTGGGGTGCCTCTTTCCCCATGCTTTTAAACATCTATATGAAGCTTCTAGGAGAGATCATCGGGGGGGTTGGGCTGGACTGGGGGTTCATCAGTATGCAGATGATACCCAGCTCTACCTCTCTTTTAAATCAGAACCAGTGAAGGCGGTGAAGGTCCTGTGTGAGTGTCCGAGACGGTTGGATGATGGATGGCGGCTAACAGATTGAAGTTGAATCCTGGCAAGACAGAAGTACTGTATTGGGGGGAAAGGGGACCAGCTGCGCAGCCTGGGGGTGATCTTGGACCCATGGAGGCGCAGGTCCATTCTGTTTCCAGGGCAGCTCCATCTGGTACGCAGGATAAGACCCCACTTGCCCGCAGACTGTCTTGCCACAGTGCAGCATGCTCTGGTTATCTCTCGCTTGGAATCCTGCCATGTGTTCTACGTGGGGCTACCTTTGAAGGTGACCCGGAAACTGCAATTAATCCAGAATGCGGCAGGCAGACTGGGAACTGGGAGGGGCCGCTGAGACCACATAACACTGGTCCTGAAAGACCTGCATTGGCTCCCAGTACATTTCTGAGCACAATTCAAAGTACTGGTGCTGACCTTGAAACCCCTCAACTGCCTCAGCCCAGTAGACCTGAAGGAACGCCGCCATCCCAGACGCCAGGGTCCCTCTCCCTAGGGCCTTCTGGCGGTTCCCTCCCTGCGAGAAGTGAGGTTACAGGGATGCAGGCAGAGGGCCTTCTCAGCGGTGGCACCCGCCCTGTGGAACGCCCTCCCATCAGATGTAAAAAAATTAAACAACTATCAGACATTTAGAAGACATCTGAAGGAAGCTCTGTTTAGGGAAGCTTTTAATATTTGATGACTTAATGTATTTTAATCTTTTGCTGGAAGCTGCCCAGAGTGGCTGGAGAAACCCAGTCAGATGGGCGGGGTATAAATAAATAAATAAATAAATTATTATTATTATTATTATTATTATTATTATTATTATTATTATTAAATTTTCATTTGGATTTCATACTAGCACATGCAAGAAGCTAAAGGAAGATTATGGGGTGAATCTGACCCCACTGAGTTTGACAGGAAGGCTTACAAACCAAGGTGTCAACCCACCCCCACTTTCTCAGTTCTGCCAGCTCCCGTCCATAACAATATAGGATTTCTGCTCACGTAAAGGTAAAGGACCCCTGACAGTTAAGTCCAGTTGCAGATGACTCTGGGGTTGCAGAGCTCATCTCACTTTACTCGCCGAGGGAGCAAACATTTGTCTGCAGACATTTTTTCCAGGTCATGTGGCCAGCGGCTTCCAACAAAATATTAAAATACAATGATTCATCCAATATCAAAAGCTTCCCTAAACAGGGCTGCCTTCAGATGTCTTCTGAATGTCATATAGTTTTTATTTCCTTGACATCTGACAGGTGGGCATTTCACAGGGCGGGCACCACCACCAACAAGGCCCTCTGCTGCTTCCCTGTAACTTGGCTTCTTACAGGGAGGAAACCACCAGAAGGCCCTTGGGAGAGGAACCCCGGCGTCCGGGATGGAGGCGCTCCTTCAGGTCTACTGGGCTGAGGCAGTTGAGGGCTTTCAAGGTCAGTGCCAACACTTTGAATTGTGCTCAGAAACGTCCTGGGAGCTCAAACGCAATTGTCCCTTTGTTGATGAAGAGGAGAACAACCAAGGGGGGCAGGGAGGACCAAGCTGGTTTTACTCTAGAGTAAGATTCATGAAGAGGAGATGAATAGAAACCTGATTGCGGCTGGAGACGGAGCGCGTTTACCCACGTTGGCAGGAGAGGGAGACCGCCTGAGACCGGGCAAAGATGGCGACGGAGTGCGTCTACCGGTAGACGAGGGCTGCTTTGTGGGCTCCGATTTCTGCGGGAATAACAGACACGTAAGCTGCCGCTTTCTAAAAGGCAATCAGGACATAAGGAAATGAGAAAAGCAACAAGCAATTTGTATTGTAAAATTATCCAATAATAATAATAATAATAAAAACAACAACCTAGAAAGCTTATACTTAGCTGGTCTTTAAAGTGCTACTGGAATTATTTTTTAAAAAAATTGGGGAAAGATTATTTTAAAGACTGTCTTAAGACAAAAGACTTAATTCTCTTAAGGGAGTTCTTTTTGGCTCATCTTTTAATAAAAATAAAAATATCTTTCATCTTATTATTAACAACAAACAACAACAACAACAACAACATATTATTTATACCCTGCCCATCTCAACAACAACATATTATTTATACCCTGCCCATCTAGCTGGGCAACAACAACAACAACATATTATTTATACCCTGCCCATCTAGCTGGGCTTCCCCAGCCATCCTGGGCCACTTCCAGCAGAATATTAAAATACAATGACAATTCGGACAATTCCGCAGCTGAATACAGGATATGTGAAGCTGCTTTAGGTGTTCTGAGCTCCGGCCAAAGGACCTACCTGATCTCCCAAAGACATGGCACAGAAGGATTTCTAAGTTAAATTCATAGATGATGACAGTATTGGACTTCAAATACGCTACCTGAAAGACACACTGCCCTTAGGAGCCTCCCAAAGTGGCTGGGGAAACCCAGACAGGTGGGTGGGGGGATAAATCATCATCATTATTATTTTAAAAAATTGTCCTGTAGCACCTTAGAGACCAACTAAGTTTGTTCTGGTCTCCAAGGTGCTACAGGACAATTTTTTAATTGTTTTATTAATTTCTACTGCGTCATACCAACACAGGTACATCATCATCATCATCATTATTATTATTATTATAGCGGTACCTCTACTTACGTGCACCTCTGGTTACGTATTCTTTGGGATACGCATGCAGCAAACCCGTAAGTATTTTTCTGTGTTTCGCCGCGCATGACTGCGCAGAAGCGCTCTACCGCGCCGCACACCTGCACAGAACAAGCACCTCTGGTTGTGGAAACCTCGGGATCTGACCGGAGCTCCAGAACACATCCCATCCGCAACCGGAGGTACCACTGTGGTGGTGGTGGTGGTGTTGTTGTTATTATAATATAAGGCTCTCCCTCCAGCCCTGTAAGAACTTTCTTGTTAAGTATATTAGCTCTTCAGTTTGAACAGATATTAGTAACTGAAAAAGACCGAATAAACCAAAACAAAAATATAAGATTCAGGTAGGTAGCTGTGTTGGCCTGACGCAGTCAAATAATAATAATAATAATAATAATAATAATAATAATAATAATAATAATAATAATTGTCCAGTGGCACCTTAGAGACCAACTCAGTTTGTTCTGGGTCTAAGCTTTACGTGGGCATGTGCCCTTCTTCCGATACACAGAAACCGAAGTCTGTATAAGAACTAGCATGAAAGAGGCCTCCCAGCGTTCTCACAGGCCCATATAAGAGCAGCGCAAACAGTTGGGCCTGATGAGCGTTTACTGTTCCCAACCCTAATCCTGCAGAAAGCCATCTAATTGGATTTGAATTTGATCCTGACTTGTTTTCAGGAGGTACTGTATTTTTCGCTCTATAAGATGCACGAGACCATAAGACGCACCTAGTTTTGGGAGGAGGAAAACAAGAAAAAAAAGATTCTGAATTTCAGAAGCCAGAACAACAAGAGGATCCCTCTTGCTGTTCTGGCTTCTGGGATAGCTACACAGCCTGCATTCGCTCCATAAAATGCACACACATTTCCTCTTACTTTTTAGGAAGGAAAAAGTGAGTCTTATAGAGCAAAAAATACGGTAATTTCATTATTGCTTGATTTTATACCAGTGTTACCTATTTGGTGTTAGCCTCCCTGAGCCCAGTTTGGACAGGGAGGGCGGGATACAAATAAAAGTTTATTATTTATTATTATTATTAACCAGACCCTGATAGATAGTGGGAGGGTGGGGCGAGGTTTTTCTCCAAAGGGTAGTAGGACTCAGTGGGTATGGTCAACCTGTGGGCGACTGTGAACGACTGCAATTAGTCCGAAAGGAAAAAACAAGGGAGAGTATGCAGATGACCAAAAATAGTCGAAAATAAATAAAAAAATGGTCCAGTATGACCTTAGAGACCAACGAAGTTTGTTCTGGGTATAAGCCACAGGTTGGGAATGCATGGTATAAGCTTTTGTGTGCATGCACACTTCTTCAGATACACTGAAACAGAAGTCACCAGACCATGATATATAGTGGGAGGGTGGGGTAGGGTATTTCTCAGAAGGATAGTATGAGATGGGTGATTTTATGGTTCCAAAATGGAAACCTTCCTCTGCTTGTCCATATTGACTACAAGTATTAATCATGGAGGTGCAGGTCTGTAATCCTTTTTTATGGAAAGGTTCAGCCTTTCTGGCATCCTCTCAATATGGATAAGCAGAGGAAGGTTTCTGTTTTGGAACCATAAAATCCCTTTTTTTTCCAGAAAGGTTCCACCTTGCTGGCATTCTTTTAATATGGACAAACAGAGGAAGGTTTCCATTTTGGAACCATAAAATCACCCATCTCCTACTACCCTTCCAAGAGAAAACCCCGCCCCACCCTCCCACTACATATAAGGGTCTGGGGGCTTCTGTTTCCGTGTATCTGAAGAAATTTGCCTGCACACAAAAGCTTCAACCCATAGCAAACTGAGTAGGCACTGCTGGACAATTTTGTTATTTTTTTTACAAAAATAGAAAAGAAGGTTCAGAAACAGGACTGTACTATTAAGAGTATCTGGGACATCATCCTTAAAACTGCTGTGAGATAAGCACTGTTATGGCCCTATCAAAACTATCAAGAGATCCATCAGCTTTGAGGAAGCCATTGGTATTTTTATTGAACCAACGACCCGCGTGCGGTCATCGACCCAAATGCCGCCGACCCACCTGCGCCATTTCTGGCGAAACATTTTCTGACGGAGAGCCGGCCGCCTTCAGTCGGTCTGTGCTGCGGCTGCGCATGGGCACTTTGGGTGCGTGGGCCGGGGAACCGACAGCGCTGCCGGGAGCTGAACGGGGACAGAGGAGATACTCTATAAAGTTGGGAATTTGGCAGGGCAAACAGATTGCCGAGGGGAAAAGCAGGTGGGGAAAGAGGACAGAGAGAGAAGGAGAGACTCTCAACTCCGGCCCTCCAGATGCTTGGGACTAAAATGCCCATCATCCCTGACCACTGGTACTGTTAGCTAGGGATGATGGGAGTTGTAGTCCCCAAACAGCTGGAGGGGGCAAAGTTTGGCCACCACTTAGTTAAGAGCAGGCATGGCCAAACTTGGCCCTCCAGATGCTTGGGACTACAATTCCCATCATCCCTTGCTAACAGGATGAGTGGTCAGGGATGATGGGAATTGTAGTCCCAAACATCTGGAGGGCTGGAGTTTGCTTATGCCTGCTCTAAACTGTGTTTTATATCATTGAGTTTATTTTGCTCTGTGTATATTGTCATGTTCCTTCGGTGCTACGTCTTATGGCTGACGCAAATAAAGGTTTCATTCATTCATTCATTCAAGAGATCCGGGAGACAGACCGCCACCATTTGAAGCACATAAACCACAAGAGGGAAAAGAAGAGGGAAAAGAAAACAGAAGGAACAGGCCATTAAAATGAAATGCTTTCCCCACACAAGCAACAGCGAAAAATGTTTTTTGTTCTAGGTTACTTGTCCATGAGGAAGGCAGCCATCATAATTCATCACGACTGTTAAATTAGGATTCTTTCATATATCTTTTATGAGAAGCTACCGTACCTTTCCGTGTATAAGACTAGGTGTTTATTGCTGGTATAATCTTAATATTTACAACCAGATGAAAGTTTCATTTTTGGAAGAATAAATTTTCAGAGTAGTATTTACAGTTATATGAAAAATGACTGATTTGGTTCTACTCTTAGAAATACATTGACAGATAATGATGAAATGATGGTGAGAGTTAATAAGTTAATTTTCTATTTGGACAACTTTTCTGCTGTACTTGATTGGAAGGAGAAAAATAATCATTTCCTTCATAACAATTTAAACCATTTATTTCACTAAAGCAATAACATGATAGCATAGGTATCCATGTTTGTTAACTGATGTGGTTAAACTTCTTTTGTTGTTTTTAAGAATGAGTTTTAGCACACATGAAAATCTTAAAACAAATCCTTCTTTCCTGATGAACAGCCTTTGGACTATAATATAACTCAAATAGAAAATCTTTAGTAAGCTTATAGCCTCCAAAAGCCTTTCATTTTAAAAAATCTGATTTAAATCAAAATAATCCGATTCAAATAAAAAAAAAAGATTTTATTTATTTATTTTTAAAAATCATTGATTTTTATCCACCCTGGTTAAGAAAACAACATAGCAGCTGTGTTTGAAATGCAATGTGGCGGGGGGAAAGGGTATAAGGGAAGGCATTCCAGCTTCTTATGGAATCAAAAGGAATTCGGGCAAAATCTGCTGCCATGCAGGCATGTGATTTGTACCTCCCTGGCACACAGGCCCAATATGGTTCCCACAAGGGATTTTCACCAGTGTCCCAGAAAGAAGACAGATTTTCAAATTTCCAGCAGCAGGTCTAGCTGCAGTACAGTGGTCCCTTGATTCTCAAATGCCAAAACCCGGTAGGAAGCGTTCTGGTTTCCGGACGTTTTTCGGAAGCCGAAGGTCCGACATGGCTGTCAGCGATTATTTCTGGGGCGCCTGCGCCAATGAGAAGCCACGCCTTGGTTTTTGAACATTTGGACTTCTGGAATGGGTGAAGTTTAGCGTATTGTTTTTGCTCTTCTTTTGGCATTTTTGTTTTTTTAAAAGGCTTTTTCAGTTGATTAGTTTTTGTGACTGTGTGAACCCAGTTCAGCTCCTGATGGACTGATTGTGTGACTGCAGAAATGGATAAAAGCCCCCCATCCAAACAATGACTTTAGCTACGGATGGATGGATTGTTTTGGAACAGACTTCCAGAACGCTTTAAGTTTGAGAACCAAGGTTTAGGGAAGTTTTTAATGTTTAATGCTGTTTAATGTGTTTTTAATACTTGGTTGGGAGGAACCCAGGGTGGCTGGGGAAACCCAGCCAGATGGGCGGGGTATAAATAAATAAATAAATAAATAGGTACCACTGTACTCAACTTGGCTTGTGACAGCCCGGCTCCATGATGCCAGGCGCACGGGCAAATCCCACTCACCATTGCAGTAGCATGTGTCACACTGGGCCTGGAGGGGTTGCTGTGCTAATACAGTGGTCCCTTGGTTTTCAAACTGAATCTGTTCCGGAAATCGGTTCCAAAACAAAAGTGTTCGAAAACCAAGGCGCTCTTTCCCATAGAGAGGAATGAAAAACAAATTAACACATTCCAGGCTTTGAAAAACAACCCCTAAAACAGCCATTTCACATGAATTTTGCTATCTAACAGGACCACTGAATCATCAAATGAAAGCAGTAAGCAATGTACTGTACTATAAAAGAAATAAAACAGCATGGTAGGTGATAAAAATTAAAATTACTGTACTTTTCTGTGTGTAAGACTAGGGTTTGTTTATTTATTTATTTATTTGGAGTTCCCCAAAATAGGGGGTGTCTTATACACAGAAAAATATAGTAATTTTTTTCTGACCTGCACTGACGATAGTCATTGTTTGGAAGGGGGACTTTGATCCATTTCTGCAGCCACACAATCCATCCATCCATCCATCCATCTGTAGCTAAAGTCACTGTTTGGATGGGGGGCTTCTATCTATTTCCGCAGTCACACAATCAATCCATCAGTAGCTGAACTGGGCTCCACACGGTCACAAAAAACAAATCAACCGAAAAGCATCAAAGCCAAATAAAGAGCAAAAAAAAACAAGTGCCAAACTTCATCCGTTCCAAAAGTCTGTTTGACTTTCCAAAATGTTCAAAAACCGAGGCGCGGCTTCCGATTGGCGCAGGCGCCCCAGAGTAGCCGACAGCCAAATTTGAAGTTCGGCTTCCGAAAAATGTTCGAAAACCAGAACACTTCCTTCTGGGTTTTCGGCGTTTGGGAAACAAGGTGTTTGAGAACCAAGGTACCACAGTATGTCCCATGTTCTGCAAAGTGGGCTGGATGTGAGTGCATCCAAAGAAACAGGGATGAATTTTGTCTACCAGGCTAAGACTCCCAGTCTGCTATCCTGCGTACGCGGAGAAAGTCTGCCCTTCCGTTCTGCCCTGAAGACAAACAGTTGTCAAACCTGGACTTCCACAGCATGTCCTTCCTCGTTATAGATTATACCCGCAAATTCTCATGTCCTCACACAGTCCTACCACATAGACTTGAAAGTACCCTCCCCGTTTTTAACATCTCCGACAAACGTTTGAGTTTTTTTTTAGACCAGGCACCCCCAAACTTGGCCTTCCAGCTGTTTTGGGACTACAATTTCCATCATCCCTGACCACTGGTCCTGTGAGCTAGGAATGATGGGAGTTGTAGTCCCAAAACAGCTGGAGGGCAGAGTTTGGGGGTGCCTGGATTAGGTTTTCCTCTCATTTTGATGTTTCTACGGTGAACCCCTTTTGACTGTCCTTGCTATATCTTTCACTGAGTTGGAAGGAGAGGTTTAATAAGCACATTGGCCAGATACACCACTCCTAACACATCATATGTGTTAAAAATCATTGATTTTTATCCACCCTGGTGCCCTGTTACCTGAGGGATCTTGGCCATCAGCTGATAAAGTGGCGGCACTTTTACTCCTAGCTAGGGAGGCCTGGGTGGGGGTAAGCAGGCGGCTGAGCACGTTGCTCTCCAGAGGACTGACCTGGGAACGGCGAGCTGGAGGGCAGGAAGAAACCAAAGAGGATTGCAACAGAAAATCCAAAAACAAAGCAAGCAGCCTAATGAAGCAAAGTATGGGAGACTATCGCAAGTCAAAGTGCATTTAGAAAGAAAGAACATCATGGAGAGACAGTGAGAGCCTACACCAGGGGTCAGCAAACTTTTTCAGAAGGGGGCCGGTCCACTGTCCCTCAGAGCTTGTGGGAGGCCGGATTAGATTTTTTTTTGGTGGGGGGGAATGAACAAATTATTATGCCCCACAAATCACCCAGAGATGCATTTTAAATTAAAGGACACATTCTACTCATGTCAAAACACGCTGATTCCCGGACCGCCCACGGGCCGGATTAAGAAGCGAATGGACTGGATCCGGCTCCTGGGCCTTAGTTTGCCTACCCATGGCCTACACTCACATATGATTTAAAACACGTTATTCTTAAGGGAAGCTCAATAATTTTAAAATTTTAAAGCCCAATTTATATCAAAGCAAGAAACAGGTAAAAATACATGTTTTTATGTATTTATGTATTTTTATGTATTTTATGTATACATGTTGTGCTAGTGCACAAATGACAGACATACAGTCCTCTTGCGGAAACCCCACTGATGTTAAGTATGCCTGCACATTTCTTTTTCGTCTTAATGTAGTTAATGTAGGCAAAGATCCTGATGGATTGGCACGCTTTACATTAACAGTGGATTACTGTTATATTTGAATATTAAACACAGTGGTACCTCAGGTTACAGACACTTCAGGTTACAGACTCCGCTAACCTCGGGTTAAGAACTTTGCTTCAGGATAAGAACAGAAATTGCACAGCGGCAGAGGGAGGCCTCATTAGCTAAAGTTAACTTTAACCTCATTAGCTAAAGTTAACTCATTAGCTTCAGGTTAAGAACAGTTTCAGGTTAAGAACAGACCTCTGGAACAAATTAAGTTCTTAACCCGAGAGGTACCACTGTATTCTTAGCAATAAGACCAGAGTTTATTTAAAAAACGGCTTTCATTAGCAACCAATTTTCCCACTTCTCCTGTTTTTCAGGCTGGGTGGAAATCTGTTTTTTGCACCTTTCTGCTCTGCTTGCAAACCTTTGGATTCTGGCTGCTCAGAATTCGGAGGAACTTTGTTATTCAGTCTGTTTAATGAAGAACTTCTTTTAGTTGAGCCTGCAAGGATAAAATCGTGCCACGATTAGCTTTGCATATAGTAGCATGTATATCAATCAAGCCAATTACGAAGATTGACAGAAGATGATTACGCTCTTCAATCTGAATTGCAATGTGTATAAAACTCCACGTAGATGGACATTCTCGATTAATTCAGAAAGCAATTATTGCTGGGTGGAAATTTCTCAACCACTTTTTTTTAATTTTCAGGGCCTGTGAACTACCCTTTCTAATTGGCTACAACCCTAATTAGCTTTGTAAATGCTCTATTTCACAAATACAGTCTTGTGCGGAAGAGGTCAGTATCCCAATGGTAGAAAATCTACTGTATTTCCACCAGTTTTTTTAAGGTTTAAAATTGGGGGTTGTCTTATACACGGAATGTTGCCATCCATTATTTCTTCATTTTGGTCTCAAAAAAGAGGGGTCATCTTATACACAGAAAAATACAATACTTCGCATGTAGAGAACACCCCAGGGTCAACCCCTGGGGGTCTCCAGGTAGGGCTGGAAAGACCGCTATCTGAAATCGCAAGGAACTACCGCTAGTTAGTATGAACAGTATTGACTTAGATGGGCCAATGGTCTGATTGCAGGGAAGGCAACTTCCTAGGTCCCAATCCCACAAAATAACAGTAACAGGGGGGCTCAGTGCAATTACAGCACGTAGAGAATGAACCATCTGCCCAGACTTAGGCCCAGTTCATCTTCATCATCATCATCATTGATGATGATGAAGGACATTGACAAACTGGAACGTGTCCAGAGGAGGGCAACCAAAATGGTCAAAGGCCTGGAAACGATGCCTTATGAGGAACGGCTAAGAGAGCTGGGCATGTTTAGCCTGGAGAAGAGGAGGTTAAGGGGTGATATGATAGCCATGTTCAAATATATCAAAGGATGTCACATAGAGGAGGGAGAAAGGTTGTTTTCTGCTGCTCCAGAGAAGCGGACACGGAGCAATGGATCCAAACTACAAGAAAGAAGATTCCACCTCAACATTAGGAAGAACTTCCTGACAGTAAGAGCTGTTCGACAGTGGAATTTGCTGCCAAGGAGTGTGGTGGAGTCTCCTTCTTTGGAGGTCTTTAAGCAGAGGCTTGACAACCATATGTCAGGAGTGCTCTGATGGTGTTTCCTGCTTGGCAGGGGGTTGGACTCGATGGCCCTTGTGGTCTCTTCCAACTCTATGATTCTATGATTCTATGATCATCATCATCAGTTTTTATTTATACCCCGCCCAACTGGCTGGGTTTCCCCAGCACAGACTCAGGACCAGTTCATTAATAATAATAATAATTTATTATTTCTATCCCAACTGTCTGGCTGGGTTTCCCCAGCCACTCCTGGCAGCTTCCAACAAAAGAGTAAAAATACATTAAAACATCAATAATTAAAAACTTCCCTAAACAGTTCAGAAGTCAATGACTTCCCATTCGAGGCTGACAGGCACACACCCCTTCCTCTCTGTTATGGCCACAAGACCAGAAGATTTCACTTCAAATTTTAAGGAAACCAGTCTGCTGTTAAATCCAACTCAGAAAACTGGGGTTTGTTTATATTACATTATGGTTTGACTCCGTGGTCCTGAATGGGGCAACTGTGCCCCTGAAGGACCAGCTGCGCAGCCTGGGGGTGATCTTGGACCCAAGGAGGCACAGGTCCATTCTGTGTCCAGCGCAGCTCCATCTGGGACGCAGGATAAGACCTACCTGCCCAGAGTGGCGCATGCTCTGGTTATCTCCTGCTTGGACTACTGCCATGCACTCTACATGGGTCTGCCTTGGAAGGTGACCCAAAAACTGCAACTAATTCAGAATGCGGCAGCCAGACTGGGGACTGGGACCGCTGAGACCATATAACACCAGTCATGAGAGACCTGCACTGGCTCCCCGTACGTTTCCGAGCCCAATTCAAAGTGTATTAAGAGGATGCTGGCGAGGCAGGCTGAACCTTTCTGTAAACAAGGATTTCATTCTTCCCAAAAGGATACCTTCCTCTGTGGGTCAATTTGAAGAGGATGCCAGTGAGGTTGAACCTTTCTGTAAATTAAAGTCTTACTGAGACCATAAAACACCAGTCCTGAGAGACCTGCACTGCCTCCCAGTACATTTCCAAGCACAATTCAAAGTGTTGGTGCTGACCTTGAAAGCCATCAATGGCCTTGGCCCGGTAGACGTGAATGAGTGTCTCCACCCTGGATGCCAGGGTCCCTCTCCTGCGAGAAGCGACGTTACAGGGAACCAGGCAGGGGGCCTTCTCGGTGGTGGTGCCCACCCTGTGGAACACCCTCCCACCAGATGTCAAGGTGATAAGCAACTATCTTACTTTCAAAAGACTTCTGAAGGCAGCCCTGTTTAGGGAAGTTTTTCATGTTTCATGCTGTATTGTGTTTTTAATATTCAACTGGGAGCCGCCCAGAGTGGCTGGGGAAACCCAGTCAGATGGCCGGGGTATAAATAATAAATTATTATACTATTGTTGTTGTTATACTGTTGTTGTTGTTAATAGATGGGTCATTGGTCTGATCCAGCAAGTCTGTTCTTCTATTCTTATGACTGAGAATCAGCCATATTTAGAATCAAAGGACCATTATCACAAATCAAGATAACTAGATCTGACTCTGTAATTCTCTTCTGCAGGTGGAGGTTAACATGACCATATGTGGTCATGAAGTATGAACTTGTGCAGCCCATGCACAACCTTGCCTGCTGTCTGTGAAATCTAGAAAGTCTCAGGACAGGAGATGTACATAACTCACTTTTAATAGTAAACGGTTGAGGGAATCTGACTCTATGTGAGAAAAGCCTCACACAATACAGCAGAGAATAACTGGGCGTACGGACAGAAGTACGTTGCAAACCGTATGCATGATATGGCTGCTCTCTTTGCCGTGCTACTTTAGACTTTGTGCAATGGCCGGCTGGGGATGCTAGCAGCAGGATCAGAGAATGCAAGGATAAATGTGCAGACAGTGATTTAAAGAAGTCGAATTGTAGCGGGGGGAAGCTGCGGGTGGGTGGGGGGAGTACTATACAACATGTACCATATTGTTTGCTCCATAGGACGCACTTTTTTCTTCCTAAAATGTAAGGGGAAATGTCTGTGCGTCTTATGGAGCGAATGCGTGGTCCCTGGAGCTGAATTGCCCAGGGTCAAAAAGCAGATCATGCTCTTTTTTTTGAAAGAGGGAAGTGGGTGTTGAAACAAAGCCGCTGATTGGCAAGTGATCGGGGAGCGAGATAAGGGACGCTAGCGATAAAGGAGGCTGCCTGTGAGGGGGAGGTAAAGACAGCAAACTTGCAAGGAGAGGAGACAGGAAGACTAAAGCAATGAGGAGAGAAATTAGACGAAAAGGAGGAGCAAAAAACTGCTCCAGCTGAGGAAAAGACACTAAGGCAAACAAGAGAGAAGGGGGTGTTGAAAGGAAGCAGCTGATTGGTAAGCGATAAGGGAAAGAGATAAGGGACGCGATAAAGGAGGCTGCCTGGGAGGGGGGATCCTCAGGATTTTTACATTGGGTCACCTCAAATTCACCATCAGATCACGTAACATGTCCATGGCTATAGCCTGCACCAAAAAAATCACGCATCCACTTTTTTGTGGGGCCGCAATGGTGCAAAAACCTGATTACAAAGCACGGATCCACATGGATCCTCAGGATTTTTGCATTGGGTCACCCCAAATACACCGTCAGATCACCTAACATGTCCATGGCTACAGCCTGCACCAAAAAAATCACGCACCCACTGTTTTGTGGGGCCGCAATGGTGCAAAAACGTGGTTACAAAGCACAGATCCACATGAATCCTCAGGATTTTTGTATTGGGCCACCCCAAATTCACCATCAGATCACATAGAATATCCATGGCTACAGCCTGAACCAAAAAATCACGCACCCACTGTTGCCTGGGGCCGCAATGGCACAGAAACGTGGTTACAAAGAACGGATCCACAAGGATTCTCAGGATTTTTGCATTGGGCTACCCCAAACTCACTGTCAAATCACATGTCTGTGGCCACAGCATTCACCACAAAAATCATACGTCCACTGTTTCTTTCAGAATATTTTTTTCTTGTTTTCCTCCTCTAAAAACTAGGTGCGTCTTATGGAGCGAAAAATATTTGTTTTCAATGTTTTTGAACTGTGTTTTTTCTTCTCTCAATTTCATTTCATTCTTTTCTGTTGTTCTATTTTTGCTGTATTATTTAAATAAATATTTTTTTTAAAAAAGGAAAAGGAAAAAAAAGGAAAGGGGGGAAAAACCGCCACCAATTTTCAGACACCTGACTACTGTCCTTTTCCGTGTAGAAGACACCCCCATGTATAAGATGACCCCTCTTTTTTGAGCCCAAAATGAAGAAATAATGAATGGCAACATTCTGTGTACAAGACTACCCCCAATTTTAAACTTCAAAAATTTGGGGGGAAATATAGTCTTAATCACGGAAAAACACAGTACTTAAGTCTTGGGTCAAATGGTAGTGCTTGTGATTGACAGCATGCAAATCCTGATGGGTTAGTATGGAAGAGTAGGTGGCAACAAAAAAGGAATGGCAGGATAAATTATTAGATTATGCTGAATTGGCCAGATTAACAGAGACGATTAGGGGACAATCCAGATAAGAATTCCAAAAAGAATGGGGAAAATGCAGAGAATACTTTCCCAAAAAGTGCCCCAAAATATACACCTGGACTTGTTTCAATTAATTTCTACAGGAGACTTTGTGGTTTTTTAAATCATAATTAGGAAAAATTGTAATAATCCCATACAAAAGAATTAGTATACAAGAAGTAAATAAGGAGGCCATTTACAGGATAAAGGAAGTCTTTTATTTTTATGTTATCTTTGTGTAAGAGGATAGGAGTTTAATTTTGATAATTAAATTGTCAATGGTGGTGGGTTTGTTTGTATGTATGAGTTGTTGTGGACTATGTTGTAAATAAAGGTAAAGGTAAAGGGACCCCTGACCATTAGGTCCAGTCGTGACTGACTCTGGGGTTGCGGCGCTCATCTCGCTTTATTGGCCGAGGGAGCCGGCGTACAGCTTCCAGGTCATGTGGCCAGCATGACTAAGCCGCTTCTGGCAAACCAGAGAAATCAGGGGTAATAATTTGGCTTTCTGAATTCCAGAACTGAGGGGGTCTGCAAAGTGTCTACCATGACTCTTCTGTTCTAAGGGACCTTGTCACATCCAGCAACCAATGGGTGGAGATATGCACTGTCCGCTGGGTTAACAAATTGAGTCAAAAAAGGGAATTTAAGACCAAAATATCACGAAGAGGTGTAAAGGTGGAAAAGCATACTATGCTGTTGCTGTTTTGCAAACATACACTCACCCTTGCTGGGAGAATTCAGACGTGCTGCTGAGGATGAAAGGCGCTTATTGATGACAGTTTCCGCTTGCTTAAGGTTTGCTGAGGAGGTAGAGCGCTTGCTGCCTGAAAAAAGGAATTATTACTTTAGCACAGGGTAGATTTAAGTTCTCAAACTGAATCTGTTCCGGAAACCAAAGCATTCCAAAACCAAGGTGTGCTTTCCCATAGAAAGGAATGCAAAATATATTACTCCATTGGAGACTTTGAAAAACAACCCCTAAAACAGCCATTTCACATGAATTTTGCTATCTGGTCTGCACTCTTTATAAAGACTTGAGGAATGAGATTCTCACCCCTCTTTTATTGTCCATTCCAGGTCACCCAACCACTGCCAGTCTCCTTCCTCTTGGCAGGTCAAGAGGAGCAGAGGACAGCAAAGGCTGCCAGGTTTTGAGCTGGGGCCATCAGAAGATCCACTATTTGGCTGCTGATTGAGGACCCTAAAGTGTCTTTTATACCATCGACTTTTGATTTCTGTTCTCTGTATATTGCATTCCTGTTTTGTTGCTATGGCTGATGGCTGACACAAATAAAGATTCATTCATTCATTCCAACTCTTGAGACACAGGCACAACTCCTAAAAGGATGTCTGCCTGGGACATGCAACTCTGGGGTCTCTGATTCAGTTCATAGAAATAGCAGGGTAGCAGATTGGGTGGGTGAACAGGTAGGCAGGTAAGGAGTTCCTATACTGGAGGCAGCATCTAGGCTATATTACACCAGACACCAGAGAATATTCCAAGGGGCCATGCCTAAGGTTTTCATGCAGTGTATACAATAATCTTATGAGCAAGCAGGTCATATGAATTCTTTCGATCTCAAAGAGGAAGTAGCAAGTCAGTTGCATGCAAGCAATTGCCTGGTTAAGAGGAACGCAGCTCTGTGTGGGTTACGGAAGGCCTCTAAGCAACACCGTTCCAGACAGGAAGTTACCGTTGCTTAAATCCAGCTATTGAAGGAGAATGCCAAGGCTAATGGGGTTAGTTCAAATAATAGCAAGCAGGCAAATAGATACTAGACCCACCTTCATCTGGAATTGGCGACTCTGTGAAATAAAGGTTGTAAACGAAAATCACAACGATGAAACAAGCATGAGAGAATTCACAAGGAAAACATTCAGAAATAAGGGGCAAGGCAGGATTAAGGTTCTTAATCTTAAATAACTGGCACTCTTATTGAACAATCCCATTACAAGATGTAACATTAGTTAAATCCCCAATCTGCCAGTACAACATAGGAAGCTGTCTTATACTGGGTCAGAGCATTGGGTTCACCTAGTTCAGTACTGCCAACACTGGATGGCAGAAGATGTTCATATTATACTATTGTTGTTGTTATTATACTGTTGTTGTTGTTGTTGTTGTTGTTGTTGTTGTTGTTGTTGTTGTTGTTGTCAGGAAAGGGAATTAGCCATGATAGCTAAGTGAATGTCCAGGCTCAAACAGAAAGTTCCTCCGAGTAGCCGTTGTGGGGGTGGTAAACAGCAATGGGTGGCTATTTCCTCCATGCACTAAACTGGGATTCCTGGAAGCAACTGGCAGGCCAATGCCAAAAACAAGTTGACTAGTTTTATTGTATTTTATTGTATTTTAATAAAGATGAGTGGGGTATAAATAATATATTATTATTATTATTATTATTATTATTATTATTATTATTATTATTGTCATTGGTCTGATCCAGCAAGTCTGTTCTTCTATTCTTATGACTGAGAATCAGCCATATTTAGGATCAAAGAACCATTATCACTAATCAAAATAACTAGATCTGACTCTGTACTCATTCTCTCCTGCAGGCCAACTTCGAAAATCAAATGTCTGACATGTGGGTAGGCAGATTAAGGTCTGGGGGCCGGATCCGGCCCAATCGCCTTCTCAATCCGGCCCATGGACGGTCTGGGAATCAGCATGTTTTGACATGAGTAGAATGTGCCCTTTTGTTTATTTAAAATGCATCTCTGGAGGGAGGGTGGACTGGCCCCCTGCTGGAAAAGTTTGCTGACTCCTGGTCTAACAAGTATCTGCAAGATAACTGACATAGGAAAGCTACCGTGCTTTCTGTAGAAAGAGCCAGTTTAAACAGGCCACATTTACTGAACCCTTCACCTTTACTTTTAAATCAAACCACACTTCATTCCCATGCTCAGTTTTTCATACATCCAAAGCTGCCTTACAGGGAGCCAGACTCGTGGTCTAAACTGGCCCAGCACTGACTACTCTGGCCGGCAGCGTTTAAAAGACTGTCTCAAAGCAAATCCAAAGCAACGACTCTCTTCTGAATTTAAAAATGGAAAGCGTAATGCTGGTGGTCAACAAAAGAGGTTGAAAGATCTCAAGGCAAATCTAAAAAAAGTAGTATAAACACCAACAACTGGGAAACACCGGCCTGCGAGCGCTCCAATTGGAGAACAGCCTTGACCAAATGTGTCCTGGGCTTTGAAGACACTCAAACTCAGGATGCGAGGGAGAAACGGGCGAACAGGAAGGCAAGCTGGGCAAATCCACACCGGGATTAACTCCTGCCTGGAATCCAATGTCCCTGCTGCTGAAGGATGTGTGAGTCCAGAATTGACCTCTGCAATCCCACAAAAGGGATTGCCAAAGAAGAGAAGAAGAAAAAGAGGGGGAAGAAAAGGAGGAGCAGGTGGAGGAGCAGGAGGAGGCGAAAAGAAGAAGAGAAGAGAAGGAGGAGAAGGTGGAGGAGGAGGAGGAGGAGGAGGAGGAGAGAAGAAGAAGAAGAAGAAGAAGAAGAAGAAGAAGAAGAAGAAGAAGAAGAAGAAGAAAAGAGGAGGAGGAGGAGAAAAGAGGAAGAGGAAAAGGAGGAGGAGAGATGGAGGAGGAGGAAGAGAAGAGGAGGAGGAGAAAAGAAGAAGAGGAAGAGAAGAAGGAGGAGGAGGAAAAGAGGAAGAGGAGGAGGGAAAGAAGAGGAGGAGGAGGAGGAGGAGGAGGAGGAGGAGGAGGAGGAGGAGAAGAGACGGAGGAGGAAAACAGGAAGAAGAAGAGAGGAGGAGGAGGAAAAGAGGAGGAGAAGAAAAGAAGAAGAGGAAGAGAAGAAGTGGAGGAGGAGGAAAAGAGGAAGAGGAGGAGTAGGAGAAGTGGAGGAGGAGGAGGAGAGACAGAGGAGGAAAACGGGAAAAAGAAGACGAGGAGGAGGAGGAGAGGAGAAGAAGAGGAGGAGAGATGGAGGAGGAGGAGGAAAAGAAGAAGAGAAGAGGAAGAGAAGAAGAGGAGGAGGAGGAGGAGGAGGAGGAGAAGGAGAGAAGAAGAGGAGGAGGAGAGAAGAAGAGGAGGAGTAGCAGGAGGAGAAGAATCAGAGAAAAGGAGGGAAAAGAGGAAGAAGAGGAGGAGGAGAGGCGAAGGAGGAGGAAAAGAGGAAGAAGAAGAGGAGGAGGAGGAGGAGAGAAGAAGGAGGAGGGGAAGAAGAAGAATCCTCTGGCTGGCAGCATCTCTCCAGGCCAACAGAAAGGTAGCCCCAGACACCTACCTGGCTTGCCGTCTGAATCAGTCACAGAGCCGCCCCAGGACCATCTCTTCTGTCGAGTTTCCAGCCGCTGGCTCCGCTCCAGGGTGCGATGCAGCACCGCCTCATAGCGCTCCTATTGATCAAAAAATCTCTGGAGTTAGGCAGCGGAAACTGTGAGCGCGTCACTCTCTGGAAAATTATTATAATGAATGCATATATAATATATGACAAATATAAACAGAAAATACAATTATGAGGTTAAAAATGAGAAGAAGAGACAAATGTTCCAACCTTAATTTTAACAGATAAGGAATACAAAAATTTAAGCAGATGAAACAGAGATGTTATACAGTGGTGCCCCGCAAGACGAACGCCTCGCAAGACGAAAGGTTTTTTCGTTTTCGAGTTGCTTCGCAAGACGAATTTCCCTATGGGCTTGCTTCGCAAGACGAAAACGTCTTGCAAGTTTGTTTCCTTTTTCGTAAAACCGTTAATACCCAGGGTGCATTGCTGGAAGAGGTGCAGTTGCGACTTGACTTCGAGGAGCAACACATTGCACGCGGTGTGGTGGCCTTTTTGAGCTTTTTAAAGAGTTTGCTGAATTTTTGAAGCTTTTCCAAAACTTCTGTTGCAGCTGTTTGGTAAGTTAAACTTTTAAAACTTTTTTGGGGTTTTTTGGATTTTGGGTTGGGGTGTTTAGAATTCAAGGACTTGATGTTGGGGAGAGGTTTGCAAGAATCTGGGAGCTTGTGTGGTTTTTTTCTGCATTTTTATGATTTTCTGTGACCATTGGGCCATGTTTATTTTTTTTTTTGAAAAAAAATCTGGGTTTGAATTTCTGTGCGCTGGGTGGATGGGGGAACAGTTGAGGAGGGGTTTGCAAGAATCTGGGAGCTTGTGTGGTTTTTTTATGAATTTTTATGATTTTCTGTGACCATTGGGCCATGTTGTTGTTTTTTGAAAAAATTTCTGGGTTTTGAATTTCTGTGTGCTGGGTGGATGGGGGAACAGCTGGGGAGGGGTTTGCAAGAATCTGGGAGCTTGTGTGGTTTTTTTTTAATTTTTATGGTTTTCTGTGACCATTGGGCCATGTTGTTGTTTTTTGAAAAAAATTTCTGGGTTTTGAATTTCTGTGTGCTGGGTGGATGGGGGAACAGTTGAGGAGGGGTTTGCAACAGTTGGGGAGGGGCTGGGGGAACAGTTGAGGTTTTTGAAGACTTTGGTGATTTTTAAAGCTTTCCCAAAACTTCTTTGCAGCCATTTGAGGATTTTGAAGACTTTGGTGATTTGCAGCCATTTCGTAAGTTAAACTTTTAAAACTTTTTTTGGGGTTTTTGGATTTTGGGTTGGGTGTTTGGAATTCAAGGACTTGGTTCTGGGTTTGAATTGCTGATTTTCTTTTTCTTTTTCTGAGTTTACGAAGGTAACAGCTGCGCTGCCATGGGACCCAAGACGACTGCTGCTGCTGCGGAGGCCGGCGAGAGGAAGAAGGAGAAGGTGACGCTGGAAATGAAGAAGGAGATCATCCGGAAGCACGACGGTGGAATGCGTGTGACGGACCTCGCCAGGGAGTACGGCAGAAACCCATCGGCCATCGGGACCATCCTGAAGATGAGGGAGAAGATCCTTGCGACTGATGCAGCCAAGGGAGTCACCAGGATCGTGAAGAACCGCCCAGCTGTTCTGGAGGAGGTCGAGAAGTTGCTGCTCATCTGGTTAGAAGAGAAGCAGCGTTCAGGGGACACAGTGACTGAGGCCGTCATTTGTGAGAAGGCCAAGGCCTTGCACGCAGACCTCATCCGGGAACAGCCAGGAACCTCAGGTGAGCCAGAAGTCTTCAAGGCAAGCAGAGGCTGGTTTGACCGGTTCAAGGCAAGATCTGGAATCCACAGCGTGGTCAGGCATGGAGAGGCTGCCAGTTCTGATGTTCCTGCGGCTGAAGACTTTGCCTGGAGGTTGTGAAGACGGAGGGCTACGTTCCACAGCAGGTCTTCAACTGCGACGAGACCGGGCTGTTTTGGAAGAGGATGCCCAAAAGGACTTTCCTCACACAGGAGGAGGCCAAGTTGCCTGGCCACAAGCCCATGAAGGACCGTCTGACCCTGCTCTTCTGTGCCAACGCAAGCGGCGACCTGAAGATCAAGCCCCTGCTGGTGTACCACTCGGAGAACCCACGGGCCTTCAAGAAACACAAGGTCGACAAGGAGCGGCTGAGTGTCATGTGGCGATCCAACAGCAAGGCTTGGGTCACACATGTGCTGTTTGTGGACTGGGTCAATCTTGCTTTTGGCCCTGCTGTCAAACAGTACCTGCTGGACAACGACCTGCCGCTGAAGGCTTTGCTTCTGATGGACAATGCTCCTGCTCATCCTAAAGGCCTTGAGGTGGACTTGTTGGAGGAGTTCAGCTTCATCAACATCATGTTCCTGCCGCCTAACACCACGCCACTGCTCCAGCCGATGGATCAGCAGGTCATCGCCAATTTCAAAAAACTCTACACCAAGGAGCTTTTCAGGCGATGCTTCACCATCACCCTGCGGGAATTCTGGAAGGACCACTTCGACATTGTCACCTGCTTGAAGATGATCACCACGGCCTGGAACGGGATCAGCCAGAGAAATTTGAATTGCGCTTGGCGCAGCCTGTGGCCGGACTGTGTGGCACCAAGTGACTCTGATGCACCAGAGTCAACAGTGGTGCAGGACATTGTTGCCTTGGGGAGGACCATGGGCCTGGAGGTCACAGAGGAGGACGTCTGCGAGCTGGTGGAGGAGCACAACCACGAGCTGATCACCCAGGAGCTGGTTGAACTGCAGTCAGAGGTTGCGCAGGAGCAGGCCTCGCTGGAAGAGGAGGAAGCAACTGAGGAACGGCTGTCCTCCAAAGAACTGAGGGACATTTGCCAGAAGTGGAAGGAGGTGCAGGCTTTTGCAGAGCGGCAGCACCCTAACAAGCACGTGGCACATGACCAAGCGAACACTTTTGATACTGACGGTCATGTTGCCTCTCAGGGAGCTGCTGAAAAGGCGGATGAAGCAGCAGACCATGGACAGGTTCCTCAGCAAGAAGCAAAGAGTGGAAGAGGAACCTTCTTCGAGTGATCCCCAGAGTCTTAGAAAATGTAATGTACCCTTTTTGATTTTTAAATGTTTTTCCTGTCACGTTTAGAAACTTAATTTATTGTTCCTTCAATTTTTGATATGCTCTTTAAAGTATGTGTGACTTTAAAGAGCAGTTAATAAACTATTGTTGTATCAAATTTGGCTTTGATTGGACTTTTTTTGACCATAGGAACACATTAATTGAATTTCAATGCATTCCTATGGGAAACCGTGCTTCGCAAGACGAAAAATTCGCTAGACGAAAAAACTCGCGGAACGAATAAATTTCGTCTTGCGAGGCACCACTGTAAATCAGAAAGGGAAGTTGGGGGAAGTCATGGCAGGGGGTGGTTCACTGAAATTGTAAAATGTAATTTGAATGTTTGATTATGTTAAAATTTATTTAATGAAGTCATTAGATAGATGATAGCTAAATAGATAGATAGATAGATATAGATGATAGATAAGATATTGCTATAGATATAAAATATATGCATTAATAATAATAATAATAATAATAATAATAATTTATTTATACTCCACCCATATGGCCGGGTTCCCCCAGCCACTCTGGGTGGCTCCCAATCGAATATCAAAAACACAATACAACATTAAACGTTTAAAAATTCCCTAAACAGGGTAAGAATCCCTCTCTAGAGGACTTTTAACAGGGTGGATAAAAATCAATGATTTAAAAAATAAAAAATTGGATTTTTTAAAATTTAAATCAGATTTTTTAAAATTTAAAATATTAAGCTTAAACAGACAAGCTTAAATATTAAATATTCCACGCTCAAATAAAGAATATTTGAAAAACTACTATGATAGCAAAAATCTCCTGGCAGACCTTGAATGATTCTTGTAATGTATAGATAATAAACTAAATAATTTTTCTCTGAAGAAAATTAAGGAAACAAAGTAAAAGAACATGATACTGTGTAAAAAATAACAAATGAGATTCAGTTTTTTGAGAACAATCGGAAGTTTATTTTATCTTTCTTATCTTTATTCTTTATTTTCTTTTTTTTCTGTGTAGTGTACAGTGGTGCCCCGCAAGACGAATGCCTCGCAAGACGAAAAACTCGCTAGACGAAAGAGTTTTCCGTTTTTTGAGTCGTTCCGCAAGACAAATTTCCCTATGGGCTTGCTTCGCAAGACAAAACGTCTTGCGAGTTCGTTTCCTTTTTCTTTAAGCCGCTAATAGCCGCTAAGCTGCTAATAGCCGTGCTTCGCAAGACGAAAAAACCGCAAGACGAAGAGACTCGCGGAAAGGATTAATTTCGTCTTGCGAGGCACCACTGTACATGCATAAATTGTAATATGGTAAATTGTTGGGTAAATACGTGTTGAATGTTTAATAAAGATATATATATCTATATATATCTATATATATTATATAAAAACAAGCATAATATAGGATTTTAATGGCTTGGTATAATTTTTTTGAAAAAAATAGAGGATTTGGGTAAAGGGGAATGATATTATTCTTAGAAATTAGAAATATTCTTTCTAATATTTTCTCATTCTGCATATTTTAAACTAATCTTGTTTAAAATAGGCATAAGGATAAAAGATTAGAAAGAATCAGAAGGGGAAGTTGGGCTGGCAGAAAGGGAAATATGTTTATTTCTTTCTGTGATTTATGTTATGTTGATTAAATTGTCAAACTCAATACACACACACACACACACACACACACACACACAAAAGCAAAACATCTTCCAAATTCACTAGTTGTGAACTGAATCAGTCCGAATGGAATGATTAAAGGAGCGTTGTAACTGCAACCACTTCTAGATATTTTTAAGGGATGCAATGACCAACCTGTTAATATGAAAAAACACTGTTCTAAGGATAACATATTGATATGCATAGAATAAGTATGTCAAGATGTTCGAAACTAAGGCAAAATTAATACAGTTGTACCTCGGGTTACATACGCTTCAGGTTACATACGCTTCAGGTTACAGACTCCGCTAACCCAGAAATAGTGCTTCAGGATGAGAACAGAAACTGTGCTCTGGCGGCGCGGCAGCAGCAGGAGGCCCCATTAGCTAAAGTGGTGCTTCAGGTTAAGAACAGTTTCAGGTTAAGAACAGACCTCCGGAACGAATTAAGTACTTAACCCGAGGTACCACTGTAATGGCTTTACATTGATTCCTACAAGACACAATGTTAAAGCATTTATAACATACAAGATGTCGGGTTGCGGTGGAGGGAAGCCACAAGGGTGTAAATGATAGTTTTTTATTTTTGTGTATATGGATTTTGTTTTTCCTATTTCTCTCTTGTTTTTTTTCTTGATTAATTTTATACACACACACACACACACACACACACACACACACGAGATGCAATGAAGGGATGATTGTGGGCATTGTGACCCCTTCCAAGTTGTCCCTTATGCCAGGGACATTCGACTCCCAAGAGACTGTGATCTACTTCCGGGGGTGGGGGGGGTGGGGAGACTGGCAGTGATCTACCCATTTTTTAGGGGGGTGTTCAGAGTTGACAAGCGTTTATTTAGGGGGGCAGACCAAAGTTGTTGAGTTTTTTTAGGGGGGCAGGTCAAGGTTGTTGAACTTTTCTTAAGGGGGCAGGTCAAAGAAAGCTTTTTAAGTATGTGATGGGAATGCAAGAAAATAAGAGAATTTTGGGACACTACCGTTTTTCCCCGTGTATAAGACTAGGTTTTTTCCCTAAAAAATAATATCAAAAATTAGGGGGCATCTTATATACGGGGCCATCTCCCCCCATTTTCTTAAATCTGAGTCCCCCTCAAATAAGGGGCATCTTATACATGGGATGTCTTATAGACGAAAAAAATACGGTATATATAATGATTTTTAAAAAATACTCACATTCCCATTTACAAAAAAAATGGAGAGCAGACTTGCTTGATCAGACCAATGGCCCATCTAGTCATCTTGTTCTGGGCACTGGGCAGCCAGTTGCTTCTGGGAATCCCAGTTTAGTGCAAGGAGGAAATAGTCACAATATATATATAATAAACTGAAAAGGATACTCAAATTCCCATTTACAAAAAACCCGGAGGCCCTCCTATTAGGAATCATGCCAACAGAAATTAAGAAAAAGGTTAGACCACTCCTCATGTATGCACCGACAGCAGCCAGAATTTGAGTGGTGAGGAATTGGAAAAGTGAAAATATTCCCACAAAAACCAATTGGCAGGCCCAAATGGTAGAATATATACAACCGGCAAAAATGACAGGGAGACTTCGAGGATACTCAACATAGAAGGTGAATAAAGAATGGGTAGTATTGAAAGAATATTTGAATACTGATGGGGATAACAAAAAACTTCTGGCAGACATAGATTAACTCTTGTAACTGAAAGGTGACAAATAAAAGGACCTTTTGATAAGAACTAAGAAATCGCAAAAAGACACTGTGTGTAAAATTACAAATTGAAATATGGTATAATGAGAATAAGCAGAAGTCTGTTTTACTGATTTCATCCTTGATCTGTATTTTAATATTCTGTTGGAAGTCGCCCAGAGTGGTTGGGGGAACCCAGCCAGATGGGCGGGGTAGAAATTTTAAATAATAATAATTATTATTATTATTCTGTTGGGAGCCGCCCAGAGTAGCTGGGAAAACCCAGCCAGATGGGTGGGGGAGAAACGATATATTATTATTATTATTACTACTCTTCAATTTTTTCCTTTTCCTTTTTTTCCTTTCTTAGCAAAGTTTGTATATGGAGTTTGTACATGGAGTTTGTATACAGGTTACATTGTTTATTTTTATGTATGTAATGTTTGAATGTTTAATAAAGATTTTTAAAAATTAAAACAAAAATAAAACGGAAAGTGTGAGAAATTGCAATAAATTGCGGGCAGCCGGTTGACAGCCCTGCCTTATTCTCTAAAAGACGATTAAGACAGCTATAACTAGTGCCACTATCATAGTGTCTCTCTAATGCAGGCATGGCCCAACTTGGCCCTCCAGCTGTTTTGAGACTACAACTGGAGGGCCAAGTTTGGCCAGCTCTACAATACCTTGTCCTCCTCCAGCTTCTGTTTCCGCTTTTCCTCTACTGCTACTCTCCTTTGTTGCTCTTTCAACTTCTGTTCCTTCAGTCTTCTCTGCCTCTCCTCCATTTGCTTCTCATACTGGAGCTTGGCCTTCTTCTCCTTTTCCAATATTTGAGTTTCTTTGGCAGCTGCAAATTTCAACCAGGGTGGATAAAAATCAATGATTTTAAAAAAATAAAATTTTTAAAAATCGGATTTTAAAAATTTAAATCAATTTTTTAAAAAATGTAAATCAGATTTTTAAAATAAAATGCTTTTGGAGGAAAAATCTTTCTAAAGATTTTCTATTTAAGTGACATTCTAGTCCAAAGGCAATTATTCATCAGGAAATAAGGATTTCTTTTAAGTTTTTCATGTGTGCTAAAACTAAGACTTTTTAAAAAAAATTGTTTAAACACATCAGTTAACAAACATAGATGCCATGATGCTATTGTTTTAGGTAAATAAATTGTTTAAATGGTTATGAAGGGAATGCGTCTTTTTCTCCTTCCAATCGAGTATAGCAGAAAAGCTCTCCAAATAGAAGCAGTTAATTTATTAAACTTCACCATCATTTCATCATTATCTGTCAATGTATTTCTAAGATTAGAACCAAATCAGTCATGTTTGATAGAACTGTCAAAACCACTCTGAAAATTTATTCTTCCAAAAATGAAACCTTCCTCTGCTTGTCCAGATTAAGAGGATGCCAGCAAGGCTGAACCTTTCTGTAAAATAAATTGATTTGAATCAAGTCTTACTGACTAGTGATTTAAATCAGGTCTGACTGACTAGTGATTTAAATTGATTTGATTGAAATCAGATCCACCCTGTCTGCCACACAAATGCAACAGGCTGCATTTTTTATCCATACATTTAAATATATGCCTACCTTGCTGCTTCTCGCGCTCCTCTCTCCGTTCCCTGGCCAGCCTTTGCCTCTCTTCTGTTCTCAAAGTGGAACCATCGATCACTGGAAAGGACGGCAAAGTTGAACTGGTTACAGGGCTGAGATTTCTGGAGGAACAAGTGACCAATGGGCGCAATTTTCTTTTCCCAGGAGTGCAACTCCAGCCTGATGTGCAGGGATACTGGTTAACATCAGAATTAGGGTGGTTCATAAAAAGCTCTTTTTTGAAAATGCCTGCTCCAAAGGTCTTATCTTACTACACTAAGGGTTATACAGCTATATCTGAAATTTCGTGCATATCGTTAATAACTTTTTAAAAAATTTTAAATACTTTATTTACAACATAGCCCACAAAAACTTGTACATACAAACCCACCACCGTTGACAATTTAATTATCAAAATTAAACTTCTATCCCCTTACACAAAGAAAACATAACATAAAAATAAAAGACTTCCTTTATCCTATTTACTTCTTGTATACTGTTTCTTTTATATGCGATTATTACCATTTTTCCTAATTATGACTTAAAAAACCACAAAGTCTCCTGTAGAAATTAATCAAAACAAGTCCAGGTGTATATTTGAAATATACAAAATGTATCAGTTAATATCTTGACCCTGCTCCGCTGAATTGACATTTCAGCCTTCACGACATAGGAAAATGGCCAAGTAAACAGCTATTTTCATGGAGGAGGGTCAAGATATTAACTGATATGTATGAAATTTCAGATAAAGGTACCCCTGCCCATACGGGCCAGTCGTGTCCGACTCTAGGGTTGCACGTTCATCTCGCTCAAGAGGCCGTGAGCCAGCGCTGTCCGAAGACACTCCTGGGTCACGTGGCCAGCGTGACGAAGCTGCATCTGGCGAGCCAGCACCAGCGCAGCACACGGAAACGCTGTTTACCTTCCCGCTATAAAGCGGTCCCTATTTATCTACAGCCACTTAGGGGTGCTTTCGAACTGCTAGGTGGGCAGGAGCTGGGACCGAACGACAGGAGCTCACCCCTCCGCGGGGATTCGAACCGCCGACCTTACGATCAGCAAGTCCTAGGCACTGAGGTTTTATCCACAGTGCCACCCGCGTCAGAAATAGCCATATAATTCCTAGTGTAGTAAGATAAGACCTTTGCAGCAGGCATTTTCAAAATAAAGTTTTTTAATGAACCGTCCTACTGAACACCCAATGCTTTTCAGTGGAGCAGGGTCAAGATGACTGACTGACCGAACCCAAAGGGTGCTCATCAATGGTTCCTCTTCATCCTGGAGAGGAGTGACTAGTGGGGTGCCACAGGGTTCTGTCTTGGGCCCGGTGTTATTCAACATCTTTATCAACGACTTGGATGATGGACTCAAGGGCATCCTGATCAAATTTGCAGATGACACCAAATTGGGAGGGGTGGCGAACACCCCAGAGGACAGGATCACACTTCAAAATGACCTTGACAGATTAGAGAACTGGGCCAAAACAAACAAGATGAATTTTAACAGGGAGAAATGTAAAAGTATTGCACTTGGGCAAAAAAATGAGAGGCACAAATACAAGATGGGGGACACCTGGCTTGAGAGCAGTACATGTGAAAAGGATCTAGGAGTCTTGGTTGACCACAAACTTGACATGAGCCAACAGTGTGACGCGGCAGCTAAGAAGCCAATGCAATTCTGGGCTGCATCAATAGGAGTATAGCATCTAGATCAAGGGAAGTAATAGTGCCACTGTATTCTGCTCTGGTCAGACCTCACCTGGAGTACTGTGTCCAGTTCTGGGCACCACAGTTCAAGAAGGACACTGACAAACTGGAACGTGTCCAGAGGAGGGCAACCAAAATGGTCAAAGGCCTGGAAACGATGCCTTATGAGGAACGGCTAAGAGAGCTGGGCATGTTTAGCCTGGAGAAGAGGAGGTTAAGGGGAGATATGATAGCCATGTTCAAATATATAAAAGGATGTCACATAGAGGAGGAGAAAGGTTGTTTTCTGCTGCTCCAGAGAAGCGGACACGGAGCAATGGATCCAAACTACAAGAAAGAAGATTCCACCTAAACATTAGGAAGAACTTCCTGACAGTAAGAGCTGTTCGACAGTGGAATTTGCTGCCAAGGAGTGTGGTGGAGTCTCCTTCTTTGGAGGTCTTTAAGCAGAGGCTTGACAACCATATGTCAGGAGTGCCCTGATGGTGTTTCCTGCTTGGCAGGGGGTTGGACTCGATGGCCCTTGTGGTCTCTTCCAACTCTATGATTCTATGATTCTATGATTCTAAGATATTAACTCAGGCATGGCCAAATGTGGCCCTCCAGCTGTTTGGGGACTACAATTCCTATTATCCCTGAGCACTGGTCCTGTTAGCTAGGGATGATGTCCCCAAACAGCTGGAGGGGCAAGTTGGGCCATGTCTGGTAGAGGTAAGACTGGCAATAAAGTATAAAGAGAAGCGTTGGAAGTCGAGTATTTGTGGTGTTCACGTAGGATTTGTAGGTGTGTTGGGTATGTATTATATGTAATGTATTGTATCATATTTGTTAAGCACTATGTAAACTGATGTATAATAAAGATTATTTTAAGAGAAAAGTAAATGCAGGGGTCAGCAAACCTTTTCAGCAGAGGGCCAGTCCACTGTCTCTCAGACCTTGTGGGGGCCGGACTAGATTTTGGAGGAAAAAATTGAACGAATTCCTATGCCCCACAAAAAAAGAGATGCATTTTAAATCAAAGCACACATTCTATTCATGTCAAAACACCAGGCAGGCCCCACCAATAACCCAGAGGTGCATTTTAAATAAAAGCACACATTCTACTCATGTAAAAACACGCTGATTCCTGGACCATCTGCGGGCTGGACTGAGAAGGCCACTGGGCTGGATCCGGCCCCCAGGCCTAAGGTTGCTTACCCATGTGGTCATTTCCTGCTTTGCAAAACAAAAACAGCATCTTCACTGGCCCAAGTAGACCAATTCCTACCGAGCTTTTGAAATATGTCAAAATGGGACTCTTTTGAGAAGGAGAATATGCAACTTAAAAAGTAGCAGCACAGATTCGTGAACTAAAAAGCGGAAGGATGCAAAGAGCCACAACCAAGGTAGCCACAGGAATGGAATTTTTTTTTATTATTATTGAAGCAAGAATTTTACCTGGCCTGGTTGAAGATTTCATACCAGCTGGAGATTGGAGTGGAACAGGACTAGCACCACTTTGGCTTCTTCTTTCTTCTGCTAACACCTGGGCTGCAGCAACTGTAAAACAGACCACAATCACAGTTATTACAGCAAAAATCCACAATGTATTTCCGGCGGCAGGCTTCATGCAAGACTTGCTGGTATGTCTCATCATTTTTTAAAATTTCTTCGTATATCATGTCAAAAAAACCAGAATTATTTTTATGAGGAATTTTCACAATGGACATTCCAAAGGACAATAAAAAGAGTCTTTCTATATGCGACTAGGGCCGCCAGGATCATGATTACAAAACCCTGGAAAAACAACATATTGTCGACAAAAGAAGAATGGCTCTTAAAACTTAGCGAGTATCTAGAACTAGCTCAACTTACAAATAAGAAATCACTCAAATGTGAGAATAAAGAGAGAATGGGTTGTTTTTATAAACTACATGAAAAAAGGTGGTTCTCAGTACTTCTCTTGACTTGGCGTAGCCTAAAATACCACAGGCAATCCATAGACTTACTAAGAGAAAACAGACAAACAAAATATGATTTATTAGGAACCGCTGGTGGGTGGGGAAGGAAGTCAAGATACAAATTAGGGAGTTGAGCCTGAAGTCATAAGAGGAAATGTTATAATTATAAAAACCTGTAAGAAATAACTAATAGGAGAAAGGATGGCTTGTATTCCTTACAAAGAAGTTTATTGGATACTGTTTCATTTCTAGTTTCTTTTTCTTTCATTTTTCTTTTTTTCTATCTTTCCTTCTTTTGTTGGATATGTAATATATACATATTATATATGTAATTTTTTTTGGCTAAATAAAAAAAGGAGGGGAGAAACTTGCTGGTACGACTGTATTCAAACCTGCTCCTTGTGCAGAGATGTCTCTAAAAATCAAAAGCTCATAGTTCTAAAACTCCTCACCCACAATAATACAGAAAGCAGACTTAACATGGACATGGGTATCAGAACGTGATCCCATCTCAGGCCTATTTCACTGCTCATTTTCTAACACTGTGTATGCCATCAAATGCCAGCAGTGCCCTTCGGCTCCCTATATTGGGCAAACAGGCCAGACTCTATGCCAAAGGATAAATGGGCATCAATCTGAAATCAGGAATCACACGGCAGAGAAGCCAGTTGGCCCTCCAGCTGTTTGGGGACTACAACTCCCATCCTCCCTGACCGCCAGTCCTGTGAGCTAGTTATGATGGGAGTTGTAGTGCCCAAACAGCTGGAGGGCTAAGTTGGGCCATGCCTGATCTAGAGCAGTGGTGGCCCAACTTGCCCCTCCAGCTGTTTGGGGACTACAATTCCCATTATCCCTGACCCCTGGTCCTGTGAGCTAGGGATGATGGGAATTGTAGTCCCAAAACAGCTGGGGGGCCAAGTTTGCCCATTCACTGCAGTAGGAGAACACTTCCATCTCCCAGGACATTCAACGCAGAATCTCCAAGCAGCTGTCTTATGACCAAAGAATTTCAGAAATAGACTTGAAAGAGAAGTTGCTGAATTGCAACTTATTACTCAACTGAAAACTATGGAGAGACCTGGTCTGAATAGAGATATTGGATTCCTGTGTCTTTATGCATGCTAAAGCTATTTTGGGTCATCTGCATACCATCCCTTGCTTTTTCAGTTGTTAACAGTCGCCAGCAGGTTGACCATACCCACTGAATCCTACTACCCTTCGGAGAAAATCCCCAACCCACCCTCCCACTATACAGTGGTACCTCGGGTTACATGCGCTTCAGGTTACTTACGCTTCAGGTTACAGACTCTGCTAACCCAGAAATAGTGCTTCAGGTTAAGAACTTTGCTTCAGGATGAGAACAGAAATCATGCTCCAGCGGCGCAGCAGCAGTAGGAGGCCCCATTAGCTAAAGTGGTGCTTCAGGTTAAGAACAGTTTCAGGTTAAGAACGGACCTCCGGAACAAATTAAGTACCTAACCCGAGGTATCACTGTATATCAGGGTCCAGACCAGTTTTACATACCATACTAAAAGAGCATAAAGCACAACAGAATTAAGTTTGGATTAACAATCAAATATAACAATAAACAATACAAATATGGGAGCAACAGGGTTTTTAAGCATTGAGGTTCAAACCCACTTGGAAAGCTTCTACTAAAAACAAGCTGAGTTGGTCTCTAAGGTGCTACTGGACAATTTTTAAATTTATTTCGACTGCGTCAGATCAACACGGTTACCTACCTGAATGTTTCTTCAGCAGCTGCTAAAAAGAAATTACTGTATTTTTCCGTGTCTAAGACGCCCCCATCTCTAAGACGACCCCTGTTTTTTGAGCCCCAATTGAAGAAATAAAGAATGGCAACATTCCGAGTCTAAGACGACCCCCAATTTTAAACTTCAAAAATTGGGGGCGAAATAAGAGTCTTACGCATGGGAAAATGCAGTTGGTTTCTACAATCGACACAAAGGAATAGATGCTGGGAATGCAAAACATACACAACACAGCAAATCAGGAATGTCAAAGTTCAGGCACAATGCAACATCTTTAAACGGCCCTCTTTTGGGAAGTTTTTAATGACTGGTGTTTTAATGCATTTTTAATCGTTTGCTGAAAGCTGCCCTAAGTGGCTAGGGAAACCCAGCCAGATGGGCAGGGTAGAAATAATAAATGATGATAATCATCATCATCATCATCATTCCAGAGGAGGGCAACCAAAATGGTCAAAGGCCTGGAAACGATGCCTTATGAGGAACAGCTAAGGGAGCTGGGCATGTTTAGCCTGGAGAAGAGGAGGTTAAGGGGTGATATGATAGCCATGTTCAAATATATCAAAGGATGTCACATAGAGGAGGGAGAAAGGTTGTTTTCTGCTGCTCCAGAGAAGCGGACACGGAGCAATGGATCCAAACTACAAGAAAGAAGATTCCACCTCAACATTAGGAAGAACTTCCTGACAGTAAGAGCTGTTCGACAGTGGAATTTGCTGCCAAGGAGTGTGGTGGAGTCCCCTTCTTTGGAGGTCTTTAAGCAGAGGCTTGACAACCATATGTCAGGAGTGCTCTGATGGTGTTTCCTGCTTGGCAGGGGGTTGGACTCGATGGCCCTTGTGGTCTCTTCCAACTCTATGATTCTATCTCCTGATTTCATAGGGAAAGATGCTTCTTCAGCAGCTGATCAAAATAAATTACATTTCTACAATTGACACTAAGGATTCTGCAAGCAAAACAAGGAGGCTGGCTTCCTTGTCTCCGATTTCGGTCCTCACTCGAACTCAGCACTGTGGAAGGGAGGGAAGGAGGAAGAAGGAAAAGTATTTCCCCTCTCCATGACAACTGTTCTGTCATGGCAATAATCCTCCCCAGGCTGCACCAAAAACAATCACCTCCAAGTACTTTAATAAAAAATGATTTAAATCAAGTCTTACAGACTCGTGATTGAAATCAAATCCACCCTGCTATGGATATTTACATCATGCTTTATAGAATAACAAGCGCCGAACTGCCGATCTCCTTGTGCAAGATACCAAATAACTGCAACAGGCTTTAAATTGACAACACAATGATAAAAAAGACCCCTCTGAACTAATTCCTCCCCCAGCATAAGGATCTTAACTCATCATTATCTAAGTGCGGCGCATGGCATTATCCTGGCTGCATCCCTCTCCCCTTGAACAAATGCCATTGTCACAACACTTGCTTCAAGGGGGATGCAGTTAATAATAATAATAATAATAATAATAATAATAATAATAATAATTTCTACCCTGCCCATCTGGCTGGTTCCCCAGCCACTCTAGGCGGCTTCCAACAAGAGGCGGCTTCCAACAAGAGATTAAAAATACATTAAAACATCACTGGTAAGAAATCAGACCCTCTCGACACTCATTTTGTCTCACTGACCTGGAGTAAGAAGACAGCATATTCACAGACTGACATTAAAATTAATGGAAATTAATTCAAGAACACAGAGGCCAAATATAGATCTAATATTCTCTGTGCCCTGCATATAGACTAGTATACTAAAACAGATGTTGATCTCTTCCTGTTTTCATACTCCCCCACCTCACTGCATTGAGAAATTATGCTTCCTTTTTCATGTTTCTTTGTTTTTCCTTGCTTGCTCTCAACGCAGGGAAGTAGACTAGTTTCCTCTTCCCCTCTTCCCCGCCCCTTTATGTGATGAAATTGCCTTCCCTCTCAGTGGGAACTTTTCCCCCTGTATGTGTTGTTTGTCAAGTTCACAGGCATTATCAATACACCCCATTAATACACCCTAATGAAGAAGAAGAAGAAGTTGTTATTTATACCCCACCCATCTGGCTGGGGTTCTCCAGCCGCTCTGGGCGGCTTCCAAGAAAAGATTAAAATACAATAATATTAATAATAATAATAAATATTAAAAGCTTCCCTAAACATTTGGACTCTCTCCTAGTGTCATGACTGCAGTCCAAATGGGAGACTCCCCCAGCTTCTTGGAATAAAAGAAAAAGACCCTGGGAGATCCATTAACAGATGTCCTGTTTCAGGTCTAGTTTTGGGTCTCGGTTCTGACTGTATTTGAAATTACTGGTAAAATGTCAGTTCATATGTAAGAAGTCTGAGGCTGTTTCATTCAGAAGGTGTGACAGTAGAACATGTGGAATAGAGAAAATCTTTATAATTTCAGACTTGCCAACCTAAATTAAACAGTAATTCCAAGTAGGATCATTCCACATCAAATTGACGCAAAAAACCCCAAGGGTTTCATCACCTGCCATATCAGATTTGAACAAAACTTGGTGTACTCCCTTCCCTTACAGTTGAAAGACACCCCCTTAATTCCTCCCCCCATCTCAAACGGTTTTAATTTTAGTAAGATGAAAAATGCATGAAAACATCCGTTCGAAACTTCCCAAGACAATAGATCCTAGCGCTGCAATTCACAACGGATTCCCAGTCCAACTTTGAAATAACTTGCGTCTCCGAAAGACACAATGATGTCTCTATCATGCAAGTGGAAAAAAGCATTGCTATTGTATTTAGACCCCCCGAGCTTCTTCCTTCATAAGAGAGTTTGCATTCTTCCTCTGCCCATGCATTCATGTTCGTGGTACCACTTCACTTGACTCTACAGCACTGCTAAGTCTGTAAGGTTCAGATAGTTAACAAATATGCCATCACTAATACGGAAAGGCTGCAGAAAGTCCCAGGCTCAAACATCCAATATCTCCACACAGGGCTGCCTGAAACCCTGGAGATTTTCATCGGCAATACTGCATTGGATTGACCAATAGGTCTGACTCAGGATAAGGCAGTTCCTATGCTCACTATAACTCAGTGGTGTCCAAACCTTTTTCAAAGACGGCCGGATTTGATGAAGTGAAGGACTGTGAGGGCCAACCAAAGGGCCAACCAAAGCTGTTGAGCTTTTTTTAGGACTTTGGACATGCCTGCTATAACTAATGCCAGCGTACTGAAATAAGCAAAGACTGTCAGTGTCGAAGCGACAATCAACTTTGAACCGGTCATGTTGCCTTCCAAAGAAACGACTCTCTTTCAAACTTAAAAATGGAAAGTGTAACGCTGGTGGACCACAAAAGAGGTTGAAAGATCTCAAGGCAAATTTTAAAAATGTAGTATAAACACCGACAACTGGGAAACACTGGCCTGCGAGAGCTCCAGTTGGAGAACAGCCTTGACCAAAGGCGTCCTGGGCTTTGAAGACACTCAAACTTGGGACGTGAGGGAGAAACGGGTGAAGAGGAAGAATCTTCACCGGGATCAACTCCCGCCCAGAAACCCCACTGTGGAAGGACGTGCGGATCCGGAATTGGCCTCCACTGTCACTTATGGGCTCACTGCTAAAATCCGTGTTGATGGAAGACAATCTGACTCAGCTATGAGGGATTGCCAAAGAAGAAGAAGAAGGCAACGACGTTAGGCTTCCATTTTCAGATAATTTTTAATGCAGGGAAGCCCACAAAAGGGCTGTCTTCCTGTCCAAAATGGCACAATTCATAATGTGACCTCCTGTATGAGATATAGACCTATCCTTTTTTTGGGGTTGTGAGAGGCTAGCCACCCACCCGCCTCCACAACTAAACAATTTGCTTTCTGTGTGATCAATGAAGAGGGGGGCTTGCCTGTAAGGAGATCAGGCCAGGAAGCTGTTTTAAATATCCACTTCTTTTTAAATTCCAGGGTACCAGTATGCCTCAATATATCATAGGTACAAGGGAGGGTGTTTGTGGGAAAAATGCTGCACTAGTAAGTTTTGTGCTAAGACTGAGACAAAAGATACCCTTGATTCAGTAGCAGATATACTGTATTTTTCCATGCATAAGACTATATCCCCCCACCAATTAAGTTTTAAATTGGGGGTCGTCTTATACACGGAATGTTGCAATTAATTATTTCTGAATTTAGGGCTCAAAAGATAGGGGTCATCTTAGACATGGGGGCATCTTGTACATGGAAAAATACGGTAATTTGTTTGGAAAACTCCAAAAGCCTTTTTTTTCTCTCCAGCAAACCGATCAGCTGGTCTGCTAAAGACAGAGAAAACTGTCAATTTCATTGTTGCTGCAGATTTCAGTGTCTCAGCTGTGGATCTGCCAGTTTCATTGTGCTGCCTATTCGGCGGGGGGCGGGAATAGGAGTAGACAGTGACTGGTACCAGAATCACCCACAAACCGAAAATAATACATGATGTACATTAAAATGACAACTAAAGATCTTGTAGCGCCTTAGATACTAACATGCTTGCAGTTTGCTCAGCTAACTTCTTGTGAACTGACTCTGAAGTTGCTGGAAAACTAATAAAAAGGCGATATTTAAATCAATAAATTTCACAAGCACACACACACACATGCTAAAAAGAGGCAGAACCAGTGAGCATCTGTCTAGGATGGAGGGAAATCAGAAAAAGGGTAGAAGAGAATGACCCAACTGAGGAGGGCGAGGACCAGGACAAAACGGAGGAGCCAGGTTGGAGAAGTATCAGGAAACAGGGCTTTAAAAGTCATCTTTGTTTCTTCAGCTTGTAAAGCGCCTTGAGTAATGTAAGATAGAAAGACGGTATACAAATTAAAAGTGATGATGATGATCTTAAGGGGCAATAGGGCGGTTCATAAAAAACTTTTTAATGAAAATGCCTGCTGCGAAGGTTTTATCTTACTACACTAGGGATTATATAGCTGTATCTGAATTTTGTTGCATATCACGGGAAGGGGGGGGTTACGAGGTGTCTTGCGAGGGGGTGAGAATAGGAGGAGCCTGCCCTACCCCTTCCCCTCCCTCTCCCTGCGCCCCCTCACCCATCTTCTCTCGGAGCCCCCTCAGGGGCGGCAGAGGCGGAGGCGAGGCGGCGAGGTTCTCGGGGCCCGTAGCGGCGCCGTTGCCCTCCGCCATTTTCGGACCACTGAGGCGGTGTGGGGGGCGCGAGCCCCACTCGCAGGCGCGCGCTCCGCTGCTCCCGGACTCCCACTCGGGCGGGCCGACTTCGGCAAGCTGACTTGAGGCGCGGCGGCGCTGCGCATGCGCCCTTGAGCGTCCCCGTCCGTCAGGCGGGTCGCGCACGCGCGCTCCCTCCCCCACTCGCTCGCGCACCTGACACCGCCCCCGGCGGCACCTCAAGGTAGGGAGCGGCGCACGCTCGAGCCCTGCACTCCCCCCCCCGCCCCTCGGAGCGGCGCTAGGCCCCCTTTCCCGCCAAAAGTCTCAGACCCGACTTCGGAGGACTGACTGGAGGCGCATGCGCCGGGTAGGGAGGGAGGCCGGGCCTCGCGCCCGCCCTTGAGCGTCCCCCGTGCGTCCGGAGGGTGGCGCGCGCGCCTAATTCCGTCCCAGGCGGCGCCTGAGGGGAGGGAGGGAGGGAGCGGCGCGCACGCGCTCCCACTTGCCGCCTTCGAGCGGCTCCTCAATGGAGGGAGAGAGCGGGAGCGCGCGTTCCCCCTCAGCGCGCGCTCTCTATCTCTCCCGACCCCCTCTGGAGCGGCGGATTCGAATCCTCCCTTTTCCCACCAAAATTTACCTCAGATCCGTGAAACTGAAAACCGAAAAAAAGGCACGACCCGTTAGGAGGCGGTGTTGCGCGTCGCTTCTTTTCCCCTGGAGGAGGACCCGTGAGTGTACACGTGTCGGGTCATCCTCACGTGGAAAGCCCGTGGCTTCGTCTCCGGGACTCCCGAGAACTGTAGTTTCCTCCTTGGCGCGCTACGGTTCCCAGCCGCCTGGCGCCCACTGCACGTCCCAGGATTGGTCGTGGAAAGCCAGGCGCTTTCGGCGGTGCGGCACACACACACACCCCACCCAGAGCTGGATTTAGGTTTGATGAGACCCTCAGCTAATAATAATAATAATAATAATAATAATAATATATTCATACCACTGAGAGCCAGTGTGGTGTAGTGGTTAAGAGCGGTAGTCTCGTAATCTGGTGAACCGGGTTCGCTTCCCCGCTCCTCCACATGCAGCTGCTGGGTGACCTTGGGCCAGTCACACTTCTCTGAAGTCTCTCAGCCCCACTCACCTCACAGAGTGTTTGTTGTGGGGGAGGAAGGGAAAGGAGAATGTTAGCTGCTTTGAGACTCCTTAGGGCATAGCTGTCAAGTGTCCCTTATTTGAAGGGACAGTCCCTTATTCCAGCGCCATGTCCCGCTGCTGTCCCTTATTGATAGATGTCCCTTAAATGATATCCCTTAAATTTCAAAGGAAGCTGCTCCTCTCCCTCCCTCCCTGCGGGAGGAGGGAGGCTCCAACTGTGTTGCGTGGCTGTGTTGCTCACCCAATAAGAAGTCTAAGCATGACTGGGGGTGGAGCTTGCATGCCTTGTGTGTGGCTAGTTAATGCAAGCTGAGGAGGTCTTTGAATGCTGGACGCCATTTTGTTGCACGTGCTGCTGCAAACTTTGCAGTGCAAAGCCAGGCCGGGGAGCCATCTTAAGTTGAGGCTGCATAGGCCTTGTGGTGCATGTGATTCAGATTCTATTCAGTTGAACCTCTGGTTACAAAGTTGGTTGGACAGTGTTCTCGAAGCTACCAGCATGAGTTTGACCAGACTGCAGGAGGCCAGGAAGACGAGTGCCTGGAACAGGTGAGGCTGCAGGTCCCTTATTTTGGCTGCTGGTCCCTTATTTTCAAGGCTGCTGGTCCCTTATTTTCAAATCTGTAAGTTGACAGCTATGCCTTAGGGTAGTGATAAAGCGGGATATCAAATCCAAACTCTTCATCTGGCTGGGTTTCCCAACACCTCTAGCACCTTGCAGGCCGACTGCCCTGGGCGCGTTGCAGGGGGTTGGTATAGATGACCTTCTGGTCCCCTTTCCCACTCTCTCTCTCTCTCTCTCACTCTCCCCCTCTCACGCTGACTCAGCCCCGGGTTTGGATCCTCCCCTAGCCTCAATGCTCCTTGGGAGAGTGAGGGCACTGAGCAGGGCCGGATTAGTGTTTGATGCGTCCCTCAGCTAATAATAATAATAATTTCTTCCCCACTCAGGGCTGGATTTAGGTTTGATGAGGCTCTAAGATACAGGACACAGGTGGTGCTGTGGGTTAAACCACAGAGCCTAGAGCTTGCCAATCAGAAGGTCGGCAGTTCGAATCCCCGCGACGGGGTGAGCTCCCGTTGCTCGGTCCCTGCTCCTGCCCACCTAGCAGTTCGAAAGCACGTCAAAGTGCAAGTAGATAAATAGGTACCGCTCTGGCGGGAAGGTAAACGGCGTTTTCATGCGCTGCTCTGGTTCGCCAGAAGCGGCTTAGTCATGCTGGCCACATGAGCCGGAAGCTGTACGCCGGCTCCCACGGCCAATAAAGCGAGATGAGCACCGCAACCCCAGAGTAGGTCACGACTGGACCTAATGGTCAGGGGTCCCTTTACCTTTAGAAACAATAAAAAAAAGTTAAAATGAATTAATCCTTACACCCATGTATACCAAAAATAAAACAATCAAATGGAAATAAAAGGAATAGAAAAGAACATACCAATAAAAGAAAAAGAAGGTCCCTTTACCTTTACCTAAGATACTGAAGGTAATGGGGCCCTTTATATGTCCAGCTGTCCTTTGTCCACAACAAATTGTTGAATATATGCTATATGGTCATTGATGGACCTCATAGGTATCTCAAGCCATTTGCCCATCACAAAAGATGTATTTTATCAAAGCAATGGTTGAACTGAAATACAATTCAGAAGAAGTATATTCATAATGAAATCATTATTAATAATTATTTTTATTCATTTGGGCAATCACAAAAGATCCTTTAGAAACCCCATTTACAAAGACTCATCATCTAGTCTCTAGAAACTTGCTATAACATGAAATAATAAAAGGTGTCAAGATAGGATGCAAACTACTAATAATTATGAATAGCTTTATTAATATGAAATGAAGTGTTATAACCTGTACAATGCAGTTGTAGTTAATACAAGGCATTTTCCTATTTGGAATAATAAAATAATTTTACAGAAAGGTTCAGCCTTGCTGGCATCCTCCTAATCTTGACAAGCAGAGGGAGGTTTGATGGAATTTTTAATATAATATCAATACCACCATCACAGTCCACACTGTTCATGGGGACAGCGGACCTTTGTACCCTGTGACACTTAGTGAGTGTAAAAGACAGTATTTCTAGTAATATGTCACATTCCTAAATAATACCAATACTAAATAAGAAATAATAGCATTACTATACATGCCTGCACATCAAACCAGTGATATTTTAGGGGGCAGGCTAGCAGGCGGTCTTTCAGGACCAGTGTTGTATCAAGTTGGTAAGACTTGATTTAAATCCCTTTTTAACCGAAAAGTTCAGCCTTGCTGGCATCCTCTTAATATGGCCATCCAGATGAAGGCTTTCCTTTTACTTACATCATGGGAGCAGACACAACACAAAACAAAACACTGTTGCTGGATGTCGGTTTTATTTGTTTTTTATCTTCTATTTTGCAAAGGTACATCCAGGTTTTTTCCCCTTTAAATTTTTTGGGGGCTCCCAATAGAGTGGGGCCCTAAGCTGGAGTTTGTTTAGCTTATATGTAAATCCGGCGCTGGCATAGATAGATGATTTATAGATAGATGATATATTAGTGTTATGTATTGAAGTTCTCCCCCTGGCCACCAGGAGTATCGTGTATATAGTTTTCACTCAGGTCCACGTCAGTTAATTTAGGCGGGAAACCCTGGGCTGTTGTTGTTACAGTGTTGACAGCTGGCTGCCTATAAAAGCAGGCCGGCTGAGCTGTTTGCTGTTCAGTTCTGTTCTGGCCTGTGAATAAACAAGAGCTGCTTTGGAGAAATCGCTGTGTCATCTGCTATGTCTACCCACTATTTAACAATTAGATAGATATGATTGATAGAGGATTGATAGATTAAATAAATAGATGGTAATTGATAGATAGATGATTGATAGATGAGATAGATAGATGATACATTAGGTACATATAGATGATAGATTAGATAGATAGATGGATAGATACGTTAGATACGTTAGATACGATAGATAGATAGATAGATAGATAGATGATAGATACAGGGCCAGATTTAGGTTTGATGAGGCCCTCAGCTCCTGAAGGTAATGGGCCCCTTGATATGTCCAGCTGTCGTTTGTCAACAACAAATTGTCGCCGGATTTTTGTTGAATATATGCTATATTTGGTAACTGGTGGAACTGATAGGTATCTAAAGCCATTTGCACATCACAAATAGGAGCCGACACATCACAATTCACGGTTGCTGTATGTTGGTTTTATTTTATTTGTTTTTTATCTTATATTTGGGAAATGTACATCCAGTTTTTCCCCCCTTTAAATTCTTTGGGGGGCCCTGATATATGCCATATTTCATTTCTTCTTTCCAGTTGGCTTCCTTCTTTTCGTTTTGGGTAAACCAGGCATAGGCAAACTCAGCCCTCCAGATGTTTGGGACTACAATTCCCATGATTCCCAATGATAGTTGTCTGCAAGGCCAGTGAGGAATCTGTTTGACCTCAGCCAAGAGCCTAAGGTCAAACAGATTCCTCACTGGCCTTGCAGACAACTTCATTGTCCAGAAAGTGGGAGAAGCAACAAGAGGAACAGCCATTTTAGATCTGGTCCTAACCAATGTTGATGACCTGGTTAGTGGGGTAGAAGTGGAAGGATCATTAGGCGCGAGTGATCATGCTCTTCTGAAGTTTACTATACAGCGGAAAGGAGCAGCCAAGCATACTAGGACTCAATTTCTTGACTTTAAGAAAGCCGACTTCATAAAACTTAGGGAAGTGCTGGGTGAGATCCCATGGACAGTAATACTAAAAGGAAAGGGAGTTCATGATGGCTGGGAGTTTGTTAAGAGGAGATAGTAAAAGCACAACGTCAGGCAATACCAATGAGACGGAAACATGGAAGGTGCCTAAAGAAGCCAGGGTGGCTATCTAAAGAACTTTTAACTGAGTTAAGATGTGTACAAAAAATGGAAAAGGGGGGAAACCACCAAAGAGGAATTCAAACAAATAGCCAGCACGTGTAGACACAAAGTCAGAAAAGCTAAAGCACAGAATGAACTCAGGCTTGCTAGAGAGGTTAAAAGCAACAAAATAGGCTTTTATGGGTATGTTCGTAGCAAAAGGAA